CCCGGATGCATCGTGGAGACCGGGGTGGCCCAGCCAACGTCATGGCCAGCACCAACGCCATCGTCCATCCACGCGGAGTGGGGTATCTTGCCTGCCCATCGCCGCAGTCGACCGACTGCCCTGGACTGGACTGTCCGGGCTCCCGCGAACAGCGGGCATGAAACGGACGAACCGGGGACGCCGCGGCGGTTCAGCGAGGGAGGGGGGGCGTCGGTCGCAGCTGGAGGCTTTTGCGGGCGTCGGCGGCGTCTCGGGAGGGGCGCAGGTCGGGCGGGCAAATGACAGGCCTGGAGACAGGTGCAAAGGCTCCGTCGCGCGGCCGCCAAGCAGCGCCATCAGATGGGATCTCTTGTGCTGCTTGGCCGAGACTAGGGCGGATAACTGGGACGAGGTTGTCAGCACGCCGCTAACAGAGCGTCGTCTCCGCTAGCAACCAACTTTGCGTCCGGTGGGAGGCAGAGTCAAAGGTTAGTTCCTGGCGGGCGCGAGTGACATGCGGTTAGTCGGGTTACGGGAGACGAGTCGAGTCGAGTCGGTCGGTGCGGGAAGCAGACGGACGGTGCTGCTGCTGCACGAGTACCTTACGAGTAGGTACAGTACAGTAGTAGAGTCGCCTCATGCTCGTGCGTCGTGTACAAAGTCCGGAGCAAAGTCCAGGAAGGAGTGACGACACCGCGAAGGATCTGCTCCTGCCCGCCTCCTCACTCGTCCGCGTCCAAACCACCAGCCCAGATCCAGGCACGCACCCCAGTTTTGCTTCTTCCATTAATCCCCGTCTCGCCGCCGCTCCCTCACGAACCCTTGTTCGGTTTGTCCGTTCATATCATACATACATACTTGCCCAATTCCCCCCCTCCCGTTGCGTTCGTCCCCTTCTCCTTCATCCCATTTACAAGCCCTGTCTGCTCGGTGGCTTTCGTCTCGACGCACCGGCACTCCAACTCGCCTTAGTGCTCGACACTCTTCGTACTACCCGGAGCGGCTCCATCGCGCGGTGCCAATCACACAAAGCAGACGAGCGTTGCGAATGACGTGATCGGCAGGCCCTCGACTATTGCTCCTTGGATCCCCAGGCACCTTGCCGTCGCCCTTCAGCTTCAAGACGGGCCTCCGTGCGCCCTGTTCGCACCTCGTCAACTGCCGCACTATATAGGCGGCACCTCCTCGTCACCAGCGGACACGCGGCACACCGACTTCAACGTCGCAGTCGACACAGCCTCCAGCAGCTCAACATGTCTGTCGAAAAGAAGGCCTCCAATACCGGCTCCGGCCGCGACCTCGAGTTCGCCGGCACCACCATGACCACGTCGACGCGCCTGGCCGCCATGTTCGGCGGCAAGGGCGTCACCGTCGGCCCGCGAATTGCACCCGTACCCGACTGGCTCAAGGTCGATGTGTCCTCGGACGGCGACGAGCACACGAGCGAGGCCATCCTCAATCGCCAGCTCGCCTCCGAGGAGGACGCCTCCATCCAGTACCGCACATGCAGCTGGCAGAAGACGGCTGCCCTGCTCTTCAGCGAGTACATCTGCCTCGCCATCATGAGCTTTCCCTGGTCCTACTCCTTCCTCGGCCTCGTGCCCGGCCTCATCCTCACCATTGTTGTTGCCGCCGTTGTTCTCTACACGAGTCTCATCATGTGGGAGTTTTGCCTCCGTCACCCCGAGGTCCGCGACGTCTGCGATCTCGGCCAGATGCTTTTCTGGGGCAAGGAATGGGCCTGGTGGGGGACTGCCCTCATGTTCGTCTTGAACAACACCTTCATCCAGGGACTCCACGTGCTGGTCGGCGCCGAGTACATCAACACCATGACCGAGGCCGACAAGATCGGTGGATGCCGCACCGTCGAGTTCTCTGTTGCCATTACCGTCATCTGCTGGCTCGCCTCCCTGCCGCGAACCTTTAGCATGATGTCCAAGCTTGGCACTGCCTCGGCCTTGTTCACCTTCATCTCTGTCTTGCTGGCCACAATCTTTGCCGGCGTTCAGGGCAAGCCGGCTGGCTACGCCCCTCTGACCAAGGGCGAGCCTATTGTGACTGCCATTCCCGTCCACAGCACGACCTTTGTGCAAGGCATGGCGGCTTTCCTCAACATTAGCTACACCTTCATCGGCCAAATCACCCTCCCGAGCTTCATCGCTGAGATGCGCGATCCTCGGTAAGTGCCGTAGCCACAACTCTGACGTTGAGACATGCTAACAAGGCCCAGGGAATTCCCCAAGTCGCTGTGGGCATGCACCATCGCTGAGATCATCGTCTTTTGCGTCGTCGGCGGCGTCATTTACGCCTACACTGGCAACCAATACGTGACGGCACCTGCGTTCGGTTCGTTGCACGACCTGTACAAGAAGGTGTCCTTCTCCTTTATGATCCCGACAATTATCTTCCTTGGTTGCCTGTATGCCTCGGTCACGGCACGCTTCGTCTTTTTCCGATGGTTCAAGGGCTCCCGTCATATGAACGACCACACTGTTGTGGGCTGGGGTGCCTGGGCCGGCATCCTGTTGGTGACGTGGATTCTCGCCTTCATCATCTCGCAGGTCATCCCGTTCTTCTCTTCACGTAAGTTTGACCGTCCTTCTTGGTGTTGGACATTCAGGACCCATAGCTAACGGCTCGCAGTCCTCTCTGTCATGTCTTCACTGTTTGACAGCTGGTTCGGCTTCATCTTTTGGGGTGTTGCCTATTTCCGCATGCGCGGCGCCGACCGAAAGGTCGGGCGGTATCGAAGCCCCGCCTTCGACTGGCTGTCCATGGCGCTCAACGTCGTCATCATCCTCACTGGAGTCTTCTTCCTCACGGTGGGCACGTATGCCAGTGTGCAGGGCATCATCGACTCGTTCGCGGCAGGCGAGGTTGGCGGCGTTTTTTCTTGCAAGAGCAATGGCCTGTAAGGGGCGTGACGAAGAGGAGGGAATTTTGTATATGAATGATGCATGTTGGACACACTGACACACAGGAACTGGTCATGCGAAGGACATACTTGTACGCACAGGGGTGAATGCCTCATGACAGCAGCGCGAGACTCGGAGGGGCCGTCCGTTGCGGAGGTTCAACGGTTTGCATGCTTGCGCAAGGGATACGGGACGATATACCACCGGGGGATGCGGAGAGAGGGGCTCCAGAATACGCTCAGCATGGCCTGTCCGCCACCATCGGTCGGTGATGGCGGCAGCGACCCGAATGCTTTCATGAACCGTGTCGTCTGGCTGTGGCAGTCTCTAAGGAGCTGCCAGCTTGGACACGTATTTGTTTCATTGCCCTCGCATCACTTGCGGATCCTGGAATGGTTCCGCAAGGCGATACCGCTTGGACCATTGCACCTTTTCTGCAAGACTTGTTGTGGCAGGCAAGCGCTTGTCGCAGTCAGGTTCGTAGCCGATTCGTAAAGAATCCCGGTCCCAGTGAGTGAAGTGAAATGTCTGTTCGCCGTACTCCGTAGGTCGCAAGCACTGCGTAGCTCAAAACAGCGTGCTTCGTAGCTCAAAACTCCAATTGAAGGTTTTGCGCACAAACAGCTTCCCCTTTTGCCTCGGGCCACAGTGGTATGACGTGAGTGTCCCTGGCGCAGGGTGGACTGATGGCGGAAAGCGAGGAGCCGAAGGCAAACGAGCCGTGCTTGTGGACGCCTGCAGATGCCCTGCAGCCAAATCGCATTCAGCACCAGACACGCGACGCATTGCTGGAGCTCCATTGGGCGGCGAAGTTTGAACCCCGCAGGAGAAAGTCGTCAACCCTGGGGTCTGGATCGGCGCAACACAGGGCATTCTCAAGTGTTGATTGAGGATTTTTCTTTTGGTCTTCGTCAGTTACGGGAATGTAATGTACCCCGAGGCTGCTTCGTTTCGCAAGCGGCACAGATATCTTTAGCCACGACGGAGGCGCCCGAATCGAATCTCGCTCGGTGAAAGGGGCAAAGTGCTCCGTTCACTGTTCAGGATAAAATACAGCGATCTGCCCCACTGAAAAGCTCCATGGAGGGAAGCTGCATGTGCTGGTCTGGGGCGCCACGCAAGCACAGCCCTCTGCCCCTCTCCGACAGGCCCCTCGCCCTGCCTGCTCGCCCACTCACCACAGTGGACGACCCTGTAACTCCACTAAAATCGAGCAATCGTGGGCCACCGGGCGTGGGCTGGCAGGTGGCGGAAGGAGGGACGGGAGCAACAAAGTTGAGGCACACCACTCCTTCGAAGCCCTTTTGCCCGCAGCCCCTCGAACCACAACCGTCCACCTATTTCCTGCCGACAAACCATCCTCACCCCTTTAACTGCCCTCGACCCCGACGACTTCGACACGAGCCGAGGCATCCCTGCGCAGACACCGAAACGGGATCAAATTGAAGCGAACCGACGGTGAATCGAGCTCGTTCAATTGGCAGATGCCCCGATAGAACTGTACTGCGTCTTCATCGCGCTCGATATTCGCAACAAAGCTCGGCCGAGAGACGACGGATTTACTTGCACCAATTCGCAAAGCCTCCCGAGGCGACCGCACCACAGCACCATGCCCTCGTCTGCGGCGACGACCGTCACCAAGACGCCCAAGGACAAGGCGCCCGACGCCGGGGTCGACGGCGATGGCGTCGACAAGCACGACTTCTTCTGGACCTACACCGAGGAGCCGCATCGCACCCGGCGCCTGGCCATCATCAAGGCTCATCCCGAGGTGCGCTTCTCCAGACACACGCTCGCCACCGACGTCGCAACAGACACTTGATGCTGACTCTCGTTGCAGATCACCAAGCTCTGCGGCCCTGAGCCCCTGACCAAGTACGTCGTCACGGGCGTCGTCGCCCTGCAGACGTTCCTGGCGTGGTATCTCCATGAGACGCCCTTCTGGTCGCTCAAGTTCTGGCTCGTGGCCTACGTCGTCGGCGCGACGGCCAACCAGAACCTGTTCCTTGCCATCCACGAGATCTCGCACAACCTCGCCTTCCGCAGTCCCGTCGCCAACCGCGTCTTCGCCATCTTCGCCAACCTTCCCATCGGCATTCCCTACAGCGCCTCGTTCCGACCGTACCATCTCACCCACCACAAGTCGCTCGGCGTCGATGGCGTCGACACGGACCTGCCCACCGCCCTCGAGGCCTTCGTCCTCGATACCATCCTCGGCAAGGCCTTTTTCTGCACCTTCCAGATCTTCTTCTACGCCATCCGCCCCATGACCGTCTACCGCGTGCCTCTCACTCGCGTTCACTACCTCAATATTGCCGCTCAGCTTGCCTTCGACTACGCCCTCGTTCACTTCACCGGCGGGTCCAAGGCCCTCCTGTACCTCCTTCTCTCCTCCTTCCTCGCCGGCAGCCTCCACCCCGTCGCCGGCCACTTCATCGCCGAGCACTATGTATACGAGACGGTCACGCCCACGCAGCGCAACCCGGACAACGGCGTCCCCGTCCCCGAGACCTTCTCCTACTACGGGCCCCTCAACTGGCTCACCTACAACGTCGGCCTCCACAACGAGCACCACGACTTCCCCGCCGTGCCGTGGACCCGCCTCCCCGCCGTCTACGACACCGCCCGCGAGTTCTACCAGGACCTGCCCCGTCACGAGTCCTGGAGCTATGCCATCTGGCGCTTCATCTGGGACCCCAACGTCGGGCTCAACTGCCGCGTCAAGCGCAAGCAGGGCGGCCGCATCGTCGGCGGCGCCGTCAACTGGAAGGAGTCGGAGATTCAGGCGTAAGCCGTGGGTGCGTACGAAACGATTTGCGGGACACGGGCCGCGTTTCGGCCATTTTCAGGGTGTTGGAATAAAATCACCCCCTCTTCCTTCTCGGTTCGTGCCAGACAGAAGTTGGCAGATCAGGAATCATGTATTGCATAGGTATCTGTTTCTATAGGCGTTTTTGGGCAGCAGCAACACATCGGCGGGGACCCGCCCAGTCAGAAGAAATCATTAGACTATGATGAACACCGTCACCATCGCACGTCCAGGGAACACCTAGGTACTCGAGGTGCATCGTAACGAAAGACTGAGCGGCATGCCAAGTCAAGGCCATCATAACAAAGGAATTCCCATGACACTGAAACGCAAAGTTGTAGACGTAGCTAGTACAAAAGCACCGCGGCAGCGGCCCCCTCGCAAACAAAACCCTCCCAGTCTCGTCGTCAACCACCCAGCCGCGCTGTCAATGTGCAGAAAGGACGCCAACCGCGCCATCCGTCTCAACCAACACAGTCTCCGGCCCCTCCTCGAAGGAATAAAGGGCGCTGTTTACCCCGTCAGACGGGCCGTCTCTCTCTCTCTACCTCGGCGACTCAAGCAGAATCAGGCCTGGTGACCGAGGTGCCAACGCCCTGTCCCTCGGTGTTCTGACCTTGGATTATACTCTCGCTTTTCCACTTCTCATTCCAAGTCTCTCGTTCTGCCGCAATGCGTATATACCAGTCGTTGTTGGGGCTCTCGAGCACGGCCGGACTGGAATGGCCTCCGCCGTGGCCGATCGTATCGCTTCCCCGTCATAAGTACTGTGCGGGCAAACTCCGCAGAGGCGCAAAGGGCTTAGAAGAAGAAGTAGGCGAGCAGGAAGCTCAGCAGGCAGAGAATGGCCACCATCTGGACGGGCACGCCCGCGGGCTGCTGCTTAACCGCCTGCGCCACCCGACCGGTATCAGGCAGCTTCTGCTCGCCAGAGACGGTCTTGACGGAACGCTGGCGAAGACCGCTGTCCTTGAGGCTCGCAAGCTGGGCCTCCGCCTGGGCCAGCTTGGCCTTGAGCTCCTCGTACGTCGCTTGGGCCGTCTCGGAAACGGCGGTCGCTGCTTGAGACACGGCGGACTTGGGGCGGTCGGACTTTTCGTCTTCGTCCTTGACATCGTCGGACGGGTACGGCGGGGGAGCATGCAACGGCGTCGAGTCGGGGGCTTCGGTCTTGGGAGACGAGAACGTGCGCGAGGCTTCCGGCGTGTCGTGTGCCTGGTTCCATGTCAGCATTTGTGGGTGAGGCGAGCGGCAGGCAGGCTGCGTACCCCATTGACTATGGATTGCTTGTTGGGAGTGGCGAGGACGGCCTGGTTAGCTCCTTGCTCCTGGCTACCGAGGGGTGCCAGCCAGTTGACCCTAATCTTGCGCTCCTGGATCTGGCCCTTTTCCGTCGACTCGAGCTGGGCGACGAGGGTCAGTAACGCCATGCGACCAGTCCAGGGATTTGAAACCAGCGGCACTTACCACTGCGGCAATGCTGGCAAACTCCTTCTCTGGTGTGATAGGCGCAGACTGGACGAGGAACTTGTCGCGACATCTTGTGTCCAGAGGAGGGTCCGCCTTCATCGCCTGGAGGAGAACTGGGGGTACGTTAGGGGCTGCAGAGTGTCGTGAAGGGGGGCTCGGGAACTGGCGTACCAGTGACATCAAAGTCTTGTCCAGGCTCGATGCGGCCTGCATTGGGTCGCACGCAGTACCTACGGCACGATCAGCGCAAGTCGGGGTCTCAATGCCTCGGCAGGGGTTCGTACTGTTTCGGAGCAGTGGTTTTGACCTGCAGGCGAGCACATATTAGCTTGAACGCTTCGGGCGCTGAGCGCGATGCCTCGGGGCTGGTCTACCTTGAACGCGAGTGGTGTCGAGGTCGGGTTCTTGATTGTCAGGGTCTGCGACACCTCGACGGTAAAGGGGCCTGCGCGAAGCTACGTCAGTACAAGCCGACAGGCCGCTGCAGCATCTCGCGACGCGATGGGCCTCGGTGGCACGTACGCCGAAAATTCAGCTCGAAAGGCTCGATGTCGACAGACATGGTGGTGGTGGTACGGCTCGCGATGCTCGATAGGGCTGATTATGCGATGTGGTCGAACCAGGGGTGGGGGGGGCGGGAGACAGAGTCGTGCCCGACGGAGCCAACAGGCAGAGGGAGAAGCGGCGCGCAGTCAGTTGAGGCGGTAGGGAAGGCGAGGTGGGCAGATAAGAGGACGAGGGCGCTTTCTGGGTCAGCGTCGTTTGCGCGGGCTGCTGCAGTCGGGGGCGTGTTGTGGTGGTGCTGGTGGTGGCAGGAAGAGGGAGAGAGAGAGAGAGCGAGTGACGACGTTGGAGGAGTTGCAACGGTACGTGAGGCGGTTCGCCCCAGCCAGCTCAGCGCAGTGGATGGGCCGCGTTTGATGAGAGCTACTTGCAGTTAGGCCGGCCGGGGGGGTTCACCTCAGCTGCAGCTCCCTGGGGGCGCAGAACCTCGGACCGCTGGAAAATGCCCTGTGAAAACACCACCCAACTCACCAACGGCGCCAACGACGTCAGGACATGAGGAGTGGAGCGCTGAGGTGGCCTTCTTCGACGCCAAACCCGACGGACCAATGCGCGGCGACTCCACTTACTAAGCCGGCTACGTGCTGGTGATGGAGCAAGAAAGACGGGACCTGGCAGACAGTGCAGTTTAACAGCCCAGAGCATGAACTTGCCGCCCTGTCGTAGCACTTCCGGGCAACTTTTTGGGGGTTCTTTCTTAATTGACGATTGGGCACTTGCTCGGCGTGCGTGTGCCGTCGCATGCTGCTACGACATAGTCTTTTTTTTTTTAATTTTTTTTTTGGCGCGGCTCTGCGTTGCATCGTTGCATGGGCCACGACGGTTGGCAGGCGCTCTGTCCCGTGTCAGGCTTGTGAAATGGGGCAGCGCTGCAGCACAGGCCGTAGTTGCGCCGGAGCTCCGGTTGGCAACGCTGCGGTTGGCCCCAAGCTTAGGTTGCGCCTGAGCGGGATCGCGTGCACGGCATAGATGGACGGAGTAGATATATGCTGTGTGTTTTCTTTTCGTGCGCACTGCATTCAGGCGGGGTACCTAGAGGTAGCTCCTTGAGCAACCCGTATCCGACAAGGTGCCTCTCACTTGAGGGCGCTGTCGTATGTATGTGGTTCAGTGCCCAGATGACGGCGTCATGGACCAACCTGGCAGCGGGCATCCAAGGACGCATGTCTCCTGCCTGACAGTGGCACTGGCACTGGGGCAGTACCTAGGCGCCCTTGGTAGGTAATAGCTGGTGCCGCTGTTCTGCCGGTGCCACCTCAGAGTCGAGCCCCTCGGCCGCTACCTGCAGGGCATCCCTGAGCTTCCACTGCTTTGCCCCGCGCCACGCCAACCTAATCTGCCCAGGACCCGCTACAGGAGGCAACAGTTGTGACGTTGGTCATTGGAACTGCAAGCGAGCTTCAGTCTGAAGGTTTCACCACCTGCAACGGCGGACTTGGTTTCAGCACATACCTTATATGAATCACCTTTACGGAGCAAACGCTGCCAGCCAAGTTTTCGCCATCCGATACAATCCAAAGCAAGCGTTTCCTTCCTCCCATCGTACAAACGACTCGGCCGCCGCCTGTCTCACAAGTCTCATTGCCCCACGGTACACCCATCTCTCGCACCTCAGCCCCGCAGTATCACCACATCTCACTTCCCGCAACATCATCGCACGAGTCCCTCGCAAGGCCCCTCACACCCCTTGCCCCCACCGTCGCGATGCCGTCAGATCTAGAGCAGCTGCTCGAAATGGGCTTCGACAAGGCCCGTGCCGAGCTTGCCGTCAAGAAGAGCGGAGGCCGTGAGCAATCCCAGCCCAGCCCACGAGCCGTCTCACGCGACAGCTTCACTGACAAACCCCCCCTCTAGTGCAGGGCGCGCTGCAGTTCCTCGAGGAGACTCAGGACAAGCCCTTGGATGAGCTCCAGGCGGCTCAGGTAGCTGATGATGAGGACGAGGATGCGACCAAGGCCGAGATCGCCGAGCTGGAAACAGGCGAGCAGGCTCGCTCTCTCATCTGCAACGAGTGCGGCAAGCGCTTTCGTAACAAGGACCTCGCCAGCTACCATGCCTCAAAGACGTGAGTACCCCACCTGCTTCACACCCAAAAGGAGGGCAGCAGCTGAACAAGCCATCGCAGCGAGCATACAGACTTTTCAGAGTCAACGGAGGAGATTGCCCCCCTGACAGAGGAGGAGAAGAAGGCCAGGCTCGTGGAGCTTCGCCAACGCCTGCAAGCCAAGCGGGCGGCGCAGTCCGAACAGGACAAGGAGGAGAACAAGCGCAACGAGGTATGCCCTCCTTCAGCATCCCCTACCACTACTGCTTCTGCACCGGATGTTCTAACAAAGTCCCAGAGAATCCGGCAAAAGGCGACGAGAGAGACCCAGGACGCCAAGGAGGAGCTACAGCGCAAGGAACAGATCAAGGAGGCTGCCCGCAAGCGACAGGAGAAGCTGGAAGATCTCGAGGCCAAGAAGCGCATCAAGGCCAAGATCGAGGCCGACAAGGCCGAGCGCCGCCGCAAGGCCGAGGAGGCCAAGGCCGCGCGAGAAGGTCGCGCTCCCGAGGCCCCCGTCGCAGCCCCCCCTACGGGACCGTCCGCCCTCGCCGCCGCGACGACGACCAAGAGCGACCGCAACGAGGCACGGCTGAGGCTGCAGACGGGTTCCGGCAACATTACCAAGACGCTGCCCGCCGACACGACGCTGTTTGAGCTGGCGCAGATGGTGCAGAGCGAGACGGGCAACGCGGTGGCGAGCTTCATGACGACGTTCCCGAAGAGGACGTTTGAGGGCGACGTGGATATGTCCAAGACGCTCAAGGAGGCGGGGTTTGTCCCTTCGGCGGTGCTGATTGTCAAGTAAGGCTGGGGTGACACGAGTGTTTCGCATCTGGAGTAGCTTAGCCGGGGAGTTGGTGGCGGCATGGTAATCAGATAAATTTGCACAGCTTTTGAGGCCGTATCCGCTGCTTTGGCCAACCCCTCACGGATCATTCACTTCTACACTGTTGGGACATAGGACGGCATACATGGAGTGATGCTGTTCGCGAGGTCACAGGTGATCTCATCGACAACTACGCAGCCCTGTCCAAGGCGTCGATCATATCGCCAACGCCGTACACGATCCCGACGCGTCGTTGTTCGAGGAGGCGAGTCTGTCGAAGGGTACAAAATCACGCTGTGCAGTGCCTCGTCAAGCGAACAGGTCGGTGTTGGTCGTGGTTCCACAGCCGAGGCGCCATGACGTTCGTCCCTTCAGAGTTCGAGGCATGAGCGGAGACCCGGTCTCAATGCGTCCAGGAACGTTCGCATCCACTGCCGCACACAATCACTTGAACCAGTTCGCGGGCCGCGGAGTTTGCATGGTAACGTTCCTCTTTTTGTGCTCCAGAGCCGTGTAAACTGACCAATTCTCCACCCCGGGTGAAAACTCCGTCGTTTTGAGTGCATTCATCGTATTGACGAAGCTACTCTGTCCAGGGCCCCAGGATATATCATGCCGTCTCCATCCTGTATGATCGATCGATCGTGAACCCCGAAGCCATGCAGTTGAAGTACAAGGAAGCAAGAAAACAGTCGTCGCGGCGTAGGTGCTTAGTCGAAGAGACCGAAGCCCATGTCCTCGTCGGACTCCTCCTTCTCTGCGGCGAGTGTTAGCATCCATCGGGGCGGCGATTATCGGGGAACTGGAATTTGACGCACCCTCCTCCTTCTCCTCAGCGGCGGGGGCAGCGGCGTCACCGCCGGCGGCAGCGGCACCACCGGCAGCGGGGGCAGCAGCGCCGCCACCAGAGCCGACGTTGACGAGCAGGTCCTTGACGTCCTTGCCCTCCAGAGCCTGTACAAGCAATCCCGTCAGCGATCCGTCCTTCAATTTTCGTACACGGACGTGGTTTTCGTCGGTTCGGGTCGTACCTTGGCGAAGATGCTGCACCAGATGGGCTCGACGTCGTCGATACCGGCACCCTTGATCAGGGACACAAGCTTGTCGGCCTATACATCGAGCGCGTTAGCAAAGGCGTATTCCGGCACGTATCGCAGAAAATATCGGAAGGCGTCGGGAGCCGTTGGACGTCGACCGCGAGGATATGCGTGCGCGCGCGCGCGCGGTTGGAGACACTCACGGTGATTTCGAGGCCATCATCGGCGAGGATGAGGGCCGCGTAGGACGAAGCGAGCTCGGAGGTAGACATTGTGACTGCGGGTTTGGCGTGCGTTGACAGGGGAAGATTGTCTACACGATGCGTCGTGGTGGTTGTAGTGCAATAATCGCGAAAAGCGGGCTGACACCACAAAAATTCCGCTGGCGCCCAAAATTCGGCTGGAGGGCTTGAAAGACCTAAGGTGCAAAGGACCAACTATTATTCCGGTCACCGAACGATGGGCCCGCCGGCCTCGGGCGGTGATTGGGCAGGCTGACGCAGGCTGATTCCGGCCAATCAGTGGCCCATGTCTGCAGGACCAACGCAAGCATCCACCGAAGAACCCCACCTGGCGGCGATAGATGGAAGCCTCCCAAGCCTCCCCCACCAGGCCATCCTGGCGGGCGGTGTTTGGTGGTGCTTGCGACGCATCACATCAGTGGTTCCATGCCACGCTTACCTGACGTCGCTTGGTCCTGCAGCAGCAAGCTGAGACAAGAAGCGTTTGCTCGGCCCTGTACTTCGTACGTTACTTGGTGTAAAACGCTGCACCATCTTAATGCGGTAGGTAAATGCAGATTCTCAACATCGTCCACGACCACGTTCCCGTTTCTCCCGCCGTCGCGCACTTGTTCGGCGCACTGCGTTCGCCAACCTAGCCTACGCCACCGAAGGTCCCCCGCTACCGAGCACTTCGCCCGCCGGGAGATCGCAGCCGCCCGAGCTCGACCGAGTCCGGCCTTTCGACAGCCACCCCGCGCGCGGCTTCCGTCTGCTTGGTAACCACCTCAACACCACCACCACCTTCTCCGCCTACTCCTCCTCCACCACCGCCATCCTCGGAAGAGCTGGAAACTCGACTTTTCCAACATTGCATTGCAAAGGCGAGCCAGCGGCTTGCAGTTATCGTCGACCATTGGCCTTGTTGACGTCAGCCCAACCCATCTCCCCGCACTGTGCTCGTGCGACACCTCTGCGCCAGCTCGCGAACGACCACCGACGTTGTCACCGGAATGGACACACCAGCAGTTCCGGCGCCGCGGGATGCCCGGGAGCGCGCCATCCTGGATCGCCTCGTCATCATCCGCGACCAGCTGCTGTTGTTGAAGCAGGACAGGACAACGTACATCCGCAGCCAGGACGTCATTCCACTCTACGATCAGACCATCGAGCAGGTCAAGGAACTGAATACCGTCCGCGCCGAAACAGGCAACAAGGAGGAGAACAGACGTAAGTACAGCGCGCGCCCGGTGTCGCGCATTCGCTGACTTTCTTGTTGCATAGTGGACAAGGTCCTCGAGAGTTGCTTCCAGCTGCTGTCCCTCTTCTACCTGACCATCGGCCGCAACAATGAAGCCCCCGCAGCCGTCGCGCTGACGTCGACCGTCAAGCGCCTGCTCGACCACCTCACCGAAGCCGACCTGTACTCCGCCAAGGACCTGGAGAGCATCAAGTCGACGCTGGCCAAGCTGTCCAAGAGCGTGAGCCAAGCGCAGGAGGAGCAGAACCCTGAAGAGCAGCACTCGCCGTACATGCTGGCGCTTCTGGCCAAAAGAGTGGAGAACTGCCAAGCGTCCCTCGCCAACCTGCAGAAGCGACTGGAGCGGATTGGCGAGCCGCTCCTGGTGATGCATGAGAAGATGATTTCGATACTGCGACAGATCTCCTTGGCCAACACAAAGTCAAAGGTGGGTCCACCTGCATTGCCCACGGGTCAGGAACCGTGCCAGCTAACCAGTGGCTTAGTTCTCGACGAGCGAGGTCCAGAAGCTTCGAAAGCAGCTGGTGGAGATTGGCGAGCAGCGCAAGGACGGCAAGTTCACCGCTGAGGACGGAACAGAGCCCAAGGGCGGGCCGGAGATCTGCGACCTGTACAACCGATGTCTGAAGTGGTCGGACCTGGTGTTGGAACGGTACGCACACACGGCATGGACATCAGCCTTGGCGATTGCTAATAGGTTTGCACAGAAAAGGACAAGTCGCCGAGCAATGGCGGCCGACATACGACGCGCTCGTCGGCATCCGGAATGATCTCGAGAAGTTGTCGCTGACGCAAGCCTGGTCGCTCCGCGAGACGGACCTGTACGACTTTCAGCGTCAACTCGACAAGATTGACGAGAACCGGCAGGGCGGAAACTTTTACGATGAGAGAGGGCGGCCGGCAGACCTCTGGACTCAGCGGACCATGCTGTACCTGATCAGGCGCAGCTACGCGTACATTTACTCGTTCATGCTTGCGTCAGAACCGGTATCAGAGGCGTTGCTGCCAATCTACAACCAGCTTCAGACGCTGAAACGATGCCTCATCGAGGTCAAGAACAACGGAGGCGTTTCGTCTGTCCGAGAGCTGTACCCGTACAGTATGAAGGTGAGTCAGCCACAGGGTGCCCGAGGGACCGCACGCTTGGCTAACCCCGCGCAGCTCACCTCGCTGGATAACATGAGGGTCGATGGCAAATTTGTGGTTAACGGAGACATCCCGGAAGGCCAAGGAAGTGTTAGCGAGCTTCTCGCCGAGTGCTTCGACATCAACTATGACTTGAGGGTCGCAGTCGAAGAGAATGCCAACAGCGAGTAGAGCGATTGAGGGGTCGATGATTTTGTATGATGAGGAACGCCGCGCTTGCGTCTGCCGTCGCTTAACGAAAGAGGCTCGGGGCTGAGCCCGGGCGCATATATGGGATTGCGTTGCATTTAGTCTGGCTGGCTTTGGGGGGCGCTGCGCTGGTTTCACTAAGACTTGGTTTCCAGCAATGGGGCATGGACGCCGCACCGCGGATTCCACCGAAGCAAGGAATGACAGTCTGGACGGATCATGGCAGCAATCACGACCTTGGAGGAGACGAATATGGCCCGTCTTGATATGATTGACATTAGCTTTATCATTGGTGTGATGGCTGTTTCTACGGATTCCTGAAGGCGCACTTGAAGGGGTAGATTTGAGCCTGTGCATGTCAGTGCATGAAGCGGCACAAGGACCAGGGGGTTGACTTGCCTTCTCGGTGTCCCAAACGCCAGAGGTGTTGTAAATGTCCTGGCGCAGCTGCTCGAGCACGGCTTCCTTGGACTCGGCAATGCACACGAGGGTGCTGCCCATGAAGTCAAATTTCGTGGCATCGTCGTCGCCGGGGACGCTGTTGAGCAGGGCGCCTGTCTTGGGTCAGCCCTCTTGGTCTATGTAACTGACGACACTTGCTGCGCAACCCACCGCCCATCTTCCAGGCGCCGGACTCGACGTGCGGGGTCATGTTCTTAAAGTGTTGTCTATACAGCGGGCCCGGTCAACGGCACTGATCATGCAGACAAGGGGGGGGGCGCCAGCGTGTCGGGCTGGCGCAGGAGCCAAGAACATACGGCCTCACTTCGAGGCGCTTCTCGAGCGTGCCCGGCTTGTCGGGAACAATGACGAGAAACTCGAACTTGCGCGGGGCGGCGGCGGCGACGGCGGAGGAAGCCATGGTGCGTGCGGACGGACGGGTGAGCAGCGTGGTGAGTGCGCGGCGTGAAGCGAGACGAGCGGCGGCCATGATCCGGAGGAGGGGGGGCGGCGAGGGTTGATAACCGGCACCGGAGGGGATGGCCGGGCGGCCGGCGGGGGGCGGCTCTAATAAAACACAATCTGGGGGTGACGATGGAGGGGCTGCCGGTGGGGATGTGCTGGCATGTTCGCTCTCGTGGGCGCGCCCTTGCTTGGATGGAGGGGCTTTCGACTTGGACTTGGCTCGAGGACGGGGGTCTGGTGCAGGGTAGCTACGGCTGCCGTGGCATTTGGGCCGCGACTATGCGATGCGGGTGTCAATGGGTGTAGATTGCTGGAGAAGGTGTCTCATGTATACTTTTGGCAAAGCATGGATGGATAAGGCGTGTAGAGTTGGAGCAAATGTTGGTGGTGCAGTTGTGGCCGCGTACGCTACTCAGAGTGTGTACTTTGGTTCGCGAGCCGCGTCGACAAGCCGTGGAACATCGCTCCATCAACCACTACGGCGCAAACGCGACAACAAGGCCACGACTTGAACCAACAGCCGCCACTCCTCACAGGCCCGGTGCTACAGCATGTCGGTGGTACACGAGCAGACCGTCTACGTGCTCGCGCACTACGACCACGCCGCCGGCGCGGCGACCATCTGCGGCGTGTTCGCGGAGCTGCAGGATGCCAACGCCGAGTGCCTGCAGCTGGCGCGGCGCGCGGGCATCACGCTCACCAACGAGTCGTCGACGACGGGGCCCGACGGCATGCACCTGTCTCCGGTCGAGCCGCTGCGCTGGGACGCGCCCGAGGGGGTGTCGTGCTGGGTCGAGGCGCACGCGGTGAAGCCCACGCGCGTCGTCAAGTGAGAGGGCGACCGGACGGACCGGCTCGCTGGCTGGCGGGCTGGAGCAGGAGGGACGTTTCTACGAATGCTCAGTGCCTGAGCTATGGGGATTGAGTACGAGCTTTGCTGCAGGAGGACTTGGCTCGCCAGAGTCGTGCAACAACAACGTACGGACTACACTACTACTATCGAACATGGCATGACGGCCAGCCGAAGCCGCAAGCCGCAAGTTGGGAGCACCCCCACCGACCTAACAAGGGGGCGACTCGTATGAATGCCCGTTGAGCGCCGAGCGACGTTGTGGAGAGCGGAGGGGGGGACTTGGGGGAGAAGCGCGCCTGGGCGCCGACTGAGTGGCACAATACGAAACCACGTCCGAGGACGACTGCAACTGCCAACATGTCCTGTAGCTTCATGAGGAGGAAAACGGTCAGTTGGCTTGCCGAGACGCAATCCATGGCATCACTGTAGGATATCTGCTCAGTCCAGCACAATCGAATCCAAGATCAGACACACGCGGGCGCTGACTGCGAAAAAAGGCGGGCTTCCAGAAGCCTGCCCGGGGGAATGGAATTGGCGGGGTAAATTGCTTCAGTGGATGAGCCAGGCTCGACGTCAGTGACGGCAGGGGGCGGGCAGGGATGAAGCGCGATCCACGGATGGAACGTCCTGTGTCCGGTAGAAACGTAGGTCGCTCGAGTGGGAGGGTGAGGCCACTGCAGCCGCCATCGGCCCGCCGGCTGTATTCCAGGTTGCGCCGTAGCTCGGTCAGCGAGCCGGCGGTGCTGCGCCTCCACACTGCAAGCCTGACCCAGGCGCACTCGTCAGCGCTCCAAGGAGGCTAGTGGTGCTGTACCTGCGCTCGTTGGCAGCCCGCCAGTGGTGGAGGCACCACCTGCCCAAGGTACCTATCCGTCCGATGCAAGCGACGCTCGCTGCCCGGGCGGCATCCCACCAATGCGCTACAAACGACAGTTCCACGACGGCCCAGGACATCCATACGGATTCCCCCTCCTCCACATCCATACACGCTCGCATCCTGCCCCCCGTGCCCGGCCGCGACCTCACCCCGTCGCCCGTCCGTCCCGTCCCGCGCATGTCTAGCCACGTCGGCCGCTGAATGCCCCCGACCGGTCGCTCTCCGTCATGGCTGAGGTGGACGCGGCGCCCACCTTTGGCGCCGAGCTCAAGGTGCGTTGCCGCCATCCCGGAACTTGATACATGACGCGCACTCATGGATGCCCGCGACCACGCGCGCCCCGTTGCTGACCCGGCTTGCTCTTCCAGGATGGCTTCAAGCCCGCCAACGCCTGGGTCGCCCACGGCATCTCGTGGCTCGACGACATCCAGCAGTTCTACCGCGAGCGCTCCGCCATAGAGAAGGAGTACAGCGCCAAGCTCAGCGCGCTCGCCAAGAAGTACTTTGAGAAGAAGAACAAGCGCAGCTCGCCCCTGAGCGTCGGCGACACGCCCGCCATGACGCCCGGCTCTCTCGAGAGGTGATTCCCTCCCCCTCTTCCATAGAACGTCACCCGCAGAACCATACTAACACCCCGCCAGTGCCTCCCTCACGACCTGGGCCACCCAGCTCACTACCCTCGAGTCCCGCGCTGCCGAGCACGATCGCTATGGGAACAATCTCATCTCTCAGGTCGCCGAACCCCTCAAGTACTACGGAACTCGATTCGAAGACCTCCGCAAGCGCCACGCCGAATATGCCGACAAGCTCGCCGCCGAGCGCGACTCGTCCTACGCCGACCTGCGCAAGGTCAAGGCCAAGTACGACGCCACTTGCCAGGAAGTCGAGGCCAAGCGAAAAAAGTCGGAATCGCACTACGACAAGGCCAAGGCCCAGAGCGCCTACCAGCAGCAGCTGTTCGAGATGAATAACGCCAAGAACTCGTACCTTATCGCCATCAACGTCACCAACCGCCAGAAGGAAAAGTACTACCATGACTACGTCCCCGAGGTCATGGACAGTCTCCAAGACCTGAACGAGTTCCGCGTCATGAAGCTCAACGGCCTGTGGATAGTCGCTGCCAGGCTCGAGGACGATATGCTGCAGCAGAGCCACGCCGTGATGGAGCAGCTCGGCCACGAGGTCCGCCGCAACGAACCGCATCTCGACTCCATGATGTACATGCGCCACAACATGGGCACCTTCCAGGAACCCCCGGATAAGGAGTTCGAGGCGAGCCCGGTCTGGCACGATGACGCCGCCATGGTTGTGGACGAGACGGCAAAGATCTACCTGCGCAACGTCCTCGGCAAGTCCAAGTCCCAGCTGAGCGAGCTGCGCCGCGAGGTGGACAAGAAGCGGAGGGAGGTGGACAATGTCAAGAGGCTAAAGCAGCGCGTCCGAGACGGGCAAGAGAAGAAAGACGAGGTCGAGGTCGTGCGTACTCTCTTTGCCATGCAAGAAGACCTGCACAGCGTGGACCGTCGCCGGTTGACGGCCGAGGTCGAGACGTCCACCATCACGTCAGTAGTCGGCGATGTCACGCTCGGCGCCAAGAACCACAACTTCAAGAGCCAGACGTTCAAGATCCCCACCAACTGCGATCTCTGCGGCGAGCGCATCTGGGGCCTCAGCGCAAAGGGGTTCGACTGTCGAGACTGTGGATACACTTGCCACAGCAAGTGCGAGATGAAGGTGCCCGCCGATTGCCCCGGCGAGCAGACGAAGGAGGAGCGCAAGAAGCTCAAGGCCGAGCGCCAAGAGAACACCAACAAGCTCCTCTCACCGACCGGAGGGCCGCCGCCTCACGTCGCCGAGCTGCCGGGCCTGACGAGGTCCAACACGATGAATTCGCTGAGCTCGCACTCGGCGCGGCGGTCCGTCTCAGGGTCCCTCTCAGGGCAAAGAACACCTGCGGAGGAAGCGGGTGCGGCCGCCCCCGAGCCCGCAGCACCGCGGCCAAGCGTCTCCTCATCTACGACAGGGACAACAGCCGTGCGGAAGAATAGGGTGATTGCGCCGCCCCCAGCAGCTTACATCAGTGAGCTGCCGGGAAGCAATGTACCTAATGGTGGCAGCAAGGACGAGAAGAAGGGCAAGATGCTGTACACTTTTGAGGCGAGCGGTGATGGCGAGTTGACAATTCAAGAGGGCAGGGACGTGGTTCTTATGGAGCCAGATGGTAAGTTGACTCACTCACGGACACTCCGGACTTGATGGTAACTGACATCCTGCAGACGGCTCCGGCTGGGTCAAGGTCCGCGCCGGCTACAAGGAGGGCCTCGTTCCCGCCACGTACGTCGACTTCACCTCTACACCTGCCCCTGCGGCATCGGGCCCACGGCCTTCGTCCACGTACTCCAACTCGACGACGTCTTCAACAGCGCAGTCTGGCTCCGCGGGCGCAGGGGCGGGCGCAGGTGCCAAGAAGAAGGGCCCGGCCGTGGCGCCCAAACGCGGGGCCAAGAAGCTGCGGTACGTGGAGGCGCTGTACGAGTACGCGGCGCAGAGCGAGGCGGAGCACTCCATGGTCGAGGGCGAGCGCTTCGTGCTGGTCAAGGACGACCCGGGCGACGGGTGGGTCGAGGTCGAGAAGGCGGGCGTCACGGCCAGCGTGCCCGCGAGCTACGTCCAGGTCGTGTAGCCCGGGATCGGAGCCGTGGGTGGTTCGAGGCGCGGCGTGCGGCGCACGGGGTGAAGGGGGCGCGCGAACGTATATATATCCCCAACAACAACAACTGCCGTGACAATATGCGTGAGGAGGACCGGGTTTTGGGTACGACGATGGGCATGGCGGCGGCAAGCGGGCGGGCGCATTACTTACGCATCATTACAACAATACAACTAGCCTACGAATCAACAACAACATCAACAACGTGTGAGGAACCAGAGCTGCAAAGGGGTGTTTCAAAGGAGGAGGTGGTGGCGCGTTGTCGGACGGAGGTGTTAGAGAAGAGAGGGACGGTATGATCGAGGGCATCCTATATCCTGCATAGGCGGACCGGCCGGCCAGTACGTTAGTATTTTATCGGCCCGCGCGCGATCGCATTAGAAACGCAACGGGGCGTCTCTAAGCGTCTCTTACACGTACATATATCGTTTCACCGGCTCACAACACGCACATCATTCACCCAACTCAAAAGGGAGACGTGATCGTGGTCTTGTTTTGTTCGTTTGTTGCATCTGCGCTATCGTGGCAGAGAGCTACTAGTAGCGGCGAGTTCTCATTTCCCCGAGACGTGGCGGCACGTTGCTGCACCCACACCCTCTCTTCCTCTTTCCTCTGGGTGATTTCTATATAGTTACATGGGGCAGGCAGAGAGACGGACGGACACGCATACAGATACAGGTCCGGCCACCACTTCCCGAAACAACCAGCCGACCCGTCGATCGCGGCCTTCTGTGCCGGCACCCGTCCGTCTGCCTTTCGCCTTCTCTTTCCTTTCCCGCCTCTTCAGCCTTCCAAATACAAGTACAGTACACTGGATATTTTGCCGCTGCCATGTTCCCCCTCGCCGTCTCCCAGGCACACAAGACCAAGCATGATACATTGCGTGACAAAAACGGTGATTTGGCAAGGAACAGGAGCAAAACCAAAAAAACAACAAGCCCAGCCGAGCCTCCCCAAAGAAACTGAAACATATCGCAAGGGGGATATCTCTCGCTTTCGCTTCCGCTCCACGCGCCGCAACCCGGTCAGTGTCTGCCACCCGCAGCGCCGCCCCCGTTCGCCCCGGAACCCGCCTATACCGTGAAACGCCGTGCCAGAGAGAAGACGCAAAATGCAGGGGGAAGGAGACGGAAGCGGAGGGGTTAGAAACGGAGAAGGTCGGCAGGAGGACAGGCCGTAGCCAGGCGAGTGGGAACTGTAGACAAAAAGTAAAAACAGCATGTGAACAGGAGGTATATATTAAGCCGCACCACAGCGGCCTGACCCAGTACAGGAGTTTTGGAGCGTATCGCATAGTGGCCTGCCATCCGGTATATCTGCTTTGAAACCTAAACGCCCTTCCGTGCTGCCATGGAGCCTAGGGGAAAAAAAGAGTCGCAAAAAAAGACAGAATCGCAGAGACCAGCGCGGAAAGCGTCTGGCAAGAGAGTAGAGGGGGATATCGCAGAGAAGAGTCTGTGTGTGCGCGCGTGCATCCGGAACACCTAGTCTATCCGTCGCATGTCCGAACCGCAGGAGAGTGGAAAATCCGTAAACAGTCGTTTTCGCGTTGGTGTCGAAGCCCGTGCCTTGTGCTAATCGAGGCTATCCAGCATCCGCGAGGGCGACATGGGGTCGTCGCCGTCTCGTCGGTCGCTGTCATCAGAGCGGTGAGCGGCCGAGGGCTCCTAAATCATCTGCGCCGTCGGTGCTCCTAGTCCGTGCTGCCCAATGCCGTGTCTCAGGGCGTCTTGCAGCTCTGCGATCTGCGCCATCATGGCGAGCGAGTGCTGGGACTGCTGATCCACCTCGGACTTGAGCTTCTCGTTTTGCTCGCGCAGGCGTTTGACCTCGGCCCGAAGCTCAGTAAGCTCCTCGCCTTGGTCGCTCATCCGGCGCTTCCGCTTCGTGCCGGACTTTTCGCTCTCGTCGTCGTCGGGGGAAGCGACGCTGTCGGCCGCAGGTGGGGTAGAGCCCTCCATGTTGGTGTGTACGCGCCGCAGGTGCTCGTTGAGGTTCTCCTGTCGAGAGAAGCCTTTGCCTGTATGCCGCTTGCAGTTGGGATGCGGGCAGTTGACCGTATTCTTCGGCCCCCCGTGCTTGCCGTGGACCTCACGCTCGTGTCGGAGAAGGCCGCCAGAGTATGTGAAGCCGGGGAGATTTTCGCATCCATCGGCAGGACACCGGTAAGGGCGCTCGTGCTTGTCCATGTGTTTGCTAGTCGTTGGTCAATATGCTGATGCAGACAAGACGAAGGGGGTCGGGTGCTGAGGCAGAGGGGTGTGATGTGACTTACTTCCACTCGCACTTGCGCGAAAAAGACCGAATTTCCTCTTTGCAATCGGGCATGGCACAATGGAACCTTCCGTCAGGACCCTTGGTCACCTCACGGTCAGGCTTCGCGACTGCCTTGACTCGGTTTATTGACGATGGCGAGCCGGCCCCCGGCGAAGGGTCTTTCCCGTCGGAGAGCGCTTCAGCCATTGACGGCGCTGTCAGCGAGACTTGAAGTGGCGACGAGAAACCTGTCGGACCGAGGTCCAGTCTCGATGCGTCCTGCACCGAGCTGTCGTCGGCCATGATGCCTCTGTCATCGCCCATAACGCCCCGATCGTCGCCCAGGACATCCCGGTCGTCGAGAACCTCGCGCTCATCGGCGAGCAGAGAGGCGTCTGCTGTGTAATGGCTCAGGTGCTCGGCGACCTCGGAGTCGGTGAAGCGCTGGTCGGCGCCATCGTGGTCGTCGTGATCGTGATCCTCGCCGATGGAGGGATATGCGCCTTCGTGTATGAAGTTGCGTGGCTCGTAGGCGACGCTCATGGCTGCGACGCCACGGTCGGCGGGTGAAGCGACCAAAATGGATCGGGGACGGCGCGCGCTGTGCCAGTCGGAGAGAAGAGGAGCGGGATGCGACAGCAGCCGCGGGCGGAAGGGCGACAGGGCGCCCGATGCGCGGAACGACTGGGAGGATGTCGCAGGCAGCGGAGGCGGCCTGGGAGCCGAGGTCGTGGTCGGCGGCGCGTGGTGGAACAGGCCGGCGCCGGGGGACAGTCGGTCACCACGAGGGTCTCGAGGCTGCGGTTGCAAAGGATAGCTGCGCGCGGCTGACGGCGTCGGACCGGGACCGTTGATGGCCTGAAAATTAGGGTATGAAGTTTTGCTGAAGTGCATCACCTCTGCTGTCATTTTGCGCCGGGGAGAGGGGAGTTAGTCAGCGCGCTCGGGCACGTGACCCGGGCGTGTTCGGAGGAAGGCGGAACCTGAGGTGGGACTGCTGTGCGTTGCGGTGGTTGTTTCAGTGACTGGCAGCGTCGGCTTACAGCGGGCAGCGGCGGAGTCAGAGGTACGGCAAGGTACCAAGCTTGGTTGCGTTGGGCGGCGCACCCCGGTCGAGACTCGGAATCTATCGCGCTGGTGCCTTGAACTCTTGGATGATGAACCTGTTACTGTTCCTGCTTGGTGACGATACTGAACGCATTTGCCTCCTCCCTCCGAGGCCATCCTCGGATGGAGGAGACAGCCCGCTCCATTATAACCTCCGCGCCAGCCGTTGCCCGCTGCTAGGCAGGACGCAGGCTGCAGGCACCAGGCGCGCGGCTCGGCTCGCTCGCGACCTTGCTCAACCTTACCCGATGACTCGACGCGTTCACGCCTTGCCCCGGACCGCGTCTTGCCCAAAACGACTTGCCCGAAGCATCCATGGCTCCCGTCCCCAGCGTGACTCATTGGCTGAGGCGGCCGCGACGTGCGCTGTCGTGGGTCGATTCGCCGTGCCGTGGGGCGACAAGGCTGCGTGGCCTCCCAATATCTGGGAACCAGCGACGGCTCTAACAAATGGCCTCGCAGACCCGTGCACCGACCGCTGTCGTGCCCAGGAGCCTGCCTGCTCGTGCCCTGGCTCCGAGGGGACGTGAAGCTGCTGGGCTGGGCTGAGACGACTCGTTAGGCCGAGGGACAAGGCTTACGGGATTCACGGTCGCCACCGGAGCAGGCATCAACAGCCTGATAGTGGGCACACCCGGCCTCGTTATGCTGCCTTTGTGGACGATGCTCGCATGACCGCCGCCCAACGCCCCTGCTCCAAGCTGGCATACGAAACGCCTTGTCATCAGGAAACATGTCCAGGTGATTCGCACGAGGCATCTCCATGACGGGGGGCCTTGCGGGTCCTACTTGTCCCTTGGCGCTGACGACTCTGGACTCTGGAGTCATCCGGGGCTCTTGAGCTTGTCCGACCGAACGGGTTGTGTGCGACACAGCCCAGTAAACGCCCTCCTGCTGCTGTCGGCCCTTTCCTTGGGCTGTTGTGGCACATGTGGTAGGCAGCGAGGTATCACTCACTCACGGGGTCATGGCTCCGGACACGGCGGGTATTGGTCCCGTTTAACCCAGCAGGCTATGCGATGCCGCGAGCTGGAGTCCAAAGCACGTGGTAGTATCCGACCACTTTATCATGAACGTTCCCGTGCTTGTTTGGACTTCAATACGAACCGGGGTCCCTCTCAGGCTGATGCAAGCTCGCCTCGCCGGACAATATGGACTGACCTCAAGAAGACTGAGGCATGTGATCCTGCGCCGCAGCTCTACCAGGGACTGGCGCGCACGGAATGTACAGCGAGAGCGCCAAGAAGTCGATGTGCAAGGTGACGGACACACATAGCATGTAAGACCCCGCGTAGCGGTCCTGGAGCGCGATGGTGGGCATATATAAACTGGGATCCGGGGTATCGTTCCATCGGGTCCTTGCTCATCCAACGGCCTTTTGCCATCCAATATCATGACAAAGTCAAAGGATGCAGCCTGAACGGACCACTGGAGGCCTTGGCTCACGATTATGCACCACTTCATTTACAGCGCTTTGTGTGTGCAGGTCGCGAAGCTGTCGAGCCAGCGGGAGTGGACCGGTAGTCCTTTGCTGTGACGTTCCAGCTCCGTCAAGCCTAAGTCGCGACATATCAGAGGTAGCATTGATTCGGGTCGCCTCATGTCACACGGCCCCCCGGTATCGATATCAAGCACTCCACCGTTGAACGGTCCACGGTTGAAGCTCTGGGCGTGGTGGGCCTCGGTGGCTTCATGGAGCGAATTATTGACTTTGAGCCACCCGATGGCGCACCACCATGGACGGCTCCTCGCGGCCCTTCGCTCGGCTCCGATCAAGGCACGACCCGTTCGCCGCCCAGATTTCTTGTAGCATGGAGTGTTGTACAGTGCCAAAGAGGAGGCAATAGCAGAGGATCTTCGGCTTGAGCGGTGGCACGGGAACATAAGATGGAATCCATTCTCACAGGCCATGCCAAGTACGTAGCTAACATTTGGTAATGCCCACTGCCAACTCGCTGCTGACTGGCAACTGCCTGGATCCCAACTACCCGGATCCAAAGCGGCAGTAGATGCCCCACCTGCCACTTTCTCGCTCCGCCAAATTCGGAAGCGACAGCCCTTGCTCGGCTTTACCTGCGAGCGATAGTTACTTCATAGCCTGCACCGTCGTCGGCTGCCGTCAAAATCTTTTCACCTCATTCTTTACCGTCGCTTCATACGTCCCCCATCGCGCCGAGGCGTTGCAGCCGGTCTTGGCGCCTCGTCCTCGCATTTCTCACGGCTGGGCGTCATCTGATTTTACCTGCGGTTCAAGTGATTCGACGGCCCGATTCGGCACCGATACCATCGCTCAGACGACTCACGAGCGGCCATGGACCCGCGCAACGACCCGTCAATGACGACCAGTAAGGACGCCGATGTGGCTTCGAAAGACGTCGCCGGCTCTTCAGAAGATGCGAGTAATGCGCCTGTTGTCCAGCCAGTCCGGGAGGACTACGATGTCGAGACAGTAGAGCGCATCTACAGGTACCTTTCTAACCCAGCTTCTCTATTTACTTGGATGTCAGCTCACCTTGATGCAGAAAACTCGACCTCAGGATTATCCCAGGTGAGTGACTTCTCAAATGCATACAACGCGCCGCTAACGCAGCTTGTAGCGTTCTGGATTCTGTATTTTCTCTGCTCAGCAATTCGCTCCAATATCGGCATCGCCCAGACTATGAACAAGAAAGATGGCCACGACCTCATGACTCTCCTGGGCCTCACCCCCAAGGATGTGTCGACCGCCCTCGCTCTCTTCTACGTCTCATATGTCATATTCGACTTCCCCTCGAATCTCATTATGAGCAAGCTGAGCCCCCGAGCCTGGATGGCCCGCATTGTCTTCGCCACGGGTCTCGTTGGTGCCTGCTTTGCTGCCGTCCAAGATGCATGGAGCGTGAAGCTTTTGCGATTTCTGCTGGGCATGGTCATCGCAGGCATGTGGCCCGGCATGGCTTTCTACCTGACGCTCTTCTATCCGCCGTCCCGTACGGGCAAGCGCATCGGCATGTACTTCACTGCCGCACAGGTCTCGGCCGCCGTGGTTGGTCTCGTGTCCGCCGGCTTCCAGCTCATGGATGGCGCCGGGGGGCTTGCCGGCTTTCGCTGGATGTTCCTCATCTATGGCCTGGTTGCGATTGTCCTGAGCTTCATTCTTCTGTGGTGGCTACCGGATCGCCCTCTTGCTCCTGGGCAGGTGAGGACGCGCCCCAGGTTGCTCAGGTGGTTGCCCGCGACGCCCGAAGCCCTGACGGGCGAGGACGCCGTTATCCACTATCACGACCTCCGCCGTGTCTACCACAGTAGGCCCTGGACTCTGCGGGACCTTACGCTCGTCTTGCTGGACTGGCGACTTTGGCCTCTGACGCTGATGTACTTCGGCGTGGTTGGTGTCGGCATTGGCACCCAACTCTATGGCTCCGTGATCATCGCAGCAATTCAGCCACAGGCGACTTCCATTCAAGTCAGCCTTCTCTTCGCGCCAATTTGGATTGTAAGTACTGCTTCGAGAGCTTCTTATGGAAGGTGCTAACGCGATTAGATGGACCTCATTGCCATTCTTATCGTCACGCCAATCTCTGACCGCTTCCATCGCTACCGAGCCTTCTTTTTCGCGGGCGCGGCCTGCATCCAGATTGCTGGCCTTCTGACGACCACGTTCGCCCTTGACAACGGCTGGGCCCGCTATGGAGGCCTTCTGATGGTGGGATTTGGCCTGGGACCTACCGTGCCGATTTGCATGGCCTGGAGTTCAGAAATCTTCCAGCGTCGACACGGCGAGGTCGGAGTCGCAGCCGCCACTGCTTTGGTGTCAGGACTGGGCAACCTCGGAAGTGTCACGACAACTTACGCACTATACACCGGATGGCCCGAAGATGCCGCGAGTGGGCCGCATCAATTCCGCAAAAGCAATCTGACGATGGTGGGCATCCTATGCGTCAGTATTGCGAGTGCCTTTGCCATGATGGTGCTGTTGAAGGTCTTTGGAAACCCGCCCAGCACAAAGCTTTACGACAACGACTCGGCAAGTGAGTTCGAGGATGGAGCCGCGAGACGCGAGACGCGACAACGCGGCTTCGGTAGGTTCGGTCGCCGTCCGGCGCACCAAGCCTAGAGGACCCCTCCTGAGCTGCTTGTAGGCGTGAGCCTTCAAAGAATGTTCAACCTTCTGCCTGGCCAAACGTCCCCTCCCCCGTCGGGGTAGTTCAACCTACCACTTGCGGTCATCATTTCTTCCCTTCGACTGCTCCTTTTACCCTTATAACCGGTTGCACCTGCTTCGCTCGCAACTCTCATGTCGGTCTGTACTCCGATATCGATGACAGTGCTGGTACGCCATCTTCGAAGGAGAGCGATGCATGCAGAGACTTCCGCGGTCGACAACGCTGATACGCTATCGACGGGCTGTCTGACCGGTTGGCTGGGCAAAACCATTTGTTGCTTACTGCGCTGCTTTACATGATACCCCATCAGCGTTTATACCCGCTGTCAGACGAGTTTTATGATGTTTCTCGACGGCGACAGTGCTGCTACGCCATCGCCGGGACGGCGTGTTGGACCGAGGCCCGACCGCGACAATGCTGGAACGCTATCGTATGGAAGGCCTCGTGGGCGTTTGCTTTACGCGATTGCTTTTTTCCCTCTGCTGGAGACGTTTAGCTTGTCGCTAGGAAGGTCAACAATCGACAGGTTGCGGGAGATAATCGATACAGTGCATCGCTATTCCGCCGACTTAAGACCGGGTCGGGTCTGTGCCACTCATATTTGGTGATTGCCATTGCAGGCTGACTGATGGCCGCAGCATGTCGCTTATACAGAGTATAATTCGCATTCTCTTGGAGCGGCACTAACTTGGAGACATGAGACGAGAGCTCTCGATGCGCTCCTATCAATTAGGGCCGCTTCGGACAGCCGGATCAGCACTTTGCTGCAACCCCCGATGCGGTGTCAACGGTTAGCTGTACGATGCCGCTTGCTACGTTGGTTGGTCTCCGAAAAAACGACATAACTGGGCTGAGCTGCATTGCCCTGTCCATCACTAACATGTGGCAGGGGTTCTGCAACGGACGCTGCAGGTGCCAAGAGCAGTTGGTGAGGTGCAGCACCCGAGCCCGTAAGAAGAGCGTATTATGTACATACGATTCGAAATCACAGAATGCCAGGACAGGACTTGATGTAGACATCGGTCAGCGCTGTTGCGAGAACTTCTGGACCTGCTGTTGGAAGTCGGAGACTGCCTCACCCCCGGATCGCATAGGCTGTGGCTCCCGTACGGCCTGCGCAGAGGGAACCAGGGCCTGACGGTCAGACGAACCCTGGCGCCACTTGCCGGCAATGGACGCGGGGGACGCTGCGAGTGCCGGCGAGGGGTTGTTTTGGAAGCTTGCGCTACCGGTGACCTCGACGGTCAAGGCGGCTTCAAACGGGCCGGTGTGCGGTAGGACCTCCCGTCCTTAGGCTACGGAGCAGGTCGTTGGCATGCACCGGCCATGACTCGAAAGGCAGCGTACCGGTGCGCGTGACTCGCGCCGATCCCAGCGGCGGCGAAGCCTTCTGCGCTTGAGGATGCGATGCACGATGGGGTTGCGGTGTGTTGGCAGCGTGTGTGCCTGTGCTTAGGGTCGCGCGGCGCAAGCGGTCCTTGAACCCGGTGACTTGCTTGCAGCACAGATGCAACTGCGACGACGACCCGATTGGAGCGGCAGTGACGAGTTGCACCAACAAAATCGCCGCGAGATTTCTCAGCGCCCTGTGGGAGCTCAACCATGGCCTCGCGTTGTCGTGACGTCAGAAACGCGCCGACCGCTCGTTGCTGGTGGAAGACACACAAAGGATCGGACAAAGCGACCCCTCGTGACGATGGGCAGTATTACTTCGTGGCCGGCAGAGTGCAACGCCAGGATGGCCCTACGACGGATGGTCGCCTTGCCACACCCTCACGACAACCTTGTTGGATAGCTAGTGGTGGCACGGCGTGGATGGACGCGTCGAGAAGCTTTTCACGCTGGCGGCCGACGGCAGCCGAGCGGGTGTCCCTGGCTGAGGCCCGGGCGTCCACGACGTGCAGTACCGAGGGTGACGATAACCTCACTCGCAGAGACGGCTCGGCGACAGCTCGGTCAATCAGGCATGACGACCCTGGCCGCCGCTGTTGAGGCCGCAGCCAACGCCAACGAGCCGCATCCGTTGCTGCTGCTGGCGATGCTGGGGCGAGCATTTCACGAACACGAAATATGCGGGAGACAGCAGCCTCGGCCGTCACCGGTTTGGCTCCAACGCACGCAGGGGACCCAGCGCAGGGGCCTGCCCAGCTACAGATGTTGGCAGCTGGCCTGTGCCTGGTCGGGGGCCCCGATGAAAGAGCGCCCCAATCGGCCGAATAACGCCTTATACCCGCAGCGAAGGACCCAGGACACCGCGCTTTGGGGACGGGGCGGCTGGGAAATCGTCACTGGGCTTTGGGTTGCATTTGGGTGCGCACGCGGTGTTGGTTGTGCCTTTTGAGCCATTGTCCAGCCACGGTGCAGCTCGACACCATCAATTTTCCCCGCATGCGCCGCAGAGCTGGATTGGGTCCGCTTTGGGATACAGGGGGCCACGAGGCGCCGATGTGGAGGAGCGGAGGGAGAGGAGGGGAGAGGGGGAGGGGCCGAGACGCCGCCAAGTCATGGATGGACGAGATCAAGGTTGCACGGGCAAACTGGCGATGTCGACAAGTCGGCAGGCGGCCCGGGGGGCAGCCCATCGTGTCGGCAGGATGCCGTCTCGCGATACGACACGACATCTGCAGAGAGAACGCCCAGCGCCCTCACCTTGATGCCTCGTAGAGCACACGCGCAGCACGCCGCAGCAGGGGCACGCGCCGCCGCACAGCACAACAGACTCCAGGGCGGCAGATGCTGGGTGACGGCGCCACAGCAGCGCTCCTTGGCGCAAGTGGCTTTTTGCTTCTGGCGGAGCACGAGACAGGATATCCATGCATCATGTCTGGTGACTCCGACACTTGGCTCGTCGCCGTGGACCCCCACACGTGTTCGGGGAACGGGGATAGCAGATGGATGGCTATGGTTCCAAGGCCCATGGGGCCCCAGACAAGGGAGGAGGCGAGTGAGGGACCGCCCAGACCGGAGCTCGTCGGACCTGTCTGCTTGCACCTGGGTCCAGGGCGGCGGCCACCATACGCAGGGCGACCGATCTATGCAGATCCCAAGTTAATACCCGGCGTCCACGACGTCAATGCGGGCGATGCATCGAGGGAGCGCCCAGTCAGCGCCATCACGATCAGCGCCCGCCGCTGTTCTTGGCACCGTCTCTGGTTCAGCCCTTTTCCGCGCTGCGCGGCAAGCCGGCGACGGCCAGACGAACTCCTGCCAACCCCTTCACAGCGCGCCCGCTCGTCTGGACCGCAGTTACTGCTGCTGACCGTCTCTTCTCATGTCGGGTTGAAACCAGTCCAAAAAAAGACGTCCTGGCCGAGCATCCCCGTGCCCTGTGCGCTGTGCTCTTGGATCCAGGAGGGACCCTGTATGAGCTGCCGCAGCACCCGAACCACCGCACGACTGTATGAGTGAGAGCTTTGGCCCATCCCCTTGTTCCTGTCCCGCCTCCGAAACCCTAAAACTCCCCGGGCTCAGCAGTCCCGGTCCCCGTCACTCCCGGGAACCAGGCACGGACGCGCCCTCGATGCAGCTCAGCAAACGCACGACACGCGATATTCCTGATCGAGCCCTCGCCAGTTAAGCTTCTTTATTATTTATTGTCTTGGACTTTGCTCTCTTCCATCGGCGTCTTCCTCGGCTGCGTGTCCGTACCTCCCAAGTCGCGCACCATTCCTGGCCCGGGGCAAACCAACATACCTCGCAGGTGAGTCGGGGCCCGCACTCCAAGACGCAGCATCACTTACACACCCCCAACGGCTCGTCGACGCTCTAGAACGACGGCCGCCGCGTCTGCTTTATTCAAGGCTCCTCTCTTGACCGGCCATTGCCTGACTAACCGCATTGCAGACATACTCTAACCTCTCGACCAGGCTGGCCTGACTAACAGCGCTGCAGACGACTCTGCTGTATCCGCTCAGGCCCAGGACGAGCAGGTGCTTCGGCTTCGCCCTTGCCGCCTCTTTGGGAAGGGCCGACTGCGACGTCCTTTGCGCTTTTCACGGCAAGGCCTTGCTTTCCGCTCTCTCGCGCGCTTGGCTTCACACCCCAACTGCCTTGTTGGCGTAGCATCTTCTGGCGCTGCATTACACACACACACTCACTTTCCACCCCCCTTGCCCGCGTGTCTCACTCCCTCATCCCTCCGCACACTCCTCCGCATACAACCCAAAGTCTTTACGTGCCCATTATAAATATTGCCGATCGCGTCCTGGCCAAAGTCGAAGTTTCCTCGCGGCTCGTCTTACCCCTCCAGGTCTCCTTCAGTCTTCTGCTGCGGCCAGTCGTCGGTCCCTGAGCCTCGGGTCTTCAGTCAAGGATAGTATTTGGTATACAGCATGAAGTTCTTCAAACTCGCTGCCGCGGCGGCGCTTGCCCTGCTGGGCAACTCTGCAGACGCAGCATCGACTTTCTCGCCCGCGCGGCCGCCCGCCGTGCCCCTGGCGGTTCGGTCGCCATACCTCAATGTCTGGCTCAATGGCAAGCGGGACGGCAGCCCTAGCGGCTACCTCCCCGGAAACTGGCCCGTCTTTTGGTCGTAAGTCTTGGTGCAGGCTAAGGAAGAGGAGCGCGGCTGACAAGACCAGACAATACATCCAAGGTTGGCAGGGCTTCATCAGGGTCGACGGCCACGTGTACAACTGGATGGGCAACGCACCCGGCGGTGACGGTCTTGTGAATCAAACGTCGCTCGAGTACACGTCTACTCGCAGCGTCTTCACCTTCAATGTCGTCGACAAGGTGGAAATGATGGTCGAGTTCCTCAGCCCTGTGTACCCCGAGGACCTTCGACGCCAATCGGTCACGTCATCATATATCAACATTTCTGTCAAGTCTCTTGACGGCAAGACGCACTCTGTCCAGATTTACTCTGACGTCTCTGGAGGTGGGTTCTGGAGGACATCACGTTGCAAGTCGGCTGGCTGACAGTTGCAGAATGGGCTTCGGGAGACAACTCCCAGGTGATCCAGTGGGAGAGCGTCGCCAAGGATGGCGTTAGATATCACAAGTTTTGGCGCAAGGAGCAGCAAAAGTTTACCGAGCAGAATGAGGTCGCCGCCTGGGGCAACTGGTACTGGGCCACAGGAGACCAGGTATGAGAGGTGCCGTATACTCGTCTCTCGGTCGGTCGCTGACTTATTCACAGCGCGGCGTCAGCTATCAGATTGGTTCGGACGGGGATGTTCGTGGCCAGTTCTTGAATAAGGGATATTTGACCGGCGAGATCGACACAAACTTCCGCGCGGTCCGAGACCGATGGTAAGTCACCGTCTCGCCATGGCTGTCTGCCGGCGCTCACATGTTTGTGCAGGCCCGTCTTCGGCCTTGCGCGCGATCTCGGTTTCGTCGCAGGTACCGCCAAGAGCACCCTCTTCACCATCGGCTTCACGCAAGATGAGGCCATCAACTTCCAGGGCAAGGAGGACAACACCCGCAGCGTGCCGGCACTGTGGAAGGAGTACTTTAATGAGCAGGACCTTGTCACGTTCTTCTACAAGGACTTTGACTACGCATCGCACTACGCCAACCGCCTGGACTTGCGCATCGCCAGGGACTCAGAGGCCGCTGCTGGACGCGACTACGCCACCATCACGACTCTTGCGGTGCGCCAGGTGTTCGGGGCGCTGGCATACACCAACACTAAGGACTCGCCGCTTGTGTTCCTCAAGGAGATTAGCTCCAACAGCGACATCCAGACGGTCGACGTCATCTTCCCGGCGTTCCCCATCATGCTCTACCTGAATCCCGACATGATCAAGTGGACGCTTGAGCCCCTGCTCGAGAACGGCCGCTACCATTATCCCAACAGCTGGGCGCAGGTGCGTTGACATTCCCTAGCGCCGTGAAGCGAGTGACTGACGGGCCCAGCACGACCTCGGCACGTTCCCGAATGCCGTCGGACACCCCAAGGGTGACGACGAGCCCATGCCCCTCGAGGAGTGCGGCAACATGGTTGTCATGATGCTCGCGTATGCCCAGAGGAAGCACAACGACCAGTACCTCGCCGACAACTGGGACCTGCTCGAGAAGTGGGCGGGATACCTGATTGAAGACGCCAAGATCCCCGCGAACCAGCTGTCAACGGACGACTTTGCCGGTCACCTTGCGTGAGTAGCCTGCGGCCAAGCAATGAACACGTACTGACAAGTCAGGAACCAAACCAACCTCGCCATCAAGGGCATCATCGCGCTCGAGGCCATGTCCCAGATTGCCAAGAAGACGGGACACAAGACGCACGCAGCCAACTACACCGAGATCGCTCACGAGTACCTTGAGTTCTGGACAAACCACGGCATCAACCACAACGCCGAGCCCAAGCACACGGTGCTGCAATACGACAACCCCGATACCTATGGTAGGACTTCCTCACGTTGGCAGAGGACATGGGTGAAGACGTGCTGACCGTGCAGGCCTCCTGTACAACGTCTACTCCGATAAGGTGCTTAACCTCAACTTCATCCCTCAGGAGATTTACGACATGCAGAGCGACTTCTACCCTACGATCGAGAACGAGTACGGTGTCATCCTCGACACGCGCGGCACGCTCACCAAGCTCGACTGGGAGATGTGGGCCGCTGCCGTGGCCAAGCCGGAGACGCGCTACATGTTCATCTCCAAGATTGCCAGCTGGATCAACCGCACGACCACGTGGCGCGCCTATACCGATCTGTATGACACCAAGGACGGCGGCTACCCGCGGGGCATCGAGTTCACGGCGCGACCGGTGCAAGGCGGTGTCTTTTCCATCCTTGCGCTCAAGGCATGAGGCGACGATATTGATCCATGAAGCATATCTATCACGCGGAAAGAGTGGTTTTACGTGGCTAGCATGCATTGGCGGCAGGGGGGTCATTCATCCCTAGCAGAGACTGTCTACAAGGGGGTTCTTTTCTTGGTCACATTATTCCTCGCGAGGCTGAGAGGCCACTGTACCGGCTTACTTACTGCGTATTGATGCCGGACCGGAACATGGACATGAGTAGGCTTACAAAATAATCCGATTACTCGATGATGCATTCCTTGCCTACCATTTTGCCTACCAAGGTGACGTGATGAATGCTGTGATTGCGATGCTGTTGTTTTGGCGAGGACGCACGCGACCACCGACGCGCTGCGTTCCTGGCGGAAATAGGCTCGCAATTATGTACCACGGCGTGCGGACCGTTGCGCGCGCTTGAGAGACGTGTGGCGCAGATCAGAGACTGAATCTTGGACGGCGTCATCAGGGCACCCTGACTTGCCAGAGATCAGGGGACCGCCGCCGCGCGGCCCAGGCGGGAGTGCCTGACGCATATGCGCGGTGAGACATTCGCGTTTAAGGGAAGGGGGGTAGGGGGTATGGGGTGGGAACTCAGCCGAGCAAGCTCAGGTACGATGCGGCCCGGGCTGAGGGGGCTAGGCCTAGATTTGCCAAGTTGGAAGCCAAGCCTCGCCGCGTGCCGCGGGTGGATGGGTGGGTGTTTCGATGAGACATGTGTAGATTGGGAGCTGCGAAGCTTGTGAGGGTAGCGTACGCAGCTCTTGGGAGTGGGGTGGGGTGGATGGGTGGTTCTCTGGCGCGGATGGTGGTGGTGGTGGTGGTGACCTGTGAGAAGGGAAAGGAAGGGAAGGGAAGGGAAGGGAAGGGAAGGGCTTGGGAGATGGGCGGGTGCGGAGCGGGTTTGGGTCCAGTCGGGAAAGAAAAAAGACAAAAGATATGGGCTCGGTGCTGTGATTGCGAGCTCCGAGGGTGTATAAGTGTGTCTGTGTGTGTGTGTCCCGATGAGACGCGCGCCTGCTGCCCCATACTCCATAACGATGTAGAAGTATCCAAGTGCGAGGCGAGCATAGTGCGCCGAGGGGAGTTCGACGTCGCGGCCAGGTGAGCTGTGAGAGCGGCGCGGAGACCAAAATGATGCCAAGTTGCCAACGCAGCCGGCCGTGGCAACATGAAAGAAGAAAGCATCCAGTCATGTCGTCAGCCCAAAATCGATGGCAACCAGGGGAGCCAGAGAGGAGCCGGCGTGGGGGTGTCGTCGTGCCCATGTTGGCGAGATGGCCGTGTCGCGGCAAACGCCCGTACGTATTTCGAATGGCGCGTGCTCTTGTGATGTTGAGAGTCCAACCGGTGGGAGGCGGTGTGTTCTTTGGGAAATCGAGAAGGCTATGGGAGCTGCCGGTTTGGATGGAGACTTGGACACGACCATGTAAGTGCCTGAAGCGGAGGTCTTGCATTCTGGGTGACATATCCGGTCGGCTTGAGACGCACAGAACTACAGATGAAGGACTAAGGTAGGCGATAGAGGTTAGGGAATAAAATATTTAAGGCTCGGTATTACGAGCCCTGGCTTCACTCAATCCAACATGCTATCCTGGTCTGGTCATGCCACGGCATGGCATTCACGGACTGGACTGGCCCTTTCGTTGTCCCTGTCCGAGCCAACAGCGTTACTTAAAATGTCTGAACAATGTGCATTTTACGAAGTGCGCTGATAAAATGAATTGGGTTCTTCACACAATGTGGCCCCCGCTGGTATATCCGTCCGTTCTGGTGGATGTCTTCCGCTTCCTGGTCGACCCCGCCGAGTCCGGCAATCGTGCGAGCCATCAACAATGTTCGAGTTCAAGCCCGAGCTCCATGGACGCTAAAGCAATAGGCTATCCAGTGCGACCCGCAAAGTGGCGATCCGGGTGGGCTGGACCCTTGACAGTCCCCGGGAGTTGACAACCCCAGTGAGTGGGCTCCCTGTCATGGCTCCACTGCGGGCGTTGATTCCATTAAGCCCACCGGACATATTGACGACAACGCCTGCGCCGCAGAGGAGAGTCGAGACTGGAGTCATTGCGTGCGCTACTTCCATGGGTTCATGTCAAAATATGTACTTACGCGCAGGTACCTTGATCTAAGGTATCGCGTAGATGTGTCGGAGCCGCGTTGTGAACGGGCATTGAACCTGGACAGCCACGTTGCCGTTCTAAACTTTGGTCTTGCATTGCATGCCCCAGTCCACTGCAACATCAAGCTTACTGTTTTCTCCTCACAAGGCTATTCCTTGATGCAGGTTTGTCGGCAGATGACTAAGAATACGGGCGTATAAGTGGCATAAAACACACAGCCTCGTATTATGGTTCAATCTGCCCGCTGGAGCGTGCATTTCGGCCAGCTGGGGGGCCCGTCAGGCTCAGTCTCACTGTGATCGTCGACAATCACCCAACTCCTCCGGTTACCCGGAAAACCCGGCCGTATGTGTAAGCTGATGAGACTGCCCGCGTCCATATCCCGTCGCGGTAAGCACAGTCCATCCCGACATCGCTCCTTCGTTTATTTTTACCCTCCTTCTTGGTGTTACTTCCCTCCGAGACTGGCAACTACTTTGAGTAGCCACAGACCGACTCGCGTGTTTCAGCGGACAGCCACGACACCACACACACACAAAATGGCGGGCGGCGTCAGCATCACCAAGGAGTACATCGCCTCCGTCTTCTCGCACCTCGCCATCGTCGACGACGCCGCGGCGCGGGGCCGCTTTTTCGACTACATCGTGCCGGACGTGACGTGGGCGATTGCCGGCACGTCGCACTCGCTCGCGGGCACGCGGCACACGCTGCAGGCGCATTCCGACGCCACGTTTGACCGCCTGGGCCGCAAGCTGGCGAGCCCCATCAAGTTTACCGTCGGGCGCATTATTCTCGACGCCGAGCCGGAGCAGGACGGTAGCCGGTGGGCCATGGTCGAGCTGCTGGGCGTCGCGCCGCGCAAGAACGGCGAGGAGTATCGCAATGACTATATCTGGATGACGAGGTGGAACGAAGAGGGCAAGATGGTGGAGCTCAAGAGCTACTTCGATACGTACCTGTCGGAGCTGGTACTGAACGAGTAGACGGGTTGGTGCATGGTATCGACTGCTGGGCACGCAATGGCGTGGACTGGAATAACAACATAGACCAGTGGCTTCGAGCGTTTAGATTTAGGGTGTTTGAGACTTGTGTGTATTTTCGTACGTACACACACAACCACAACACCTGATACACTTCACTCATTACGCCTTCGCGATCGTTGGTCGCGGTTGGGATGCGGCTCTGCCTGCGTGTGTCGGTGCCGACGGTTGGCTGTAGAACCGTGCCCCGAGATGCAATTGATACACATGTATGTGAGTGAGTAAGAGAGAGTCTACGTGCGGCACACCATTCTGCAGTTGTACAAAGTATATGTCCTCTCCGTTACGATTGCAAGTCATGGGCTCGGATCGTACTGTATAAGCTGAACCCGAACAAGCAACGCCCACATGCATGTAATGCTTCATGCGCACCTCCTACGTCGAGGCTTCTGTCTCGATGTCGTCCTTCCAAATCAGGTTTGGAAAGTTGTTGATATGACATTTGAACTATATACTCTTTCCACGTTCTCTTGTTACTTCCTGTACGAATCATCGTCATCAAGCTCACGTTTGGGCTGTGGAGGGCAATCATTAACCGACGGCCGTCCCAGAGCCATTGAACGTAGCCGTCGACATTCCGTGAAAGTGGACGCCGCGAGAGGCTTCACCGCACACGTTTGCACGACCATAGAGATCAAGTGATAGGAATGGAGAGGTGATTTACACTCATAGATACGAATACACGCTTAGGCAGTCTTGCGACAACTCCTCCGTCGGCTCCGGGCGGATCGGGATGCCCGTTCACACCCAACGCGCGTTGGCTGTTCTCACACAGCCGTCGTTTGGTCCATGTCGGCACGACGGTCCCGTCCGTCAGTCAAAGTGCCCTCGCAGGCCGAATCCAATGACGGCCCAGATGAGCGACCCGACCGTGAGGACCCCCAGTCTTTGCAGTTGCAGTCAGTCAGTCAGCCACGTGCAGGTTCAGCTCTCGCCTTCCACGCTACCGTGTGATTCATCACATCAAAGGGGGAAAGGCAGCGCAAAAAGTGCTTACTCAGAGTTGAAGCCCTTCTTCTTTCGCCACACCAGCCAGATGTCGACGGCGGTGATGGTCATGGTGCTGAGGATGACGGCGCCCATGTCGGCGTTGCGGCCGGCGCGCCCGAGGTACAGCAGCGTCAGCGCGATGGTCATGTCGCGCGAGCCGAGCACGCCCGCGAAGCCAATCATGCTGTCGCGGTCGGCGCCCGACTTGCCGTCGCCCCTGCCCCCGCTGCCGAGCGCGGTGATGCCGAACAGGTCCGCCGCCGCCGCGGGTCGCAGGCCGCCTGCGAGGCCCAGCGCCGCCCACGTCGCGGCGACGCCCAGACCGAGGCTGTTCCAGGTGGAGGGGGACAGCGAGATGGCCATGCTTGCTGGTTGACTTTTGAGTTCTGGTTGGCTGCGGTGTGCGCTCTATTGTACTGTACGTGCGCGCTTGGGTTCGGGTGAAGCAGTGTCGAGGTTGAGTCGGGGCTGAGGGGTAACAAACTAACGGACCATCTCCATGTTTGGGGACATACACAAGACATGTGACGTGACTAACAGGCTCCAGGCACATCCCTATGTCGGATATCCCAAAGTGCCGAGCTGGCACACTGCAGTGACGGAACATGGCCACATCTCGAATACTGTACGCATCGCAGTTTTTGCCCACTTTGCGAAACCCAAACGCTCTCACAATGTTTCCTCAGATTCCCGACGTCGTTCTGGAACCTGGACTTAGACCTTGGCTGAGCGGTCTAAAACAGGCGCAGAAGAATGCCACGGGCTCTATACATGCGACGTTCCGGCCGCATCGGGCCTTTTAAGCTTATACAATGAAGATTGCCAATGCTACGCTCAAGCCGTTCCTCTTATACTTGGTCGGGGCTGTGCATAACGCAGTACTTCCTCGGGCTTACACCCACCAGGGAGGAAGAGTACTGTATTCGAAGTTCGCCTCGACTGTTTCCCCTGGAGACAGGCCTTGCCCGAAAGCTGAATAACTGCTTCAGGCCTGGCACTGGGCGCATCAGAATTTCTGTCGTGGCTCAGCATTGGAGTTGACAACTGCTGCATGGCGCTCTCGAGCTGACCCCCTCCACGTGGTGCATCGGCCCCCGCCAACAATCTGCGCACGCCGTTACACAGTGATATTGTCCATCACCCGATCACGTAGTACTGTACGTTTCCAAAGAAGCGCAGAAGGTCCGAGATGGGTGGCGACTGCAGCGATAAAGGGTTGGTCGGACTGCTGTTGCATGTCTGTCTACTTGCCTATTCGGGATTCGCCGCAAAGCGTGGTCACCGACCATCCGTTCCATCGGTGCATATGGAGTGCCTGCAGGAATAAGAATGGCCCTATATACAGTACAGATCTCGGGCTGCAAGCCATCTTCATCTGTCTCGTCACCGTCAATCTAGATCTCCCATGTACGAGCCACCGGCTTTGGAATCGACCCGGGCGACAGGTCGAGCTCGAGGCAATCCCCGGAGAACGTCGTTACACAAAGAGCTCTTCGTGCCACGCCCAGGCTTGGTCCGACATGCTCTGTCCGTTGGTTGGCACATGAGCCACAACGCTTGGTCCAACATGAGCTACCGGCTTCTCTTCACACTTGCATGAGCTGCCCGCAGGGACCAACAGCGAGATTGTAATAGGAAGGCGCTCTGTGTTACTGCGGCGAACCCGGTAACGGTCCCTGTCCAGCACGTACCTTGATCGTACGAAAGGGCCGGCCTCGGCTCCCTGCGGACATACTATTATGGACCTTTTGGGGATGCATCGGTGGCTAGGACAGGGTAGGAAGTTGCTTTCGGGGGACGGGGAAGGGGGCAGTTATGGAACTCTCTCGGAATCGCCGGTCGCTTCGATATCGGAATCCGTGCCCTGGTGCAGGCAGGCAGGCAGCTGGGGGTGGAGGTGACAGAGTATCCAGGGACCAGCGAGACGCGCATTCAACCCCGGATGTGAGCCTGCAGGGGCATGGGGTGAGCATGATTTAAAATGCTGCGGTGCCGTGGCCGCCGTCGTTGAGCAGGCGATTGACGGCTCCTCGAACGAGGACACTGACGTACCATAGGGGTTTGGCAACATCGCAAGTCCGCCCGCCTCACCATGAAGCACAGCCTCATACTCTTGAGCGGCCTGTTCGCTGGGGCCTTGGGCGCCCCCGCGTCCACCGGCGCCCATGTGCTGCACCAGAAGCGCGACGAGGAGCACCGGTACCACGACTGGGTCAAGCGCGATAGCCTGCACCCCGATACCAAGGTGCCGGTCAGCATAGCATTGACCCAACGGAACGTGGAACGGGGCATGGATCTCGTCATGGAGGTGTAAGTTGTCACGCTCCCGGTCCCAGGCGTCCCCGTCGATGCCAGCCCAAACGTGCGGGACGGCGCTGAGCAGACGACGCATTTAGCTCCGATCCCGACAGCCCTTCGTACGGCAAGTACTACACCAGGGACCAGATCCGCGACCTGTTTGCGCCAACGGACGAGTCCGTGTCCACGGTCAAGCGGTGGCTGGTCGAGTCGGGCATTCCCGAGTCGGCCATCCTCGTGCCCCGGTCCAAGACCTGGGTGAGGTTCGACACCACCGTCGCCCATCTAGAGACGCTCGTCAAGGCGCGGTATCACGTCTACGATCACATTGCGGCTCGCGATGAGCACATCGGCACTGAAGAGTACCATCTCCCCGAGGATGTTGCCCCGCACGTCGATTTCGTGGTGCCCGGCGTGGCCTTCACTCGCCTTGGCCGAAGCGGACTCGAGAAGCGAAAGTCTGACGGGAGTGGCGCCGGAGGCAGGCCACTCCGTCCCCTGGATGCCACGATACAATTGAACCCGGGTAAGTGCTTGTCGCTCCTTTCACATAGCAGGTGCCTCCCCGTGATGATCGGCCGGTGGATCGGGCCCGGCCGGTCTATGTGGGGCCGAGCCGACCCCGGTCTCCGAACACCATCCGGACAAGCTCGCGGTTCGAGAGCTGTCCACGTCCGCGCTCCATCGCATCGAGGCCCACACAGCAGACTCTATTGTAAACAGACCATGGCAGCTGACAACGTGTAGGAACTATTGGTGACTGCAGCCGTGCCGTCACGCCAGACTGCATCAAGAAGATGTATCAGATCCCCGACGGCAAGCTTGCCCATCCGTCCAACCGCCTGGGAATTTTCCAGACCGACGGGAATTACTACGTGCAATCGAGCATGGACATATTCACAAAGGCCTTTGCGCCGCACGTTCCGGCGGGGACGATGCCAAAAGTGTACAACATTGACAACGCTACCGGAACGTCGGAAGACCCTTGGGTGGTGAGTAGACGGCGGCCCGAGTGCACTTTTGACACACCATCTGGGCGGCTGACTGAACGACTCTAGGCCGGCTCCGAAGCCATGCTTGACTTTGAAATGGCCGTTCCGATTGTCTACCCCCAAGGGACGGTGTTGTTCGCAGCTCCCAGCTCGGGTGCGGGCCAGGCCGGCGTCTTCAACCCGTTCCTCGACGCCATTGACGGGAGCTACTGCAACTTCACCTCACATGGGATTACCGGTGACACTCCCGAGATAGATGGCACATATCCTACCCACGAGTGCGGCACCGTGCCCCCAACCAACGTCATCTCCATCTCCTACGGCCTCACGGAGCCGTCATACCCCAATAGGTGCGCCCTGCTGCCCCCGTCCTGAACGCGATGTTTTCCTTCGTTGCCTAACTGTCTGAAGATACCTGATGAGGCAGTGCGACGAGTGGATGAAGCTGTCCCTCGCGGGAATCACAATCGTCGTCGCGACGGGCGATGATGGCGTAGCTCGGAGAAACGGACCCTGCCTTGGCGAGCACCAGGACATCTTCGTTCCAGACGCCGTGTGCAGCTGTCCGTACATCACCGGCGTAGGGTCAACCTACTTGCCCCTAGGCAAGAAGGTGGGTGACGACGAGCACGCGACCGACTCGTTCTCGTCGGGCGGCGGCTTCAGCAATATCCACAAGACCGCCCCGTACCAGAAGGATGCCGTGCAAAACTACCTGACGAAGCACAACCCGGGCTATCCGTCCTACAACACGAGCCGCGGGCAGATCCCCAAGAAGGGGGGAGTCTACAACGCGCAGGGCCGCGGCTACCCCGACCTGTCCGCCAACGGCGACATGGTCGTCGTGGTCATCGGAGAGCGGCAGTGGATTTCCGGGGGCACGTCCGAGGCCGCGCCCATCGTGGCCGCCATGTTCAACCTGATCAACGAGGAGCGCCTCGCCGCCGGCAAGCCCGTCATTGGCTTCGTCAACCCGGTCCTGTACAAGCACCCCGAGATGTTCAACGACATTACGGTAGGCAAGCAGGACAAGGGCGGGGTTCTGAGGCATGGGTGCGGTAACGATGGGTTCTCGTGCGCCGAAGGGTGGGACCCCGTCACGGGCCTGGGAACGCCCAAGTATCCCAAGATGCTCGAGGTTTTCATGTCGATCTAGAGACTTCAGGAAAAAAGACACTATGGGGAAATTGACTTGCTACGATCTTGCATTTCTCATCGTCTTACAATTGCAAGGCTCGGTATCGTCTGGGGTCACGCGTGCTTTTAGGACATACGCAGCCCTCGGTAGGGGCGTCAGAGTCTTGCAACACAGATGGCAGCCAGGCATTGCAGCACGTGTCCCAGGCCTTGCAAAGCAATCGAATGATTTCTTTCATCGGGCACACCATTGCCGACCGCGCAGGCATAGCAAGGACTATAATTAGATAGACTTCCGCCCTTCCCCTCGAGGCGCGCGCGTGGTCTTGCCCATCAAACCGGAGATCCAAACCTGCTACAAGCGCACTGGGGCCGTCTTGTCGGAGCCTGTAGTTCGCGCTAGCTGTGCCGTAGACGGACGACTCAAGATCCCTGCCGCAGTCTGGTCACGGTGGTGATGCGATGATGTGCAGGCCGAGCTGTACTGTGATACTCACGCCACGACACAAGCTGGCCCGCTTGCCCGGGAGGGCAAGGTGAGAACTGTCTGCGTCGTTCTGCATCGGACCGGACGCCACCCGTGGTGTCTGTGACAGTCCACCGGGGCCGCGTCTCCACCCTCGAGGCCGGCCCTGAAACCGGTCCCGTTTCCATTGTGGGCCTGACAGCGGCTCCCGCTGTGCCAAGAGCCTTGACCCCTGGCCCGCGGGAGATCCAAAGCCCTTCCTTGTCTGTTGCTGAAGGATCCAGTGATTGACGATTCGGGGTGACGACCGGGGTAGCCAGCCTCATCAACGAGTCACGGCAACCCTCATCGGCTGCCGCCTTCACCGCGCTCTTCCATGCTCTCGCGCTCACTATAGTGCAAATGCAAAGAGATTCCCCAAAGACGGAACTACGACGCAAGTATGTCTGGAATACTAAAGAGAAATCGTATCGATGGACTCTCAATTTCCAATTTGGTTGCGTGTTATGTTGAATCGATGCCAGCATCCCTCCAACCAGACCCAGCACGCGGTGACACACGGCGTCTCACGACTTCGGACGCCAAGGGTGATCCCACCCCTCCCAAAAAACAAAACGCTGCGCATGAAATGCCCAAAGCCAAGTCGAAAGCCAAGTCTCAGCCCCGGTATCATCCAATGTTTCGGCAATCAGGAGGGTTTCCACGACGGCGGCCAGTTCGGGGAAGGTTGCTGCTCTGGGAGTTTTGGTCAAGGCAAGGCAAGAACGACCGACAGAGTCCAGTTATAAAGGACATCATCGTTGTCGGTCATGCTTCTCTCCCTTGGTCCTATTCCTCATTCGCGACCATTTCCTTTCCTTCCTTCAGTATCTCTTGTCGACCCGGTGTTGACCTTTTTTTGTGTTCGGCTTCGACTAGTATCGCCTCGAGTTTCATCCTCTCCTTTTCGCAGTCTCCAGTCCTTGGGCTGCATTTTTCTTCATAGCCACCATGGTTCGCTTGACTGTTGCTTCACTGCTCGCATGTAAGTCGCCAAGGTTGTCATTCGGAGCCCAGTGCGGCAACTGACGGAGAGTCTAGTGGCCATCACGGCCTGCGCGGCTCCGGCTCCCCAGGCAGGAGATGCCAATGTCGGGAACGGCGCCGGCCGCCAGTTCATCACCGGAGCCTGCGTGAGCGACGCAGACTGCGCCTCCGCCTGCTGCGCGAAGAAGGGCAACGCCGGCGTCTGCTCGGCGAAGCTGGTCGCCAATGAGAATGGCAAGGAGGGCTGCGGCTTCAACGCTGCGGGACAGGCTGGAAATCAGAACAACCAGCAGAATGGAGGAAACCAGAACCAAAATGGGGGTGCCAACAACGGTGGTGCCAACAACGGCGGTGCTAACAACGGAGCCGTAAACAACGGAGCCGGTAACAACGGCGCTGGCAACAACGGAGCTGGCAACAATGGTGGTGTCAACAACGGCGCGGGCAACAATGGAGGCGTCAACAACGGAGGACTCCAAGGCAACGGAACGCAGCCCGCCCAAGGAAACAACGGCAAGGGCAAAGGAAAGGGCAAGGGCAAGGGCAAGAAGGCCAAGGGCAAGAAGCAGGCCGGCAATGGCAACGCTGGCAACGCCGGCAACAATGCTTGCCAGGGCCAGAACAACAACGCTGGAAACAACAACAACAACGCCGAGAACGGCGCTGGCAACAACAATAACGCTGAGAACGGCGCCGGAAACAACAACAACAAGAACGCCGGTAACAAGAACGCCGGTAACAACAACGCTGGAAACAACAACAACAACGCCGAGAACGGTGCCGGCAACAACAACAACGGCGGTGCTGCAGGCAACAACACCGAAAACGCCGCCGGGGGCAACAACCAGAACAACCAGAATCAGAACAACCAGGGCCAGAAGCAGCAGAAGCAGAAGCAAAACAACAACAACCAGCAGCAAGGCAACCAGAACAACCAGGGCAACCAGAACGAGCAGGGCAATAACGCGGAAAACGCGGCGAACAACAACAACGCCGCTGCCGGCAACAAGGCGAACAAGGGGAATGCTGGCAACGCTGGAAACGCTGGCAACGCAGGCAACGCTGGCAACGCTGGCAACGCTGGCAACGCTGGCAACGCTGGCAACGCTGGCAATGCAGGCAAGGCTGGGAAAGCTGGCAATGCAGGCAACGCCGGAAACGACGACGCTGCCGACGAGGAAGACTAAATGATCGTTCCATCCATCCATCCATCCTCCCAAGGATATACCAGACTCCCCAGTCCTCTACTTGCTCCGCCAGGGCGGCGCAAAAGGGGGAGTCATGCATGGTCTGGGCGCCAAGTTGCTGCTCCAAAGATCGCGCATGGGAAGAGATGAGAGGGCCCCAGGACTGACTGACTGACTGTACGAGTGTGCGTGAGCTGAGCGCCCGATATGGATAGAATTGACAGGTGCCGGCGTGTGTCCCATATAAAACCATCCATTGAATTGTACAATGTTATGGGTGACATATCCAGTTTCTGTACCATCTTGTCACGATGATCGTCTATTCAGCGTGCTGTACGACAATCTACGTAGTAACTTGGTTACAATCCACAGAATGGGCTGGGCTCACGACTGGACACAACGCCTCGACGCTTTCGGACAGTGGTATATTTTCTCTTTCTGTTTGTTTCCCTGGTACCCCCAGCCCACATGCACTATCCCGTCCCGCGTGTCGAGCATACGACGACACCAGACGACAGTGATGACACAACCAACACCTTCCAGCCCAGCAATGGGGCCAAGACTCAAGACTCAAGACAACAACAACAACAACAACAACAAACGGGGCGGGGGGGACATGGGAGACTATCCCTGTACCAAAAATCCTCTCTGTCCAAGGATGGATGTGGCGCGCGTCCGCGGAGGAGCGGGAGGGGAGCCACACACGGATGGATGGATTACCTGCTGCTGCCTCAAACGCCCGCCCAGACAAGAAAAAATATCCCAGTGTGGTTCTTCTTTTTGTCTATCCAATGGCCTCATAACCAAGTGCGGGCGCCCGCTTTGCACGCTCGTATACCTCTTCCTTCCCTTCCGCACACGCCGGCCTGTGCATATGTAGCGTGCGCGCGCGCTCTCATCTCGCCTGCTTCGCGTCGGGGCTCTCGGCTCGCCCGCCAATCCTCATGATGCCGCTTAGTATCGTGCGGCCGACCTTGCCGTTCTTGCCCTTGACGGTGCCGCCCGCGCCGCTGGCGTGGCGCAGGCCGCTCACCTTCCGGGCGTCGTCGCGCCTGCGCAGCTCCCTGCTGCTGCGGCGGCGGCTCTCGTCGCCGCCATCGCTGCCGGAGCTGCCGGGGGCCTGGTCGATGTCGCACGCGATGGTGGGCAGCCCGTACGGCGTGCTCAGCGACTCGATGAGGCTGGCCTGCTCGAGCGTCTCCGCGAGCTGCTCGGCGCCGCGCGACGACATCTCCGTGGCGCGCACGCTCTCTACCTTGGCCAGGCACGCGTCGGCGCGCTTCTGTAGGGCGTGGCAGAGCTCGGAGAAGACCATGAGGTCGCCGTCTACTTGCCCCTTTCGAATGTCGGCAGGGCAGAGGTCCACCCACAGCTTGACCAAGCTCGCAAAACTCCGCGCGGGGTCGATCAGGTAGGGTAGGCTCGGGAAGCCCTCTCGCGCAGCTGGACTCAGCCGCCCGAGGATGGTGACGGGAGTGCTGTAGCTCGGCGGCGCCGACTTGACCGCCCTGTCCGCCGGGATGCTGCACACTTGGTCGATGTACTCGCGGAACACCGGCCGCTGCGTCGTCAAGAATTTGTTCATGGGCTCCATCCACTCCTCGCGCTTGCCAAAGGTCGACATGTTGGCCATCTTCTGGAGCACCTTGGCGATCAGGGTCAACGTGCGCTGGGCTCTCTGGCGCGGGTGGTCGCGCAGGAGGCAGAAGAGCTTCGGCGAGAGAATGGCCGGGCATATGAATCGCAGGAACAGGAACCCCGAGACAGCGGTGTACGTGACTGTGCGCAGGAAGTCGCCATACCTGTCCTCGGCGACGGCGCGGATATACTTGAGAATGTGCCGCAGCTCGCTGGGCAGCTCATTCGCCGATCCAGCGATGCATTGCCACACTTCGGTGGTCCACAGGATCAGTCGGTTCCAGCGCTGGTCGAGCTCGGCAGAGCTAGTGTGATGTGGCAGCCTGCTCGGGTCCACCTCGCAGTCGGGGTTCAAGTCGTTGATCTCCTTGATCTTTTCCTGGAGCATCTCTTCCAGGTACTCCCTGCCGAGTCGGCGCATGTGGAACTCGAGGGACTGCGTGAGGAGGGTGTTGCCGCGGAACAGCAGGTTCGCCTCGCCAGCCAGCGACTTGGTCATGTCTCGCACCAGGAGTTCCCGGTCCGTAGCCGACTCCATTGACTCGTTTGATTTGAGCCTGCTGCTGAACCGGAACTTCTTGATCGAGTTTTGGCTCCCTATGCCGTCAATCTCGTCCTCCACCAGCGCCATAAGCCAGTCGCCGGCGGAACCCGAGCCCTGGAAGATGTTGAGGAAGATCTCGGAAAGCCGCCGCAGCTGTCCCGGCAGGGCTGCTGAAATCAAAGTCGTGAGGCCGGATGGGAAACGGTGTAAGACCTCGGAGAGTGGCTCGTACTCTTTCGCAAGTAGCGCAATGAGCTCAGCGTGCGACACCTTGACCAGCATGGAACCTACTGTCTGCTGTCTTTCATCAATAATCGGCAGCCATTCTTCGTGGTCCTTGCTGCGCTCCAGCTGGTCCAGCACAATGTTGACCGTTCCGTAGCACACCTCATTTGCGCTTCCCGAGGTTTTCGGGCCAATACTTTCGACGCGCTTCAGAACAATCGACAGTTCCTGCACCGACGGCGGCAAGTCCACAAACTCGCAGTCCTCTCTCCAAAACGGGTTCTTCGTCAACGTCTTGGTCGTGGTCCTGGCTCGCACTTCACCGTCGATAGTAACCTCGGCCAGATAGTTACCCACCAGCAGATCATCCTTGCCCTTTTCGTGGTTTGGCGTCGGTTCAGAGGTTCGTGCCCTGATCTTGGCTTCAGTCACCCTGACGCCGACCGTCTTTTCTATCCGGAATGTCTCCTCCTCGTGCTCCTTGTCTAGGTCTGCCACCTCTTGAATCGAGTCGTCTTCGCCATTGTCTAGCTTGTAAATGTCCGGCACTGCAAACGCGCGCAGCAGGACAAACCAGACCTCGAAGTTGACGCGGCTGTCCACGGCGAGGTACACAGGGCGGAATATGGAAAGTTGCGTAGCCGTCGATGCGTAGAGGGGAAATATGGCGACACAGTACTCCTCGTCCAATACGGTATGGTCGAGCTGCTGGATGGCGCACCGCGAAAGTTGAGAGAGCTGGATGACAGACAAGACGGTAATGTCGTTTTCCATGAGCAGCTTGAATTCGCCGTTCTCGTGGAGGATGCAGGACACTCTACGCCACGTAGCCGGCGCCGAGCGGGGGTCCCGTGTCGACGACCGGTGCGAAATGTCTCGCGGCGTCGTCGCCTGCCCCTTGTCCCACAGCATAATCGTCCCAACCTTGATGATGTTGGACCCACGCGTGCCGTCGGACTGGCCCTGTCGGCGCAGCCCTGGTCTCACCGGCGCGACCGGGCTGCTGGAGCTGCCGTTGGCCATCCTAACGCCCGACGGCCGGACTTGCTGCCAACACAGCAATGCCGCAAGCCACAGATTCCACTCGTCAGAGGCCATGGGTCGCAGCAACAGGATCGATTCGCCAGTGGCCCGCTGTTCCGCGGTGACTAGCTCCAGGCATGCCTTGCCGGATTCGGGATATTCCACCGGCAGGACCCGGCATCCGCGCAGGTCTGATATCAGCGTCGTGAAGCCGTCGCTATTTTGCCCAGAATCACACATTAGATAGCCCATCTCGTCGTCGATGTAGGCGTAGCCGGAGGACCAGGCACCACCGGCATCGCCCTGGTACTCGATCTCGCCTCGCATGCGTCCGTTCAGAGCCTTCATCAGGCTCATGAGCCTCGTGGGCTCGCTTGTGGTGACAGGCGTTGGGAGCGAGTCGACCGAAGCTATTGGGGCAGGTCCGGGCGATGTCGGCCGCGAAGATTGCCGCTTCAGGAGCCGCTTGGTGGATTTCTTATCTCTGGATTTGGACGGGGTGGATGGTGTGGACGGTTCTGTGTGCCTATTTGAGGACAACGAGGTATGGCCAACGGACTCCAGTGATGGAGCCGGCGGTGACCTCTGATCGTCTAGGAGGGCCTGCGAGCCAGACGAGCTGACGCTGCCCATTCGGTGGCGCTGGTCCGGGACAGGGACGCCCCTCTGCTTGAGCATGGCGGCATCCATTGTGCGGGTCCTGGGACGGATACCCGAGCTGGCCTGCCTCTGCTGGTGCTGATATTGGGATTGCTGTTGTTGGTACTGCGCGGGTATCAGCGGCGGGCTGGAGCCGGTGCTCTCATACGAATCATCAAAGGAGTCGTGGAAGACCATGCCCTGGCGGCGGCTCCCGGCGCCGAGGATGGCCATTGGGGAACCCTGCTGCGAGGATGGCCCGAGGTCGCGGGGGACGGGTGGTGGCACGGCAGGCGAGTCCACGGCGAAGGCGCTCGCCCCAAGTATGCGGGCATCGATCAAGTCTGGTGTCACGGCGCGGAGGCTGCCGGAGGGTGCGTCGGGCGCGATCCTGAAGGAGGATCTCAGGCCGGCGGCGCTGGGGCGCTCAGCCGCGTCTTGCACGTCGAGGGACGGCGAAGAGTGCTGCGACCCTTGGGCCTGCGCTTGCGCCTGGCGTTGCGACTGCTCTCTGGGCTGGACGGCGAGAGGGCGCGGGGGAGGTGGTGGAGGCCGAGGCCATTCTGCAGAGTCACCGTCGCCGCCTGGTGAGAGACCGGCGGCGCCGGCTTGTCCTTCCATACCTGACGGCGACATGCTCATGCCATTTCGGGACCGCATTCACGCCCTCGTGCCACATTGGGGTACCCCTTTCGTGCGGTGTTGCTTGCCTCCGCCGCCTCCGACACAGGGGCGTGTTGCGCAGCGTCGGCTCGCTTCCGCGCGGGGCCCGAGGTAGGATGTGATGGTTCGTCGTGTCGGCTTCGGTATCGCCGTCGCAAGATTGACCGAGCGTTTGGAGTGGGAAGGGGAGACGAGGGAACGGAGGGTAGTGGGCGCGCTCGCGTGCAATGCGCAGGCACAGGCTCGTTCGACGGCAGCCGCGGGCTCGCAAGCGGTTGGCGAGCTGGATTGTTGTCTTGGAGGAATTCGGGGACGGGTTACAACGTCATAGCAACAGGTCGAGCAGCGTCTTTGGGGGCTGAGGGTGTAGGCTTGTTTATCGGCGAGGTCGCACAAGCAGATAGCAGGATGAGTCGCGGCGTGACCAGGTCGAGTCGCCGTGCGCCGTCGCGGGCAGGATGCGCAGGCCTATGCAGCAGGCATGCAGCGTCGAGACGGCAGTCGTCTGCAGGAGAGACGTCGTCTCTCAGGAACGGTTCGGAAGCGCAGCGCGGTTGCTGCTCGAATCGGGCAGGGCGTCGCCGCGTAGCGAAGGGCAGCGAGAGTCGATGATCGTGGCCCCGGTCTTCGTCGGCCCGTGGGATGCGGACGCTGCCACCGGGGGAGGAGAGGCGACGTCGAGCCCGCGCAGCAGCGGACGGTGTGTCGAGCGGGGTTACGTTGTCAGCGACGAGGGCATGGCCGTGATCGCATGTGCGCGCCGGGCGTTGTCGCGTGGGCGTCGTTGGCGGTGGTGGTGGTCGGCGGTCGCAAGTTGCGAGCGAAAGTGTGGTGCGGATGGAGGCGGGAGCGGGGAACTCGTATGCGTGGTGGCAGACGCTGTATGTAGGAAGTTGCGCGAGGTGGTAACCTGGTGCGTCGGCGGGCGGGTGGTGGAGGTGGTGGTGGTGGAGGCGGACTGCTCTCTTTGGGCGGAGGGCGAGGTGTTAAAGTCGCATCCAGCAATTCCACACCAAGGCCATGGAAGGAAATGGGGGGCGTCCAAGTCGATCGCAGCTGGAGGCCACCCCGGTGGAGACTCCCCGGGCGTAAGCACCCAGCGTCGAAGCTAACATGCTAGGTAGGTACCTAGCACATGGGCGCTGGCAGGCGTCCAGGCCAGGCAGGCCGTGACGATGGGTGGTTTAGTGGAGGCCGCCCCGCTGGAGCCGTTGGGAGCCTGCGTGTCCACCCATCGCCAGGGCTCTTCAAGACACCTCACCCGTGGGACTCGCTCGACAGGGACCCCAGGGCTCCCGCAGCAACCGTGCGTTGGGCAGCGGGCCGCGATGCGATGCGCGCGCCGCCAGCGGTCGTGCTCACAGGTTGGTTTGTAAGTACTAACGTTATACTACCTAGAATAGCAGCACGCCGAAGGACCCCTAGTTGCGAGATATGACTGCCGTCGAGCAGACGCGGGAAGCAGGAGGAGAGCGTCAGTCACCTGGCTGCCATGGCCCCAAGTGGGAGACGGCTACTACGAGCGCCAGGATGGCTGTCCGTATCCCCAATCCTCGCAACGCTTTGGTTCAGTCTACGAGCATTATTGCTCCGCATCGGTCGTTCCCAGCATCCCGGCATAACGCTCAGCACCCAGGCTGGACCACGGACCATGGACAACGGAGCAATTGCAACAGCTGGAGACAGGCATTGGCATGGCCCGCCAGGCTGGAGATTGATGGCTCATCAAACCCTCCCCACTGGGCATAGCGCGCGGAGCCAGCTGGAGCGAGGGCGAGGTGGGGGGGAGGGAGTCCTTGGGGACCACGCCGGCCGGAGAGAGCACCTCAACGACGGGCGGTGGTGCAGTGGAGTCCCCCCAGGCCCCATTGAATGGAAGGCTGCCCCAAGACGGGTGCTAGTGATGGCAGCTGCGGGAATAGTCCCCCGCCTCCGCCGGCCGTGGCAGGCCTAATCATTCCATTCCCCAGCGACATGGCGCCGAGCTTACCAAATAACGAGCACCGGGCCTGTCACTGACGGCGGGGAATATTTAGCAGCCCACGACGAAAGCGGCACCATGGCTTGGCTTGGCTTGGCTTGGGGCCCATATACCGAGTACAGTCAGTCAGGTCTTTGTGCGACATTTTTCTCGATTCGAGGAGGGGAGGTACCTGAGTGAACGGGCGAGAGACGAGGTAATACTTTTCAGCTCCAAAGTATACGAGTACGTACGAAGTTGTCGCGCTGGCTCGCTGGTCGCCGGTTGCCGGCATGTATCTATCTGAGAACAGTAGGTAGCGGCTTGTGAGGCTTTCTCCCACGACCCAGGGGACGTGGACGTCGTGAGAGCAACAAATTGCCCACCTACCTAGGGACTCAGAACGCTCGCCCTCCGTCGACCCCAGTCCCCTGTCGTTGTACCCCTCTCGCCCGCCCGTCCGCCCGTCCGCGCGCTGGAACCCGCAATCCGTCTCGCGGACCAACACCACCCGAGGTGTCTAAGCGACTGGCCCCCCGGGGGGCCCCCTGGATCTGCGAGCATGGAAGCCGCCGCCGTCGCGTGGCGAGATGGGGAGCAACCGGAGCGACTTTACAATGCTCGTATCGTCGTCGTCAGTCGTCGTCGTCGCTCCTCGGCCCAAACACCGCCGCCAATCCCATCGGATCATCAGCCACTTAGCACCAAGCAACGCCGCGCGCCAGGGACGCCGATCGTCCAAAAACCCCATAGGACGCCTGCGCTTAGAATGCTAGATTGCGGAGGAGCGAAAAGCCACAGTCCGCCGCTAGCCACTGAAGCGGCAACCCCGTTCGCTGGGCCCAAGACTCACCTCACCTTTGCAGTGTCCGTTGTGTGTACTTGTAAACCTTGCCCCAGACAGCAGCACGTCCGTCCCGTTCTCGTCAACCGTGTCAACGAACCGCGACTGTCCGATTCTTTTTGATTGTGATGGCCCCGGCTTCGTTTGAGCTATGGCCCCTCGTGCCTCGTCCAGCTGACGCGCTGCGGGAGTGACGATGCGGGCTGGTCGCTCGCAAATCGCCATCAGCGAGCGGCCCGACGAAAAGTAAAGAAAATGGAAGGCGCGCCCCGTCTTGCGCGCGTTGTCACTGTTTCTCTCTTCCCCACGGTCACCGAAAAAGAATCATCCAAAACCTGGGGGAATCAGAATCAAGACATGAAGCGTGTCTCGTCACGCTCTCCTGTCTGCCCCCGTCACAACACACAACCAGGGGAGGCGAGCTGGCGGCGACGTGCAGCCCCCGGATCGGCAACGCCCCCGTAACTACCTCCGTACATACAGACCTACATACATGGCACCATCGGCGTCACGATGCGCCGGTGCCAACTACACGTCACATTTCTTTTTCCTTGGAAACCCCCCTCCCCCCAGAGCGGCCAAGGGTTGTGTGCACCGCAAGCCCGCCCAACACAATTTCGAGTGAGCCACCTGATCCATCGTCATCCCCACGCCCAGCCCTGGCAGCAGCCCATCCTGGAGAACCAGCAGCAATGCCCAGCCCCCGGACCTGGATGGTGACCTGGGCTGCGAACCCTGGCCTTGCGCCGTGCGTGGAGTGCTTTGCGCTTCGCCTCTTCTCCGCAACAACGCCAGGGGTCCAACGGCCCGGGGTGCAGACCTTGGTTCTGCTCGTCCCGCTTGCAGTCTGGGGACCTGATGCCCTGGCTCATGTCGATGAAGCGTGGGCCCGTGTCATGCTCAGTAGTTTCCACGGCTTATCGCGGGAAGCGAAAAAAAAGAGGCCACCACAGGCCGTAGGTAGCTCCCGTGAAGCAGCAACTTTGACGTGAAGAAGCACAAGAGATCCATTCCGCCGAGCTGCTGCTGCCGTTCGGACACGGCCGGTGGGCACGCGGACACCGCTCACTCACCGTGCACGCCGAAGAAACCCCCCCACGAGCAAGGCCCTGGTGGAAGAAGGTAGTAGTAAAAAGGGACACATCCCGTGCTGCAGCCTCATGCAACGCTAAAAGGGCACACACACATACAGCAGGCAGGTTCCCGTCCCCGGCTCTCTCGGACGCACTGCCAGGCTACCCTGCCCTGGCCTGCCCTGGCCGCGCCGACGTGACGTCCCTTCATGCAGCAGGCCCGCCGCCGCCCGCTCCTCGCCGACAGACGGTGACGCTGTGAATGCATGGACGGACGGACGGTGCTCAGTAATCTGGGGAACGACCAAACACCATGGAGCCTCAACCTCGAACTCACACGCGTGACATGATCCGCGCAGAGACACTACGCATGTATATACAGTACTACGTACGTAGGGAAAAACAGCCTCGCAGCCCAGTGCCCGAGTGAGTGAGCACCTAAACCCAACACGACCGGGTCTGGCTGCTTGCCCCAGTCTCGACTACCGGCGGTCAAACCACCATCCCATCATCCATGCCCATACCTCATCACGATATGGCTGGCACACTTCCCTTCACTTCACTTCACTTCACTTCAAACCCCCACCCGCCCCTTCCCCTCCCCCGTTGTCACACCGAGTGTACGTGTCTCGCCACCGATGAGCAAGGCCTCTCCCCTCGTCCCCTGCCTCAGACTCGGAACCTCCCACCCCGCCCCCCCGGCCGAAAACGGGACTCGGCAATCGTCAAAGCCCCGGTTTATATGTATGTATGTATGTACTTCGTCCCTTGCCTGCTTACTTCTATGTGTGAGTGTGTGAGTGTGTGCGTGTGTGTGTGTGTGTGTGTGTGTGTGCCTGGAGGAAGCGGTGAGGTGCATGTGCATGAAGCCCGCCGACGGGTCGACCATGCAGGCGCGTCCCAGAACGAGGGCACCGCGGCGACGGTCCAACGTGTGACAAGCCAGACACATAATACAAGCCGAGGACCACGACCCCTCTCCGAATCACGGCCACGACCCCAGGGTATCAGTGGTTTGTCGGGAGTGCGCGGTTCCGCAGCAGCCTCACAACTCACGAGTCGAGACGTTCCCGCGTCCCTGGTATGGACAGTCCACGACAGCCCGTATATATTAAAGCCATATATACAAAGCCGTCTTGCGTCCCACGGCCCATGCTCATGCGCCTGTGCTTTTCGACACCCGCAATCTGCTGCTCCCCCTCGTGCTAACGAACGTGGATAGTATGTCGTCACGAGTCCGGGTGACAAGACAAAGCCTTTGTGCCGAGCGGCCCCTCCCACGCACGACGGCGGGGCTCTCATCTCAACCTTGCCCAGGGCAAGCCACCAGAGGAGGGCCATGGCAGAAACAAAAAGTCCCCTCCGTGTAGATACAGACTGCCAATGACAGGATCAGCAACGAAATATACGCGCCTGTCTGAGCGTATTTGTGCAGCATAGCCTTGAAGCTCAATCGACGCCAAGAACGGGCTCTTCCAACTCCCAGTTGCCAAACATCTTTAACAAGTTCCCATGCTCCCGTACACTATCAAAAAGCGAGAAAAGAGAAACGCCTCGGGGGGTCTGCTGCGGCGACATGCCTCCAAGAGCAGCGAGACCCGCTCGCTTCGCTCAGCGGGACCCGGGCCCCTCGACGGGGCTCGTGGGCATGCTCCGCACGCCGCCCAGATCTGCGCTTCCCGTCCGTCTCAGTGCTTGCCGCATCGTCTCGATGTTCAGGTCATTTGGTGCGGCGAGGTTGTGTGGCCCGCCGCTGCCTGGGCTCCCCAGGGGCTTGCGAGGCGGGCTCAGGTCGACGCCCTTCATGCTGCCGGGGTTGCTCGTCGGAGGGCTCGTTCCAGGGCCCTGGCTGGATACGGGCGAGCGAATCGGCGACGGCGACCGGTTCAGTACCGGTGGAGGAATCGACGTCAGCCCCGCCATGTGGATGCTCTCACGCGATCCGACAGTGGCGGCATGCGGGTTGTGTTCGGCCTGGACGACGTCGGCAAACGAGATAAAGGACAGCCTGCGCACGTCGGCAGAGTCCAGCGAGCCATAGTGGGATGCGTTATCAGGTGGCAGCCCAACGCGGTCCGCAAAGGAGGCCAGCTCCGCGGCCCACTCGCTCGACGTCTGGTCGTACGGGGTACTGCTGCCCTGCGTCGCGGCCGCTCCGGTGACCGTGACCGAGGCTGGCTGGTGTGAGGAGTGCGTGACAATCTCGACGGCGTCTGGGTCGAGCTTCTGATTGGTGATGGCTTCGGATGCGTCGTCGAGTACCGGGGGGATGTAGTTCTCGGTCTGTATGTGGGTTGGAATCGCCGGGGAGCTCGGCTTCAGCACGGTGCTGTCCTGGACGTCTCGCTCAAAGATTTGGGAGCCTGCGGGAGACGACACGCGGGGTGAACCCGACAGCCCGCGGGTTGGTGAGGCGGGTAGCACAAAGGCGTGGCCGTGTTCGCCTTGCGTCGTCGCGTTGGGGGTCGGTGACGCCGTGGACCGAGACGTCGACGAGAGCTTGGAGCCGTCCTTGGGCAGCGAGGGCGGCTCAGTGCTGGACCCAGACTTGAAGGAAGTGTCGGGCTTCTTCTTGCCGAAGCCAAACAAGCTCCGCTTCTTGCCCTTGCTGTTCTTCTTGGTGCCGTCGCTCGCCTGGGACTCGGGGTCCGTGTTGTTGTCGGCAGCCCGCGGCGTCGAGTCGTCGTAGCTGCTGTCGTCGGGCGTGCTCTTGCAGGCCTCGCCGCTCTTGAGCGACGGCGCCTCGGCGAGACTCATGGTCGATGGGTGCGTCGAGACGTGCCGGGGGCGGCGATGGCGGGTTGGTGGCGGTGACGTCGGGAACAGCTGCGGAGACGGTGAGCCCTCGTCGATCCGATGCAGTCTTCCAACGCTTCAGTGCAAGTGAGGACAAACGACGACGGGCGACGGACAGCAAGGCAGGGTCGGGGTGGCGGAGCGGGCGGGACCTGGCAGTGCGTTCACGTCGCCATTCGCCGCTGCCCTGGGTTGAGGGGGAAGAATGAGGCGGTGATGCGAATGTGGCAGCTGCGGGCGAGCGACTGGCGGCGGTGATGGTGATGACGGGGAGCGGCAGCAGCACAGCTCCTCAGGTCGGGCACACTCGTTGATCCAACAAGCACCACACACCACGCGCTCATCCATGTGTTCCGGGGGGGGAGGGTTCAGTCGTCACACGTACCAGCTAGTTACAGCCGTCCAGACGTGCCGCTGCCGGGCGAGTCCAGTGACCCGCCTGACGCTTCCCTGACGGGCGGGCAGGCGCTCGCTCCACTCCACTGACAGTGGGATGGCCCCCCAGTGGAGTCCGCCGCTAACACGGCGCAGGCCGCCTCCTCTGTGCCTCTGCGTCAGGCTTGCTGGTCTGCTGGAGCTGCGCGTCCCAAAGGGGCACCGGCACCTCCTCACGGGGCCTAGAACAAGTACGGCCAGGCGCTGGTGGATCGACCGGCAGCGACGTGACGCAACCCGGGAAGCGAGGGCTGCCCGCTGTGCGTGCGTGAGCAATTTTGGGTACGGGCTGTGTCCTTTGTACGAAGCAAGTCCGCCGTCGGCGTCGTCGTCGTCTTCGTCGTCGACTTGGGTGGGCTTGCCGAAGTGCCGTCCGTGCCCCCGGGGGCTGTGCACCGCAGGCTTGACCCGGACAAGCGAGAGTCCTGTTGTAATACGCAAGGAGGCTTTCGTTCGATGCTTGGGGAGACTCGACAACGAGGCAGGCGAGAGACAGAAAGAGGCTCGGCCAAGGAGACGCAGCTGGCAATTTAAAACGAGATTCCCGGAGGGAGCGGGGCCGCCCCCGTGGACTGATGAGATCACGCCTCTGCTAGCGCCCGGAATGTGCAGGAGCGACGAGGAGGAGGAGCATTGATGGTCGACCTGCGCAAGTGTGCGCATGCGCGTCGTGCCATCGACCTCGCTGTGCTTCATTAGTGCATTGTTACGGCACTCTACCTTGGCACAGAGTACAGTATATTTTTTACAGTGCAACAAGATACATATACATAATACGCACATGCGACAGCAGCGACTCGGCTCGTCACGGATCGATGAGAGGGGCGTCGCGGGCATGCGCTCGCACTCGCGCAGGTGACGGACCATGGCATGGCATGGCATGCCCGTCCAGCCGTCATCCACGCCGGGGCCAACTCTATGATGTGCAAAGCACGAGTACTGTACGCCAGACCGACCGCTGCCCAGCGCGGCGTCAATCCGCGACGCAGCTGTCTGGTTCGATGATGCACTCGTGCCGATCCACGGCTCGAGAGGGCCCAGTGATTTGCTGTCCTCCCGGTCCTGCCGCCGCTGCTGCCGCTGCCGTCTCAAGCCAAAACGCACCGCAACGCCCATGACATACATAACTCGTAAAAGCAAAAAGCCAAGCATGCAATGGCCAGGGCCGGGCCACCTTGTGAGGGTTGGGCTGACGACGCACGTCACTCCCACATGGAGGTGCAGCGAGCGAGCGCCCGCGCACCTGCCCGCCGTCCCAAAAATATGCCCTGACGAGGATGGGATGGGATGATGTCTCTGGGCGAAGCCTCGCGCCAGTCTCACCGTCCCACCGTCGCGCCATGGCCAGGCCAGGCAAGCCTGGTACTGGTGCGGTGGCTGTCCGCGAATCCTACCTAGCAGCGTCGCATTCTCTCCCCAGCTTCATCTCGGCTCTTTTGAGACAAACAGGGCATCGTTTTGCGAATTATTGGGACGCACAGAAAAAGTCCCCTCCGGCCGTCTCGTGTGCTCGCCGCCGCCGTCGTCGTCGCCGCCCCCTCTCTGCGGCTTTCACGGCCTCGTGATGAGCCCGGCCCCTCCCACACCTGCGAACCCCCCTGGCATCCCAGCAATCAAGGACCCTGGCACGTTGCTGCCCTCTGCATTCGATTCGCGGGCCGCCGAGGGCATGATATCACACCGCACACATCACGCGGGAGCTTCGCCGACCCAGAGTCAAGTTATCTATCCGGGGCACGCTGCCTGTCAGAAAAGCGATTGCCAAGTTCGGCAGTAGGCGGGTGGTGGTGGGCGACTCGAGCGAGCATCGTTCCACACACCATTCGCAACGTGGGAAAAACCGCACCAGCAGTATCTTGTCTCGTCTGGTCACGTCCGGCTCGACATTGCATTGCTCGCCCAGCCCTCGCATGAAAGGGGGAGAGATCTGCCGCTGGTTTCGCGTAGAGCACAACTTGAAACGAAGAATCAGGGCGAGCAGGCGTGTTAGTGCAGGCCATCTCGACATGTGCGTGCCTAGACAGTAGATAGTCACGTGCCCATTCACGTGGACCAGCTGTGCACGCGACGTCCAAGGGTCCTCCAGACTTATTAGGTAAGCGGACGCAGGCGTCGCGAAAACTTCAGGCCCAGCAATCTGGAGAGCTTCCCCCATCACGAGACGCATCCCAACGCCGACCGACGCGGCCCCTCACCCTTTCCTGGTGACGCCGGCCCAATTGCCATTCTCTCTTCGACGGATTGTTTTTCTCGCTTTGCTTTGATCGCGTCAATTGCCCCTGCCTCGCCTCTCGGCAGCGGCTCTCCAACAGCCAGCCATGGACATGCGCGCCCTCTTCCGGCCGGCAGCACGGCTGCTCACCGTCGCCGCCTCCCGCTCCTCAACACCGGCATCAGCATCAGCCGCATCCTCCTCGCCTCTCCTCCCCCTCATCACCGCCCGCGGCCACAAGACCACCGCCCGCACCAAGCGCGCCCTCAAGATCGCGCCCCACGACTCCTTCCTCCCCGACCGGTCCGCCCCCTTCCCGGCCGCCGACTCCATCATCTACAACCCGCCCGCCTCCGAGGCGTCCCCCGCGCACACGCCCTTCATCTTCCTGCCGCGGAGCGACCCCCGCCGCCTCGCCCTCTTGCGCCTGCGCAACAGCACGGCCGCCACCGCCGCGCTGGCGCCCACACCGGTCGAGGACGGGGACCTGCCGCCCGCGATGCGCTACCACAGGAGAGAACCCCGGTACCACCTCAAGGAGGAGGACATCGCCGAGATGAAGCGCCTCAGGACCGAGGACCCGGCCAAGTGGAGCGTCGGACAGCTCGCCAAGAAGTTTGACTGCTCGCCCATATTCGTCAGGATGGTGGCCCCGGCCCCGTCGGGGCATCTCGACTTCCTCAAGGCCAAGTTGGAACGGAGGATGACGCGCTGGGGCCCGAAGAAGACGCAGGCCAGGGAAGACCGCAAGAGGAGGGCGGAGATGGTGTACCGTGGGGAATTATAACGCCGCCCCGAGTCGTGAGAGACATGTACAATGTACAATCTACTGCTTGATGAAGCCTCTCCAAAAGGCGTCAACAAGACACGTGTAGGATACGAAAGAGGCGGCCATGGGCCGTTGTACTGGGCGCTATATCGAGCATGAGCATAGGAGCGAGCTCGCTGTACAAATACCAACAAGCCATATACCAAACACCTTTTGATGCATCTCGTAATCGGGCTGTATACTCCATCGTAATGCGTTACCGGACCCATTGTCCAGCTCGCAGGCCTCACGACGACGGCCGACGACCAGCACTACTCACAGATGACGGCCGGCGGGCGCTGCCTACGGATGACGTCTCCTCGTTGATGTCCTTCCTCCCGGGAATGACCCTCCAGCACCAGCCGCACCAGCTTCGGCAAGAGCCGTTGACCTCTGGCGCGAGGACGCGGCTCCCGCTCCCCTTTTCGTCGTCCCATTCAGGCACGCAGGCCCCGACGCGCACCATACGGACCAGCTTGCGCTTCACCCGGCCGCCGATGCCCTCAATCTCGTGGCGGGCATAGCCTGGCCCGAGCTGGGGAGATGGTGTCCGCTCGTTTTCATGACGGAACTCTTCGATCAAGGTCGTGAGCGGAGTGCCGGTGCCACCGAACGGGGATCCGCTGTGCCCCGGTGTCGTAGCCGCCGAAGCCGGCGAGGGAAGCTCGGCGACCCAAGGCGCGTGGCCCGTGTCGCGCACGTCCTCCGCGTCGCAGTCGACCTCTTGCTCACGGTCACGCGCGGCGAGACACTCCTCCTCACGGCCGCAGATGACACCCCGGTCACCGTCACCGATGCCGGTGCCAAGGCCACCAAGCACCTCGCCATACTGGTTTCGCCACTTCCAGATGCTGCCATTCGAGGTTAGTTACAGTGACCACACAATAGGTAGCCTGGAGGCAAGACCATACCGCTGGTACTCATGGTCTGCCCCCCGGATGCTGCGTCCGCAGGGTTGACAAAGCCAGACTCCCTTGGTGTCGCATTTGCAGACGGCCCGCTGCACGGGCTCTGAGTAGAAAGGAGTGTCTGGATCTAGGGGCGGATGGACAAGAGTCCCGATGGGAGCTCGCACACAGGTGACACAGAGCCTTCGGTGCCTTTCCCGGAGCGCGACGGGCGCGGGCGGCTTGATGGCGCAGTTCTGCAATCTCTCATTAGGCGCGGGCGGCGCAAGCAACCCGTACGGCGGTCCTGACTCACCCTGCAAATCACCTCGCCGCATCGCCTGCACTCGTCAACCATGTCGCGCGCGCAGTTGCCGGCCTTGCCGCTGTAATTCCTGCCATCTTCCATATAGTGCCAGTTGCTGGCGCGAGCCCGGTATCGGAGCAGCTCGTCGCGGTTGACGGGGAGTTTCTCGTTGGAGCAGCGGAGGGTCGAGGCCAGGAGAATGGTTCGATACTGGATCAGACCCTGGTGGATTCCGCGGCTGGTGCGGGAGAGGGCGTCGAGGGTATTGAGGTCAATCGAAGAAACGATGGCGACAACGATACTGGAGCGTGTAAGTCACTTGGCAGCAGGGAGGCACGGCCAGGTCACGGAGGCATACGGATAACAGCTGAATGCGTCGGTGATGGCATCCGAGACGGGCGGCGGCGGTTCGACGACGGGTGGCTCGACGCAGAGCCGGGCGGTGCCATTGACAAGTTGCTCGAGTTTCCGCTGTATAGCATCTTGTATCGCACGCCCAGCATCGTCGCCCTCCTCGTCCAAATCGACAAACCGGGCCATTTCTGCTAGGTCGCGGTGCCGTTGCAACTGTCGAGCAAACGCTGTGTCGGTGTCTGGGATGCGATCGGCGTCGTCGCGGGGATCTGCAGGCAGCAGCTCAAAAAGGGAAGAGAACAAGAGAACGGGAAAGTGTTAATGAAGCGCTATAGAGCTCGACGAGGCCATTGCTAGAGCATCCATCGATTCTCCTGGTCCGGATATGCGATACACGTCAGGTCTATGCAGAGGCGGGCGAGGCCTCACGAAACGGCGGGCATGATGCTGGGGTGTGTGTGTGTGATGGAGGCGAAGGGAGAGGTCTCGTGCGGGCGGGTAGATAAGGCGCCTTGAGCTGCGCGCGCGGGCAGGCGGGAGCTGAAGACGGCTTTGATCGGTGAGGAGGCAGGTCAGGTGCAGGTGCCGACGGCGGCGGCGCTGGGGAACGGAACTACGAGCAGCGACGACGGAGCCGATGCCCCGCTGCATCTACCTGAGAGCGACTTTGAAGGCGAGGTTTCTCCTACTTGGGCACGCAGCGGCTCACGCGACGGATCACCAGGTTCCGAGTACCTCATGACTAGGCAAAGGTAACTTCCACTGGGGGCCCCTTGGGAACCTACAACAGCCGCCCAAGAGGAGGGGCCAAAGCTCGCCAGAACGGTAGCCCCTCTTTCCCCCACACGAACTGCGAAGCTTCTCGCGTCAGGTGTCCCGCCCCTGCTCATGATGGCAGCCCACTGCCCCTTGTTAGTTGCTGATTGATAAAAAATTCACTCGTTGACAAACGGGGTCGCCCACTGAGTTATGGGGTCGTTGAACGATAGATCTGTCTTGGCGCTCGCGGTAATTACCTGCCGCCGACTCCGAGCCCGAGCCCTCGTGCGAGTCTCGGATTTTCTTTGCCTCGACTGTTGGCCTCGAGCCCACGGGCCACTGAGGAAGCAACTGTCACGCGAGGCACATTCGAGGCACATTCGAGGCACATTCGAGGCACATATTTGCAGAGCACGTCCCCCCTCGGACGGGAGACCGGGGTGGTGCTGACTTTTATCGGATGTGCCTCATCACGCAGTCATGCACGCACGACTGAGTCTATGGTTCAGAACAGGGAGAGCATTGGTCACTGTAATCCAAGGTGTGGCTCACGAGTGGAAGATGGCGGATGACGGTCTCGGTTCTCAGCTCGTCTGTGAAGTCAACATATTGCTCAAGAGATATAGCACCGATCCTGACTCAGCCATACTTGAGCTCGAAGACGTGCCATGCTAAGGTGTCTAGAGGAATTTCGGCTACTTGTCAGAGCTGCACTAGCCAACAGCCAGTGAATAGCATATCCTCCATACCAGGCCTCAACCTCCATTCATAACCGCACCGCAGTTGGCCTGTGAGAGGCAAGCCATGACGATCCGCCAGGAGAAGTGTGAAAACTCGTTCTTAAGCACGGAGCTTGAGACTATATGGGCAGATCCCGCATATTAGAAGAGCGGCTCTTACCACGGAAACCGACTTGAACGCATTATTCGAATATCTCAACTTGAGAGAGAAGCATGGCCTCAACATCAGCGCTCTCAGTGGGGCTCCTGTAGAGCGTGTACGCAGCACTTGGGTCAGGGCCTTTCGTTTCTAGAAGACCTTCCCGGGAAGTTTCCGTATTGAAGTGGAGACATCCTGTCGTTTGGAATAGATGAAGAGCATGGCTTCCGACATTCTTATAGAGGACTCCAGGGCTTCAGAAAGGATGACAAGCCACCTTGAACTTGCAGTATCGCTGTACCCTACACCTCAAAGACCAAGAGGGAGCGGCGCTTCCAATGATCTACTGTCGCGTCATAATCGAGAACAGCCGATGTACACTTTGAACAGTTGCATGGGCCTCTGGTCGCCCTGGGATAAAAGTGCGAGGTCAACTGGCTTCCTGGCCGTTGTGATGCAACTTGGGACTAGCACGGACCGCGGCTGCGTGGAAGAGAGAGGCATGTTTGGTGATGAAACGAGAACCTGATTCGCTTGGCAAGCTGGGACAGCATGAGCAGGCCCAACAAGCGAGGACACAGGACAAGAAAACGCAGGTCACCAATGAAGACTGGGAAGATACAAGTGATTGGCTTCCATGAAGGTGTGCCAAGCCGTTGACGGCGGCTGCAACTCAGTGGAGAACGCAGAATCGTGAACGGGCGGGCGACAGTGGATTCGACCGACGAGGCTGTGCATCCCCAGGTGTGGCGCGTGACGTGTGGCGGCGGGGAGGGGACGCGACAGCGTTTTTATTTTTGGACACGGCGTTCCCCCGACAATGCGCAGCGACAGCGTGCGTGCGACACGAGGCCGCGAGGCGAAAATGACGACAGCTCAGCTCCGGCTCAGCTTGGCTGCGCCAGCCGAATAGCCAAGGGCAGGCAGGCAGACTGACTGGCAGACGACGCGGGACGGGGGCCAGCTGCTGCACCGCGCGCAGCACTGAAGCACCATTCTCGCTCGCGTGCGCCGTTGAAGAATGCCCTCCCCCCCTTCTTCGCAGGACGAACTCGAGAGAGATTGGGATGGCCTCGCCTCGCCCCTGAAGACATCCTTTCCCCCCCTTGGCGCAAGAACCCCCCCGGAGGGTCGGCAGAGCGGCGCGCGACGTCATCAGGGAGAGTGTGGGGGAGGGCATTGTGCACTGCCCAACCACCCGCCAGCACTCGCCGGGCCCCTCGCTAGCGCCTGGCCTCTGAAACGCGGAATGCGCGCTCGCTGAGGGTCCCTTGAATTTAGCGCTGAACTGGCTGCCCCCGCCCCCTTCCATCCACCTGCTGGCCGCGCGCCGCCACACGCTGGAAAGCTCCCTGCCATTCTGCCACTCGCAGCCTGGCGGGCTGTCCGCCAACAAGGGGGTGGTGGTGTGGTGGGGGGGCCGTCTCTCACTCCACAGCCTTGCTCGCTGTTCCAATGCTGCGCTTTGTCTGTGTTGCCGTGGTGCTGCTTGTGGCTTTGTGCTGCTGCTAGCCTCTTGAAACTGCCCGCGCGCCGGCGTCGCCCTTCAGGAAATTTCCCGCGACCAGCCCATTTGAAACGGCCCAGCCGCGTGTAGCAGCAGCAGCAGCAGCGGCAGCCCCTCGTTGCCGTCCTCCCGCTTCGCAAAGCCCGTTGTCTCTTCATCAACTCCAGACCTGATCCTGGATCCCTCCCGTCCAGTCCCGTCCTGCCTCCCCTCTCTTGCGACCTTCCGCCTCGGATCCTGCCAGCTCCCGTCGTCTCGGAATCGGGAGCATTGGCCGCTCCACCCCCCCAAAGGGCCGCCCGAAGCATACCTTGCCCGTCGTATTGTTCCTCATCTCAGGTATACGATACCTACCTGCGGTACCGTCCTCAGGCCATACCAGCGTGCGGCCAAGCACCAGCCGACGTCGTTGCATGAAGCGGCAATCCACCCCGACCCAGGTACCGCCGCGTCGCCGCGCTGCGTGATCAACATGGCGTACAATCGACTCGGTTAGTATTGCGCATCTCTTCCTCACACTGCCCTGCCCTTCGTCGTCATTACCCGTACGGAGCCCCCCCTGTTGCGTCTAATCTCGTGGGCGTGTTGGGCCTCCTGGCCCTCTCTGCTCCAGTCGATCCCTCTTCTCTTCCGTCCCGCGCATTCCAACCCGCCTCGGTCCTGGTGCTCTTGTCGCACATGCTCCGTCGATTCACTGGAGCCCTGCGCGTCGCCTGACCCTCGGGGACTTTGGGCATTAGACACCTGTCGCCGCCCTCAACCCGACCCGCCCTTGCCTGCCTCATCGCCTGACATTGCGAACAAACCCCAACCCTGACTCTCTAACACCGGCTTTGCGCAGGAGACTATCCAGAACAGATGGATCACCGCGGGAGTCCGTACCGGACCCCGTCGCCTGGCCATCCCCTCCAGCAGGGCTACCAGCTCGAGGAGAATCCATACAACCAACAACAGCGACTGACGCCCGGCCCTCAAGGCCAATATCAACGATACGGCACGCCGAGCGACCAGCTTGACATTAATGCGGCGGTAAGACGCCCAGCAGCAGGATGCGCACTTCTTGTGCGGCGCGGTGCGGTGACTGACGAGCCTTGAACAGCACTCCGTCGACAACCTGTCGTATGGCGGCCACCACCAAGGCGGCTATGGCGATACGGTCGTCAACCCCGAGCTGATGCACGACGAGTACGGCGGGAGGCACGCGACGTATCCCAACCAGCCGCCTCACGACGATGGCTACTACGACCAGCGGCCCCACGACGATGGGCACGGATACGACCTCGACGACCGGCGGCCGATGCTCGAGCACCAGAACTCCGCCTTCGAGGACGCCTACCACGACCAGCCGCCGCAACAGCAGCAGCAGATGGGCCCGGGCATCAAGCGCTGGAAGACGGTCAAGCAGGTCCTGCTGTACCGCGGGAACCTGGTCCTCGACTGCCCCGTGCCGCCGATCCTGCTCCAGCAGAACCCCCACGGCGAGCGCGACGAGTTCACCCACATGCGCTACACGGCGGCGACCTGCGACCCGTCCGACTTCTACAACGAAAACTTTACGCTGCGGCAGAAGCTGTTCAGCAAGCCGCGCCACACGGAGCTCTTCATCGTCGTGACCATGTACAACGAGGACGACGTTTTGTTTGCGCGCACCATGATTGGCGTCTTCAAGAACATCGAGTACATGTGCAACCGGCCCAACAGCAAGACGTGGGGCTCGGACGCCTGGAAGAAGATCGTCGTGTGCGTCGTCAGCGACGGCCGCTCCAAGATCAACCCCCGCACCAAGGCCGTGCTCTCTGGCATGGGCGTCTACCAGGAGGGCATCGCGAAGCAGCAGGTCAACGGCAAGGACGTGACGTCGCACATCTACGAGTACACCACGCAGACCCACCTGACGCTCAAGAACGACGTCGTCGGCCTCGTCCACAAGCGCCAGCCCGTGCAGATGCTCTTCTGCCTCAAGGAGAAGAACCAGAAGAAGATCAACTCGCACCGCTGGTTCTTCCAGGCCTTTGGGCGCGTCCTCGACCCCAACATCTGCGTCCTGCTCGACGCCGGCACCCGCCCCGGCGGCAACTCCATCTACCACCTGTGGAAGGCCTTTGACCTGGAGCCCATGTGCGGCGGCGCCTGCGGCGAGATCAAGGCCATGCTGGGCACGGGTGGCAAGAACCTCATCAACCCGCTCGTCGCGACGCAGAACTTTGAGTACAAGATGAGCAACATCCTCGACAAGCCCCTCGAGTCGGCATTTGGCTTCATCTCCGTGTTGCCGGGCGCCTTCTCGGCGTATCGCTACGTCGCGCTGCAAAACGACAAGAACGGCAAGGGACCCCTGGAAAAGTACTTCTTGGGCGAGACGCTGCACGGCGGCAGCAGCGCCGGCCTGTTCGAGTCCAACATGTACCTGGCCGAGGACCGTATCCTCTGCTTCGAGCTCGTCACCAAGCGCAACTGCCACTGGATCCTGCAGTACGTCAAGTCGGCCAACGGCGAGACGGACGTGCCCGACACCGTCACGGAGCTGGTGCTGCAGCGCCGCCGCTGGCTCAACGGCTCCTTCTTCGCGGCCATCTACGCCATCGCCCACTTCCACGAGTTCTTCCGCTCCGACCACTCGATGCTCCGAAAGCTGGCTTTCTTCGTCGAGTTTGTCTTCCAGACCGTCAACATGATCTTTGCGTGGTTCGCTATCGGCAACTTCTTCTTAGTATTCAAAATTTTGACGACCAGTCTGGGCAACAAGGACCTCCTGGGCAAGACGGGCGAGATTCTCGGCGTTGTCTTCACCTGGCTGTACGGCGTGTGTCTCATCACCTGCTTCGTACTGTCCATGGGTAATCGACCGGCCGGCTCTGGAAAGCTGTATAGTGCCATGGTGTGGTTCTGGGCGTGCATCATGATGTAAGTCACCTCACGGGCACCCATTTCTAGCTCACATCTAAACTGACCACCAATCCAGATACCTCATGTTTGCGGCCATCTTCATCGCTGTCAAGGCCATCATCGCCGACGTCAACGACGCCGACGGCTTCAGCATCGACCAGCTATTCAAAAATCCAGTCTTCTACACGCTCATCATCTCCGTCATGTCGACGTTTGGCATCTGGCTCATCGCGTCGCTCATCATGTTCGACCCGTGGCACATGATCACGTCGTTTGTGCAGTACATGCTCCTCACGCCGACGTACACCAACGTGCTCAACGTGTACGCGTTCTGCAACACGCACGACGTCTCGTGGGGCACAAAGGGCGACGACAAGGTGGAGAAGCTCCCCTCGGTCAACACAAAGGACGGCCAGGGCAAGACGGACCTCCCCGACGAGGGCGACCTCAACGCCCAGTACCAGCGCGAGATTTCCCTCTTCAGCACAAAGTTCAAGGCCGTCAAGACGCCCCCCACGGCGGCGCAGCTGCAGGAGAAGCAGATGGACTACTACCGCGGCGTGCGCACCGGCGTCGTCCTCATCTGGATGATCACCAACTTTGCCCTCGCCGCCGTGGTCCTCAGCTCCGCGGGGCTCGAGAAGATTACCCCCACGCGCGGCTCCCTCGAGGACGAGCAGCTCTCCCGCTCAAACATCTACATGACGATTGTGCTGTGGAGCGTCGCCGTCCTCAGCGGCTTCAAGTTCCTCGGCGCGCTGTGGTTCCTCATCGTGCGCATGTTTAGAGGCGTCTAGACTGAATCATTGAAGAAAAAGAGAAAACGCAGAGGGGAGGGTGTCGTTGTTGCTGTTGTTGTTGACTAACGTTGGTTAGTTTCGGGAGGGATGGAGGGGGGGTTTGGGTTGGGTACGAGTAGCTGTGCTGCCGTCGTTTGCTGCTTCTCTCCCCCCTTCTTTTTTTCCCCCCCCCTCTCTTTTATTACTTTGCTGCGCATCTTGAGCTTCTGGACTATACCCGGTTCTTGTACGGATAACGGCTTCATGATCGCGATAGTCTCTCTGCCTGCCCCATCAAGGGCTAAATTGGCGTTGGCGGGTTGAATGTTAGATTTCTCTCTTCGCGCCTTTTGTTCTTCTTGTTTCTCTCTCACCGTCTCGAAAGTCTCATGAAATGTACCACGAGCTTCCTAACTTGCTAGTGAAAATGTCATCAACAATCATCATCGTGCACCCTCCTTTTTTGGTGTAATATATCGTGTTTATTCTTATTCTTATCGTACCGCCTTGTATTTTTCCACCTCCAAGATGCAACCCGGCCTTGCACTCCACAACCCCGGGGTCCGCGCTATGCTACCAATACATGCCAAGCAAGGGAGAGAGAGGCTGGAAACGCCGTTTTCGCCTCCTCTACGAAAAGAACTTCTTGTACGCAGCCTTTTCCTTGGCCGCCCGGGCCGCCGCCTTGGCCTTGACCGCCGCCAGCTCGTTGGAGACCAGGGCGTCGCTGGGGGCGAGGCGGTGCGCCTCCTCGAGGTCCTTGATGGCGGCCTCCTCGTCCTTGATGCGCACGTAGGCGAAGCCGCGGCGGTAGAACGCCTTGGCGCGGTCCGCGTCGGCGGTGCCAGCAACGGCGAGGGCGGATGTGCCGAACCTGACGGCATCGTCCCAGGACTCCAGCTTGATGCTCAGGAGGGCCGAGTTGCTGTTGAGGGAGAATCGCACGGCGTCGAGGCTCTGCTTGGTGGTGGGCGGCTCATCGTCCAGGTCGGGGTCCTCGTTCAGATACCGCAGGCCCTTCTCGTACTTGGTCAGGCCGAGGCTGAGGTTGCCCGCCTTGAAGGCCTTGTTGCCGTAGTCCTTGCAGTCGGTGGCAATCTTCAGGATCTTCTTGGCGTCGAGCTGCTCGTTGACATCGTCGGGGAAGTCCTCGTACGGGTCGCCCATGGCATCGGGCTGCTTGATGTCGGCGGCGAGAGCGGCATCTCCGGTGAGCTCGCCACAGTCGGCGATGACGGCGTCCTTGGTGGGCTTGTCGCCGGACAGGGTCTGGAGGTTCTCGATCTGGCGCACAACCGACTTGCCATTGAGCACCTCGCCGAACACGACGTGCTTGCCGTCGAGGTGGGGCGTCGGAACCGTTGTGATGAAGAACTGCGAGCCATTCGTGTCTGAAACAGGACAGGGTTAGTAAATCACTCGCACCACTCTCCGCATACGCAGTCTCAGCCGCGATGGGAAACTTACTGGGACCAGCATTGGCCATGGAGAGAAGGAAGGGCTTCTCGTGCTTCAGGGGGAACGCCTCGTCCTCGAACTTGGCGCCGTAGATGGACTCGCCGCCGGTGCCGTCGCCGGCCGTAAAGTCACCACCCTGTGTCGCCGTCGGTCAGTCACACCCGTCCGGTGCCACAGCATGGTCATCACACGGCATACCTGAATCATGAACTGCTTGATGACTCGATGGAAGATTGAGCCCTTGTAGTGCAGGGGCTTGCCCGACTTGCCGAGGCCCTTCTCGCCGGTGCAGAGGGCGCGGAAGTTCTCGACCGTCTTGGGGACGAGGTCGGAGTAGAGCTCCATGGTGACACGGCCGGCAGGCTTGCCGCCGATGGAGATGTCGAAGAAGACGCGGGGGCGCGCCTTGGTGTCCGTCTCGGAGGCCATTGTGACGGTCGTGGTGGGGTGCAAAGGTGAAGGTTGGTTATGGAAGGAGGCGACGGATCGCGGAGGGTCGACCGGAGGTATATAGTCGGTGCGAAGCGGCAGAGGTGCCGAACGGAGCTGACAGCGACAGGTTTCGGACGCGGTGCCGTGTCTGGCGCGCTCGGTGGCAGCGGGCAGATGCTCGTTTCAGTCGTTGGCCCACGAGGGCGTCGTTGCACACAGGGCGAAGCGAGGCTTGGTCTGGAGCCGGGCTGCGCTGTGCTGCGATTCGATTCGATGCGGGGTATTATCAGAGGTGGGCTGAGCCGGCTGGACCCTGGCCGCCGTTGAAGGTTGCGAGGAAAGAGACAACAAGGACCGATGCAGGGGTCGCAGGGTGGTGCGTGACGTGAGATGCGATGGACTGACGGGCGAGACAAGAGACAAGAGTCGCGCGCGCGGGAATGGGAAAGATGGATGGATGGATGGGATGGGGGTCCGCTTGAAGAAGAATGATCCTGGGGGGGCTAGGGGGATGCTGTCCTGACCTGACCTGACCTGGAACAGCTGGCGGCGGGCCTTTGCTCTGCTGTTATGCGGTGCTGTGCTGTAATGTACGGTACAGGAAGGAGCTATCGATCGCTGTGCGCGTGCTTGCCGCGGTGGGGTTGCTGGGTCGTGGAAGTTTCCAGAGCAATCAATCAATCCGCCGCATGCTTCGCGTGTGGGGGGTCCCAGCCCGTTGCAAACATCATGCCAGACTCGCTCTTCTCTCCAGGCTGCCGCATGACGGACCAAGTCGCCAGCGGAGGCACTCCACTTGAGTGCGCAGACGTCACCGGAGCTTTGGCTGTGTCAAAACCCATCTGGCCATGGCACGGAACTGGGAATCTTGACGATGGGTCGACTTCCAACTCGCAACCCAATTGAAGCGAAAGACAATGTTCCACAGGAGTCTTCACCTCATGCACAACCATTGGCGGACATCAGCTTCGCAGATCGCGTATCTTAATGACCGGATTGAATCGCTTGAGCTTTTCGCGCATTAGCACCATCGCACTGCCTGGCATATCAGCCCCAGTTCAACGACGTCGACCACCCTCACGTTCAAACGGGAGCGACGAGTTACAGCGTGGATGGACATGCGCTTAGGTGGGGAGATGGGTCCATGTGCGTAGCCTGCAAGCTGCAACCATTTGGAACTGCTGGGCTTTGCCTGCGCCAAAGCTGATTCTCGCAGACGCTGGTAAGTCCCGAAGGAGCGCACCCGCCAACCGTCCCTCGTCCATGGTCCCGACGTGCGCAGCGTCGCATAGCCAGAGTCGATTGATGTTACTGCCACTCTGTGCACTGCCGGCCGCTCGCTTTCGTTTATGCCGCCTCATACCGTTTAGAGAGCATCCTGTCGATTCACTACACATAAATAGTCTCCCTTACTCATCCCCGCCCACCGAGGGATCTTAAGAACCTGGCCGTAAGCTGTATATTATTGCATTACCAAGTCCTTCTAGTATAATACTCGAGCTAATACGAAGCGTATGGACTTGGCGACGACCCGTGCTTGCTCGGGGCCACTGATGCAGGGAACGCCCCCCGGGATGCAAGCCAACATTGTGCGCTGCGACACAGCCAGCTCAGAGTCAAGCCTGACTCGCTCTTGATAGTTGCTCGTTGCCCTCAACTATCCGCTCCTTGAACGAACGCAATGATCTTCTCGAGTCCAAGTAAGTCGCCCCCTTTCGTGCCTGCCAACTCCTTGGGTACCCAGCCTTCTGTGTAGCCGCCCCCGAAGTCCACAACCCATGCGTTCTGGTCTTCGTCGATCAACACGTTCTCCGGCTTCGCGTCACTCCAAACGATATCCGCGCTGTGGAGTTGGTGGACGGTATCTCGAATCTGCGTAGCCCACTTCTGCCTTAGAATAGTCGGTGTGCTTGCTTTCGAGGCCGCGCAGGCGAGTGTGGAGCGTCTGCAATTGACGTAAGTCAAAAGAAGCCCGTAGATAAAGCCGCTCCCGTCTCGAACCAGTCCCAGGAGTCTTGGGATTCGCAGTGTCTCGTCGAGCGGTCTTGCTCTAATTTGGGCATAAACCTCAATTTCACGCATGAGGATGCCCTTGTCACCGCGACGGACAAGTTTGACGAAAGCCACCGTCCCGTCCTTCAACACAACCTTGTTGGGCGTCTGAGATGGGGGCGTTCCAAACGCTGGAACACGCTGAGGAATGAGTTGAATCTCACGAGGATGAAAACTTGTCCATCCTGAGCTGGTCTCGTCGGACAAGACAACCCCAAAGCGGGATTGTGGCTCCTTCCCCAAACTGCTTTGGGACGGGACCGCCGTCAACTTTCCAGAATTAGCTCCAAGTGTGTAGGCCATGGTCTTTGGAAAAAGATAATCGTCGAGAAACGAAGGGACTTCTTCTATTGGCGGCATGCTTCTGAGGACCGGGAACAGAGGCTCAACAGCCCAGTCGTAGAAATCTTCAATAGTGCAACCATCGAGCTCATAGTTTCGAGCGACCTCAACAAAGAAGAGATATTTTTGTTTTAGATGAGGTGAGTCCGAAAGGTTAGCTGCAGTGGACGTTAAGCTGAAAAACGTCCTGCTGCACGAGATAATAAACTCCACGTCGGTGTCCTTATCAGAACAGGTAAACTCGACGAGGGTCCATGGCGGTGGCGGCGTCACGTCATGTAAGGTTGGATGAACCATCTTTATGGTGAAGCGAATGAAGGGGCGCAGTAAATAGGATGGTATTTGTGCAGCAGAGGAAAGGGTGAGTGCCCAACGAGGACATGAAAGGAGCTGTGAGTTGGAAGTGAGGTGTAGTCGTGTTTGCTGGCGACCTAAGCTGGCCAATACCCTTGGGGGCCCTTAGAGCCGTGTCCTGGCGTGGATCCTTGTACCCAACACATGCAAGTTTCCGACCCAGGCCAACGACATACACCGTGACGGCACGTCGCTTGACCCACCATCTCAGTTCCCAGCTCTGTTTGATCCAAAGATATCTCCCTGCGTGCTTCGTACAGCGATACAGTTTTGGCAGTCGCTTCGACTTGTTTTCTACTATCCAGTACGGGCCAGGTCTACTTACGTGGACTCGCCATCTCAGCTTGGACCGAGCCAGGAGCTGTGATACCCCGCAGGCACAGTTCGACGCCCTGCTCACTGCTGTCCTCCGCACTGCATCTATTACGTGTCGCCGGCTGTTTCGTTCAGCATTTGCATTATCTGGACCTAATGACCATTCCTTCTCCTCCCCCGCCACCACCGCCGCCGGCATTTGAGAGCGTCGCCCCTCGTCCGACACCGCGACCACCCACAGTCCCGCCTGATGGTCCGGCCGGGGCGTTTCTAGTGCAACTTTTCGTGTTCAACGGCTCTCCGTTCAAGGATCATTGGGCATACTTTGTGCGGTCCAATGCCAGGCACACGCAGGGCGTTGTTTTGCATGCCACTGGCGACGTCAATAACGGGTTCCGGCTGGAGTTCAAAAGGATGCACGACCTCGATACAGCCGATGAGGTGCCGTCGGAGATCATACCCCTGCAGTGGGTAGATGCGCAGTATTTCGATGAAACGGCTATGCTCAACAATGGCAATCCAGTCATCGACGCCGTGCCTGTATGCCCATTCGAGGCCAGCGCATGCAAAGTCAAGGCGCCAGGAAAGTCTTTGAACTCGGCTGCTGAAATTGTAGGTGCATTCAATCACCCTCGCGTTCCTCTGTCCCATATGCAAAGTGCATGGAGCAGTCAGCTAATGGTCAGACATAGGCTGAGCCAAGGAAGAGGGTCGTCCAGAGAAACTGCCAGACTTGGATTGTCGAGTCTGCTGACCAACTGGCCGCGGATGGCATCTTCAGCCGTGAGGTTGCTGCGTTTCTGCACGCGAGCGAACAGTGATACTCAGCATAGATCAATGTTACATGGTACTCGCGCACCTCAGACCCTATGTCAGCCCTATAGACAAGAAACTGCAGATACCCGACACAGCAGGTGACCTGGGGCGTAGGCGTCAGCAAAGCTGCGAAGGTATGTACTACTGTGATCAACAATAAAGCCTAAATAATAGAGGCCTTGACTCTGCTCTCGGGGGCGCCTTCCTTGCGGCGAGGATGTTTTCCGGCGGCGGCGAACAGCTTCAAGAGCACTACATCAGTGAGCTTCGTGGGACATCACGTCCATCGCGAAAGGCCTCACTTTGGCAAGAGACGGTTAACAGTCGGGACTTCAAGAACAAATGGCTGCAGAGGCTTTCGCCATCGACCAGTATGCGAACGGCGGGTTATCCCGTGACCTTATTCTCGCCCATAACGAAGCAAAGCTGGCAGCTGCGCTCGCATCGCTACGTTCTCGCTCATCGCAAAGCTGCAAGCAAGTTTGCTTTACAACGGTCCATCATACCGTGGCTGCATGCATCACACCGGCTCAGCGCCACCATTGTGTTCAACACATTAGAACGCCTTCGACAGCCCAAAGTAGAACCACGGGTGGTAATACTTCTCATCATCCACCGTGTCCATAATCATCGGGACATACTTGGCATGCCACTCCTCTTGCAGAAGAGGATCGAATTGATAAGGAAGGGCTTGCACCAGTCGCGCTTTGCAGTTCTCCCAATATGAAGGATACCAACCAGCTTGGCCCCAATCGATGACAGCAGCCACCTTGGGATCGGGACCGGGTGTCAGCAAGATATTAGGAGGGCATATATCCGCATGGGTGAAGACGACGGGTACGTTCTCGTCGATCGCGATTCCGCATGCACCCTGGAATTGCTGGACCGCATCTTCGCCGAAAAATGGTCCCGCGAAGTTTGGTCGGTCGCTGAGGATAATGTCATTCAGAGGACGCTGGCCCAGGCTTCCTTTACGTGAAACAGATCCGAATCAGCAGGCGATACATTTCTTTGGAGTGGACGGGCCGGTGCGAGCACTCACCAACATACGGCTCGCCCCCTTCTTGCGGTAGAGTCCTCCATGCATTTACCATGGGCCGCAGTTTCTGGCACACAGCTTCTCGCTCACTTTCGCTCATGCTGCCCCATCTCGCTTGTAGAGTGTCGCCGCTGACGAGGGACATGTATATGAACGTTTGGCCTCCATCTTCGGCCCAGCCAAATACCTCCGGAATGGGCACTTGTCCTTGCAGCAGCTCGCGCATTCGAATCTGAGTTTCCATCTCGGCAACGGTCACGTCAGCTCCGTACTTGACGAATAGTCCGAGTGATGGCACGATCACAGGCGAGGGTCGGCCGAACGACTCGGCCCGCATGTCCCCAGACTCTGCGTTTAGCGCCCTGATTTCTGCTGGTGATGGCAGCTCTGACGCTGGTCGCTCCTTGAAGAAGCTGGAATCGGGGAAGGTCTTCATGCAGGTGGAATCTTGCGGGACGGGTGAGCCGACGCGAGGCGCCGCGGCCTCACTCGCCGCCATTGCAGAATTGCGACGCTTCACGAGAGCGCTACGGAATGCGTCCGCAAGACAGCGGCTCTCACTGAGGGTCGTTGGTTGAAGGAGTATGGCTGTGCTTCCGGGTTGAACGTGGGATTGCTGCTGAGGTGGGGTAACCCGCATCCCACTCCAGTGGGTTGATGGTCGAAACATGGATCTGAAGGCAATGTTCAACAACGATATCATGGGGTTGATATCGTCCCCGCCTACCGCGTTGAACTCAGTGCATACAAACTTAAGGCTTCTAAGAAATCCTTGAATCCAGGAGATAGCTGGAATGATGAAGTCAAGGTCTAATTTTTGGATCTAGTTTAGACTTAGTCTATCTCTAGGGCAAGCAACTCTCCAACAATGAGAACGCACGCAGCTTGGCTCCCACATTGATCTATCATGCATGCATCCCGCCCCGAATTCGGATCGCCCGCGTCCAAGTTTGTGACCCTGTCTACGTCGCGCCGGCAGGTTACCATGCGCCGTCACACGGCTTCAGCCGCCACCTGTGACCATGTCGGAACGTCGCGCGAGACAACCAGCGCACATGCCGGCCACGCGGCACGGCTTGAGGCACGGCCCTTTTGCCCGTCAACATGTCAGAGCCATTGGTGGATTCTTTCGTCACGAGTCTTCCGCGGCCTTGGGCCCGGATTGCAACTCAAGTGTGACCTTGTGTCGTCAGCGAGCGCGGCGGTGCGTCGGGCATTGGGGCCAACTTACGGGTCCGTCGTTTACCAGCGCGACTTCCATCATGGCCTGGAACTTGCCGTCCTTGACGCGGTCTTCCACGTAGTCGTCTTTGACCTTTTGCACAAAGTAATGATACAAGCGGCTGGCCTCTTCCGGGTTCATGGCACCGTGAAAGTCTGGCTTTGTGCCCTTTTTCGTTCGGGCCAACAAGGTGAACTGAGACACTGTCGGAGCGGAGACAAAAGTGATCAGTCACGCTGCACACGGAACACGAAAAGGTTTTCGCAAAGGGGATCCGATGCGGGAAAGCAGGACATACCGCACAGAACCTCGCCGCCGATGTCTGTGACGCTCTTCTTCCACTGGTAGCCATGAGTTGGTAAGCAGTCGAGCTCATAGATGATGTCGTAAGGGACCACGTACGCGCCCACCCGACTCGTCATCCCACAGCTTCATCTTGAGGACTTTGGAAGCGATCGTGTTGACCTCCTTCTCTGTGTCACCAGGTGCGACAGCAGCGAAGACGAGGACCCCCTTTCCGATGGACGAGACGACCTCCTTGTCGACCGTCACCGACGCTGACAGCACGCGCTGAATGATGGCTTCAGCCGTCAGTATCAATTTAGTCCTTGGCAGGTCGAGGGACCACACCTTTCATTTTTCAAGCCTTTTCCCTCCTTTACTGCTTGGCCTCAATGACACATAGGAGAACAGTGAGGCCGCAGAGCACAGTAAGCGGCACAAACAAGACTCGGCACGGCTAGAAGCTAGCGGCTCTGGGATTGGCGTCGATGGAATGTTGGAAAGGCTCAGTCCTATTTCGTTAAGCGAATGCGCGCCGTTTGGCCGGAGGCGATGAGTTGGTACGTGGTCGTTAAAGCCCGTTATCGAAGGCCGGACCCGGCGCCAATTGGCGACGCCCCGGTGGCGGCTGCGGACGCGATGTCATGTGAGAGACGTGTACGTATTTGACTATCGAATGGGGGCCCGCAAAGGTGCCTTTAGATAGTGCAGCTGTTACCCAGCACCTTGCAGCTGGCATTTTAGAGGCATGGAAATAAAAAAGCTGGCTTAATAGTAAACGAGTGCAAGAGCAAAACTCATGATCAAAATTACACTGCAATTTCGGCTCATTCAGCTGCTGAACAGGCGCAGGCATCTGTTGCCGGCTAACTGGCCGAGCTCAAAATACCTGCCACGTGCTAGCCAGCCGCGAGCTAGTGACTTTTCACTACCATCGACTTCCATCACCAACGTTGATCCTGCAACAACCCTCCTGGCCTCCCGCCTCACGACACGCCCATCCGCGCCCGACCCTCGAATTGACGAGGGCTCTACCTCCAACCGAAGTGCGGCAGCATCGAGCGCCCGACCATTCAGCGCGACGCGCGTGCGCACGCCTCACGGCCTCGCCGACCCTCGCTCGAGCTCCTGCCCCTGCAGCCGGATTGAAGGGACAGCGAGTCGTCACGACATTCACAGAATCGCACGCCCGACGAGTCGCGCATTCTCTCCCCGATACACACCACCTCCGACGCGTAGCAGACGAGAGGCCCTCGCCCTCTCGTACCCCCAACCCTCACAATGGCGGCAAGAAAACTGCAACAAGAAGTAGACAAGTGCTTCAAGAAGGTGGCCGAGGGCGTCGCCGAGTTTGAAGCCATCTACGAGAAGATTGAGCAGTCGAACAACCCCGCACAGAAGGAGAAGCTCGAGGACAACCTGAAGCGCGAGATCAAGAAGCTGCAACGGTTGCGCGACCAGATCAAGACATGGGCTGCCAGCAATGACATCAAGGACAAGGCTCCCTTGCTGGACCACCGGAAGCTGATAGAAACGGTCAGCCATCCCCCCAAAATGATGCCGAATGGTGCGCTTCTAACACAGGCACAGCAAATGGAGAAGTTCAAGGCCGTGGAAAAGGCCATGAAGACCAAGGCCTACTCCAAAGAAGGCTTATCAGCGGCGGCCAAGCTTGACCCCAAGGAGCAGGCCAAGGTGGAGGCAGGCGAGTTCCTCAGCAACATGGTTGACGAGCTGGAGCAGCAGATCGAAGCCCTGGAAGCCGAGAGCGAGACGATACAAGCGACCATGAAGAAGGGCAAGAACCAAGGGGCCAAAGCCGACCGAATGGCCGAGATCGATCGGATAATCGAGCAGCACAAGTGGCATCAGGGGAAGCTGGAGCTTATCCGGCGGTCGCTCGAAAACGGAGGCGTCGACACGGATCAGGTCAACGACCTCGAGGAGAGCATCCGCTACTACGTCACGGACGGCATGAACGAGGACTACATGGAGGACGAGGCCATGTACGACGACTTGGCCCTGGACGAGGACGAGGGCGCGTTCGGCATGGCCCAGGACAACGAGAAGAGCTCGTCGCAAGACACGCAATCGGTACAGGAGGAGGCTCCGGCGCCCGAACCCGAACAACCACCAGCAGCGGCAGCGACGACGGCAGCAGCACCGAAACCCACGTCACGGAAAGCGCAGAAGGATCCCGAGGTCGCCAGCGGCAGGAAAGGTTCCGTCCAGTCCAAATCGCCACTGCCCGCATTGGCCACGTTACACACCCCGCTGTTGTCGGCCATCAGCAATGGGAGCACAAGCGGGCCGGCCATGAAGCCTGCGTCGCTGCCGACGCGACCAGCCGGCGAGGGCCTCAAGTACGCATCGGCAGCGGCGGCGGCGGCAGCGAGCGACAAGAATGTGGGCATCGCCCCGTTACCTCCGCCACCAGGTTCAGCACCCGTAAGCATATCACCGCTGCCGTCGCAAGCCAAGACGAGCGCAACGAGCTCCCCCGCGAGCACCTCGGTCCAGCCCGTACCGCCACAACAACCCGAGCCCAAGCAGGCCCCCATGGCCGGCCCTCCTCCTGCGGAGGCAGAGCCGACGAGCTCGCGCGCGTCAAGAAAGGCCAAGGCCGCCGGCAAGCAGCCCGCAGGCACCGAGCGGTCAGGGACGCCGACTGGTAAGTTGACCCCAACCCGTTTGCGGTCCCCCAGTCTACTCAGCTCACACCATCCTCCAGCGTCTCAAACGAACGGCGCCACGAACGGCGTCAAGAGGACCCCGGAGAGTTCCGAGGAAGAGTGCATCTACCATTTGCCAGCTGCACTCCAGGATCTGGTCGACTCTTACGAGGCGACTCGAGGGCGGCCGGTCGTCCCCTCTTCCGCGGCCGCCATACGGCTCATGTCGGCTAGCCAGATGACCAGCCCTGACAACATCGACGCGGAGGTCCCGCGGACTTACCGGCCAGACGTGCCTGTGCCGCCGACAGGCTCAGGATTCCCCAGGGAGCCGTTGCCCATCTTCGACGACCCGCGGCTCTACTCCCGCATCGACCCCGACACGCTGTTCTACGTCTTCTACTACAAGCAAGGAACGGCACAGCAGTACCTGGCCGCCAAGGCGCTCAAGGACCAAAGCTGGCGGTTCCACAAGCAATATCAGACATGGTTCCAGCGTCACGAGGAGCCCAAGAACATCACCGAGGAGTTTGAGCAGGGCACCTACCGGTTCTTTGACTATGAGAGCACATGGTACGTTCAGCTCTCCGGGCGGACCTGTGACCGCATGCTAACTTTGCCCAGGATGAACCGACGGAAGGCAGACTTCAAGTTTGCGTACAAATTCCTCGAGGACGACATTTGAATAGTGCGCGATGCAGCTGGTACCACGCGGGGACGCAACACGCCATGTTATCCCCCAGGAGGCGTACCGGATTCCCCTGTTTTTGAGTCCAATCTTGCCTTGCCATGCTACGGTGTTTAGAGACGGCGGCCGCTTAGGCGGCCCCAGTCCGGGTTTCGGGATACGGTAGTGTTCGAGTAAATTGACGTCATCCTTTCAGCAAGGGGTGTTTGCTGGGCGTTGCACATGAACATGGTTGTGTGCGTTTCCTTGTGAGATGTTTGCTTGCTGACCATGCGATGCCCTTGGTGTATTAACCTTCTAGGCAATCAACGGCTCTGCAGGATGATTATATATTCTCCGACGGTTACGTCCTTCCGGACAATTGCCCACCATGTTCTCGCAGACCAATAACCCGAATCCCTCCATGTCTTTCTCAACGCTAACTCGCGACGCCTCCCCGCGTCCGCCGCCGGCCCCGCCTTCAACGCCGGTCACCCCGACTATGCCACGACTGAGCCCGCGATGTCCCCCAGCGCCCCTCAGGAGGAAACGCAACAGGCTGTCGTACGGCAGCAGACGGCACGCCAAGAAACGGAGGTTGGCTAATGGGGACCCTGTGCACGATACGGCCCCCGAATGCCCGGCGGAGCATCAGGACGCCGGAGATGTGAGCATGGAAGATGCGTGGGACTGGGAGTCTGCCTCTGGACCGGAGGAGGAGATGAGCCCCGGACACTCCCCAACGCCTGTGAAGAGAAAATGCGACAGCATGTCGTGCGGCGGCAGACAGCGCTGCAAGAAGCGGAAGTTGGCGAGTCAGGACCCCATACGCGATGCACGCAGGTCGACTCCCGAATGCCCGGCGCAGCCTGGTGATACTGGAGACGTGCTCGTGGCAGATACTTCGGACTGGGAGTCTGCCTCTACGGAAGAGCAGAAGAGGACGATTGGCGACAGACTCGCCGCCTTCATGGACTCCATATCACTGCGATCGTGCCTCACTCCGATGGACACGGCGGAGGACTATGACGCAGCAGCATCCCCGTCGCAACACGCCCAACAGCGCCATCGCCAGAAACAGCGCCACCGCCAGAACGCTCACATCTCCTCCTTCTTGAGGAGAAGAGCATCGCGCAGGCACTCTTCCGATGCATCGCTCGACAGGGTCTGGCGCTGGCTTGCCGACCAGGCAATGGAGGCGACGACAGCAACTCAACGGACCCCATCCCCGTTTTAGACAACGTCACGCAACGAGTGTTGCCCCCGGCGGCGGCGGAGTGCGGCGGTCGTGACGCGTACCATCTCCGGGACAGGGACGCGGTGACGCCGGCCGCGGCGGCATTACACATGGGACGGGGACGCCGCAGACCGGTGAGGGTGAGTTCGGGGCATCCAGCGCGGCGTGCTGTCTCTCTTCGTCGTTGCCTGCGGTGGGTAAGGTTGCGTGCCCCCTACCCTTACTTCCCTATGCGCTGAGGTAAGTCTTTGGCAAGAATGAGCAGGTTCAAGAGGGCTCCTCTCGGGGAGTTGCTCGGCGTGCGGTTTGTCAGCTCTTTCGTGTTTTTTTTTTTTTTGTTTTGCTTGGCGTATACCACGAAAGGTGTGTTCTGGTGTCTCCTGCTGCCTACCCCCTTATTGCGCGGGTCGTGCGCCGCAACGACGACGACGACGATGATGGCGATGACGAGGTTGTGCGCGGCAGCGGGTCGAGGCAGCAATTTTTTTATTGTGTATTTTTGGACAATGACGAAAAGACCAATATGTTGAGCCGAAGAGGACCACTGTTTTATTGTGTCCATGTTTTTTTGTTTGCATTATTCTCGTTTGCGAACAGAAACGCTCGCTTACCGGGAGAGGCACGGAGTGGGAACCAGGCCCGCGGGCCATCAAGTGCGCCGCCGTACTGTCGCCGCCGCCGCCGCCGCCGTGCCGTGCGAGTGCGAGTGTGTGTAGCGGTCCATTGCTGTTTGGGCAGTTTCTATTGTAAGCCCTTCGCACAATGCAATTGTCACTGAGGAGGGAGAAGGGACCTGTTTTTAGCTGGGCCTCGCTCGCCGCAAGCCTCTGTGCAGCAACACTCTCTCTACGCACTCTCACCTTCATCCTCTGCAAAGAAAGAAAGCCCAAGCTTCATCCTCACCACTTGCCGCGCGACGCCTCACCGAAAGACTCCCGGACGCGAGACGACCGGCCTTGCACCTAAATATGGAAGAACTCCCGACGTGGCTCCGGTATGTTTCAAGTGTGGCTTCGTCATCCTTCAGTGGCGGGTTCGGACGGGAGGGTTTCGGGTCGGTGGAGGCGCGCGTGCGGTCTGGTCTGGTCTGGTCTGGCTGACGTGCCACGGACAGGGCTTTCAAATACATACGGGATGAACCGAGCCTCTCTCCGATTTGGCGGCAGGACCGTTACGAAGACGACGCCGTTTCAGAGACGTTTCTTGGCGTGAGCACGGCCGTCGAGCAGGCGGGTACTGCCTCGACGACGACGACGCCGGAGCACGGCAGCCAGGCCCAGTACGACACTGCGCTTCAGCACAACGACACATGCACAAAGGCCCAGCTGGAACACGGAGCGGCCTGGGGCAGCGAGGAGGCCGGAGGTTTCTACGTCGACCTGGGCCCAAAATATCGGGCCAAACAAGCCCTCAGCGAAGACGGACGCGCCGAAGCAAGCCCTGCCGCACGCCCCAACCCCACACGAACGGCCAACGTCTTTGTCAAGCTGCCGGAGGATTACGCAGAGGAGGAGGCCCAGGAACGGGCCCGGAAACATCAACAGGCGCAGAAACAGCTGCCGGCGCACAGACCGGCACAGGAGCAGGAGCAGCAGCAGGAGCAGGAGCATCATGAGTACCAGTACCAGCACCAGCACCAGCACCAGAACCAGAACCAGCACCACCACCACCACCACCTCCAGTACCAGCAGACCCTGTTCACTGGCGACCCGATGGACTGGGACCCAATAGTGGAAGGGGCCACGACCCCCGACGAGGCTAGGGAGTGGCCGGGACCTGACGAGGACCACTATGCGGTCGATGCTTGCGGGCGCTGTGCGTCGTGGGTTGAGGTGACGGGCCAGCTGGCGGCCCGGATGCAGGAACAAGATGTCTCGTCAAGGGCCCAGTGGGAAAGAATTTGGCAATTGGAACGGCTGGTCTGGGAGCAGAATTCTCAGTTGCAGGAGCAACGGGCGGCGTTGGCGGCGGCCTGCCAGTGGATAGAGTGGCAGCAGTGGATGTTTGGGATCAATACAGGACCGTGACAAACTGCTTGTGAAGACGCCGTGGATGACTCGACGGCAAGGCTCACCCTCTCGAAACTTTTGTGAACGGTCGTAATAACGACGTGACTTTCCCGCCAGCCTCGGACCTCGCCAAGTTTTCCGGCCGTCTTGCAGCAAACGACGTGCCAGCTCGCGGCCCAGATCCATGCCTTTCCAACTTTACGCGTCATCCAGGCATAGCCGTCGAGTGGTCCAGGCGAGGTTTCTAGAGAGAGGGACAAAAAATCCTCGAGTCAGCAAGCTCACGCGTTCGCTGCAAAGGCCGTGTCACCCATGGAAAACTGAGAAATGCAGAGTCGTGTCTGTGGTGGTTGCGGCAAGGAGGCGCGTTTCTTTGATGGCGGTGGCTTGGGACGGATGGGAACTGTAAAGTTGGGATGTTTCTCTGTGGCTTCTGGAATCCGGACGGGGCGTTTTTTCTGGCGGTGGTTGCACGTGAAGTCTGTGAATAACGGCAGGTGCTCCCTGGCACCTTCCTCAACACCAAAAGCACCACTTGACAAGAGGCGCCTGACCAGGAAACAGCCGGTAGTTCAATTCCTCAGGCATCTACATTTTACAAAAGTGTGCAGCTTCGCGCCGAGCAAACCTCAGTTGAGAACGCACACGCCAACTGCGACGTCGTTGCACAGCCATCGTTTACGTGCATGGCCCCATCGCGCTCTCTCGCCTCACTCCCCGCGACCGAACCCTCTCCAGCGGTTGGACCAAGCCAAGAGCGCTCGAGCTCGCCAGCATGTGATCCCTACACCATCAAGGTCGACAAGTTGGAATGGCAGCGTTTTCCGCGGCGACAGCAAGGGAGAGGCGAAGACACTGGTCGACCGTAAGCTTCAGCGGGCAGGCAAACGCCAAACCGCTCCGACGCCTTGCATGGCAGCACAACACAAGCGCTGGTCAGGCGTTCCGTGAGGCTCACCAAAGGCACCCGTCTGGCGCGCACATCAATTGCCGTCTTCGCCTGGCACCGAAAGCGACCTGCGGCTGAACAGACACCGGCCGTCGTGGCACGCTCCTGGCCCGGGTAAGCGAGAGCTTAATGCTGGAACAGCATCTGGCGCCGCCAATGGGGCCGTCCCCCACCGGTCCAGGATGCCAGGGTCCGTGGCTGTGGCGGAGGCGTCGACGTCCATCTCATTAGGCAGCGGGTTCTGTTCCCTGCCATGGCTGCACCGTCCAGCCACCGCTGGGGGCATCACCTGCATCGATCGATCCACTAATGATGGCGCAGGAGGCCATGACGGCGCAAGGGTCCTTCGACGATGTTTCCGTCGTCCAAAACATTGCACTGTTGCACTGCCGCGGTCCATCATGAGCGCTGAGCAGGCGACGTCGTCGCCCGTACCCGAAGTCCGGGCCGGCGCCGCTTCGGCCGCTGCCGCCAACGACAACGACCCGCTCACATGGACAAAGACGGACGAATCGAGGCGGCGCAGAGAGTCATGCCCGAACGGCCTGAAGACGCGGAACACTGGCACCTGCAATCGCGAGTCGGAAGCTCCCAGCCGGATACCCATCGCGTCCAAGGCGCCAGGTAAATATAGCAAAACAGACGTGCTCGGTGTCAGATGCGAAGACGCGTCGTGCTCCAATCTCGAAACGGATACCGACTGTGCAACTGCACGCTCTCTCCAGCGAGCCCCCCCCTCTGATGACCCGGCTGCGCGGCCAATGGTGGCCGGTTCATCTGGTGGCTTCACAGGCGGCGTCCTCGCACCCTCCCCCCGTCAACTCGGCCAACTCGAGGGGTGGTGCTCGTCAGCCCCGGCGCCAGAGAAAGCGCAAGCCACCGTGTCCGATTTCCGTGGCTCGCAACTCTGTCCCGGTCATGGTGGGTCACGCTCACGGGCCCTTGAGCCGCATCCGCATCGCTCGCATCCCCTCTTATCATCCCAATCATGGAGCGTATGAGACAATGATGCAACACCTCTGGCCCGCGCGGGCTGCAAGCCTCATTTTCGATGCGCCGGAGGGGTCCCTGCCCGTCTGCCACAAACACACGTCCCCTATGCCACGACCGACGACGGCATCAGCAGCCACCGCGGCCCCTGAGCAGCGCGCATTGGCTCGTTTTGTGGCAGCCTGGATCCAAGCCGTCGTCGCCTCTCGTGCCTCTCCCCGGCGGCGTCGCCCACACCACTGCCCCGACCGCGAAGGTGCGGCAAGCTGGTCGACGGGCCATACCGGAATTTGGGGCTTCAGATGACCCCCCCAAGAGGATCGTCCCCCTCTCTGCCACCCCCATCCCTGCTCGGTACATCCCCACCCTCCAGTCACACAAGCTCCCATTGTTGGTCAATCATGGGTGCGCCCATGTCGATGTCATCCGGGGGGTCTTGCCTCCACCCTCCAGGCTAGCCGACCTTCTAGAAGCCTGCCCCATTCCTTCGGTCCAGCCCAGCTCAGCCATACCCGTACATAAACCGCACTGCACGGCCCTTGTCTCGCCGACACACACACGTGGGGTTATGACAACTCCTGCTTCACCTATTTCCCTCTGACCCGCCTCACTTGTTCGAGCTGCGGCGTGTCCCCATCGCTGCGCCCTTTGCCCCCGTCACGAGACCCCGTCCTGATCCTGAAGAGCATATATACCCTCGGGAAGGTTGACTGGCCTCGCCGCAACCTTTTACGAGTGTCTTGTTTGAACCACTGTGCCCTTGCTCACTGCTCGTGCTTTACACCCGCCTAGAAGCTCAAAGGCAGAGCTTCTTGTCTTCATACCTCAAACAACATCGGCCCTACTCAACACCCATCTCATCCTGTCAGGGCCGGATTACAGAACGGCCGTGCCCGGGCTGAGCTACCCAACGTTGAAGAGAAGCCCGACGGCGTGATTGTCGGGACGAAAACCTGACGGCGTGGTACTTGGGCCACCCTCAGGTACCGTATAAAGATCATGGAATTCGCGTTCGCGCCGCACTCCTTCAACAACGTCATGCCGAACCCCCATGGGATGTACGACGGTTCCTACTCTTCCCAGTACTCTCACCTCTCCGAGCCACTGGCCAGATACGGGAGCTCCGAAGGCAGCTACGAGTCCCTTTCATCCTCCTCCGCAGTAGCCTCGCCGATGATGGGGAGCGAGTACTACCCCTACCACGCATCCTCACCTGCGGGTGCCTCTCCCAACACCCAGTACACACAGCCCAGTCCACCATCCACCGTGGCCTACTATGGGAGCCCGGAGCCAGATATGGAACTGGATCACGCGTCCCCGCGGGGGTCGATGGACGATCGCAGGGGCAAGTCGTAAGTAGACACTCACCGGTGTACCTGCTCGGCACAGCTGCTAACTACTTTGGAAAGATCACAGTCCGGGCGAGACTATCCCGTGTGCTGCCTGCACCCTGGATGCACAGCCAAGCCCTTCAAGCGCCGGGCGGACCTTGACAGACATTACAAGCATCGTCACGCACCGGACTCGCAGAAGGAGTCGTTCAACTGCGACTACCCACGGTGCGCCCGCCGCCTGGATCCGTTCCGAAGACTGGACCATTTCCGCGACCACCTCCGAGAGTTCCACAAGGAGGACATTGAGAAGCGAGGCGGCTCCATCAACGAGGAGTGGCTCGAGGACCGCCACGTATCGTCGAGCTGGTGGCGGTGCTCCAAATGCCTCAAGAGGGTCTACATCGAACGCAACGGCTACGAATGCCCGAGCTGCAAGACGACCTGCCAGGCAAAGCGGAAGGAGGCTCGCCGCCGCGAGTGAAGAGCGGCCACCACAGCACCAGATGTCGCGGTAATGTCGCGATCACAATCGCTCACGAATGACTTGCGCACATGATAGAGGTCACATCCGGCGGACTCCGGATATGCCATAATGCAGCGTTCCTACTTTTTGTTTGGCGTTACTGGCGTGCAGCGCTGCTACTTGGCTGGCGGCGCAGGCTTATGGTTAGACTTGGAGTGGATTGCGACGTCACCCTGGAGAGGCGACAACGGGTTGGGGGCCAAGAGCTGGTAGGCCCTGTGAGGCTGAGACCTCGATGCGGCTGTGTGCTGTCCGCCTTTGACTGGACAGCGTGACTAGGCAGCCTTTGTACGGAGTACATTGTACGTTAATCGTTCTGCGCTCAAGATATCCCAATTGCTTGTTCGCGTCCAATACATGTCGTTCCCTGCGCAGATCAGGACCTGGCCTGTGACTGTTTCCCTCGTGTGTCTACATCAGCCCTGTCTCTGCAGGTTCCGTGCGATCCGCTCGCACCTTGGCGACTTTCCCTGCAGCTGGGGGCAAGCCGTGATGCGTGCAGAGGGGGGTTTGCTGCCCATCTCCCCTGCCAAAGCCTCGGCGCCTTTCCCGTTTGGTGAAGAACGGTCAAGCGTGGTTTTTCTGCTCGCTGCGGGCTCGGCTGGGGGTCGACAGGGATGTGTTCGCCTCGTCCAGCCAGCCAGTGAGGGTGTGGTGGACGATGTGTGCGAGCGATAGCAGTATGGTGTGTCTGTCTTGTCTGTCCGTCATGCCGCGTCTTGTCTTGGCCGGTTCCGCTCCAGCAAGGAAGCAAGCAAGCAGCGGCGTCGGCCCCCTCCTCCATCCTCCCATCCATCCATCCATCGACCATGCATCCATCAGGGCATGCGCCCATCCACCCAAGCCCATCACCACCCCGGTCCGTCGGGTCTCGTGGAATTCTTCTAGAAGGAGTGGCGGTGTACTCGAGCGAACCAGCGGCACGGACTGGGGAGGCTAGTGTGCGGGGGCTCCACCACCCAGAGCCAGGGGGGGATGGCAGGATGGCTGGATGGGAGGGGGACGGAACGTTTGGAAGCTTTCGTGGAAGCAGTGCTTGCCTGCAGAGAGCGGATGGGGGATGGGGGATGGGGTGGCGGTGCCGCGAGTGGTGTGGGGAAGGAATGGGGAGGGAGGCAAGGGACGAGGAGAGAGGAGGGATGGCTCCGATGGTGATGCAGAATGTCTTCTGGGCGACAAGCTTCCTGGGCAATTGGGCTAGTTTCTGTGTCTGGGCGGCGGCGTGGACGGGCGGCGGCGTGGACGGGCGACGGCAAGGATGGCTTCTTTGGTCTGCGGAGGAGCTTATCGCGCGGACGATGACGATGATGATGGGGCTTTCTGGGTCGGCGGTTCTCGGCAGGCATAGACACGGGGACAGGGGACAAGGGGGACATGGAGCGGCTTGGAGAGCCAAGATGCAGGCACGCAGGCACGCAATGGAGACGGCGCTCCATCATCCATTCATGGGGCGACGCCCGTCCGTCCGCCGTCCGTCCGTCCATATCGCGCCAAATCGCCGGAGCGCATGATGGGCCCGTTGAGTCTTGACGCCCCGGCTGTTAAGGTAAGTGTTGACGTCTGCTAGTAAGTCGCTCGCCTCGGCACCGAAAGCGCAACCGCAACGGGCAGCGGTAACGGCATCGGGCAGCGCATCCCGCATCCCGCATCCCTGGAACCCTGGAGCCCCCCCGTTCCTCGCGTCGATGGGGCGCGCGCGCGCCGTGCGCGATTTTGGACAACAGCTTGGAACCACCGGGGTCGCGCGCCGGGTCCTGCTGGTGCTGGTGCTGTTGTCGCGGGCGGCGCATGAAGCATCTCCGGGGAGCTTGCCAGCCCATCGCATCGCAACGCGCCGGTGTCCCTGCTCTTTCCATGCCTCCAACTAACTAACTAATTAAGTGCACTGCTACCAGGCCCGGGCGCGGCGCTGGCGACATTATTCCCGCGCCGCCGCCGTTTCCCCACAGTCTACAGCGATGGAGAACCGAACAGCGCGGCCGAGCCGTTGGTGGCTCGTTCGCCCGGCTTTGCCTGCCATGCCTTTACTTTTTGGGGCGGGCGGCCGGGCGGACGGACCGGGGGGCCTACCTACAGAGAGGGGAGAGGGGACAGAGGGGACAAAGGGTGGGCGACCTAAGAGAGAGTGCACCCGGGATCTCCAACGGACGCCCGGTGGCCCTGGCTGGCTGTTCGGCGTCGCCGAAACTGAACGACTTCCCCAAAGGGCAAAGGGGATCATGGACGGAACGACGACGATGAGAGCACACAAACACAAAGTTCCCAGCCTCCCCAATCGAATCACATGGCATTGCGACTTGCGCCGTTTAATCGGAACCAGAATCAGAAAAACAACTCACTCAACCACGCCCCGTTCGTTCATATTCGTCCTCGCGCCATAATACAGTGATTCGTACACAGTGTTCCAGCCATGGGTGATGATTTGAATGGGGTTGAGCCTTGGAGCATCGGCCGTCGGCGCCCCCTTATGCCCGTCCTCCGTCCCCCGCCGCGCCCGACCTTCCCGTCCCTCCCCAGACCACGTTCTCCACGTCCGTCTTGATGGTAATTGTTTTTTTTATTGTTTTTGTTGTTGTTGTTGTGGGTCGTCCTCGGGCGACATGGACATCGGCCTCGAGCCGAGAGACGCATCCTGCGCGTCCTCGGCCTCCGGCCGACGTCCATTGTCGCCCTCGGACTCCCCCAGCCCCGAGGCTCTCTCCTCCCGTGGTGAATTTAATCCCGACCGTCTTTCGACGGCGGGCGGACGGGGTGGTGCGTCGGCGAGCATCCCCCCCTCGCCGGGGCGCGCAGACGGCGCAGCGAATCGAAACGCCGGGACATCGTCCCGCGACCGGCGGTCGAACGTAACCGGGCGCCAGACCCGAGAGTTCTAGTCTCGGGCGGCAGCCGGGCCGGCGTCTATGCTCGAGTAAGTTTGTGTGACCACCTGGCGGCCATCGGGGAGCACGCGTACACGCATGAGGTTGTTTCCCCAGACGTACAGGCCGGGCCTGGGGTTGCCCGGTATCAGGGGCTCACCCCTGACCCGGCCCGCGTCTTCGCCCGTCTCGAAGACGTTGATGTTTCGCGGCCGACGTTGGTCGGCCGCCGCGCCACCCGGGTTTGTGCGTGGCTGCATGGCTGTAGACCTGTTAGCTTTTCTCCTCAACGTTTTGTGAAAAGTGACAGTGATGATGGTGAGTTGTACCGGGGCGCGGCGTGTAGTGGCCACGTAGCCCGCCATGGGCCTCCCGGGTGGACGCAGCGTCGCCGCCTACAGAGGCGGGGCGTACGGTGGCCGTGGTGGTGCCATGTGGCTGGCTTCTCGGCCGAGAAGCTGGGCCAGGTAACGAGTGTAGTTGGGCCGACGGGGTAGGTAAAGCTGATGTTGGGTCTCAGGGCATGCTTCGAGACGCGTCAGGGCGCGGTGAGTACTTACGTCGTTATGGTTTTTATTGACGTCTTGCGTCAATGCACGTATGCTCGTGGGTAAATCCTCTGCTGCGTCAAGATGACTGCAGCCTCAACGGCGATGGCGAAGGAGACTCGGCGGCCTTTTGTAGATGATTGTTTGATTATTGCGTGATTATTGTTTGATGATTGTTTGTGGTTGTGCCGCTCGAATGCGTTGAGGATGATGCGAGAGGATGAAGGAGGGAGAAAGGCTGAACAGGCCGTGGCACGGGCGACGCCTTTTATACCCCGGGTCGGGGGGTCCCGTCGCTGTGGCCTGGCTGCCAGCTGGCGGGCACTCCCGTTCAGTGACGCTAGCCAGGTCGAGTGAGTGAATCATTGTTCTTCGTGGTTCCCTTCCGTTCTGCGGTGGTTGCCCCGGCTGCGAGCCAGTTCATAAAGGCTATTCGACCGCATGGGTGCTGTCAGGGGAGCCGCAATCTCGCGTCGGTACATTCAGAACAAATGGGGTTTTCATATTCAGCTAATTTGCAGCGTTGATGACCCAATGGCCCGGGATGCTGTTGCTGATAGAAAATGAAGCCCGTGATGGCGAGACTCAACAGCTGCGCGTGGGTGACGTGACACTGCTCGATATTGAACTCAACGCCCTCCGTTTCGTAATTACAATGGCATGGTTCGATGCCAAGAGTCCATAGTCGTCATATGGTTTCGTAACTGAATCTATACTCCTCGATAATTGCAGATATCGGTCACAGGTACTTTCTGGTGTTGACAGCTGTTCAGCACTGCAGCGATGGTTGATCGGTACATGCACTGTGCGACGACAGTGCAGTTTATTTGCACACTGTAGTAATGGCCGCTGGGACGGCATTGAACATCGCCAGCAGCACCATCACGATCGAGCCCGAGGAGCATATCAAGGTTGGCGAGCTCAAATAGAGCTGAGAGGAGAATAGAGGTGAGGTCGGACGCGCCCAATCATGTGCCCAAGCAAGGTACGTAGCTAATTATTTGGGGGACGACAGGGAGGTCGCTTCGGCGGGACCCACAGGGGCTCGGGCGGGTTACGTAGCTACATCTGCGGCAGGCGACACTGCGAACTGACATCCATCCGCGAGCCCAGCACCGTCCAGCTCTCCAATCCGACCAACGCCGCGTTTCTTGTCTCTGAGATCACCAATTAAGCCGCACAATGGCGGACGCAGAGGAAAAGGCGCGCCAGGAGAAGCTGGCCGCCGCCCGCAAGCGCGTGCGCCTCCCTTGACGACACGTCGCCCCGGCAGCTGCTAACCGGCACAGGTCGAGCAAATGAAGAAGAAGAAGAACAAGAAGGCCGCGGACCCCAAGAAGGAAGACTCCGGCGCGACGGAGACGCCACCGCCCGAGGCCGCCGAACCCGCGCCCGACGCAACGGCCGAGTCCAGCCAGAGCAAGCCCGCCGAAGCGCCCGCCGACGATGCGGCCGGTGACGACAAGGCCGTCGTCGAGGAAAGCACAGACAACTCGTCGCCCTCGGCGACGCCGTCCCTCGCCCAGCAGTCCAAGATGAGGTCCACGTCGTTCCGCGCGGGCTCGGGCTCCGGCACGGGGACCGCTTCGCCCGCCCCGTTCAGCCCAGACGGCGACACGGCGCCAGACATTTATCGCAAGCACGTCGCGAAGATTGAGGAGCTGGAAAAGGAGAACAAACGGCTGTCCAAGGAGGCAACCGAGGCGGAGAAGAGGTGGAAGAAGGCAGAGGAGGAGCTGTCCGACCTGCGCGAGGCCGATGGCGAGTCGTCAGCAAAAGGCGGCAGCAGCACAGAGGTGGAGAAGCTGGTACGAATCGGTCATCACTGCGCCCAGTGCGTCACTAACATGCTACAGAAAAGCGAGGTTGCATCACTACAGCGACAAAATGGCCAGCTTCAACAACAGGTCTCTCGTGGCTTGGGCCACGGCCACCGCGCGTCGGTGTCCATTGCTTCCCCGCCCTCGGAACTTCAGGCAGACCTCGACTCCAAAATCGCCACGATCGAGTCTATGGAGATTGAGATTTCCAAGCTCAAGGCCAGGGTCGAGCGCCAAGAGACCGGTGCGTCCTCGGAGAGGGAGCAGGTCACCGCACTGGAAGAGAAGCTCGCTCGCGCCGAAGCAGCCGCCGGCAAAGCTCAGCGGGAGCTGCAGGATGTGAAACGCAACCTCGAGCGGGCCACGGAAAAGGCAGTTCGGGAGGGCAGCGAGCGATCGAGCGCCGAGACCAAGGTGAAGACGCTGGAGCACGAAGCGGAGCAGCTGAGAGCAGCCAAGGACGAGCTGGAGAAAAAGGCCGACGGCTTGGACAAGAAGGTGACGACACTGACGACGCTGCACAAGGAACAAGACGCGCGATCGCAGACGCTGCGCAAGGACAAGGAGCGGGCGGACAAGGAGGTGGAGGAGCTGCGAAGCAAGGTTGAGAAGCTAGAGAGCGAAAACATCAAGCTTCGCAGCCGCAAGTCGGCAGAAGGCGGCGGCGGCCTGGACGACGAGGGCGTCGACGAGCTGGAAAACGAAGAGCGACTGCGTCTGGAGCGCAAGATCCGCACCCTGGAGAAGGAGGTGCACGACCTGCGAAGCGGCGCCTGGATCGAGAAGCGCCGCGAGATGGAGGCGACGAGCCCGGGCTTCCAGGACGTGGACCTCACGGGAGGCAGCATGGGCGCGACGCCTCACAAGAAGCACTCGGGCGGTGGCTTCGGCGACTTCCTGACCAGCGGCCTGAATGCCCTTGCTGGCGGAGGCGACGACGAGGGCTTCATGGACGACGACGACGCAGACTTTGACGAGGACGCGTTCCGCAAGGCGCAAGAGGAGGAGTCGCAGAAGCGCATCGAGAGGATCAAGGAGATTAAGCGGTCGCTCAAGCACTGGGAGGGGTGGAGGCTCGACATGGTGGATATGCGCCGCGGGGGCGGAGAAGGCATTGGGGACATATTCGACGTCTAGGCTACGAGTCCGTTACTGTATGATGAGCAAGGCAATACATTTGACGCGATGAAGACGATGCTATTGAGACTCATGATGGCCCCATCCCGCGAGGACGGTCATGCATGACATCACCACCGGACCCATCCACGTCTGTCAGCGCAAGCCAAAGTTCAACTACACACCTACATCATTCGTACAGCAGCTACTACGCCAATGGCCTCGGGCAAGACATTCTTCATCACGGGCGCAGGGCGGGGCATCGGCCGGGGCCTCTCGCGGCTGCTCCTCGGCGCCGGGCACCGCGTCTTCCTGGTCGACGTGGACGCGACGGAGCTGGAGCACACGGCGGGCCTCCTGTCGCGCAGCAACCACCGGCGGGGCACCGACTTTGAGGCGGCGCGCTGCGACGTGCGGCGGCCCGACGAGGTGCGCGAGGCGGCGGCGCGGGCGGCGTCGCTGTTCGGCCCGCGCGGGCTCGACTGCCTGGTCAACAACGCGGCGTACACGGGCGGCGTCGGGGGCGCGGCGCTCGCGGACGTGACGCTCGAGGAGTGGAACCGCAGCGTGGAGACGAACCTCACGGGGGCGATGCTCGTGACGCAGGCGTGCCTGCCGATGCTGCGCGCGGCGGCGGCGGCCACGGCGGCAGCAGCAGCAACTTCCACGGGCCCTGGCAGCGGCGGCGGCAGCAGCAGCAGCAGCAGCGTGGTACACATGTCCTCGACGCGGGCGTTCATGAGCGAGCCCGACAACGAGGCCTACGCGGCGACCAAGGCCGGGCTGGTGGGCCTGGCGCAGAGCATGGCGGTGTCGCTGGCGCGGGACGGGATCCGGGTCAACGCCGTGGTGCCCGGGTGGATCCACGTCGCGGACGAGTGCCGGGCGGCGGACGAGGCGGGCACGCGGTGGGAGGACGGGCTGAGCGACGCGGACATGCGCTGGCAGCTGACGGGGCGGGTGGGCAGGGTCGAGGACGTGCTGCGCGCGGTGCTGTACCTGGCGGAGAGCGACGGCGTGTCGGGCGTGGAGATGGTGGTGGACGGGGGGGTGACGCGCAAGATGGTGTATCCAGAGTGAGAGTGAGAGAGTGAGCGAGATGAAGAACGGTTGACGACTGTGAGAAGCAGTTCCTGTTCGAAAACAAAGCAAACAAAACAAACTACCGTATTCCAATACAAAGCCCTGCGCCGTTGCCAAAATTCCCATCGATGTTCGTTGCCTGCAGCGTTCCATATTCGTAGCATATTCGTCAAGGTAACAACATCCACCCATCTCGTCGTCCCGTCCGTGTCTTCATCGGCTGTACGACGTCAGCTACCGAGTCGAAGCAAGGGAAGGCCATCTCACTTACTCCGTACGTCAACCCCAGGTAACCATGGCGTCGGCCTCGTACGACTTGACGAGGGAGCGCAGCATGTCCCGCCCCTTGCCGCGCCAGGAGCGCATGAGGGTCAGAAGGCGGCGATATACACCGATGGGCATGGCTGTGTCGCGCAGGCTTGGATGGACGTCTATGTCGACGACACAATATATGGCTTCAATATGTATATCAGATATCTGATGGATAATGGCAATCCAGGAGCGGGTTGTAGATTACAAAACATCATCAACGCCAACAGCCGACTCTGCCCAGTCTTTAATACGGCAGAGCCGCTCTGCGGTGCAAATAAGCTTAACATCGCGCGTATTCGACCCGAGCCAGTTCGATGCGGGCGAGCCAGTCGATGTCGCGTCCCGCAGCACGTGGAGGTCGAGCCTCCAGAGCCTTGCCTGCGGCTTTGAGAGGCCGAACATGGCAGTTCGGTGTGGGCGAGCCATGGTTATGAACTTGTGTGAACTGCCAACGTCCTTGGACGGCAGCCAATCTGTACGCTGTGGCGCGACTTGGCACCAATGAAGGGCCGGCGCGTACAGAATACGATGAGGCTCGCCAGCGAGATCCAATCACTGGACTGGACGGCGACGGTTTTGGCTGATGGTGCTGGGAAGCTGAGATGCCTTGTCTGAATGCATATGACAGCTGCCGCCTACACGAAATACCGAGCTGTCTTCAGGCGTCCCTACCTGGGCTGCGAGTACCCTAATGGCACCACTATAGGCGGACAGTATCGTGGGAAATCACAGGCCAGAATGCCTGGTCCACAAGTCAAGGTTGCTCGGCAGTCGACGCTGCCTGGCCGCTCGGAACCGCCCAGCCGGAGTGCTGTGCGAACCATAGCACATTTTGACGATACTGTACCTGGGAATTCCCTTATCGCTGTTACGCATTTCAATCTCCAAGCCATACTCGTAGCACGTCACTCAGGACCCCCCAGACCTTTTTTTTTTATTAACGACGTGCGAGCGACATCGGACGTCGCAGTGGACCCGGGAACAGCAGGGTGGTCCCTTTTGGCGCAGTGGATCCCGACATCCGATGGGTGCGGCTCGAAAACTCGCGATGGTTGTTGCACGAAGCGAGCGAGCCTTTGTCACACTGCTGCAACAACTGTCGCGCAGGGACGGCCATCTGGCCCCCCCGCGCGGTGTCGACGCAACTTTGCTGTCGAATCGGGTAGGACGACGGCAAGCAGGCAGGGTTGCTTATTAGTACCTACCAAAAGGGAGACCACACACGCGCGCTCGGCTATCGAGCTTCTCCGCATTCTGCAGCTCGGCGATCCGGTCCCCCGCGCGCATGCTTCGTAGGTCATTGGCAGGGCAGGCGCAACCAGCATACGTCCTGTAGAACCTGGAAAAGAAGAAACAGCGATGGAGGGTTGGGGGGACCGGGGGGGTCACACCTCGGTCAGGAGGCAGGAGCGATGCGATGCAGCAGCTCCCTGCTAGGTTCAAAGTAGCTACCTAACTTGCTTCGTATACGTGCCCAGCACGCCCTGCCAGTTATGAGAGACAGGCGACTTTGCAGGGTACTTTTTCGAAATGAGGCTCCTACTCCGTGCCTTCCACGTCAAACCGGCTGACCCCTCACGGGACTCTGAGACGGGAACGGGAGCTTCTCCCAACCCAGCAGCTGCATGTTGCCTCGAGCCCCCCTCCTCAGTCCCTCGTCCCGATACAACCACCGCCAGCCGTGCCACCATCCATCCATCCATCCGACAGCGACTGCAACGATGCCATCGACGCGACGCACCCGCCGCTGCCGGCCACGCCAGACGCAGACCCCAGTTGGCGTTGACGCTCCAGCGGGCCCTCGCCCGTGGACCACCAGCTCGACGCTCCCCCACAGCGCAGCTCTCAGGGGGCCCATCGCTCAAGGCATCCATGGATCCAGTTCTAGCGCCCACGCCGCCGCTCACGCCCCGCCCGTGAGCTCCTATTCGGGCATTCTGCGGCGCCGAGACCGCCGGGGCCAGGCACTGGGCAACCGCCCAGCGGGCACCATGAGGTGAGGGACGGGGCGGATGCGCATGACTGATTGACCATGACGAGCGAGGGAGGGAGGGAATAAGATGTTGTCGCGCGCTCGTCGCATGCCATCTCCCTCCCTCTTCAACCCTCCTGCTGGCCAGCTGCACGTCCGTTGCGACTCCAAAGACGTCCTCCGCCACGGATTACCCGTCGCCCCGTGCATACATACCCTCAAAGCCGCCCGCCCTACGCGTCGCACAGCGTCCGCCCTCGACAACGTCATTCAGGTACGCCGCCCAGCCACTTCACCACCCTCCACTACCCTGCCACGCGCCCCCCCAGAGAGGGCACGAGACAAAAAGTTTGAATCCTGTGCGCTCGCGCTTGCGCCTGCGGTGGCGGCAGCGCCCGCCCCTCGTCCGGCCCGGCAGCAAACCTGGCCTTGCCGATGACACGCTTTCCCGACGTCGCCGCTTTGACTTCAACCAACTTCGCCTTTGTCTCCTTCTCCCTCGCCTCTCTCTCCTCCTTGTTACGACTCGCCCTCTTTGGCTCCCTTGCTCACCGTGCTGCAGCGCGCGCGCCCGTTTCGGCTACCGCAAGCTTAACGTCGGCGTCTCGGCACAAACCGTCCGCGGCCCCGAGCCGTTCGCGCACTCCGCTGCACTCCGGCTTCCCCCACACCCGCTGTCGCAATTCCGCCTCGGAAGCACCCTGGGCCCTGGCCTGAGTAGCCGACGAACCCCGCGCTCGATCCCGCCTTGCGTCCCCTAGCCGCCACCTTTTTGAGCCGCCGCTGCCCTCCTCGCTCCTGTTCCTCCGCCATCATGAACTCTGCCGCGAGGATTCTCTCTTCCTCTTCCCGCCAGAGCTTGCGCCGTCTCCAGATCCGCTCCGCCGCTCCCGCCTCCCGTTTCGCCCCGACTTTTGGAGCCGTCCAGACCCTGTCCGCCTCAGCCCGCACCATGGCCACCACGCGCAAGATCAAGGTCAAGAACCCCGTCGTCGAGCTCGACGGCGACGAGATGACCCGCATCATCTGGAAGGACATCAAGGACAAGTTCATCCACCCCTACCTGGACATCGACCTCAAGTACTACGACCTCGGCCTCGAGTACCGCGACGAGACCAACGACCAGGTCACCATTGACGCCGCCGAGGCCATCAAGAAGTACTCGGTCGGCGTCAAGTGCGCCACCATTACCCCGGACGAGGCCCGCGTCGAGGAGTTTAAGCTTAAGCAGAGTGAGTGGCGTTCCCCTGCCCCTTTTGACCACGGCGCAAACTGACCCCGGAACAGTGTGGCTCTCTCCCAATGGCACCATCCGTAATGCGCTGGGCGGCACCGTCTTCCGCGAGCCCATCGTCATCCCTCGCATTCCCCGCCTCGTCCCCGGCTGGCAGAAGCCCATCATCATCGGCCGCCACGCCTTTGGCGACCAGTACCGCGCCAAGGACACCGTCGTCAAGGGCGCCGGCAAGCTGTCCATGGTCTACACCCCCGAGGGCGGCGAGCCTCAGGAGATCGAGGTCTTCCAGTTCAAGAACGGCGGCGTCGCCCAGACGCAGTACAACACGGATGAGTCCATCGCGGGCTTCGCGCACGCCTCGTTCAAGCTGGCGCTCGACAAGAGCCTCCCCCTGTACATGAGCACCAAGAACACCATCCTCAAGAAGTACGACGGCCGCTTCAAGGACATCTTCCAGGAGCTGTACGACACGCAGTACAAGAAGGAGTTTGAGGCCAAGAACATCTGGTATGAGCACCGCCTGATCGACGACATGGTTGCCCAGATGATCAAGAGCTCCGGCGGCTACATCATGGCCCTGAAGAGTATGTTGCACCTTACTTCCGCCCGGACTATCTCATGCTGACATCTCAGACTACGACGGTGACGTCCAGTCCGACATTGTGGCCCAGGGCTTCGGCTCCCTCGGCCTCATGACCTCGGTCCTCATCACCCCTGATGGCAAGACGTTCGAGTCCGAGGCCGCCCACGGCACCGTCACCCGCCATTACCGCGAGTACCAGAAGGGCAACGAGACGTCGACCAACCCTATCGCCTCCATCTTCGCCTGGACGCGCGGCCTGATCCAGCGCGGCAAGCTCGACGAGACCCCCGAGCTGGTCGCCTTCGCCGAGAGCCTCGAGCAGGCCTGCATCGACACGGTCGATGTCGACGGAATCATGACCAAGGACCTGGCCCTGGCGTGCGGAAAGAAGGCTCGCTCCGACTACGTCACGACCACGGAGTACCTCAACGCCGTGGAGCGCCGCATGAAGAACATCCTCAAGGAGAAGCTGTAAGCGCATTTGCCTCTGGCGGGCTGGCCACGGAGAAAATACCCAAGACGGCGCTGTCCGTCGTGCATCTTTATCAAGGCAGGGCTGCATCAGCTTGAATTGGCGTCTGCATACATGGGAGACTGCATCTGTTTCCGCTGGAGGACGCGGGCGTCACGATACACGACGGTAGACTGGCAGGGCGAGTAGACGAAGTGCATGTAGACTATGATACAAGAAGACATCAATCATACCAATGCATATTTTTCATGACATGGGCACAGGACGGAAATGGAGATGAAGTATGCTTGTTTCAGTGTCGTGTCCGTGACGTGGATGCTCCATCCACGGCCCAGGCAACAACGAGGAATGACTGCTCTATTATACACGCGTTTCTAGACCCCCCAACTCCGACCCGATTCTTTTTTGACGTGCTCCCCATCCCTTGCAAGTATCGTTCTTCCTTCCCTTTTCCTGGGCGACATGTCCTCTCCCAAAGCGTTCTGCCTAATCGCCCCCCCGTCCCAATATTTGCTTGCCTGCCTGCCTGTCTGCCTCTGCCTCTGCCTCCCCCCGATTTCTTTGTTACACACGCAACGCGGAGGGGAAAAAAACACCCCTCCTTTCAATACGAAAAATAGGGGGGATAAATAGTGTTGAGAAAAAAGGGGAACGTTCAAAAAGGGAAACGACGACAAGACAGTCCACTCGCATACCGCCGTCGCTTGTCGACCTGACGCATTACAGCACAGTCTTCCAGGATGATGGCAGCAGCGACGTCTAGTCGACTCTGGACGTGGAGGCGGATGCGGCGGCGGCGGCGGCGTCCCTATCCCGTTCCCTGTCCCTGTCTTTGTCCTTCTTGGAGCGGCGGGCCACGGGGGTGCTGCCGTCGGGGCCTCCACCCTCGCTCTTACGCTTCTTCTTGGCCGGGCGGCTGGTGGAACCGCCGGGGCGGTACCCCGGGTCGTCGTCGCGCTTGCGCTTGCCGCGGCCGGCGGGCGTGGAGCCAAAATCGTGGTCCTCGTCGGCGCTGGCCTCCCGGTCGCCGCCGCGGTGGCGGGAGTGGTATTCTCGGTCTGCGGCGTGGCGAGCCGCGGCGCTGGCGCGCTTACCCCTACTGCCCCTGCCGCCGCGCTCGCCGCCGCGTCCGCCGCGGGACTTGCGGCCGCCGGTGTGGCCGCCCGCGCCGTGCCCGTGGTGGCCGTCGGCGTGGTCGTCGCCGCCCGCGGCGTCGGCGCCGGGGCCGTGCTCGCCGTCCTGGAGGAAGACCTTGGGCGCGTGCTTGCGCAGCCAGTTGGTGACGCTGGTGGGGTTCTTGATCTGCGGGTGCGGCGCCGGGGTGGCGTTGGGGTGCGCGCGGGGAGCGAGCGTGGGCAGGGCGGCGTGCTTGCCGTCCGGGTCCATGGCGGAGTCGACGGCGAAGATGTAGTTGTCGATGTCGTCGGCGGAGAGGAAGCTGGCGGGGTGGGCCTCGCCGTCGGGCGCGGAGAGGTCGGCCACGGTGGCGGGGTGGGAGTCGCGCGTCGCGGCGTACGACGAGTGCGGCACGTCGTGGAGGAGCTGCTCGAGGCGCTTGGCGGCGCCGTCCTTGCGCTCGTCGTTGGCGGCCTGCCGGCGGTCGAGGGGCAGGACGGGGGACCGCGAGTCCGAGGGCGGCTTGAGGGCGACGTCGATGCGCCTCTCGGAGGGGATTTGGGGAGAGTTGTTGATTTCGAGGAGCATGTCGAGCAGGCGGCTGCCAGACTGTCAGCATTGAATTCACTTGACGCGATTGATCAACACCATCACGGGATGGCCGTGGTGATGATGACCGTGACGCTGATGGACAAGGGGGCGGGAGGGGAGAGCCTCACTCATTCTCGACGGCTAGTCGTTTCACCGTGGCAGAGGCCTTGTCCTCGCGCTTGTGCAGCTCCTCGCTCTGCTGCATCTTCTGGTCGAACACGATGCGCATCTTGCGATACTTCTTCTTCCACGACTTGTAGCCGGCGCTGCGCCGCTCGAGGGGGCCGTCATCGGCCTTGCTCGGCGAGTCGGCCATGGACCTCAAACGGGGTGCGGGATGGCTCCCCGGCAGCTCCAATCGATGAGGTTTCTTCGTTGTTTTCCTTGAATGCGTGCAAAGCCGCAAGTGTTTTTCGCGGACCGGGAGAGACGGCGGAGCCGCGCCCTCGGTGCGTCGGCTGGGTGGCGGCGGATGCGCGGGCGGAAGAGTCAGGTTCTTGGGAAGTGTATTTTTTATCTCGGCCCTGGCGGCAGTATTTTCTGGTTGACGCGTGCGATGGATCGACCGCGAGTTTGGCCGCGTGATTGGGGGCTGTCGTGAGGGATGGAGTCGTGACAGATGGGAAACGCGCCGGCGGCAGGCACAAAAGCTCGACGGAAAGGACTGACGGCAAGGTCGCTGCGAATTGACCGACGATGATGTCTCGGGGAAAGTGTGGCAATGGGACCGCGTCGCTCAGTGGTGGCGGCGATGATGATGATGATGATGGAGAAGCGAGTTGGGGAGAAGGAGGGTTTGCGGGAACGAGGGAGGTCGACGATGGGGATGGGCGTCGGAGCGTCGTGGCGGCGGTGCGTGTGGTGGTGCTGCTGCTGCTGGTGGTGCGTGTCAGTTTGGGGTCCTCTCTCGCTCTCCCTCTTTCTTTCCGAAGCGCCGCGCATCGCGGCTCAACTCCAATTTGTCCGTGGTTGGCTTGGTCCCGCTGGCCGAGTTTGGTGGATGCTGCTGCTGCTTTTGGCGGGCGGCGCGGGTCCCCGCTCAAGTTGGCTACCCTGCAGCACGACTGATCCGACTGCGGTTTTCAATATACCCTCAATGGGATAGTTCTTGTGATGCAGTTGCTGCTGTATAATAACATATTGTTTCTGATGAGTATCACAGTATGCCTACACGCGCGCAACGAACTGTGCTGATGCATTGGTGTTGTGTTGAACTTGGCTCGGCTCAATGTCGTTGCAGTTCTGTCTGGGTTCGAGAGCAAGTGCATCGCCAAACTGATCGAGGTCATTCACAAGGTTCATGTCGCCAACACTCCGTGCTACCAGGTCTCAAGGGTAAACAGACATCTTGCACAGGACACCACGCGACTTCTATTCCATGCAATCGCCCGGTGACGTGGCACGCTACTACCTGTATAGACCATCACGACGCGAGCTCGTTGCCCAGCCTCTCCAGCTCCTCCTTGATGAACTCGCCGGCATTAACCAGCTCTGTGCTCCCGTACACCACCCGCTTCCGTCCCCGGTCGCCGCCTGTCCGGCTCACCCACTCTTGCAGGTTGCCGTACTCGTCCATGCTGCCGCCGCCCACCGTGAACACCACCGCCTCGCTGAACCCCTGCCGCCGCTGCCCGAACGTCGCTGACTGCCCGACGCCCGCGGCCCCAGGCATGCCGCCCGGCGCGTTCGCTCCGGCGCCCGACCGTATCGCGCTGGGTGGCGGCATCGTCCCTCGCGCGTTGGCCGACCGCGGGTCAAAGTACAGGTAGTGCTCCGTCTTGGCAATCGCCGACGACGCCGCCGTGGACGGGTCCATGATCGACTCGACAATCTTGGTCACAGTCAAGTCTCTGTCTGCCGGCAAAAAGTTCTTGACGCCGCTGATGAGCGACTCAAAGTTGGACGACAGTCCTGTCGGTACGCCCGTCTCCTTGAGCCGGTCCGTGAGGCGTGAAGAGATGGACGAGAAGCGGCCAAACAGGTCCGACGACGACTGCTGGTTCGTGTTGTTGTTGATGGTAGTAAGCTGCGTCATCTTGGTAGTAGCTCGCACCCTGGGTCATGTCAGCACAACTCGTCGCTCCTCTGGTGATCAGATCATCCACTTACTGTCGAACGTATGCCAGAGACGACGTGTCGGCGCCGGCGGCCTCCAGAGCCTTGCCGAAGCTCTCAAAGTCTGCCCTGCTGACTTCCTGCTCCGTGCTGAGGAACCAGATGATGAAAAGCCGCAGCTTATCAGCCGGCACCGTACCCTTGTTGTCGTCCTTGATAATCTCCATGATCTGGGCCTTGGTCTGCTTTTGAGCGTTTTCCTCGATCTGGAAGTAATTGTCCAGTTGACGGTCCTTGATACCGGACAGCAGCGCCGCCAAAATGTTCATGTGCATGTCGAGGATGCCCTTGCGCTCGCGCATCTCGGGCAGCAATGTTATCGCGGCCTTGAGGTGTTGCGCGCTGGCGCTCGTGTCGTTTTGCAGGTCCTCTAAATCCGTCACTCCCGTCTTCTTGGTGATCGAGGCCGTGTCCTCCTTGTACTTGGTCAATTCGGCGTCGATGTCCTCGGCCACCTGTGGAAAGGGGACGCCCGCGTTTTTGGCCCAGAAGAAGTCGTTGGAGCTGAGATCATACGCCTTTTTCGTAGTACCCTTGGCTGGGTTGCCCTCCTCGACGGCTGTCTCGATTGTGATCCGATTGAGCTTCATGTTGAGAACGTCGTGGACCAGAGACTGGTACGTCCACGAGTGAGACAGCATCGGTATCAGGTCAACGTTTCGATCGAGGAGGATGAGGACGGGCCTCGAGCTGGGGGTGCCAGCCGCCGTAGATCTCGGCCCGGAGAAGAGGTTGTCTTTAGAGTTGAGGATGTGGTCTCGGAGCTTGCGGTCGAGGCGGGCGGCGACCATCTCCGCGGCGGCTCCCTTTGGACAGCGAATGATGGGGATAACACCTACAGTTCGTCAGTTCTACCTTGCTCTTTTAGTAGGCAGTTTCGCTTACCCATGGTCACAATCACGCTAAAGAGGCCGCTCACGATCCGGTCCACCACCAGGTCGAGCTCCTCGTCACTCGTCTTGGCGCTGTTCAAGGCCCAGTATGTGTGCTGCTTCTGCATGCCGAGACTGAAGAGATCCGGCTCGGCGACGATAAAGTTGAGGTACTGGTCGAACAGCTGGGCTATCTGCTCCGACGTGCCGGCTGTGGCTGTTTGCGTCGCAAAGTCTTCCAGGAGCACCCGTGGCAGAGACGAAAGGAAGTTGATGTACGCGGGAGAGTACAGCCCCTTTTCCAAGTCGGTGGTGATGCCCTGGAGGTTTTGCGCCGTCGGCTCGAGGAGGTAGATGACGGGGACGTCGGGTATGGGATGGCGCGCGCTCGCAATGTGCCTGGGCAGGAGCTGTCAGCGGTAACGTGGAGGGTGCGAGACTCGCGGGCAGACTGACATGTGCATGGTGATGCCCATGGACCTTAGGTCGCTGACGCGCATGACGCTGCTAATGACATCGCGCCCGAGGTCGTCAAAGACCAGCACCTTCCAGATGGGGTTGCCGTCGGCGTCGAGGATGGGGGCGACAGGCGCAAGGAGCCCGTTGGCGTGGGCTTCGTCCGCCTCGCTCGACTCGACCGTCTCGTTGAGGTTGAGTATCTTTTTGAGAGACGCTGCACCCTTGTCAGCGCGCAAGCTACAATGCCAGTCGCCTCAGATAGCCTACCGATCTGGCGATCTCGCAGACTGTTGCCCCTGGTCGCCATGGTCGCGGTGGTGGCGCTCGCCAGAGCTGACGCTCAGGTGGGCTGCGTTGCTCTCTGAGCAACTGGCAGCTCGATTTCAGACGATTAAGCCAGTGATCGAGCTTGTTAATAGACAGGGGATCGGTGCCAAAGCAGAGAACAGCTCGTGGGGCGTTGGATTGTGAGAGTGGCGGGCGTTTGCTTTGCGACCGAGAGAGGCCACGATATCATCAATCCGACGCAGCGCGGCTTGGGACTTGGAAGCTCCCACAACCCACTTCAGGCATGCTGTCAGAGCCCACAGCGGCGAGGACGAGCGCCGCGCAATTGGTGGGCCGGACCGACTCAGCGACCGACTCTGGCACTCCCCACTGACGCACTCGTCGAGGTACCCGCCGTCACGTGTGCTGCACGAAATGACAACCTGCCCCGCAGTACTGGTACGTGCAGATGCCCAGTGGTTGAGCCACCCGTTGTGCCGTTGACACGCGTTTTAGGTACCGGTACCTCGCTCTTCGTGGTGCTTTGCCGGATGAAATTGCCTGGGCCCGCCAGCGAATCAGCTCCTGCCATCTCCCTTGCTGGGGCCCGAATTCTAAGGCAGCAACCAAGCCAGCCCACCGCAACAACCTGAAGCCAGCGAAACACGCTCGACTTTTCCCCCCTGGCTTGACGACACTCCATCAACAACCACCTCACTCGTCATCCGTCGCGACAACAGGCCATCGTCCACCTCGGCGGGAGACTGCGGCGCTAGATATCTTGGTCGCTCGGACTCTCACGGCCGGCACAAAAAGTCTCGTCGTGCCGCCGTGATCTCGAGCGCCGCTGGGCGTCATTTGTTCCCTCGAGTTCTCCACCCGTTTTGTTCTCTCCTCTCCCCGGCCAGGGCCTCAATTTGTAAACAGCGCGTGAAGGCAAATAATGTCCTTTCGTCGACCTCTGATCTGGCGACACATTTAATCTGCCGCCAGGACGCGCACACCGATCGCAGGGTATGCCTCATTGCCCCCATCCGTACACACTCCCTTACCCGCTTTGCCTTTGCCGCACCACTCCACGCTCTGTTTCTGCCTTTAGCGAAGCGCCCAAGCAGCCGCGCTGCGACTCCGCGACTCGTGTGATTTTCTCCCCCTTACCTTCACGCATCAATGAAATGCCAGCGCTTTAAGACGCCATGGCCATAAGGTCGCAGATCCGCCGCAGTGGTCCCTTTGGGGAGCTCAACCCAGCCACATAAGGGGATGGGAACGGTCACTTGAAGGGCTGCGAGCAGGATTGCCAGCACGCCGGCTCGAAGTTTGGGCAAAAAAATTGCCTTGGGACACATTACGCACGTCTTGGACTGCTCTTTGGGGGAGCGTCTCCTGATAGTATGGCGTCGTTCCCTGGCGGCGATTAAGCCACGGGTTGGGCCCGGTTGGACGACCTTGGCGCTCTCTGCCCTCTTGACGAAACCCCAGACCTGTCGACGAGAGCGCGCCGCTACAAAATCAAAGGGCCACAGACGAGGGCCGCCGAATGGCGCGTTTCCAAATCCCTTTGGAGGTTACGGCTGGCGTGAGTGAGCGTTGAGGCTCCCGGCACCAAGTGCTGCTCGCGCCCGTGGTTCGGGTTCTGCCTTGCAGACGCGACCGCGACTCCCAAACCAAGAAGGGCAAGATTGGCGACTCTGCCGTTTGGTGCCGTCGCCTCGGCGGGCCGGTCCAGCCAGCGCATGATTCCGGTCCGCCAGCGCGCCTCTTTGTCCCGTTCTTCAGTCCTTTGTTTTCGCTGCCTCCATTCCACCGTCCGTTTGGGTGCTCTGTGCTAATTCTTCGTTGTCGGAGGTTTCCAGCGATACCACCAATCCTGGCACCATTTCCCCTTTCGGGTTAGCGCCACACTGGACAGCGCCCCGGCCCGCCCGCCGACAATCAGCCGTAAACAGCCAGTTAGGCTAGCGAGGTCCCGCGCCGCAAAGCCCAAAGTGAGTCGATACTCTCCCCCGACCCCTGACTGTTAGCCTCCCACGGCGCAGCCCTCGGCGCACCGCATCAGACAATCCAGCCACTCTCGTGACGTCCGCTATGAGGTCAGGAAGTGGCATCATCACGGGCACTCCAACTAGATAGCGACGGTCGCTAACGCGCAGAAATTAGTCTGAGGGCGCGGCCAGCAGCGTCGACGCTGTGCCAGCGCGCGTTGTTCGTGCGTGTTTGCTGAGGCGCCCGCGTCGCGAGCCTCGTCAAACATGCAGTCCTGGGGCGGCCAGGACCAGAACGCCGCCGACGGTAGTAATCAATGGCAGACCGGCTTCGTGTATCCGGGCCAGAACGGCCAGTATGACCCGAACCAGCACCAATGGTCCCAGCCCGGCGGCGCCGGCTTCTCTCAGGTCGGCCATGGCGCGCAGGACGGCGGCACGGCCGACTTTCAATTTGACCCGTCGCAACAAGGGCCGGGTGGCTTTCTCGGCGAGCAGCAGCATCTAGCCGCGTCGCAGCCAAGTCAGCCCGGGTTCCACGATGCGCACGGCTCGATCCACCAGCAGTTCGTGACGCCGGGCCAGGACATGCTAGACCCGTCCTTTGGCAACCTCCATCCGGGCATGTTTGGCCAGCAGCAGCAGACCGGCAAGATTGCTCACGGGCATGTGGCTATGGGGCAGGTCCAAAACCACTCCCACACCCATCCCCAGGCGTTTGCCCAGCATGACTTTTCCTACCCAGCCCAAGGCGGACAGGCGTTTGGGTCTCCTGCCCCCCCGGTGGCTCACTACAGCCCTCCGCAGCTGATGGCTCGACCGGCCTCGACGCGTCAGCGAAGCCATACACCAGTACAGCAACAGCAGCAGCAGCAGCAGCAGCCTCCGCAGCCACCGCAGCAACAACAGCAGCAACCGCAGTCGCAGCAACACTTTGACTCGAACAACATCCATCCCGGCCTGGCTCAAGGGAGCGTCTATCACCGCCCTTCTCAAGCATCTCCCCCACAGCAGCATGCGCAGCCGCAGTTGTACTCGGGCCCCAGTCAGGCATATACGCCTACGCCAAACGGGCAGCAAGGCCACTTTCAAGCCGGCGTTCACGGCCATCTGACCTATCAGCAGTTCCAAGAGCCGGGTGCCCAGCCGCAGCTGCAGCAGCAAAACCACCTCCAGCAGCATGGGTTTCCCGCGTCACAGCCGACTTACCAGCAGCCTGGTCAAGGAACCCCTGTCCAGCAACCGCAGCCTCAAGTATCGCAGCCACCCGTTCCCGGCCTGGCTGCGGGAGCCAGCGCAGAGTCTGACGTCGGCACGCCTCAACCAGCGCCGGCCGAGTCTCCGGCAAAGAAGCGAAAACGGGCAACTAAGAGCACTCCAGAAACCGCCGCCGAGTCTCCGGCCCCTGCTGTGATTGACATTTCCGCCGAGTCCACGGCCAAGAAAGTAGAAGAGATTGATGCTCTCAAGGCGCCTGTACCTACGGCGGAGGAGGCAAAGCTGCTGGCTGAAGCCTCCAAAAGGGGTAAAGCCCACGGCAAAGCTCTCGCAACCAAGGCCATTCCGTATCTCGTCAATTCCGGCACCATCAAGCTGCCCGGTAATGCCGACTGTCTACCCTATCCCGAACAGATCCGTGCTGACCCTTATAAAGCGCCCAAAAGCTTCGACAAGCTTTCCCCGATGGTTGCCGTTCCGTCACGCAGCGGCAAGCCCGCCGTGATAGGCCTCGGCTACGCGCTGCCGTGTGAGGTCCAAGGCCGATTCACCAGCCAGTACAAGCCGTCCCTGGACAAGGCCGGGCTCGACGAGAGAAAGGACGAGGCGAAGGACCTCCTCGGCGACTACGACCGAGCGATGAAGGCCCTGGGCAAGCGGCAGCCCAAGTACACCGAGTATCCTCGTGAGTTGTCCCCCTAATCACATTTGATCGTCGCAGGCTGACGGTCGTAGACTCGTTTAAAGAGCAGCTCAAGGCAGATGAGGCCTCCAGGAATAAGGCAGAGAAGAAGGCAAAGAAGGAGCAAGAGGAGGAACGTAACAAACCCGTGAGTACTGTCGGCCCTTTTGCTCATGGCCCAGTCCTGACGACCGCTCAGGCCCGACCCCCGACACGCCCGACGGATATCGCCGCGGCTGCCGCCTGGGACGTCATCGGGATCGTCAAGATCGAGCCCTCCGTGGCTCGGACGAGTACTCTCATCGCAAACCGCGTCAAGGAGGCCGGCGAGTACCTGATCAACCTGCGCGGCGAGGCCAATCGCGCCCTCAAGGCGTACGACCAGGCAGTTAAGGACAAGGTGCCCGATGACGAGGCGGCGGCCCTTAAGCACGAGGCAGACCAGAAGCGGGAGGCGTTGTACCAAGCCCTCGACGCCACGCTCGTCCACGCCGATGATGCCGTTATCGACAACCTCGGTGGACATCAGAAGCTGGTCCTCAGCCTCGTCAACGCCCTGATTGCTTGCAGCAAGGTCAACGACTTTTCCGGCAAGCTCCCCAAGATTGTTCTGGAGCTCTTTACGCACTTCAAAATTACTAAGAAGATTGCCGAGACGCCCAACTTTGACACGGTGCGGAAGCGGTTTGAGGAAAAGGGCGACAAGGACGTCAAGGACCTGGTGCGCGAGGTTTCTGCCGCCATCAGAAAGTTTACCAAAGCCGCCGAGTCCGATACGGGGTACGCGGGCACCTCGGCGGCCGGTCGCGCGAAGCTGGGCATCAAGCCCGCAGACTCGGCCAAGAGGAGCAGGGACGAGGAGGAAGACACACGGACAGTCAAGAAAATCGCCGTCGAGCCTGGCAGCTCGTCCTTGAGCAAGAAGCTGGGCCAGTCCAAGATTCTTTCCAACAAGGCTGCACCTTCGGCGGCAAAGACGTCGATATTACCTGGAAAGTCAAGACCCGTCGCCAAACCTGCCAAGTCGGAGCCGCCAGCGGCAGCCGACAGCCCGAGCGCATCGGCGGACGAGAAGAAAACCCCGAGCATCGCTACCAAACCTGCAGTCCCAAAGAAGGAAGTGAAGCCTGTCCCGAAACCGGCTGCCGCCGGCCCGACTTCGTCCGTCGTCTCCAGCATATCGTCGCTGCTCGAGTCCATCAACTCCAAGAAGCCGGAGCCGCAGGCGCCGGTCGTCAAGGAAGACAGGGCTGCGACGCCTGAGACTTCGGAGCAGCGCGCCAAGCGCCTCCGGAAGGAAGCCCGCCGCAAGCTCCGGGTGAGCTGGAAGCCGGAGAGCGAGCTGGTCCAGATCAAGGTGTTTGAGAAGGACGACGAGGAAGACGAGGGCCGCGACGTGAACCAGCTGCGGGACGCTGCCGACGATCGATCCGAAGGCATGGTCCTCAAGCGCCGCGTCAACGTCAACGTCGACGACGAGGACGACGACCTCCCATATCAGCCGTGGGAAGAGCCGTCGCCGACCGACTTTTCTCACTTGCCCGAAGACGTCCGCAACAAGAGTTACGTCACGCGCGGAGGCAGCGTCGGCGTCAGCACTGAGGAGCAGAAGCGTATCGCCGAGAGGGAGCAGCGAGAGCTCATGGCAATATACACGGACCCCGCCGACATTCCCGAGTCCAGCAAGTCGCCACCTCCAGAGGAATCTCTCCCCGTCGAGCCCAAGGTGGGGCGGCTGCCGGACGACCCCAAATTTGGCGAGCTTCACCGACGCTGGCAGGAGGAGCAGCAGCTGGGCCGGGACTTGGCTTACGAAGCTGCCCTGAAGCGCCTGGACTCCAAGAACAGCCTGTCCACGAGGCTCGATTCCATCCTCGGACGCCTTCACCGGCCCGCGGGCCAGGACGCCGCGTCCACGGCGCACAAGTCCTCGGCGTCGGGCGCCGCCGGGACAGTCTCCAAGGCGACCAACGTGCACGTCCCATTTGCATATGGCCCGACCGTGGAGCTCAACGTCCTCGAGTGGCTCAAGTGGGATAAAAACCGGCTGTGGCGCGATCCAGACCCGGTGCGGACGGATCCCGCGCGGGCACATCAGTACGCCCCGGACGTGGAGCTGGCGGGCAGGGCGCTGGAGGGCGTCGTCGAGCTGCTCGGCGGCAAGCCGTATCCCGCCGTGGCGCCTCCGCACTGGCTCATGCACGATGAGGAGCGGGTGCGGGAGTGGTGGCTGGGACACAACAAGGAGGCGGCGGCGAGACAGAAGCGGCAAGAAGAGGAGCGCGCGCGGGCCGAGGCCGAGGCCAACGCGCTACGAGCCACGGCCGGCTCGCAGGACTGGAGCGCCTACTACGCGCAACAGCAATACGCGCCGTACATGGCGCTGCTGCAGCAGATTAACGGTGGCGCGCAGCAGCCGGCCGCGACGCAGCCTCCGGTAGCACCGCAGTTGCCCGACAACCAGCTGCAGTCGATCCTGGCCGCTATCAACAGCCAGCCGTCACAGCAAGCCCAGCATCACGACGGCAGGGCGTATGACTTCCCGTCGTTTGCCCAGGGACAACACTCCTCGTCGTCGCATGCCTCGGGAGACCACGACCGCGACTGGGAGCGGCAGGACCACGCCGGGCGGGCGGGCGAGCAGCACCGCGACGACGACGGCCGGGGGAAGAAGAAGCGCACGCTGCCACCGCACAAGCCGGCCAACAAGGCTCTCATCGGGACCAAGCCGTGCACGTTCTGGCAGCAGGGCAAGTGCGCGAGAGGCGACAAGTGCACGTTTAGACACGACTAGAGTTTTTTTGTGCGGGCGGGAGTGGCAGCTCATGTTTTGGGCGGTGCATCTATTACGGCGGGCACGCCTGGAGTTGAGGCCATCTTATTGCTTTACCCGGAGGACGGCCATTCCTATTTGGCGGTCGAAATGGAAAGCCTGTATAAATATACCAGCCTGGCCACGGCCGGCAGATACCAAGTGCCCGAACACGATCCATTTGTCTGTGTAATTCCCCGTAGTGTCTGCTGGTGGTCGAGTGTATCACGTGGCACGCGTGGCATTGAGTCTGTGAGTTGCCCTCAGCAGGCGAGTGTTATTAAATTACTCTGTCTTCATCTCCGTGTCGGCCCCGGGTCGCGCCACGAGCCCCCGCAGGCTCAAATCATACACGACATCCTCGACTCTCTTGACGTCGTACTTGACCGCGTCGCCGCGCTTCCGCAAAATGTCATTCTTGAGGTTGAGCAGCTGGAAGCCGGCAAACAGGTCCTTGACAAAGGCCGCAATGGTCAGCGGCAGGGCAAAGTCGCCGTGCGTGACGGCGTTGGTGGCGAGGCGCGAGAGGTCCTGCGTGAAGTCGGTCAGGGAGAGGAGGTACTCCTCGATGGTGAAGTGGAAGGCGTCGCGGTCCTTGAGGTTCGTGGGGACTGCCGCTTCCTGTCAGCTGCCTGCCTGCCCGTTCTTCTGTTCTTTTCTCTTTTCTTCTGCTTTTTGCGTCTTGAGTCTGAAAGGGGGGAGGGGGGGTGTTGGGTCTGAGAGGGGTTAGAAGGGAGCGGTGGTGGAGCGTCGTACCCTGGAAGATGGCGCCGACTTGCTCGAGCGTGAGGAGGCGGCCGAGCTCGCGCTCGCCGCTGGGCTGCTGAGCGGCGGCGGCGGCGTCGGCGTCGGGGAAGCCGCCTAGCCAGGCGCAGTAGACGGTCGTGCCGATGGCGCCCTGCACGGCGCGCGACCACTTGGAGTTGTACTTGTAGTAGGGGTGCTTGGAGGCGACGGCCTCGAGCTCCTTGACGATGGCGACCTCTTCCCTCACGGCGGGCTCGACCTGGGCGACGAGCTCGGGGACTGGAAGGGCACGCACTTGAAGTCAGCCGAGTTTCACTCTTTCACGTTTTGCGCTCCACGCCTGGCGCTTCACATTTGAGGCGAAGCAAATGAGGCAAGGCAGGAGATAGGGAAACAAGGGTAAAAGAGACGCACACTTGGCGCGCGGCGTCGAGTGCACGCGCGAGAGAAGGCCCTGCGCGGCGGCGACGGCCTTTTCGAGCCGCTGCACGAGCTGGGTGAGCTGGTCGCGGACGGCCGTCTCCTCCTCGATGCGCGACTCGAGGTAGGCGAAGATGGAGGGGTCGAGGAGCGGGGCGGACATTTTGCTTTTCTTCGTGGTCGATGAATCCCCGTTCTCGTCGGAGGGTGAGACGGAGGATGTCAATGAGGTGAGGCGAGATGAAGTGAGGTTGACGAGTTGAGGTGAGGTGAAGTTGAAGATTTAGTGGTGCGGCTCTGCGGGTGGAGTGGGGCGCTGGAGCTGCCCTGAACATGCCTGTACTCTGTAGTACCTGAACTGCCGGGCAGGCGACTGAAACAAATTGGACGATATACAGCTTGAGTGGCGCGGTCAAAAATGTAGACTCGCGAGCCCGTGCCTATTGCATCCTACTGTGAGTGTACCTTGAATGTGCCGCCCCGAGGAGTGGAACGCGTGCCGACAATGGCGGTCCGAGGCGATGTCCTACAGTCCTACATCAATTGATCCTAGATCTCGTTTGCCAAAGTAGCCACCATGCCCTGGCCGGTGACGCTGCCTCTTCCCAACCTTGGAAACAAGGAGACATTCTATATTAAACCCGTAGTATCTAACAAGAAAATAAAAATAAGAATAAAAAAAATGAAACGAAGTAAAGAGCAAGACGGGAGAACAAAATGGACAGAAGGAAAGTAGTTCGACCACATTCCGCACTCCGGGGTGACAACGACGGGAGATGGACTCCTGTCGCGTGATGTTTGTCAAACTGAAGGGCTCAACTTGCGCCGCTGGGAACAGCCTGCCAGGGTCCGAAAGTGACACATGGCTTCCAATTTGGCAATAAGCCAGCCGTCGTCGAATTGCATACCCCTTCTCGGCAAGCAAGGCTCTAAAAATAAAACCCCGGGCCGGACCCGAGTGGACACCAACCTGCCGCCGCACCTGGTCGGGACTCGGGTAAACATATCCCAAGCTTACTTCTTTACATGAACAGACAATTCAGCTTTCAGACAAAAAGCGCCCGGGACCGCTCGACCGCCAAAGTCATGGTCTTGGTCTTTTTCACATCATTTCTTCATCATGTTGCTTCACGCTGCTGGAGTCGTCGCTGTAATTGCGTGCGGTCTGGCTGGGCCGGCTTTCGCCGCCGAGCCGGATCCCGTGCTGGGCAAGGCCGTGTTCAACAACCCTGCGGGATCAGAGACGGAGCAGTATGCCATCTTCCAGCAGCTCGCTAGGGTAATTGATCGCGTGCCCGCCGGCGAGTACCTAGAGCTGTCGTGGTTCGGCTTCGACACCCCCTACACAACCGACACCGCCAGCAAGCCCAACCTCCCCCAGCGCCTGGCAAGGGCCCACAAGCGAGGCGTCAACGTCCGCATCGTCCTCGACAACAGCAAGCTCAAGAACTCCAAGGCGTATCCATACAAGACGCTGGCCCCCGTGCTCGGCACCAACGATGCGGCCAAGTCCTTCATCGTCCTGTGCCCGGATAAGAAGGGCTGCATTGCCAAGCGGAAAATCTACGACGACATGTACGCGTACAACCACAACAAGTTTCTCATTGCGAGCCGAATCGAGCTCGACAACGGCAAGAACGTCTCGAATGTCGTCTTCCAGTCGTCTTCGAATCTGGGGACCTGGGATGCCGACACGGCGTGGAACAATGCCGTCACATGGAGCGAGACGGAATCCTTCAACAACTACCACAGATACTTTGGCGACTTGAAAGCAAACCACGATGGCAAGGGAAACGACAACTACTACAGAGTGGGCAGCAGCTCTTCCACGTTCAAGACGCACTTCTTCCCCCGCAAGGAGACCAACGGCGACCTGAACCAGGCGTCCACCGACACCATCGTCAGCGTGCTCGACTCCGTCAAGTGCTCGTACGTGGGGGCGGACAAGAAGAAGCACCAGACCGACGTGCGGGTCGTCATGTGGGCGTTTACGCGCGTCGCCGTGGCCAAGAAGCTGGCCGCCCTGGCCCGCGACGGGTGCTGGGTCGACGTCGCGTACACCGAAAGCAAGGCCAACGTGTTGGCGGAACTCAAGAAGACGAGCGGCAAGAAGATTGGCGTGACAAAGTGCGCCGTGGCCTTTAAGGGGCGCAACCTGCGTCCTCACTCCAAGTACATGCTCATCGATGGGGCGTATGACGGCGATCTCGTCCCGCGAATTTACATGGGCTCGCACAACTACGCTGTCAGCGCTCTGCGGAACGCCGACGAGACTATGGTCAGGGTGAAGAGCAGCTCTATACATGCGAGCTACCTACACAACTTTTACACTGTACGAGACGCCTGCAGTGGCAAGACGCCGCCTAAATAGACATAGAACCTTTAATCCACGGAAAGGGAATTTGCAATCTATTCAAATGTGGCCTTGATCACCTGGATGTGATTGTTGTTGGTGTATGCGATGGTCAACGTCTTCCCACTTTCATCAAGGTACGGATACGCCACGCCGGCATAAACGAGCCCTCCGTCAATGGGGGTTGCCGTAAAGAGCTCCCTGCCCTCGGACCATGGACCCTCAGGCTTGGGTGCTGTCTTTATGGCCACCGTGGCACCAGCTATACCAGTCAGCTTCATGTTTGATCGTGGTTCTCGCGTGGGGCTGTAGTAGTGGGAGATACTTACTGACATGGACATACAGATATGTCTTGAAGTAGTTGCTGTAAACGATTTGACCCTGTCCAACACCCCACATCACCGCCGTTTCGGGCGTAAACGACGTGAGCCTATCTCGTTTCCATCCTTGCTGTCGACCCCACCAGTATTCGTACTCGTTCAAATCGAAGGCCTGGTTCGCCTTCACGCGCGCCTGATAGACGTACTGGCTCTCGATGAACTTGCCGTCAAACTGCTTCGGCGGGTGGCCAAGGGCGTAGATGTAGTCGCTGTTGACGTCTCTGTACGCTGCGATGTCGCCGTACTTTGCGTTCTCTGAAGTGTCCCACCAGCCTTTGCCGAGGCGCTCAGCGACAGGGGTCCCGTTTTCGAGTCTGACTTTGGCGATTCCTGCGTGGGTGTAGTCCTCGTTGTTGTTCTTCAGCTGCGCGTTAGCTTCAAGTTTCCTCAGCACGGCAGTATGCACGTGAACTTTGACTCACGACGAGGAAGAAGACAGCCCCCTCTCCTGCCTGGGGATCCGTCTCGACGATAGACGTGCCGCCGAATCCCGTGGTATTGGTCTCTCCCCATTCTTCTTTCCACTGTGCAAACTGGTTCTGCCGCTGCCTTTCGTTCAGGTTGAGGTCGTGAACCACCAGGGGGTCTGGTCCAAGCCTCGATACCGAGTTCCTCACCATGCCATGGAATCCATCCACGTCGTCCGCTGGATGGCTCACACCCGGAGCAGCCCACAGCGTGTCGCCATACACTGCGAACCACTGTCCGGCGATGGAGCCAGCGAAGCCCAGATCTCGATGGCTGCACGAGTTATTCGCCAGCTGCTCGCCGAGGTAGTCAACAGTGAAGCCCCTGATAGGGTTCTCCCCGGCAGGCTGCGTGTTATCGAGAGTCATTGATGTGACGAAGGCGAACATTGAACATGGAAATTGACGACCGCTTGCGCGATATTGACAGCAGAGGTGATATGGTTGCGAGGGCTCCCTGGGGCAATTTTGCAGGGAAGAACCTCCTTTAGGATTGCAACGGGAGACCCCGTAATTGCAAACTGTCTTGTAGAATGTCGAATATTGTTGAGAGACCCTTTACTGCAGTGCGGCACTCTGTTTCTCTGCTCCAATGTTCTGGGCTGTGTTCTGCATCTGAGGCGGAGACGCATGACGTCATCGTCAACCTGATAGCGATCTGATATCTCGCGGCAGCATTGTGAACGGCCAGATCTAAGTCTAATAGCCGTCTTGTATTGTCGCTTAAAGAGACCAAAATTGTCGGGAAATGAAGTTGGCGATTGAGGTGTTGGTTAAGCCTCACAAGTTTGGCTGCAGGTGCAACATTAGCCATGCATGACCCAATAGATTAGATTAGGGCAGTATGTACTCATTGCGCACGCCGTGTGCATGTGCATGACCTACTGAAATTTTGGTTCCTGCAAGTCTCTCTTTCTGGGTACTGATATGTCGTGTCCGGAAAAACGTACCGTTGAACTGAAGCGTCTATGTGAGAGCGGCCCATATGCGAGGCCCGCCAACCAACAGCATTCATATTCGCGCAGGTCGATACGATGCGCTGGAGGTAAAACTCTTGATATAATTTCCTCATACTGAATGACAGGAGTGAACCCGGTCTAGTTCATCTCGACTGGGCGGTGCCATTTGTAGGCGGCGGGCAACGGCTTTACGCTACCATTGCCATGTTCTCGTGACTGGCGCCTTTCGGTTCGAAGGAGATGGAAAGAACGGGAAGAAACCGGGAGCATTTTTTATGGATTTCTTTGCTAGGACTTGCCCAAGACCGAGTGATAGAAAAACCCTATTATGTACAAGATCATGCTTTACGGTAGATTTAAAGGAAGGGAGGGGTGTGACCCGACATGAAGACAAACATTCGCAGTGCAAGCCGATACGATACTGCAGCCTACCATTCCTCGGCCATAACACGCTCGGCTGTGCATTATTGGGCCAACGGAAGCCTGAGATGATGTTCCTACTGCGGGATGCTTGGGGAGTCTTCAGACCCGGAGCCCGCCGTAGTATAGCACTGCCGGTGACATGCATTGACTCCACCTGACTGGTCGCTGGCAGTGCGGATTCGTCAACACTACCATGAACAGTTCGTTTACGCTTTCCTTGCGCCCTATCATCCCGCACGACATGTACGGAGGACTACATGTGTCCCAGCTGCGCTGCCGACGGTCCGATTGAACCCAGACACGATAATCTTTGGTCATGCCAAGATAGCTGCCGGCGTGCCATGTGATAGCCATGAGGCAAAAAACGTGCGCGATCGTCCGGTCTGTCCCGCGTCTGGCCAAGAGCTGCAAGGGAGCTGGAGCTGGAGCTGGAGCTGGAGCAGTCCCGTCTTGGCCAAGCCCAGCAAGCGGAGTGCTGTGCCGGTTTGATGCGATGGTGCGGCGTAAGCTTCGTCCACGCGCTGGCGATCCTGCCCCGGCGTCTGTCTTAGTGCTGGAGGGACCCCATTTTGCCCGCGTCTTTGGGCTTTGACCACGTTGGAGATGACATTTCGCGCGCTATTGAGCGGCCCCGGATTCGCTGTTGGAGACGCCCACCGCCCAGCCACCGGACGCTAGTGCCGCGGCTTCCACGGGGGTTTGGTAGACACTAGGAGATTAAATGCTTGATGGTGTTGGCAACTTGGCATCAAACCTGGCATTCACTGGCCGTGGCGGAGGGCTCCGAAGCTGATCTCGGGTGAGGCTCTGTACGTGGCAAGGGGCATGCCCTTGACTCGATTCGGCATTGTGCACCTGCGTATCAATGACCCAGCCTCTGCGGCCATGGGAGCATCTGGGCCAAAAGTTGAAAGAAGTGCAATGTATCTAACGCCTTGTAGGCAAGCATGGCGAGGGATTCAAGCCTGGTGACCCAAAAGCACGTTGACCAGCCCGAGTTGAGCTTCCTACTTTATCACGACCGGATGTATGGGTTTAGGAAGGCCCGGGTGCGACCCGGTCCCAAGCAAGCACATGGCGAGCCAACCGAAGCCCATCCAAAGCGAAAACAAATCGCAAAATAAAAAGAAGGAATAAAACCAGGGCTCTTTCTCCTTTATGGAAACGGCACCGGGGTAGACTGTCCGTACGAGGAGCGACACGGAGTGGGCCCTGTCGGCGGTCTCCGCCCCGCAGCGTCGGCCTCCGCCCGCTGGCGCTTTGCTGGGCGAGCAAGGAGCTTGGTGATGCGTCGCCCAAACAACAGCCCTCGAGCTTCCAGGAGCTCTTCTCAACCCGACTACCCCAGCGTGCATCATGCGCGTAATATGCGCCGAGAAATTATCGCCACATGGGAGTCCCAGGCGGAGGGTGATACTTGGCACTCCATGCGGGGCGGGCGGGCTGACCACGATGCCGGAAGGCCCCATCCCATCTTTCCCCAGACCCATTGCGATCTGGATGGGTCCTCCCCCATGGGGTCCAGAAGCTGGGGGAGACGGAGGTGCCCGTGGGGCAAACTGGCTCAGCACAGCACCTTCGCGGCGGGAGTTTGGCACACATATAAGATGGAGCAAGGCGAGCCTTCAAAGTGTCTCGCCTCGGATAGTGTAGCGGATTGAAAGCCTTCACGTCCAACTCCCGACACTCTGGTTTGTCCCTCAGCAATGACCGTTAGCCGTGACTCCTGGTACCCCTTCAACCACCATGCATAGTATTGCTCCAGACGTTGAGAAGCGCGCAGGCGCGGAAGAAAACACTCTGTTCAAACCCCAGACCGACACGGCCGCCACGATAAGCGAGGAATCCAGCGCCTCGGGCCCGTATGCGAAGCTCCAGCGGCTCGCGTCGCGATGGCATGTCGAGAAGCGAGGCATCGAGCGCGTGCCCGAGGAGGAGCGAAATGACAACTCGTACCTCAACATCGGCTCCATGTGGCTCGCGGCCAACCTGGTTGTTCCATCCTTGACCATAGGTGTTCTTGGGACGCCGCTGTTTGGTCTCGGATTCGTCGACTCGGCTCTCGTCATCATCTTTTTCAATGCTCTCGGCACCCTGACCGTCTGCCTTTTCTCGACATTTGGCCCTGCCTTTGGACTTCGCCAGATGGTGCTCTCGAGATTTTGGTTCGGATGGTGGGGGGTAAAGTTGAGTGAGTCTGCGTCTTCTACGTTGTCCCTGAACTCTTGCTAAGTCGATTCAAGTTGCGCTCTTCAATTTGCTCGCCGGCATAGGTTGGTCGGCCGCAAACATCATTGTGGGTGCGCAGCTCATCAACGCCGCCAGCCGCAACACTGTTCCCGGTTGGGCGGGGATTCTGATCATCGCCTTCTGCACTCTCGTTGTGGTCTTCTTCGGGTACAAAGTCGTCCATCTCTATGAGTACTGGAGCTGGATCCCGACCTTCATCATCTTTCTTGTTCTCCTCGGGGTCTTTGCCCACACAGGCGACTTCAGAAACGTTCCCATGGGCTCTGGAACGGCAGAGATTGGAAAGGTGCTTTCTTATGGCTCTACCGTGTTTGGGTAAGTGCCCCTTTGTCGGAATATGATGACGTCGATACTGAACAAGTCTTGCCAGCTTTGGTACTGGGTATACCTCACTCGCGGCAGACTATACCGTGTACCAGCCGAGCAACCGACCCCGACGTAAGGTGTTTTTGGCCACCTGGCTGGGCATCTTCCCGACACTGCTGTTCACGGAACTCCTGGGTGCTGCCATCGCCACCGCGACGACCATCAACGGGGGTGTCAATTCGTATCAACAGGGGTACGAGGAGTCGGGCGTCGGTGGGCTTCTCGCCGCGGTTCTGTTCCCTCACGTCGGTCGTTTCGGACAGTTCTGTCTCGTGGTCCTAGCCTTGTCCATTGTCGCAAACAACTGCCCCAACATCTACTCCGTGGCGTTGACTCTCATGGTCATGGGTCGGTGGACGACGAAAGTGCCAAGGTTCATCTGGACCATTGTTGCTTCTGCCGTCTACGTCGGCATCGCCATCCCCGGATACACCAACTTCGAGGCCGTCCTGGAGAATTTCATGCACTTCATCGGATACTGGCTGGCCATCTATGAGGGTGTTGCGCTGACCGACCACTTCGCGTTCAAGAGAGGCTTCTCGGGGTACAACCCGGAGTACTGGGACCAGCGAGACAAGCTCCCCCTGGGCATCAGCGCACTCGTGGCGTTCCTCTTGGGAATCGCCGGCATGATCATCGGGATGAGCCAAACGTGGTGGGTCGGTCCTGCTGCAAAGGGAGCTCATGGCGGCGACTTGGGATTTGAGCTGGGATTTGCATTCTCTGCTCTGTCCTATGCCGCCATGAGGCCCTTTGAGCTCAAGGCATTCGGAAGGTGATTGGTGTCAGTTCAGTCTTGCGCGCACCAGTGGAATCGCTTCGTGACAACATTCAAGCGGCAGACACATCGATTACTGTTTGGTTGTTGGGTTGAATGTAGGAGTCGCTGGATGGAAGGCCGGGTTGTGCAATCGCAGTGATTCATGTTGCAAGTGGTGGAAAACATTCTTTTCAGCATATGCCTTATTGCAGAGCAATCAAGCAGTTTTACTACAGCGTGTATACCAGCTTCTCGCCACTGACCTTGTTATCCTTCAGCTCCTGTAGTCCTTCTAGCACTCCTTCGAGCCCTTGCCGGACGCGCCTCGGATGGGCCTTGATTTTACCCTCCGCCAACAGCTCTCTCGAGAGCTCCCAAAACATCTTGGCAAACTCGTAGTCTTCAGGCTTCGCGGGTATTTTGATATCTCCAAAGGTGAAAGCCTCCCCTAGGGCCGTGTAAGCAAGCGTGAAACCGCTGGAGCAGTCCTTGCGGGGAAAGTCGACGGAGCTCAGGGAAGCGTATTTGCCACCGGGAGCTGACGAAAGTGCCTCGGCGCAAATCTTGGCCGATGCAGGCAGCGAAATGGTGTCCCATGCATAGTGTAGGTTGTCGTTGGTGTGCTCTCTGATCTTCTGGCCGACGTCGGGGTCGTTGTAGTCGAACACGAAATCTGCCCCTGCAGCCTTGACCAGCTCGGCGTTGCGAGGGGAGCAGGTGGTCAAGACTGTGTAGCCGGACAACTTTGCGTACTGGATTCCCAGGGTACCGGTAGCGGTGCTGCCTCCGTAGATGAGGACTGGGGCGGGCTCTTTCAACGGCTCATTGGGCAACTTCATCCCGAGCGTTTGATACAGTCCCTGGCCAACTGTCGTGATGCCAACCCCCAGCGTCGCCGCTTCCTCGACGCTCAAATTGCTCGGAATCTCAATCTGCATGTCGCCCTTGACAACAATGTGCTCGGCGAAAGTTCCATCCTCCCGCTCGACAGCATTCGACCCATGGGCAGCGCCACAGATTCTGTCTCCAGGCTTGAAGGACTTCGTCACCTTTGAGCCCACTTTCTCAACGACACCAGCATAGTCGCATCCAACGAGCGGGCCAGCCTCCTTGACGCGCGAGTGAATGTGCTTCCAGTCTGTTGGGTTCAGGGCCACAGCGGCGGTCTTGACCAGGATGTAGTCGTCTCGGAGGCGGGGGATTGGCCGGTCGGTGACGAGCTTGGCCACCCCAGGGCCCTGAATTACCACGGCTTTCTGTGTTGCCATGGTGTTTAGGCTTCTGGCGGCGGTCGTGGACAGCTGACGCGCAGTGGCAGGGACACGAGGAAAATGCATTGAAGAGGCGCAACGCAGGGATAGCAAGTAGTACGGTTTCTTATTCAAGATGCTCTGGACGGAATGTTCTGCAAAGCAACGTCATTGACCTGCGGAGAACCGCGCCGAGGTTCGAGCCTCCGTCTCCACTCGGAGCTGTCGCAATCGGCATTGCATGTCAACGCGACGCCCTTTCCAGCTGCGACATCTGAAAGGCGCTTATTGGCTGCTGGACTTAATGCAGACAAATTGAGCAGTTGTATGGAGATAATCCGATTTCTTTCATGTCGCTTCATCTTGGTGGTGGACGAAGCTCAACTGTGGCAAGCCCAGAGCGACATCCCGACACGGGTCAGCGGGCTACTGCAATCGCCTTCTCCAGAGATCGTCAGTCACCCCAGAGTCCCAGTCCGTCGGTCGTGGGGGTCATGAAGCCATGGATGGTTACAAGTACTTGTGACGGCCATGACCGGTGACCTCGAGATAAATGCCCACCCAGCCAGCGCTACATTGGAATGACCTGCCCCAGGGGGCATCGGCAGGTGATAGATGCGACGCCGGCGGGGCTTGCTAATGCAGGAACTCGAGCTACCCGAGTGACCGCCTCCAATTACCGTCGCGTGTCAAACACCCTCTACGGGTATACACCACCGCTCTCGCAATCACGTTCGGGATTTCGGCACCCGTTTTCCTGGCCCCAGGAGATATCACTTGATCCGGGGGATCTGCAAACGGATTCTGGTAGCATACCAGCAGGCCTATGTGAACTTATCAGTTGACGCGACATCCCTCTGTAACGTCTCTTCTGTGGTCGCAGACCTCGATTGTAAGGAGGGAACGTCTCAGAACAGTCCTACGATGCCTCAGTGAGGATCTGTTTAGAGTATATAAAGCGTGTATTGAGTGCAATTCTTGAGTCTGAATCTATCACAGTAACTGTATATAGTTTCTTGCTTCATTTGTTCATTGTATATACTCCATTTCTCCAAGACGCTCCTTCGCCATGCATTTTACATCCGTACTTGGTGTTGCCTCCCTGGCAGGTTATGCAGCAGCCGTGCCGACCCTCAGAGAACGTCAAGCCTCTGGTGCTCAGAACGTCGTGTACTGGGGCCAGAATGGCGGTGGAACCGTTGAAAATAACGACCTTGCTTCCTATTGCCAGCCAGACTCGGGCATTGATGTGCTGGTTTTGGCTTTCCTCTATCAATACGGCAACGGCAACAATATCCCGTCTGGAACGATCGGCCAGTCTTGCTACATCAGCACTTCGGGAGAAGGTCAGAACTGCGACGCCCTCACCGCGGCCATAGCTACTTGCCAGGCCGCTGGCGTCAAGATTGTTCTTTCGCTGGGTGGTGCAACGAGCTCTTACTCGCTGCAGTCGCAAGCGCAAGCTGAATCCATCGGCCAGTACCTTTGGGACTCGTACGGCGATTCTGGAAACACTACTGTGCAACGACCCTTCGGAAAGAACGTGGTAAACGGCTGGGACTTCGATATTGAAGTCGCGCAAGGGAACCAGTACTACCAGTACCTTATCGCAAAGCTCAGGTCCAACTTCCCGTCCGGCTCCTCCTACATGATCACCGGTGCGCCGCAGTGCCCCATCCCAGAGCCAAACATGGGCGAGATCATCAGCACCTCGGAGTTTTCCCACCTTTTTGTGCAGTTCTATAACAACAACAATTACACGGTCCCATGCGCTCTTCCCATCAATGGCAACGCGCCCTTCAACTATAACAATTGGACAGCGTTCATTGCCGACACACCATCGAAGAACGCCAAGATCGTCATTGGCGTTCCTGCTTCCCCGAATGCGGCAAATGGAACGCCAGCCGGCGCTACCTACTACGCGACTCCGCAGCAGTTGGCTGAGATTGTCAACGACTACAAGTCGGATGCGCATTTCGGAGGCATTATGATGTGGTCTGCTGGATTCAGCGACACTAACGTTAATAACGGATGCACTTATGCCCAGGAGGCCAAGAGTATCTTGACAAAGGGCAGTCCATGCTAGGTTCAATAATATGAGCCGGCGGTGGGACTCCAATCTGGTGTTGTCGTACGGTTTTACTATATGGGAACTCCGGGAACCTATAAGACGATATTGGAGCTGTAAGTGCCAGTGCAACGTACTTCAATGTTGAGCAGAGACAAGGCTTGCAACAAATGTGAAGAAGAAGAAGAGCTCTCTGTGTAGCATGTGCATGCCAATCGTGCTCAACGTGGCAACCGCAACTAGAGATAACAGAAATGCGCCGGAATGCACAATCCCTCAGTCGTGGATCTCAGCTTTGTGAAAAACACCTCGAGTTCTGTCAGAAAACAATGCTGACTGCTCAAGCACCGAGATCATACCGGAAATCTCTGGCATCCAGTTCGCTCGGTTCTTACAAAAGAACTCGCCCTTTGGCGGAAAGGTGTCGGGTTCGCTCATGGTCCCCCACATGACGTATCGGAACTTGTCAGCGGCTTGCTCCTGTGACAATTCAGCCAAGAACTAGTATTTGAAGCAGATCTGTCATTACCCCATATTCGCATATAAAGACGCCGCACGTATTGCAGAATTCTCGTGTCACACCGTTGTCTTGCGTGAACTTGTGAGCAGTCCCTTGGACGTACTGGAAACAGCTGAGTGGAACCTGCGCAAGTCAGCCGTGTGCTCTAAACTGGAGAGAGGTAGAGGACTCGAACTTTTGTGGTGAGTCCAAAGTTTGTCCCGAATGCCTTGCGACAGCTAGAGCAATGACAAAGTGTCGTTCGCCCGTCATCTGGTGATTCCACCGAGATACGGTACCGCACGGCGCCACAAACGCAACTGCCATGGATCTGTACTACCGACATGATGGGAGGATTGAGAATACTGAGGTGAGAGCACAGACAATTTGTCGATTGAATCGTTTAATGGAGTGGTTGGCCATGTGATAAGTAGAGGGAGGCATGAGGCCGGGTGGATGATGACGACATCATTACCACGCAATACAATAGTCGCACAGCCGCCGTTTCACTGGACAACTGTGTGATCAAATAGATGCGGAAAATGTTTTAGTGCAGCAATTCAACAGTAATTATTTTTGCGGAAATACTAAAACAGAAAAACTGAGAGAGTTGGATATACTGCGTTGACGTCTAGTCGGTATTCCCTCTAGCATTCGAGCGCTCCTTCTCGATTGCAAAGGATGGAGTCTTAGGCGTACCATTAGCATGCGGCCACAATTAGCAAATTTAAAGTCTTACTCAAGTCTATTCGCACTTGGAGTTCGCGCTTGGGTCCGCGCCGGGAGGCGTACAGACCCGCGGCGCAGAGCGTAGTTTCGCTGACTTCCAGATCACGACACTTGCCAAGAAACCTGACGAATTAGAGAGGTAGAAATGAATTCGAGACGGAATTTGTACCCTTGCCCGGGGACCAAATTGTCGGATCCGGTAGCGATGCAGCCATTCAGATCAATGCGCGCGTCCATGACGTTGGAGTTGGTGTCGCGGCAACCAATGGCCGTAAAGTACGCATGCTGTTCGTCCACGCTGATGAAGCTCCGGCTACTGCAAGTCTCTCTGTATAGACCTCAGGCCCGTCTGTATAAAGTGGTGGTGTTGACGCGACCGCGGAGGCAAAATGTCGCGAGGAGACCGTGGCCGCGGGAATGGCCATAAGTGCCTGGAAACGCATCTTTGGAAACGCATCTTTGTGAGGTTTCGCTCCTCACAGGTCAGTGTAAGTTGAAGAGAAACGGCTTTGAGAGCATACGGGATAACTGTCGGCCTTAATATACCTTACTAACTGCTTCGAGGAGTCCAATACTCTGCTCAGAGAGTTGCCAAAGCACGGCTGCTTTGGTCTGCAACATAAGACAGCTCCTCTCCTATGGCTGAGCAGCTTGGCTGAAGCTTCTAGTGTATATCTAACCGATTACCCATCGGCACGTATGTTCTCGATCGAAGCGCCAAGATTCTTTGCTTCCTGCTGACAACGTCTTCTAATGCAAAGCCGTGTATTGTGTACGGGCGCCTGGTCGCATATAACTGAGGCCTTATCAAGCATCAACTATCGGCGCTTTTAAGCTCATCATGTCTCTATACGCTATGATACTGAGGCAGGGGGGTGGGAGTGTGCTCGTTGGCGTACATACTACTGGCAATAGTGGAAAGCTCCGTCCATCAAGCTAAGCTGAACACCGCCGAGGCAGCCTCTCAGCAAGCATAATGCGATGATTAGGCAGATGGATTGCAACCTTAATCGGGACCATGACTGGCTCAAAACGGCGAGATCGAAGATGACGATATCGACGCATGGCGTATCCTACATAGATAGAAAGTCCCAACCCAATTGAACGGGAGTTGCATGGTCTGTCGGTACCAGAACCTTTCTTAGTAGAACCGCGTAAGTGAAGGATCAAGATACTAAACGACGTTTCTGTCTGGACAATGACTTCATACATATCAAGAGAGACCACTGTTCATAAACAGGATGGGTTAGTAGCATTCAAGTACACCGCCTCGGCTGCAAATGATGGAATCTTTGACACGATGATTAGCATGCTTTCAAGGCCGCAACAAGCTGCGTTCAAGGTGATCCATGACTTACTGAGATCGATTCGAACTGCTCGTTCAGTCAAAGCATTATCTTCGTACGCATATCGACAATTCGCATAAAACATCGTATGCGAGTATCTCAGGTCGCGACAGTCGGCAAGGAATCTAAAGACAAGAATTAGCCTTGTGGATGTGGAAGCCAGGTCGGGAACCTTGAAACGAAGAGCAATACCCTCTTCCCGGCACCAGATGTCCTGACGCTGCGGCAAGGCAGTCGTTCAGGTCAACGCTGCTGGAGATGAGCGGAGAGTGCTCATGACTCTCGCGACAGCGACTGATTGTGAGGTGCGCATGCCGGTCGTCGATGCGAAGGAAGCTGGGGCCGGCACAGGTGTTCTTATACGGAACACAGTCCCGTTTGTCGAGGGTCGTGGTATTCGGAGCGACTGCAGAAGAATCGCTCGTATAGTGTGGTGGGAGGGCGGTGGCGCTGGAAACCGCCGCAAGTGCCACAAGATGGAAGAGCATCTCTGCCGAATCGTGAGGATATATATATATATAGTGGAAAGAAAAACTCGATTTCTTAATAATGATTGAGTGCAGTTGAGTCGAAGCCGTGACGAATGTTGTTGCCGTGGACTTTTTATACTTCGGCCGCGTCGAGTGCGACATTGCAGCTGTCCTTTCAGCGAGGGTCCCAACATCACCCGTCAGACAGTGGGTTTAACAAGGCCGCCAGTGGGCCCCTATGGGCCACGCCCAGGCGAGACGCGACGTGACGACAGGGGCGCTGCTGGGTCGCTGAACCTCGCTGTAACATTCTTTCATCTCATTCGCAAGCAGAACTTTCCTGATATAATAACTCAAACAGGGTGTGCTATTGCTCAGATGTGTTACGCAGCTATCCGAGTAAGGAGGTGAGCCGCAAGTAAGTAGCAACCCGTTCCTCCGAGCCGGAGCGGTGTAGCAGTAGCCATAAGAGCTCCGGCCGACCGAGCGGTATCGGTGTTTGGGAACATGAAGACCAGACGGGCGGCTACCCCGCTACAGAGTACTTCGTAGGGAAGGGCGGAACCGCCACTTTGGCCTCTGCCAAAACGAAGCTTTGCTTCAGGGCACAGTCCAGCAACCCGCCAAGTTTTGGTGGTGACCGAGCTGGTGTGCACTGTGCAGCACGAGACCACACTTGAACCGTCTCGGCGCGATGGGGAGCCCGAGGGGCAGGGTCTGATGGCTCAGCCGGAACCGATCTCCGGCGCTTGGGGACCGAGGCGCCTCCAGAGTTTTGGGTCTCAGCGGCGTCCGACCAACAGCCACGATTGCAACTTCGCAAGGCGCGCCACGTCCAGAGAAAAGGACGTCAGAGGCGAGCGCCCAATCATGGCGGCCCAGGAAACGCCATGTCCAACGCCTGCCGAGGAGCTCGGAAGTCGCTCAACGGTAAGTGGTGGGATTTGCGCGACGCCACCACCGGCAGTGCCGCGCGCAGTCGCGGACGCTGACGGCTGGGCTGAGCTGAACCGGCGGCCGCATTCCTGTCGAGCCTCAACCTTCGCGGCCTCTGCGGGAACGCTCGACGGACCTCTCCAGGCCAAACTCAACCGAGCACAGACCGCCATGCAGCTCCGAGCCAGGCGAGCGCGCCATGGCATCTCTTTGCGCCCGTCTCTAGTCGCTCCCGCGATAATGTAAAGGCTCCAGACTGCGAATCCGACAACCGTCCTGCCGACAGTAAGCACACGGTCGCGGCGGCATCGTCATCGTCGTCGTCGAGAGCGGTCAGCGGCCAGCGGCCAGCGCGCCATGGTCCCGGGAGCACTTCAAATCTTCAGCACATCGCCCCCGGGCGACCTCGTCACGCAGCGATGGCCAAATTAACCGAGGGCCAGCTCCAGGCCATCAGCATCATGGAGCGGACATGCTCCGTCGTGTCCATCCTCGGATGCCTCTTCACCATCGTCACCTTTACCTGCTTCAGGGCATTCCAGGAGAAGCCGATCAACCGGCTGGTGTTCTACGCGTCCTTTGGGAACCTCATGAGCTGCGTCGGCACATTAATGTCACGCTCGTTCCTGGATCACCCTAACTCGTTTGGCTGTCAGCTCCAAGCCCTTCTCATCCAGTGGTACGCAGCCTTCGACCAGTCGCTCAGTGTCAAGTCGTCGCGTTCGTTTATTGGAATAGACTCTGACATTAACCCAGGTTCATGGCAGCCGACGCCGGCTGGATATTGGCGATGGCAATAAACGTCTACCTTACGCTGTATAGAAAATACGACTCGAAACGCCTACGTCGGATGGAGCTGACGTACCTCCTCGCTTGCTACGGCATTCCATTCATACCCGCCTTTGTCCTCGTCTTCATCAAGCGCAACGGAGTGCGTGTTTATGGCGACGCCGTTCTCTGGTGCTGGATTGAAGAGGACTGGGAAGCCCTGAGGATAGCAGTTTTCTACGGTCCGGCCTGGTTGGTTTCCCCCTTTGCCGCGTTCGAGTCCGCTCGGTCGACGCTGACACTCGTGCCCTCCAGGCTTGTAATCCTCTTGACCATGTTCATCTACGTCAGGGCCGGTCGCACCATCTACATGACCAGGAAGGAGCTTCGAAGGAGCTCAGACATAAGCTTGTTATCGCCGGAGTCCGAGAAGGAAACATCCTCGAGACACACAGAAGTTAGTCTAGGCCGGCGTCTCACAATTGGTAGCATGCCCTCTCGACCAATGCCACCTGTTGCCGTCGAGGACGCTGTTGAGGAAGTGCTCGGTCCGTGTGGTCGCGCCGAGGACTCGACCACGGATCCCACCGCCTCGCCACCGCCACCGCCGCAACTTGACGGCTCAACTCGCGCAAGACGACACAGCTACGAGTTTAAAAGTGCGGCATGGTCGTACACGAAGACCAGCCTGCTTTATTTCACGGGCATACTATTGATATGGACGCCCTCGTCGGCCAACCGAGTATACGCCCTGGTCCACGGCGGCACGACCATCGCCCCCCTGGCATACATGAGCGGCTTGGTACTACCTCTGCAGGGATTCTGGAATTGGCTCATATACACCGTCGTCTCGTGGCCTGCGTGCAAAGACATCTTCCGCAGGTTGAAGAGCTGGGTGCTGCGTCTAATCAGACCTTCAACCCGAGACAAGAGCGATGGGCATAGCCGGAAGTCGACGGCCCAAGTCCAGACGGTGGCAAGGAGTCCCAGCTCATTTGATTGCGAGAGCGGGACAGCACTTCCATTTGCGAGAGATGGATAGGGCGCTGTGGGATGAGAGAATATGACGGAGTTCCTGGTTCATGGTCCATTGGCATGGTTCTTAACTTCTTAGCGTCGGCGCCGGGTGTTTCAAGGCTTGATGAGTTCCTTTGTATATGGCGGGTGAGGCGGCTCGGGACAAACCCAAGTCGAAAACCGAGGGCAGCTGGTCTCCTGGCTTGACAGTGCAGACTAAAATAGATGCTACACATAAGGCACTTAAGAGTAACGCTATGTACGTTGGTTTGCAGTGCTGTGATGTACTTCAGCGTCAGGCGCAAGTGGCTTCCTGCGCAATGTCCGCGCCCACTCTTCATGTTGGCGAAAAGCTGCATGTCTGGTGTCAGCATACCAGATGCTGTTTCTGCCGGCTTCAAGTTTGCTGAAGACATGCTCAAGGGAGGGCAGTATTTTGTTTAGGCGCGAAGTTGACTTGCACTCGCGGTTTGATCGACTCATGCCATCCAGCCGGGTGGTGAGTCGACAGATGAGGGTATTTGACGGGTTGGTGTAGCAAGCAGTCACAGAACGACAGAATCGCAGGCGTCTGGCCAGCGCTCGCGGGGGTAGAGTTGGACTACGAAACGACAGAGCGGAGTTGAGGCCAATTAAGTGGCAGCGGCAGCCTGCAGTCGCAACTTGTCTCCATGCGTGGTAGTGCTGACGGCCAGGCGGCCTTTCCAACTCTTACAGCTGGCACGCCTGGCATTGAGAATTGACCGAGCTGTTGTGAGTCGTGATTGGACGTCCTGGCCGACGATATTTTTAAGCCAACGGATGCTCTGTCAGCGTTGCAGAATCGCAAAGACTCGCGCCTCGCGCTTCGCGTCAGGAGCCGTGTAAGTCTACGCCTGCGGTGACGTACTCGTCCTCAAGTTCCTGTACGACTTGCGAGAATTGGCCCAAGATTGCTTCGCAATGCTCGGTCGTAGGAGCCGGAGTTATCTTACTCTGCTCAACCTTCACCATGCGTCGCCGCCAGTGCAATCGCCGTCCAGGCAGAGACTGACAAGTACTTAAGATGGCGGCATGCCCAGACTTGGGCTTAGGCTGGTCAGATCTTCGACACTCAGCCACCACCAAAGCGACATATTCACCACGCCTACCAGCTCTATCATTCCTCATTCCTGCAACTCGCGCAAGATAATATCTCACTCGCACAATGAGTTCCGCCGACGAAACAGTCGCCATCGTCGGCGCTGGGCTCGCCGGGCTCACGCTCGCACTAGCACTGCACCAACAAAATGTCCCCGCCACCGTCTACGAATCGCGTTCTGCCCCGCTGAACATTGGCGGCGCGGTCATGTTGTCGCCAAATGCTCTCAGGATCCTCGACGATCTCGGGCTGTACGAACCGATCAAGACCAAAGGCTACAACTTTGACCTGCTCGAGTATCGCGACCTGGAAGGTAACCTCGTCGACACCTACGAGTTCGGCGGCACTGCCAAATACGGCTACCGGGGCCTTCGCATCTACCGCTATGTTCTCATCGACCTGCTCGTTGCCGGTCTCGCTCAACGGGGCGTCCGCGTGGAGTACGGCAAGAAGTTCTCTCATGTCGTCAGCGATACGCCGCAGGGAGTCAAGTTTGCGTTTACCGACGGGACGACACTAGAGACGCCCCTGCTAGTGGGCGCGGACGGGATACACTCAACTGTTCGCGGACACCTTTATCCGGGCCTTGAAACCACATTCATAGGCATGGCTGGCATCACCGCTGCCGTGCCGACTGCACAGCTCGAGCTCCCACCCGGCTACCATCTCCCCGTCACCATCATGTCGCGGGAAAAAGGCGCCTTCGTCATCGCACCGCAAGAGTCTGACGGCTCCGAGGTGCTCATTGGCAAGCAGATGCGTGTGACGGGTATCCAGGATCGACCGGGGTGGGATCGAGACTTTGTCAACGACAAAGATTCAGCCGTCGCCTTCTTGCAGCAGGGCAACGACGCATTTCCTGACTTTGTGAAGAAGGCTGTCTCAAAAATTGATCAAGCAAAAGTCAACAAATGGCCTTTCTTCGTGGTACCGAAGCTGGAGCGTTGGGCGTCCGAGACGCGCAAAGTCATCATCGTCGGCGACGCTGCGCACGCCATCCCACCTTCTGCAGGCCAAGGCATCAACCAGGCGTTCGAGGACGTCTACATGCTTGCGCTGCTGCTCGGCCGCAAAGGAGTGGACATGGCGGAGGCTCTGAGCTTTTGGCAAAATTATCGCCAGGAGCGAGTGAACCGGATTGTGGAGTTGAACAAGCTGATTGACCAGAGGAGAATGCCTGCAGATGATGCAGTGATGGGCCAGGGAGCTGAGGTTCGACAGGAAGCGTTTGATTTGGGCTGGCTATACCGACCTAACTTTAAAAGCGACGTGGAGCAATGGCTGTCCAAGCGCTGAGATCAGTCAAGCGGGTGCCTTGTATCGCTATCGAGGCCAGATCATGAGCGGGTTTTACTAGAATGCTAATGTGAGAAATACGCACCGCCCTTGTGCCTCCGCGATGTTAGACACGCCAATATTAAGGTTACGGCCGAAGTTTGATGACATACGCCATTTGTTTGAGGTCGTGTTTCTTCTTGCATTAACAGCTGCGGTCGTTTCTGTTTCAAGTTTTGAGGACCCTTTCGGAACGTACCGAGGACATGTCTACCTCCACTCAGCTGTCCCCCTAACGCCGAATGACAAGACGTGACGATGAGGCCGTTGCGCCGTGCACCCATGTAGATGCAATACATCTGCGCAGGAGTCGTAGCGAAAGGGTAATTCATCTCCCACGGCTTGAACTTATGCTCGAAAAGTCGAACTGTCGGGTGACACGTCCTCGAACCTTGGTTCCAGCTTCAGACTCGCCCAGTGTTTGACCCCGAGTCAATCTGCTCTTGGGCGGCAAGCAGGCATGACGTAGGATCCTAGACGGAGAGACACAGGAATGCTTGATTGAGCGGTGTTTGACTGCTACCATGACTTTTGCGGCTTGAGTCGCCCGACGTCGCGAGCGGCGTCAAGAGCGAGTCAGGTTCCGGGGCGTCACTCAACTACTCAGAGCCCAAGGCCACTGCCCGGATCCTCTCTATCAGCGAGATCATACGTAACCCCCCACGGGATATGTTATAGTTCATTGATCAATCTGCTACGAGAAAGCGCCTCGCTGCCTCCGCGCCGGCTGCGTTATTACATGCACTTACTAGATGCTCGAGTCACTCCAAGATAGCGTTCGATCTGAAGCACGCCAAGCCGAACCTGGCGAAACCTTCTTCATCGTCGAGGTTAGGAAACGAAACATGCGTCAAGCCAGTAAGGACCATGTTTTTCTTATATTCTCCTCGCTGAGTCGAGGCCATCTCATCGGTATAAAAATGCGTTGGATCGCCGTTCTTTGACAACACACCACTCAACAGTACCACTCCAATCATCTTCGTATCTAATTAACTATCACGTTCGGTCCGGTACCGCACGAATATTCCATAATCGCAACAATCCGCAGCTTCAGGTAAAGCCGCCTCACGTTTCAATCAGCCACAATGGTCCGCATCAGTGCCCTCACTCTTCTGGCTTGTAAGTCCAACCGTCCTAGCCAAGTGCGTCCTGCCGCCTGCAGGCACTGACATCAACAGTCGCCGTCTCCGCCTTGGCTGCGCCCCAGGCTCCTGCTGAGAGCGGCGCGCCCGAGCAGGTTCTCGACTTGGCCGGAAATCCGGTCTCTGCGGAAAAGGCGAAAGAGCTCCAGGGCATGGATGGCCAGCTCGCGAAGGTGGACGAGCAGCTGTTTGGGTCCTTCAGCCAGGAGCAGAAGGACCTCTACAACGCGGTGGAGAAAAACGGCGAGGCGCTGGACGGATCCCTCGACAAACTGTACAGTTCCTTCAACGAAGAACAGAAGAACCTGGATAAGCAGTATGGAGAACTTTCTACCAAGGCCGAACGGGCGTTGTGCCCTGCTGCTGGGGCCGCTGCGCCGGCAGGTGCCCAGGTCAAGGCCCGTTTCAAGCCTGCACGCAAGCCCGTTGCGCGCCTTCGCAAGTTCCATTAGGACATGGACCTTTGGAAAAGGCCAGATTAAGCGGTATGACTCTTAGATTGCCGCTGCTCTCAATAAAACGATCATTGGCCTTTGCATTGTTTTGGCGTCGCCAGAGCGTGTGTTCGTAAATCGTAACCGGATTGGAGGGATGACTCACAGCGTGTGACAGTTGAGGTCAAGCGCTGTGCCATTGTGTAGTGGTTTTCCGGAACGCCTGTGAACACCTGAACGGCGCTCCAGGGCTTTCTCCACCAAGCAACCAACATCGTCGATGCGTTAATCGTCAAGATGGCAGTCCATACCAGCATTCAAACGGCGCTCGATGCCGTAAGTAATAACTGCCAGGATTTGCCTTTCCGGCCAGGGCTAACATGCATGTCCAGATCCTGCCGGGCTTGCAGCGCACGCCCGAGAGCCCCCATCCTGTGGTGGTCATGACATGTGGCATATCGGGCAAGCATACGAGTCACCTGTGCAAGGCGTCCGCATCTAACAATGTGTTGCAGGCTCCGGCAAGTCGACACTCGCCAAGGCCATTGTATCTCGTCTACCGGCTTTCACGCGGCTGTCCGTCGACGCCATAATCCACGCCACGCATGGGCTCTATGGGATCGATTACGACCCTTCCAAGTACAGCGAGTACCAGGACGAAGCACAAGACAAACTCAAGGACGAGCTTCGCGCCATCCTTGGCGCCAAGGACCGCGACGTTGTTCTTGATTTGGCCTTCTGGAACAAGGAATACCGCGACGAGTTCAAATCGCTGATCGAAGAGAACGGAGGACGCTGGGTGTTGATCTTTCTACAGGCGGACCGGGAGCTGCTTTGGAGGCGCATTACTGAGAGAAGAGCGAGGCGGGATGCGATGCACGAAACAGATGAGAGGCGCGATGGGGACTCGGCTTTCGATGTGGACGAGGCGACCTTTGACATGTACTACAGCGGCTTCGAGAGCCCACAAGGGGAAGGCGAGATAGTCATTGCCTGCACGTGAATGGCCTTTTACATGATCCATTGGCAAAGTCCAATCAGCCTCTGGTCCGTTCGACCCCTCCGCACCACACACGCTCAATCTGCCTCGTCGCTCGAATGTCGTCAAGCGGATTTGCCTTCAGCAGCACCAGATCCGCTTTCTTCCCAGGCTCAATGACTCCCCGATCCCGCAGTCCGAAGCACTCGGCCGGTAGAACTGTCGCGCCCCTGAGTACGTCCACGATTCCGATCCCAGCCTCGACCAGCAGCTCCATCTCGCGATGCAGGGACTCGCCATGAGGGATCGTGAATGGTGAGTCTTCCTCCTCGTTGGAGTCGGTGCCGACCAGGATCTTGACGCCGGCGCGGTGTAGTTGCTTAACAGAGTCCTGCGCGTTCACGTACGTCTCGGCTCCCGCAAAGTGTCTTCGCCCCTTGAGCACCGTTAGGAGCAGTGATGGATGAAGCAGCACGCGCAGGATCGCACTCCAGGGCAGGGGCGAGCAGATGCTGGCCATCATGGCGAGCGTCGGAATGGACACCTGCTGAGCCTGGGCCATCTTCTGCGTCTCGCCTTCGTCCAGAACCTTGTCTCGCGGCACGTGGGTGATGAAGTCCGGACGCGGGTTTGCCTCCAGAGCCATGCTGAAAGGCAGGTGAGTTGCCGCATGTGTGACTACAAGCTTCCCTTGCTCGTGAGCTGCCGCGACGAGCGCGTCGACTGTCGCCTGGCTCGGGCCTGGCGCGTCCGCGACAATCTTGATGTAATCGGCGCCCTGCGCGAGCCGGTCCCTCACAAAGCGCGGCGCATCGTCTGGACCGGTGACGAACGCGCGGGAGTCGATAGGCAGCATCTTGCTGTGCAGGCTCCCCGGGGTCGTCGCCGGTATGCCAGCGCTGAGGATCTCCGTCAGCCCAGCGCTTCCACGCAAGGCGTTCACCTTGTCAGGAAACCATTCCCCCATGCCCAAGGCGCAGGTGACTCCCCAGTTAGCGAGGTGCTCGAGCTGGTGTCGCGCGCCGCTGAGGTGGACGTGTGAGTCGATGAACCCGGGGAAGAGAAACCGTCCAGTGCCGTCAACCACCGTGTCGGCACCGCCTGCGCTCTCATTGCCAACGCTGACAATGCGACCGTCGGAGAAGGTGACGTTGGTGGGCGGCGTGAGGCCGACCCCATCGAATACACGAACATTCGAAATTACCGTGCGTTGACTCATGGCGGCGGACGTCGATAATGAAAAGATGTCGGGATGTAGTCTGCGCTGTCTTGCAACGGGCAAGCTGTGAATCCCGTCAGGATGCCGCGCGCAGGCATGTGAATCAGGGTCCAGCTCAGCTGCGACTCCAGCCGCCAGCCACCAACGCCACAACCCCGGTTCGTATCTCGTGTCAACCCGAATGTGCCGACGAAGGATTCGCTAATAAAAGCGAGATTGCATGTCAGAATGTCGAGCTGCGTATGCCTTGTCGACAGTTCAAGCGCCATCAGTTAGGGATCTTGAAACATGCTGTAACACTATACACAATGCAATGTTGCTCTTTCATCGGTCGAATTATTGGGAATAATTGAACTACTTGACATCACAGCACGCCTTTCATGCCGCATGTAAAGAAACAGCACATGGCGTGTCTCAGCCCTTTGGCTTACTTCCTCGAAGCTCTGCGTCAGTATGAGGACTGGCCGCGCGCAACCTCTCGCCGTATATCCACAGCAGCAACGGAGCCGGTGCGAGCAGCGCCGCAAGGCTGCCGAGCAACGTCAAAGTCCAATGTACTCCAAGGTTCTGATACATTGGCGTTGAAGCAATGACCATTCCTCCAGCGGCAATGTAACGCGCCGAGGTGATGCTGGCAAGAGCTATCGCTGAATGATCGCCGTAACTGTCGCTTATGTACTCGTAAGACGACACATAGACGGCCGTAATGACTATCCCATAGACGAAACAGGCGGCCAGGCCTGACCAGATCGATATGCTTGGGAAATTTGTCCAGCCGAGCCAAAATAGGCAGATTGGAAGGAGCGGAGCAGTGACGATTGCCGGCCATAGTCGGAACTCGGGAAGCACTGATGCACCGCGAACGTGCTCGGTCCTGTCGCGAGCTAGGTTGTAAAAGTACGGAGCTAGCAGCGAGAATGCTGTTGCGCCCACCGCGATGGAAGCAAAGCAGGATCCTGTAAGGCCCTCAGACAACTGGTACGTGTCCTTGAAAATGAACCGAAAGCCAGAGAGGAAACTGAAGAGAAGCGTATAGAGCAGCAAGAGGTAAAGCCCCAGGGCAATGATGATGGTTTCAGTTCTCCAGAATGAGGCGCCGAGCTTCAGGTTTTGCCACAAGCGACCACGGAAAGACGGGGCCTTTGAATGCTCAGAGACGTAGCGCATGTCGCCTGTGGCGCGTCGCAAGGCTTTTGCTTTCCAATCCAGCAAAAGCGGCAGGTATGTTTCGGGAAGCAGTGCCAACGCTACCAAGAACGCCGCCGATGATATGATCAGGGTTACCCAATCTGGCCAGCGCCAGCTCAGAGTATTGCTAGACACTAGCCAACCGCTTGCTACAGGCGCAAGAACCGGACCTACGCTCGGGGCGTGGCACGTCAGCAATTACCGTAGGAGATGTTGATGGAAATTGTTCCTGCATCTCTGTCTTACCGGTCACGTTCACCCACGCTATGAGTGGAAAGACCAAGGCCCTTTTGACAGGACGAAACTGGTCTCTGACTGCAGAACCATTTGTCGAGAGCGTTGCGCTTGAGAAAAGTCCGACAAAGTACCGGCAAGTGATGCGTCCGGCGAATGTGGTGGACAAGGCCGATCCTAGCACAAAGAAGAGGTAGCAGAATGTTGAGACGAGATACGTTGGGTTTCGGCCGACAGTCTCTGATATCGGACCCGCGAAAGGAGCCCCCATCCCAACGCCAAAGAGGTACATGGCGGTGGACAAGCTCTCAACAGTCTTGCTGACATGAAACTGCTCGGTGGCCCTGGAGCTCTGTACTGACTCGGATGCGCCCGCCCAGCCCTGGACGAATATCAGGAGCGACAGGATGATCAGGTTCTTGGACCGCGACCACAGCGGCCAATTTTGCGGGTTTAGAGGGTCTCGTGTTCCGGAGGTGACGATGATTTGGTCGCTCTCGGCAGGCGAAAGGGTTGAGCCACTGGCGGCGAGGTTGTCGGTATCGCATCGCGACGACGGCTCAAGGCCGTGCTCGTTGACACAGTTGCTGGGTTCATGCGTTTTGCCTCGAACTTCCGCATGGACTAGCCGCCGTATGTCGCGGCGCTGCTTGAACGACCACATTTTCGTCGCTGTCGTCTGTAGCAGTTGCCATATGGCGGAGTATATCAGGCGGCATCATGCCGGCGATTGAGGATGGCGGTGATGTAAATTACGCAAGACATTAGACAGGTTCGAATGCTTGTGGCGCATCCAAGGGCGACTAACAAGAAGCCCCATCACATTGACGTCAGATGCAACAATTGGGCAACCAAGCACGCGAGCAGCAATCAAGGCCTCTGCGCCCCGCTATTACAGCCTGCGAATTGATCAGTGGTGAGCTGTCACTGCCCAGATACATATTGGAGGACTCTGACGTAAGGGTGAAAGATCAGTATTGCTTTCGCGCTATGCATCTGCGGTAATGTATACGGAGTCGGACCGTGCAGCGTTGATGGTCTGTTGGCCGACGATCAACGACGCACCTGCTGCCAGATATGCTTGCACAACAATACTCTTGATCAAAAGTCCTAAAGCTTCCTTTCATTGCACGTACGATTGCGGGACGGAGGCACAGAGCTTGATAAAACCGAAATGGCATACGTCCTCCTTTCGCTGGCATGGCGTTGAGCCGTCAGTCAACTGTTCAAGCAAGCACTGCCCCCGCCCCATCGTTCTCGACCACATGCTTTAGTGTGTCCTAATTGCGCCACTGTGCAGTCCCTCTCCTTCTCTTTTGGTGCAAGCCAGCTACTTTGGCCTCATATCTGGACTCAAGAGTTAAACAGCACGGGCCTCGTGTCATGTTGCGGGGCAGGCCTGATCGGCAGGAGGAGCGTTTGAGGCTCCTGCCCTTGCGGCTGAGCAGTATTGGCAGGTGGAGGAACCTGTGTGTGCTGCGGCCGTGCCGGCCTGAGAGGCGGGAGCGGCTGCGTATCTCGGTATTTCCAGACCTGTGCAAGTCAACATCTTATGCGACCATTCACCCCCAGGCACCGACCGCTGATAAACTTACTGCGTTGGGGGATTGCTGGCATTTACAGGTATACGAGCACTGCGCCCTGTCACTATCGGTCACCTCGTGGCCGAGACTCCTCGTGAGGCTGTACGTCGCGCTCCCACAGACGGTGAAGGGCGGGTAGCACTGCGGCGGGCTGGGCTTGGAACAGAAGACTTCCCACGGGAGCTGGGAAGATGTATTCAAGTCGCCGTGTTTCGCGACGGCGGAAGCGGGTGGTAATTCCTGGGCGTTGGCGCGTGCAAAGGCGACGAGCTGTGTGAGCCCCAAGAAGGGGGTTGCGAGATGACGGACATGCATTTCCACTGGCAGAGGACTTGAGGTGTGGTGCAGAAGTGCGAGCAAGATGGAATTTACTTGGCAGCTTTGAGAGTAGCATGCACAGGCTTATATGTGTCAATTCTTTAGGGTTCAACAATGAGCTGCCACGGGCGGTGCTATTCGAGGCTCGCGGGTGTTTGGGTTATTGTCGGCATTGCGAGGAAATATCCCTTCAGCAGATACTTTTTACTAATTCCTGGTGGCCAATGTCACACATAGAAGCCTTCGAGATACGTAACGATATGGTTACGTCGCAAGCGTTCGTCAGCCGACCGAGCTCAAGATGCGGCCCTCCAGTTGAGACGATACCTCAAACCAGCGCCACGGCGCAGTGGCCTGGCGGCGACAATGACAACTGGCCAGTTTGCCACTTTGCGCACCGAGGGTGTTTCCATCGTCACGAGGCCGGTTCCTACAACATGTCGCACTTTTCGGTTTCAGGGAACGCAAGGGCCATTTCGTGGATCCTCATCAGCGCACAGTGTCTGTCTTGAAAAAATGCCATCAACAGAAGAGCGTCGCCTGACGACTCATTGAACAGGATATTGCCTCGAAGAACGACCTAAGAATCGTAATGGTCACAGTGTTGTGCTCGTCTGGCCGTAACTTATATCCCTGTTGGCATGTCATATAAGTCGTCTGGATCTGCAGAGAGTCAGTTAATGTTGTGAAGATATCTGGAGTAATTGATCCAGCTCACCTTTGCCCTCAGACGAAATGTAGTCTTTGACTTTGGCCAGTTCCGAATTTACTGCTGCTAGCAAATCGTCCACCTTGGCTTGCAGAGAGGTCTTCTGTTCCGAAGTCGCCCTCAGTGCCCGCTTTGCCAGGTCGAAACGGCTCACGCCGTTCACAATCATCATGTCGAAAGGCGTAGTCGTGCTACCCTCCTCCTTGTAGCCCTCGACCGTCATGCGATGCAAGCCGGGACGGCCAAATATGAGACCTTGCAGCTCTTTCTCGTAGCCGTGGTAGTTGAAGCAGACGGGCTTGTCGTCGGTGAACATTTCGATAAAGTCCTTGCGACTCAGCGCGTGCGGGTGGCGGGACTCGGCGGCGAGGACAAACAAGTCGGTGACATTGACGACGCGGACGTTGAGCTCCGGTACGAGGGTGCGTAGCAGTTCCGCCGCCTTTACGACTTCGAAGGTGACCTCCACGCCGATCCCGACGAGGACCACGTCTGGGTCCTTGCCGTCGTTGCTCGACGCGAATTTCCAAATCGCGGCGCCCTTGCGGCAATGCTCTGCGGCGTCCTCGGGCGAGAGGTACACGGCCGTCGGCTGCTTCGATCCGATGATGAGGTTCACGTAGTTCTTCGACTTGAGGCAGTGATCCACCGTGCTAAGGAAGCAGTTTGCGTCTGGCGGCAGGTACACCCTCGCCGCGTCTGCTTTGAGGTTCAGTATAGCCCCGATGAAGGACGGGTTCTGGTGCGAGAAGCCGTTGTGCTCCTGTCGCGCCCACGTGCTCGTCTCGATGTAGTTGATGGAGCTGAGGTCGCGTCGCCAATCCACTTCCCTGGCGACCTTGTTGAACTTGGAGTATTGCACCACCATGGTGTGGATGATGCCGAGAAAGGACTCGTAGCTGGGGAAGAGCGCCGTCCGACCCGTCAAAGTGTATCCCTGCATGAAGCCCTGGCAACTGTGCTCGGAGAGTATCTCAATGACCCTGCCGCCTTTCGCGCGCGAGTACTCGTCCCATTGGAAGTTGCGGCCCGTGTTGTCGAGAATGGCATCGAGCTTGTTGCTCTCTAGCTCGTCTGGTGAGAACATTCGTAAGCCCTTGGGGTTCTTCGAGGCGACGGCGGCCAGCAGCTTGCCCGTCTCCTTCATGCTGCTGGCCTGAGTACCCTTGTCCTGGGCGAAAGGTCGCCAATCTGGCATGACCAAGGGCTGGTACGCGTCGTAACCATATTTGACCTGGCCCAGTTTCTTGGAGTCGGTCTTGGGGAGCACCTCCAGGATGGATTTCGCAGGGCGGCCCTCAGGAAGTAGCTGCCCTACTCCATATCCACCAAGCCACTCGCCGAGGATCTCGAGATGGCCCTTGTCTGTTTTTGCTTTGGACAGTGGAACTTGATGAGAGTGAAACGAGCCCTCGATAAAGTTGCCGTCCACCTTCTTCGGTCCACCCCAGCCCTTTGGCGTGCGCAAAATCACCATCGGCCATCGAGGCTTGATCAATGGCTTGCCTTGACGCGCGCGCTTTTGGATGTGTCGTATCTCGGACAGCGCCCACTCCAACGCGCAAGATAGCTCGTCGTCAATTCGGTCAAGTGCCTCCACGATGCAAACACTGTAGCCGTAGCCGGAGAAGAGAGCAAGCAGCTCCTTGTCGTCCATGCATCCGAAGATGGTTCGCTCGCTAATCTTGAAGCCGTTAACGTGCAGTATTGGAATGACGGCTCCGGATTCCGCAGGATCCAAATACTTGATGGCATGCCAGGCGCTTCGACTCGTTAGCTTGCTTCGAGGCTCCAGGGAGGCAGAGACTTACGCAGCGGTGGGACCGCTTTCCGCCTCGCCGTCGCCGACTACGCATGTAACAATGAGATCTGGGTTATCCATGACGGCTCCGAAAGACACGGCCAACGCGTAGCCCAGCTCGCCGCCCTCGTGTATAGACCCCGGCGTCTCTGGGTTGATGTGGCTAACACGATCAGTATCTAGGTGCTGTGGGTGTTGTCGGACCGTACCTTGGAAATCCACCGGGAACCGAGAACTTCGTAATCAGATTGTTGAGGCCCTTTCTGTCGGTAGAGTACTTATTTGGGTAGAAGCGCCCCAGCGATCCTTCTAGCCAAAGGGCAGCCAGTGCGGCCGGGGCGCCGTGCCCAGGTCCGATAACGAACAGCATGTCGACATCATGGTTCCGTATCAACCAGTTCAGATGTGACCAGATCAGAATAAGCCCGGGACATGTTCCCCAATGGCCTGCAACGGTATGGTCATTTCACGCCGTTTGCAACCTTGTTGAGCAGCGAGCTTACCCAATAATCTCGGCTTCACATCTTCAAATTTGAGCGGCCTTTCAAGAAGAACATTGTCTTTGAGAAATATCATGGCTGGTTGGGAATTGGCCAACATCAGTCGCATGGTCCCTCAAGATCCATCGATGCCGCGGCCGGCACTTACCGCCAGCTATAAAACATGCTGCTTGTTGGAAGCTCCTCAGGGATTGCTTCGTATCATCGTCCAAGCTCTTCTTGTCTACCTTGGCCGCGAGACTTAGGGTGTTGTCTGGCAGACTGCTTGGCAAGGCGGAAGGGTTGGGTTCCTGTATGACTTCGTGCGGCATGCTGCCGATCTATTCGTCCAGGGTGCTATATTAATTGTCGTTGCTAAAAAGGCCGAAACTGTCAAGCTGCAATGTCACCTTGGTAGAGAATTGGAAACTGCAATGTGTGAATGTGGATTGTAGAGCCAAGTTGGGACATGGTGACATTCGGCTGCTTTTCTGTCTGACCTCATCGTGAGTGATCGATGACGTTGCGACGGGACCTTGAATGACGGGAGCTACCACTGGGAAAGGACCCATAATTAAGTGGATGGCTCCGAGCAGGACGAATATGCCAGAGAAGAGGGAATAAAATGGCAGCTGTGAACTTGTGATGTGAAGACCAAAAGTTGGAAGATCTTTATTGCTCGGTAGGTGCCTCCTAGCCTTGGGCGACTTTCCCGTGCTAGAAGGGCTCGTAGGCGAGGGAACCCATCTTACAAGTTACGGCTAGTGTTCATACGGTGGACTTGGTAATGCCCATTGTCCGCCAGCTGGCGGCAGCTCATAGCAAGGTCGAGCGGCTCTGCTCTCGCGAGAGGCCAAAAAAAGCCTGCTTTCATCGCGCATAATTAATCAGAACAAGGAACAGAGCAACTTGCTCCGGCCAGTTGAGCCGACATTAGAAAACGTCAGGGTGACGCTCTTTGACTTCTCAGGACGGGGCAAACTCAACAGCCACAACCTCTCGTAGCGCAAGGAACGGCGGGCCGAACCGAACCCACTTGAGACAAAAAGAGAGAAACGGCAGTGGACAGAACTGTAAGAAAAGTCGAGCGACAGCGCAGACAAAAGACTTGCGGTGCCTCCAAGGAATCGCAGCGCCCAGTGCCAAGTGCTCGGCGACGCAGGCTGGTCAGCAGCTGTGACACATCGGGTCCGGGCGAGAATCCTTGGGCAGACAGACATCCGGAGACACCGGCCTGCAATCAACCACTTTCAGCGAGCGGACTCGCGCAACGATTGTGGGCCATCCGTTGGTCGGTCGGGCGTGACAGGCGTCTGAGCCACGAGGGCGGGTGCATCGGCAGCGGGGCATCTTGCCGACAGCGTCGCGAGTGACTGGATCGAATCGGGCTGCGGTTCGCAGGTTGCCTCGTCTGCCTGGGTCAGGAGACGCATGTCTCTGGTGGGAGGCGTCCGTATGACCGCCTGAGGGTGGCGGTACCTCGCACGAGGGGGCGGCCGCCACCAGGAGCCGAGTACTCCGAGAATGGGGGTGATGGGCGGGCGTCGTCGCGGGCAGCCGCAGCTCGGTAATCGCCTTGGAGAGAGCCTGGGTGTAACACTGGTCGACGCCTGAATGAGGTGCCCTCCGCCACAGTGCATCTGACGGAAGAGAGAGGGAGGAGGGGCCTTCTCGACGCTTCTGCTGGGCCGCTCGCTGCGCAGCGCAAGCCAAGCCCCTGCGCCGTTGGCCGCCGTGGAATGCTTGCTTGGCGGGGCTTTGTTCCTTTGTTCTTTCTTCGCCGTCGTATTCGTAATACTGTACAGTACAAACTGCACTGAAGACAAGAGAGAGAGAGGTCGGCATTTGTGCTCGCAAGGACCGGGGCGACTCGACGAAAAATTACCCCGCCGAAGCTGCTGACGGACCCCTCCAGCCCTGTCAAGTCTCTCTTGTTCTTCCAGGTTGTTCCTTCCCTGTCAACGAGGGCCCCCAACCTGAAGGTCCCCCCCAAGCGCTCCCCCCATCCCCTCCCCAGCCATCCCACTTTCTTCTGTCGTCATCCTCTCGGCTCACCTCACTCTCCTGTTTCATCCACGGCTCAACGACCGCATAAACGTCCCTGCACCACATCAGACGTAACCTGCTCGCCGACACCAGAGCTGACATCTGCGACGTGCCCGGCGTCATGGGTGACGTTTACAGGGGACACGCCTACGGCGGGCCCCGATCCTACCGCGACCGCGACAGCGACGACGACGACGACCGCTACCGAAGCACCACCGTCACCCGGTACAAGGTCAACTCTGGCCGCGGCAGCGACCGTTTCGACCGCAGCGAGAGGGTCGAGGTGGACGACGACCGCCGCTCTCGCTTCTCCGCCCGCACCTCTGGCGACTTTCTAGACGATCGTCGCGGCCCGCTGTCACCCTCGGACCGGCCACGCTCTGCCTTTGAACCTGGTGGCGACCGCTCGCGCACCGTCTATTACGAGCGCGATGTCGAGCGAGATGTCCGCCGCGAGCCTGACCGCTCGCGTGTGGCCGCTTACGATGGAGACCGCGACTGGGACCGCCGCTCTCACCACACCCGCCACGACGATGAGATCAAGGTCGAGAAAAAGTTTGAGGAGCGCTTCGACGACGATCACGGCCACGAAGTAGAGCGCTACCGCAAGGAGACCGAATATTACACCCAGGCCGACCCTCCGCCCGCCCCCGTCATCATCCGCCAGCAGGTGCCAGAACCTCAGAAGATCATCGTCCAGGAAGCGCCACCACCCGCTCCCATCGTTCTCCCTCGCCAGCAGCCCGGCGTCGTGGTCGTGCGCGATCGCGAACAGGACCGCGAAATGGTCCGGCGTGAGCGGGAGCCGTACGACGAAGAGTACTACTACCGCCATGAGCGCCGCGACGTCGGCCCTTACCGCGGAGATCAGGACTATTCCGTGTCCCGATATGAGCGCCGGCGCAGGGACGACGATTACTACAGCGGCGACGACGACTACTACGTTCGCCGCACCGTGGTACGTCGTGAGCGCAGCAGCAGCTCCCATCACCACCACCACCACAAGTTGCAGTTGGCCGAAGGTGCTCTTGCCGGTGCAGGCATCAGCGCTCTCATGTCCAGCCGCCGCGACGAGTACGGCGACCTGCCCGAGAACCGCGGTCGCAAAGTCCTCGCCGGTGCTGCTCTGGGTGCTCTTGGCACCGAGGCCATCCGCCGCGCCCACAGCGCCTACGAGGATCGCTGGGGCGATGGACGTGAATCTCCCGATCATCATTCGCGGCTCAAGAAGGGCTTGGGCATAGCTGCCGTTGCCCTCGCCGCCGCCGGTGCCGCCAAGTATTACCAGTCCAACAAGGTGGAAAAGGAAGAGGCACACCGCGGCCGAAGCCGCACTCGGGGAGGATACTACTCCGACGACGAGTACTACTCGCGCTCCGTGTCGCGCGCCCGCTCGCGGACCAAGAGCCGACGACGCAGCATCTCCACAGTCGCCAAGGCTGCGCTCGGGACGGCTGCCACAGCTGGCATCATAAAGCACTTCCGCGACAAGTCCAAGTCCAAGTCTCGCCACGGAAGCCGCTCGCGCAGCAAGTCCAAGCTTCGCCGCGGCGCCGAGATTGCTGGAGTGGCAGCCGCCGCTGGCGTTGCGAACAAGCTATGGAAGAACCACAAGGAAAAGAAGGAGGCGTCTCGGTCACGAGAGCGAGCCCGAAGCTTCAGCGACGACGAGCGCGACTACCGGCGTCGATCGCGCAGCAGGGGAGTCAGCCGAGACAGGGGCATGAGTCGCAGCCGGAGCAGGAGCAGGTCCATGGCCAGATCCCCTTACTCACCGACCGGGGCTGATCCTGAGCTAGGCTTGATTGAGTACGGACACGATCCCCTACCGCCGTCGAACAGGTCCGCGTCGCGCGGTGGCTATGAATCCGAGGGCGACGATGGACGTCGTAGGCGTCGGAGGCGCCGCGATCGATCCGCATCCTCGTCTCCGTCGGACCAAGAGAGGAAGCGAAGCAGGAGCCGGCTGAGGAACATGGCGGCGGCCGGTGCGGCCGCGTTTGGAATCAAGGAGTTCAAGGATAGAAAGGACCAAGAGAAGCGCGAGAGAAGGTCACGGGAGCGTAGGTCGCGGGAGAGAGAAGACGAGAGAAGACGTGAGTGAAAGTGGTCCCGCATGTTGTCGGCTGATATACTGACGCGGGTAGGCACAGGCTACGACGAGGACGAGCGCAGGAGACGGGACGACTATGCGGATGATCGCCATGGCCACCGCTCCCAATCTCCGCCGACTGCGTCGGGCGGTGCATACTATCCGCCGTACCCCTCAACCCCAGGTCCGGCGACGGGCGGCCCCAACTACGCACCGTATCCCGACGCTGCCGGCAACCCTCCGCGGGAGTATCAGCCGTACATGCCACAAGACTATATGGGATACGTCCCTCCACCGCCTCCTGGCCCGCCACCCGCACCTGAGCCGGGCCTTGGCGGCGGCTATCCCCCGCAAGGTCCTCCCGGTCCCCCGCCCCCCGGCCCGCCTGGTCCACCGGGACCACCACCGCCTCCTGCCGGGCCACCGCCTCCTGGTGGCAATTACCCGCCAGACCATGTGAGTGACCTTTCCCGAGATCAAGGGAACCCCGCCTGGCGTGCAGGAGAGGGTGCGTTAAGTCGTGCTTTCCAAGCTTCAACTGGGTACGCGGGATCAAAGGCTGACGCTCCACCAGATGGCATAATTTCCAACCATCCGTACGAGGCGTCTTCATCTAAGGGGCCGCCGACAGCTTCCAAGTCGGTCTCTTTTATCCCCCTCTCGCCGAAAAGCTCGCAGACTATGGAGAGGCACAAGAGGGAGCAGGCGGCCTCTGCGGACGCGTCTCCAGACCGCGCCGACGACTATGATATGGTCGATCGCGACGAGGAATCCGGTGAACGGCCCAGCTTTCGCCGTCGCCGTTCGTCAGATCCCTCGTCCGACCGGCCAATCGTGCGCCATGCCCGCGGTCGAGACACTGATGCCGGCGACGACGTGGAAGATTTGCCAGATCGGTTCGACTCTCAGGGGCGGCCGCTAGACGGGCGCTCCGCTACTCATTCGCGGTGGACAACGCGGCGGGGCACTTTCGAGCGGCCCGCGCAACGCCCCGGCGGTTGGAACGTCCAAGGCGCGTGGCAGGTGAGCGGCACCGAGCAGGAGGCGGTGGACCGCCTGGTGCGCAACGTCACCGGGGCGCTGGAAGGGCAGCGAAGCTGGATGAGCGTCATTGGGGATGTAATTGGCGGCGGGCTGCTGCCTCCACCGGGCGCCGGGCATGGCGAGGGACAGGATCATGACGATGAAGACGACGGGCGGCGACGACGACGAGGGAGGTAACAGCTGGTGGTGACGGACAAGACGGAGGCAACGCCGGGGGTGCACGAAATGACGATGACGACGTGACGATTTCTCTTTACAATGTCTCTTCTGTGGGTCAAGACGGGAAACATGCTGCTACGAGGACAAGGATCAAACGTATGTCGAGATGAATAATGCAGGCTCTAGATGGTATTTCAACGACGGTACGCGCACCTCGGCTTTACCAGTGTGACCTGGCGTGCAAAAGAGCACATCATCCTGTTTGATTGAACTGGTCGAAGTGGGCAAATTTGAAAAGGAATCCATGTGGTATTCGTCTAAGCGCCTAGATTGCTCATCTCTATACTCCTCGTACATCCCCAGCGCCAAGGTAAATAATGCTCCTCTTCAGACACGTACAGATGCAAAAAACCCGACATCACGCGCCACAGCGGCAGCAGCTCCAGCAACCCTCATCATAACTCGTCCCTCACGGGGGGCGCGTCGGGCCTGCCGCTGTCGCGCTGCAGGTCGACGCCGCTCTTGGCGCGCCACTTGTCCCACAGGGCGGCAAAGTCGTCGCGCATGGCGGCGTCCATCTGGTCGGGCAGCACGACCTCGTAGGTGACGTAGAGGTTGCCAAACTCGGTGGTGTGGTATACGCTCTCGCCGTCCTCGTGCCAGCGGGGCATGCCCTCGCCCTTGACCGTCTCGACGTGGCCCGGCTGGACCGACTCGCCGCGGGGGCGGCCGAGGCGGACGACGTGGGCGTCGAGGTGCGTCAGGTTGCGGGACCAGCCGCCCATCCAGGCCTCGCGCAGGGAGAGCACCTCCGTCCAGAAGAGGTCGTCGCCCTTGCGGCGGAAGTAGACGCCGTCGAGCCCGTCGGGGTTGTCGTCCTCGGAGGGGTCCTTCTCCGAGAGGTTGACGATGAGGTCGCCGGCGACCCAGTCGGGGCTGGCGTCGGCCTCGTTCTCGTAGACGACGCGCGAGTCGCGCGCCGCGCCGCGCTCGACCTTGAGCGTCACGGTGTTGTGCTTGCGCTCGACGCGCGCGCCGCCGCACGTCGGGCACTTGTTGCGGATCGTCTTGCCGCGGCCCCCGCAGGCGTCGCAGCGCATCTGCATCTGCTGGTACATGCCGGGCGCGAGCTGCTGCTTGACGATGCGGACGCCGTGGCCGCCGCACACGCCGCAGGCCTCGACCTCGCCGTCGGCGGAGCCGCTGCCCTCGCACGTCTCGCAGATCTGCTGCCGCTCCCACTTGAACTCGGTGGTGGCGCCGTTGTAGAAGTCGCGCAGGGAGATCTCGACGCGCACCTCGACGTTGTGCCCGCGCGGCTCGCGGTGCGCGTGCCCAAAGTGCCCGTGCCCGCCGAAGAAGCGCGAGAAGAGGTCGAACGGGTCGTGGTGCCCGCCCTGGCCCCCGCCGCCCTGCTGGTGCTGCTTGACGCCCTCGTGCCCGCGCGTGTCGTAGATGTGCCGCGTCTCCTTGTCGGACAGGACCTCGTACGCCTCGGATACCTGGACGAACTTTTCGTGTGCCGTCTCGTCGCCCCTGCGCAGTCAAATGGTCAGCACGAGCAACGAAGCAGGCTGCGAGGAGGTATCGCGGGTCGAGCGAGGGACATCGTACGGGTTCTTATCCGGGTGGAACTTTTTGGATAGTTGGCGATACGCCGACTTTAGTTGTCGTTCTGTCGCATCCTTTTCGACTCCCAGGACCTGTCACGGTCAGCATGGCATGTGGCGATATGGCATCGAGCGTCACCTACCTTGTAAAAGTCCTCGGCGCAAAGTGCCAGCTGGGCGAGGGCCACGAGCAGCACCAGACCGAGACCGTGGAGCAACATGGTGGCCAGAAGGCCCTCGAGGGACTTTGGATGCAGCAAGCAGAGAAAATCAGGCACCCGAGACAAGATAAATGTGACTCGTCGCGCGGCAAACAGGCAACGCGGGGGGGTTGGGAACGAGTGGACGAAGTGGCAGATGCGTGGGAGAAGTGTCGACGACAGGCCTCAACAACGTGTTAACTTACAGCTGATGGAGCAACAGGGACCCTGGCTTGGCTGGTGGCTTGCATGCCCTGCCATGCGGCGTGGCGGGCCACTTGCCGCGATAAGCCGGTGGGGCGACATTTTTATCAGCCGCGCGTGATTGGGTCGGATTATCCTGCGCCAACTTTCTGTGACCTCCAGCCGCAAGAGCTGCCTGCGCCTGGCAACTGCAAGTGCAATTGAAAGCACCTTCCTGCCTGGCCGAAGGCACCAACGGCCAGCTTTGTTCGTCTCCTCAGGCGGGCGTCGTCAACTCCATTCCACGAGCCACGAGGACGATAGGCTGCAATACGACGACAGTGAAACTATAAGAAGCGCGCCGTTGTCGCCGACGGACGTGCTGCTTCACCCTCCCCTCGTCCTTCGCATCGATCGACAGCCGCCGCCATGAGCTCCAAAAAGTATGCCTTCCTCCCGATGGAAGACGACGAGGTCGGCCCTCAAAAAGTCGCCAAGGAGAAAAAGCACAAGCATCGGTCGCGCGACCGCGACCGAGAACGAGACGACAAATCCTCGCGTTCCTCAAGACCGAGGCGCGACCGCTCGCGCTCGAGATCCCCGCGCTCATCCTCTCATCGCCACGACAGCGGCCGCTCCAAGACGTACCGACGGCGCGATGCGGAAGCAGACTTTGACGACCGCTGGGGTGACGAGGAGCCGCCATCGGACGAGCCCGATGCCCAGGACGACGGCGCTCCCGAGTTTGAGGAGTCGGCCAGCAAGAGAGTCAAGCTGAGCCACGACGAGCCCCGGGAAGAGGACCTCTCTGATGGCGCCAAGGAGGAACTCGCACGCCAGAAAGACATCGAAGAGCGAGAGGCGTTTGCCAAGCGGCTGAGAGAAAAGGATGAGGGGCGGTCCAAGAAGAACCAGCGCGACGGTGAATCCTCGTCAAGGCAGCGGCTGGCCGACGACGCCAAAGCTAGGGACGCGGCGCTACCCGACCTTCGAGAGCGATCACGGCAAGAATACCTCAAGAAGCGCGAGACGGAGCGCCTGGCCCTGTTGCGGAAGCAGGTCGCCGAGGAGACGGCCGAGCTGCGCAGCGGCGTGCGCCTCTCCGACAAGGAAAAGGCAGAGTTTGCCAAGAACCGCGAGATCCTGCGGCTGGCCGAGGAGCGGCTCAAGATCGACGACCACCGAGACGGCTACATGATGCCCGAAGACTACATCACGGAAAAGGGAAAGCTGGATCGCAAGAAAAAGGAAGAGGCCATGTACAAGCGGTACGTCGACCGCGACGAGTATGGCCAGGAAAAGTTCGTCACGGAGCACGAGGAGTGGGAGCGCGAGCAGACGGCCAAGGCCAAGGCGCAGGTCAAGATTGCTGAGAGGGTCAACGAAACCTACGACTACGTCCTGGACGACGCGCAGTACATCCAATGGAACCTCGACTCTAAGATGGCCGGAGAGGGCAAGAACCTGGCCAAGACCAAGGAGCAAATGTTCCTGGACGCGCAGATCGAGGCCGCCGAGAAGAAGGCGCTGTCGATCCAGGAGACGCGCAAAAGTCTGCCCATCTACCAGTACCGTGATCAGTTCCTGGAGGCACTGGAGCAGTACCAGATCTTGGTTATCGTCGGTGAGACTGGTAGCGGCAAGACGACTCAGCTGCCGCAGTACCTGCACGAGGCCGGATATACCAAGAACGGGTTAAAAGTCGGCTGCACGCAGCCCCGCCGAGTCGCTGCCATGAGCGTGGCCGCTCGCGTGGCCGACGAGGTGGGTGTCAAGGTGGGAAGCGAGGTCGGCTACTCGATTCGTTTCGAGGACAACACGAGCGACAAGACGATTCTCAAGTACATGACGGACGGTATGCTGCTCCGAGAGTTTATGACGGAGCCGGATCTCGCGGGATACTCGGCGCTCATGATTGACGAGGCCCACGAGCGGACAGTCCACACGGACATTCTGCTGGCTCTCGTCAAGGATCTCGCACGGGAGAGGCCGGATCTCAAGCTACTCATCTCGTCTGCGACCATGAACGCCACCAAGTTCTCGGAGTATTTTGACGACGCCCCCATCTTCAACATCCCCGGCCGACGCTACCCTGTCGACATCTACTATACCCCCGCACCAGAGGCCAACTACCTGGCGGCTGCCATCACGACCACCTTCCAGATCCACACCACGCAGGGCAAGGGCGATATCCTTATCTTCCTCACTGGTCAAGACGAGATCGAGGCGGCGGAGCTCGAGATCTCCGAGACGGCAAGGAAGCTGGGCGGCCGCATCAAGGAGCTCGTCATCTGTCCCATCTACGCCAACCTCCCGTCCGAATTGCAAGCAAAGATCTTTGAGCCGACGCCCGAGGGCGCCCGCAAGGTCGTCCTCGCCACCAACATTGCCGAGACCAGTTTGACAATCGATGGTATCGTCTATGTCATCGACCCTGGTTACGTCAAGGAGAACATCTACAACCCCGCGACGGGCATGTCCAACCTCGTCGCCGTGCCTTGCTCGCGCGCCTCGGCCAACCAGCGCAGCGGTCGTGCTGGACGTGTCGGTCCCGGCAAGTGCTTCCGCCTGTACACCAAATTTGCGTACATGAACGAGATGGACGAGTCTACAACTCCAGAAATCCAACGGACCAACCTGAACGGCGTGGTGCTGCAGCTCAAGTCGCTCGGCATCAACGAGCTGCTCGACTTTGAGTTCATGGACCCGCCGCCTACGGAGGCACTCATCGGCGCGCTAAACCAGCTCTTCGCGCTGCAGGCGCTGAACCATAAGGGCGAGATGACCAAGCTCGGCCGCCAGATGGCCGAATTTCCGACGGACCCGATGCTGGCCAAGGCGGTGCTGGCGGCGGACAAGGAAGGGTGCGTGGACGAGGTGCTGTCCATCGTGTCGATGCTGGGCGAGGCGTCGGCGCTCTTCTTCCGGCCCAAGGACAAGAAAATTCACGCCGACAGCGCGCGCAACCGATTCACGATCAAGGACGGCGGTGACCACGTCACCCTGCTTAACGTCTGGAACCAGTGGGTCGACAGCGACTTCTCGCCCGTGTGGGCGCGCGAGAACTTCCTGCAGCAGCGGTCTCTGACGCGGGCCCGCGACGTGCGCGACCAGCTGGCCAAGCTCTGCGAGCGCGTCGAGGTGGCGCCGTCGAGCTGCGGCGCGTCCAACCTGCGGCCCATCAAGCGCGCCATCACGGCGGGCTTCTTCCCCAACGCGGCGCGGCTGCAGAAGAGCGGCGACGGGTACCGGACCGTCAAGAACAATACGAGCGTGTGGATCCACCCGAGCAGCGTGCTCATGTCGGTCGACCCGCCCGAGAAGATGGTGGTGTACTTTGAGCTGGTGCAGACGACCAAGGAGTACATGCGCAGCGTGATGCCCATTGAGGCGCGCTGGCTGGCGGAGCTGGCGCCGCACTTCCACAAGCAAAAGGATATCGAGGCCATGGAGGAGAAGAAGATGCCCAAGTAGCGATGACGGGACCGGCGCTGCGCATTTACAAGTTGAAGTAATCGGAAGGCGAGAACATGCCCGAGTGACGATGATAAGAGTGGCGCTGCACATTCACAGGCAAGAGCCCGTGGTCAAGAAGATGGTTATCAGCGATGCTGATATTAGAGGTTTACTCTACCAAATGCTACTTATGTTGGCTATCCCTGGTTGCCGGATTCCTGCTCAGGCTCCCACCTATACAGCACGTCCATTCTCACGGTATACTTGACGCCGCTGTCCAGCATCGCGCCCTCGTGGAGCAGCCCCTCGTGCTGGAAGATTAACACGCTCCCCGCCTTGGGATTCACGTCCAGCCTCTTCGTCCCGTCGCGCGAGAGGAACGACGTAGCCCCGCCAACATGGCCCTCGCCCGTCGGTGACTCGGCTTTCGAATCATTCAAGTAGAGATGCACCGTGTAGTGGGTGCGCACCTCGCGCCCGCTATCCTCCTCAAAGTACCAGTACGGCCCGTCGCAGTGCGGCTTGAAGTACTGCCCCGGCCCGTACCGCAGGAAGCGCATCCGCCGGTTCATGCCCTTGAGGCGCCACTCGCCGTCGCCGTCGCGCCAGTCGGCGGGCACGCGCGCGAGCGTCTGCTCCACGCCGGGGGCCTGCGCGCAGCGCCGCCATATCCGGTCGACGAGGTCCTGCTGGTCCCAGACGATGCGGTCGCTGACGCGGTAGCCCGGCGCGGGGGCCTCGTAGCCGTTGCCGATGTTGATGAGCGCGGGCCGCCAGGCCGACTCTGCTGAGGAGGAGGAGGAGTCGCGCGGGACGGACGCCTCGGCGAGGGCGATGAGCTGCGCGCACTCGCCGGGGGAGAGCACGTCGCGCAGGACGATGGCGACGCGGCCGGCGTGCTCCGGGAGCGGCGAGGCGGCAAAGTCGATGGGGTGGGAGGAGACGGGCCGTGAGGAGGAGGGGGGTGTGGTGAGGAAGTCGTCCGGTATGGGGACGGGGTTGGACGTGTACGACACTTGCACGGGTCCGCCACTGGGCTGGGCTTTCGGTTTGCTCTGCAGCCCGAGGGTGTCGAGGATGCCCATGGCGGTGGTGATGGCGGGAGGGCGGGCAGTACTACTATGTGTGACTTGGCAGTGCCGCGACCTGGGTCAATTGAGATGGAGCGAATACAATAAAATTATATACTACATGTAATGATGACCAGCTGCTGCTACAGGTTGATAAATAAGTTTCCTCCTTGCTGAGCCGGCGGGCAAGGACAGAGTGTTGTTGCTGGTGCCTGGCCTGCTCATGCAGTGGTGATCCATTCATTGATCCCAGCGCCGGGGGGCAGTGCCAGGCAGACGGCAAGGTGCAGTAGCACGATGGCGGCCGCCCAAGTGGCGCCGTCTGCCCCGTCCCGTCAGCTTCACGGCGCAGGGGGGGGCCGGACGCTCGCTGTGAATTCTCCGTCAGAGTTGAGGCGGATCGAATTTTTACAGGGCTGACTGGCTGTCTTCTAGGCACCTCTTGTCCCGTCGTTGCCATGGACACAGCGGGTGCCTGAAGTGCCTGCCTCGTGTAAGTCGAGGCTAAACTGGAGCTTGTGTGCTTGTCTGTGCGATCGCCTGGACTCTAGAGGCTGCCCTCCCTCGTGGAATGAGCTGGCCAACTGCATCATTACACTGAATGCCATGCCGGGGGGTGACGCAGGTGGTGGTGCTTGATCTTCTCTCTCCACGTGCTCAGTTACTAGGACCATACATGTGCCCATGTGGATGGCGTCGGTGCCGGCAGGCTCTGCATGCAGGCACCATCGCCAGTTCTTGCGAAGCCACCACCCAGGTCATTACAGATTACGATGGCCAGCAGAGGGCTTTTCAGACAACCCACTACTTCGTTATTCATTAAGTTTTCTCAGTTTTCTGGCAGCTTAGTGTTCACGACGGCCTGCCATTCCACGCGGTGACATGCCTCATGGTCAGACCCAGGCAGCAATCCGGCCCTGGCAAGCTAACGCAACTAGCCAGCCGGTATTAGTGTTGATGCAGATTGATGAGCTTCCCGGCCGATCGCAGCGAGGCGTTGGACCGTTTGACTGTTTACAACAAATCCCGAAAAGCCCACGACCGTTCTCGGGCCATCGCAAGGCTGGGATCGGCTCTCCCCTCCTCACAGCCAATCACGCGCATGGGCAGCACGCGCATTCCAACCGCGATAGCTTTTCAACCACGGGGGCTGCAACATGTCTGATTCATATTCCCCCACCGGGCCCTCGGAATGCCCATCCCCAGTACCATCCCCATCTCTCTCGCGCCTTCCGGACGCACTCGTCCGAAGGAAAGTAGAGCACTACGAGAAGAGCACTAAAGTCAAGAACGAGTAGTAGTAGATGGGTGTGAGTGGGCGGAGGAGCAAGGTCTCAACGCCACGAAGACCGCAACCGCCCTCACGAGGTCATCGTCACCGTGGCGCCGTGGCCCGTCCAGGTGAGACACTCACACTGCCGGCCTGCAAACGTAATGTCATCGACGAAACGGCCAGACGGGCGATCGAGTGCGCAACGGCCGGCGTAGAAATCATGCGTATAAATGAAAGTGCCAGCTGCCCGCTGCGGCGCGCAGCCCGGTCACGGAAACCCTCCTCGTATCCCCTTGTCACGCAACACATCTCATTATCCGAACCCTTTTATCTCTTATCCCAGAAGCCCATCATGAAGGCCGTCGCAGCTCTCCTCGTCGCCCTCGTGGCCGCCGTTTCGGCCAGCCCCGTGCTCTCCGAGCGGGCGGACCAGTGCGCTGGCATCGCCGCCGCCTGCACCCAGAAGGTGACCGACCACTCGACGCCTCATCTCTACCTGACCCCAACCCCGAGCACATGTGTCCGTCTGCGCGGAAGCTGACGATTTGATCATCTGTAGGAAACTGAGTGCCGCGCTCAGCACGTCGACACGCTGTGCCCCGTCGACGTCGCTCGGTTCTGCCCCTGCTACCATGTAAGTTGTTGCCCCTGTTCCAGCCTTGATCGAGGCCAGCTTATCAGGTACTAACTCTCGCTACAGGTTGCCAAGGACTGCATCGTACGTTTCCTGATCATTAGTAAAGCTGCGACGTTATCGACACGATACTCACGTAATGTCACTGTTATAGAAGGACGCTGGGTGCCAGTAAGCCGCGCCTGGGTGCTCCGGGGTGCTGCTGCCCTCGTTTGGGAAGCGCGGAGGGGAGGCTGCAGAGTTGATATGCTGCAACTCCTCCTTGTGGTAATGAGGCGATCGAGGTCGATGCTCTCGGTGGTTTATAGTCACCCTAATACACTAATTTACTCGCCGCGCTCTTAAACCGTGACGTGCCTCTAATTCCGGGGCGGTCATACACGACGTGCGGAAGAGCAGTGCTTTCTGTTGACGATAAAAGATTGACAACTATAATTGGAAACTTGGCGTATGTTTAAAAGTATATAGTCTACAGCTGTCTTCTGAGTCGAGCCCAACGACAATCCAGCCCGCTTACGCCAAAGCATACACCATCCCCCGCCATCATGCATGCGGCCACGGCTCTATCACCAGCTTGTCCCAGTGCTGCTGCCAGCGCACCACCTTCTTCATGTACTGCTCCCGCCTGCCCAGCACGGGGTTCGGCCTGACCACCATGTTGAAGAAGTCGGACAGGCCCCTCGGGGCGTAGACGTCCCACTCCACGTCCATGATGCCATCGCCGCCGTCCTCCCCTGCAACGTCGTCGGCGCGCAGACGCGGCCGGACGCCGACCATGGCGCTCGTCGAGATCCACGAGTCAATGGCCGCCTCGACGCTCCCGTGCGGCGCGCACTCGACGCCAAACTTGTCCCCGTACCAGAGGTGCACGCGCGCCTGGTTGCGGATCTCGACGTCCGCCGCCGCCGCCAGGCCCCCCGCGTCCTGGAACAGGCGCCGCGCGCGCTGGATGACGGCGTCCTCGGCCTCCCACGACAGGTCCGTGGCGTCGTAGTAGACGAGGTCGTAGTCGCGGATGCCCATCTCCGGGGCGTGGCCCGACATGTAGTTCCAGATGGTCTGCGAGATGGCGCCCCCGGCGAGGTACCAGTTGGGGAGGCGGAGCTGCGCGGTGAGATGGAGGACGCACAGCAGCGTTGGGTTGGTGGATAGGATGCGGCGCAGGAGGTCGAGCTGGGACTGTACTGGGAGGTGGGCTGGGTTCACGGCCGGGTTGTGTAACGGTGTTGACGGAGCGGATGAGGGGCTCACGGTTGTCTCTGTTGGTGCCATCTTGTCACCGTCTTGAGTGCCGTTTGCTCCCGCCATGATTCTGTCCTCGGAACGCCGCTGTCTGTCATATGCGACGAGGTTTTAATCAGGCTTGAAATCTGTGATGACGAGCCGTGAGTGAGAGTGAGTGAGATGCGAGTTGGAGTCAGGTCATGCAGCCTTGGATGTGGAGCCACCGGCCCCCTCCGCCTGATCTTCGTCTATGACATCGCCAGCGGCTGTGAGACATGCAGTATTATGTACAAGCTGTACCATCGAATTATAATTATATAAACCAACTTGTGTATGTAGTCAATGTGTAAAAAGGCTTTCCGGCAATAATAACCAGCTTCAATATGTACCATGCCCATGCTCATTCGGCTTGACCGGCCACGCATCCACGCCGTCCTGTATAATCATCATCATGCCGCCCATCATGTGGTTGTTGATATGGCAGTGCAGCAGCCACGCGCCCGGGTTCACCACCTCGTACCGCACCACCACCCAGTTGCGGCCTTTCGTCGCCTGCAGCGACAGGAAGCCGTCCCTCTGCGGCGGGTCGCGCAGGTTGAACTGGCCCGGCACGTCGCGCAGCGCCTCCTCGACGCTGGCCCACCGCCAGTCGCCCTGCCCGGAGCCGATCTGGAACATCTTGTTGCCGTGCTTATGGATCGGGTGCGGCGGCATCGGGTACACGCTCGACAGGAAGACGAGGTCGACCCATGTGCCGTTGCGCGTCGTGATGGTCACGTTGTCGTGCTCCCACGGCTTGGGGTTGAAGAGCACGGGCGGCCGCGCGTCGAAAAAGGCCATGGGCTGCAGCCGCGAGCTGTTGAGCGCCCAAAGGTAGCTCGCGCCGTCGAGGCGCATGTTGAGCACAAAGGTGGCGTCGGCGCGCTGCGCGACGGGCGCGGGCGGGAAGGGGTGCGCGATGGCTTGGTCGAAGATGACGAGGTCCTTGGACGTCGGGTTGCCGACTATGTCAATGTACGCCTTGGCCTCCTTCTTGGTCGAGTTGCCGGACTGCTGTCCTTCGACGTTGAGCACCGCGTTGCCGACAATCATCTGCGCCGCCGTGTTGGAGTTGGCGCGGATCTTGAACTGCCCCGCGCCGCCGAGCTGCACCAGGACGCCGTACCGCTCGCCGTTGGCCATGTTGATGATCTGCACCTTTTGCGGCTCAATGTACGACCCGTCCATGGCGTACAACCACATGTCGTGCCCGTCGATGGACACGACGGGCGTGGCAAAGTTGGTCGCCCCGATCAGGTCTATGGCGATCCAATCGTGCGCCCCGTCGCCTCTGTACGTTGCGTTGATAACCTCCGTGGCGCCTTCCGTCTCCTTGCAGCCCTCAAAGACGCCCGGGATGACCTTGTCTTGCCTGAGGGCGTTGGCGTCGCCGCCAAATGCGGCCATGACCCTGGCTGGCAGACACCTGTCCCACGTGTCAGTATATGAAGCAGTGAAGCAGTAAAGCAGGTGAAAAAGAGACGTACCCTTTGTCCGTCAGCTTCGATCCCGGCACCAGCGCCAGGTCGCGCTGCGTCGTCGGGCTCATCTTGGCCGCCATCTCGTCCGGGGGCAGACACGTCACTCTCCCCTTGCCGTTGAAGAGCAGCGCATCGTAGCACGACACCTCTATTCCGGCTTCCTCGGACATCTTCCATTTCGTGTTGGACTCGAGCCGCGTCAGGTCCGCAATCAGCAGCGGGTATACTTGGGCCTCGGCGTCCTCCAGCGCCTTCTGTACGCCTGCGTCTCCGCCGGCGATGAGGTGGAACGGCTTCGGGTCGCCGGCTCGGGGGTGAATCGTTATCGCGCCGTAGCATCCGTCTTCGATTTGGCCTTGGAGGTGCGAGTGGTACCAGAAGCTGCCGTATTGCGTCGCGCGGAAGCGGTAGGTAAATGTCATGCCTTGGTGAACGGGGTGCTGTGTCACGCCGGGGACGCCGTCGGCCCATGGCGTCTGGTGCATTTCGATGCCTGCATGTGTTTGTGTGAGACCTCATGCTCATCTGACATATTCTGAAGGATTCTTACCATGGAAATGTATTGACGTGTTAAAGGGAGTGTCGTTGATGAGATTGACAACCACCCAGTCGTCCTGGTCCAGCTCCATCACCGGCCCAGGAGACTGCCCGTTGACGAGCATCATCTTCCTGGGCACCCCGGCGAGATCATTCTGCTCCCACGACAGGCGGATGTTGTACTCTCTTGTGCCATTGCTGCGTCCACTTGATGATGCGGCCGCGAGTGCCGTCCAGGCCAGCGCGGCCAGAGCAAAGACGAACAGGTCCTTGCACGAAAGCATGGCGGGCTCGGGTCAGTCATGGGGAAAGAGAACCGCAGCACAACATACAATGGTGTGAATACAATGGCGAGATGTCTGGATTGTTGATATATCCTGCGTCGATCCCCCTCCCCAGGGCCTCTAAATTTGCATCCAAGACTAAGACACTGTCTGGGTTTTTGTTCAGGCGGCCGTCCAGACGGGGTCGTCGGCCCCTCGATCGCCTCCGCGGGCGCTCCATCGTTGCCCTTTTTTTGGTCCTTGCTCGGATCAGGTCATCCGCCAACACAAGCAGCTCCGCCTTGCTTCTGCACATTCCACGGGGGCTGGGCCCTGCAGCGCAAATCCCGTCTGGGATCTGGTGATTAGATGCTGCGAGAGAGTTTGTGGTTGTGGCGCGGAGCTTCCTCGTGGCGCAAGAGTTGCTTCGTTGACGTAAAGCGTTGCGGCGTGGCGTCGCCTAGAGTCAACGACTCAACTGGGGCTAACGCGGTGACAGCTCAGCTTACATGAAACCCAGCGGCAAAGCAACGTGCAGGCCGCAGCTGAATTGGAGCCCTCGGGCTAGCTGAGAGCGGGATTGGAACGCTAGGCCTGTCTGCCGTCCGGCCTGACGGCCAAGCTAGTACTGCTCCGGCGACGGGGGAGGGCCTTGCTCGCAACACCATGCCAGAGCCAATGGATATCGTATCGTATTCGGCGACATCTTGGCATGGGCAAATCCCCATCTCCGACTCAAGACAAGAACTCTCGGACCTGCTGCTGCTCGTAGTTGGTCGGCGCCCCGGGTCGGAGCAGCCACCAGCCTCTCACGCTTGTGGACGACGGCGCCCTTCTTCCATGTCGTCTCCCTTGCGTGGCCAGCAGCGCTCGGCCCCATTCATGGCTCATTTCCGCGGCTGCTCCCTTGTCACGCCGCCCGAGCGAGTCCAGAGCCGCCTCCATCTCGCGCCGGATGGTCCTCCACTCGGTGAGCGTGCTCGTGCCCCCCGTCAGCGACAGCGCCAGCCCGGGCGTCCCGAGGGCGGCTCCCGGCGCCAGCTGCGGCAGCTTCTCCCACGGCACTTGGATGCCGTCCGGCAGTGGCGCCAGGTCGCAGGGGTACTGCGCCGCGCCGTAGGGCTCCCTTCCAAACGTGACGCCGCCGACGTGACGCACCCGCGGGAGCACGAAGCTGACCGTCTCGGCGCGCGGGCAGCACAGCAGCAGCGGCTCCAGCGCCGCCCGCCAGTGCGGGCACATGTCCTGGCCCTCGCGCAGGCGAGGAATGTCGCGGAACCACGCCCGCCACTCGACGCCGACGTGAAGAACCCTGTCCATGCCGGCGACGTGCAGCCGCGGCTCGGCCTTGATTCGGTGCCGCATGTTGCGGTCAAGGTAGAGCATGTCTCGCCGGGGATTGAACCATGCCCCGGGCGACGGCGGCCTGACAATCGACCTGCTGCTGGGCGAGAGGAAGAAGAAGCCCGACGACAGGGCGACCATGCGGGACTCGCGGCAGATTTGGGTTGCCAAGGGAGGAGCGTGGCGGATGTAAAAGTCAAAGGTCCGCTCGCCGGGCTCTGGCTGCCAGGTGGCCATGCCGGACGAGTCGATGCCGTCCTCGTGCTGCTCCTCTTCCGCCTCCGCCTCCGCCTCCGCCTCCTCGTCCTCGTCCCCCTTCTCCTCCGGGTTGGGGTAGGCTATCTTGGCGCAGTCGCTAACGTGAAAGACGCGGCGCTCCGGGAGGGTCGCATCCCAGATTAGGTGTCGGATCTCAGGAGGGAGATCTGCGAGCCGAAAGGCCATGGCGTGTGGGGAGGGCTTGAGTTTGACGGCGTCCGCGGCCACGGCCCCGGCGGTCCCCACGGCAGAAGCAAGCCGCTTTGTGTATCCTCGCGGCAGCAAGGCCAGATCTTGATGATGCGATGACTGCAAGTGGCCACGATGCGCTTCTGCTGCTACTGCTGCCGGCGGCGAAATCACGGCAGAGTGACTCATATCGCCTTTGCCTGCCGTCTCGCCCCTGTGTGACTTTGTTTCATGCAACTCTCTTTTTTTTTCTTTCGCGGAGTCGCGAGATTTAAGCTCCGCGTCCAGCCAGCCGCCGCACCTCCAGGCTGCGATTTAAGAGCCGAGGGACGCGTTAGCTTACACCAGGCATCCACAATACAGCTTGCCCTGCGCGCCTGGCAATAAGCAGCTGCCTTGCCGGGGCCACGACAGCACCAATTTTGGTGTTTCCGTGCGCGGCGAAGAAACGGTCTTGGCAGATGGACTCTCGGGCCGAGTGTCGCAGCTATAGATGGGAGCTACGATGCGAATGTTTAGTCTGCATTGCTGGCCATTGAGGCTAGCTACATGTTCACGGATTGAGATGTGACAAGGGCCGGAGAAGCATCGACGATTCAATCGACATCTCAAAGTCAGTGTTTGCGCTTGTACATGGCCACGGGTGACGTGCTCCATCGATGTCCGATCGGGTGTCGCACATTGTGTCCTGGGCACATCGATGCCCGGACTCCCGGGATCAGGCGGCCCCACAATTCCCCGACCAACCCGGCCTCCCGGCTCTCGGCACGGACTCGGAGGCGGACCTGCCTTGTGTCGCGGACATGACCTCCGGTTTGATCATTCCAGCAGCCTGCCGCATCTGACAACGTCGTCGTCAACTCCGGAGCAATATCTCATCTCACTCGCTGGGGAACTCGCATTTCAGTTGTAGAATAGAGCCCGCTGCAGTCACTGGTCTGGTAGGAGTGTGTGCTGTCGCGCCAGTCGGTTCGTTCACATCGCGTCTACCAGCATCGCCACGTACTAGAAGGTTAATCTTCATTCGTCACGAGTGCAATTGAAGCCTCTGATATCTTTGTGCTGGGAGGAGCTCCCGACAGGTATTATCCCAGGCCTTGTTCGTTGCAAGGACTACCGGGAGACCCGTCAAGCCGAAGACACTACACCAGAAAGAGGCCGATCTGTCGGCAATCTGTATTTTCAAGCCTATCATGACCATGGTTCCCGCGGCGGTGGCGTCAGATCTTTGCCTCGCGTCGAACATCAGTCCAAATGCACAGACAGCTATCAATCAGAGCTGTCCAAACGAGAGCCATTGCTTCAAGTTAGATTAGCCCCAACGTGCGGTTGTACATAACACGCGGTGGTAAGTGTACTGCCTATTGGCTTCTCAAATCAGAAAACCCAAGTCGGACATATTCAAGCAGCCATGTTCACGGAAGTACAATCACAGATGTTTTTAAATGTTGTCTTGCTTTCAACTATGCAAACGTCCCAAACGCCATCCGTTTTGGTCGTGGAAACTCATATGTAAAAATGTGATGATGTACAGTAGTCGCTCCTCGCTGCCGTCAATTCCAAATGCGCATAAACCAGAGCGCTTATTCGACGTCGACAGCGTCCGCATCGTAGCCGACAAACTCGTCCTCGCGCTTCACGACATCGTCGTCGGTGTCGTCGCTGACATCGCGCTCGACAAGTTCAGCATCCTCGGCAACATCGCGCTCAACGAGGGTTTCCAGCTCGAGGTCCTCCTCAGACGCATCGCGCTCAACAACCTCGTTGAACTCGGCGTCCTCGGAAACGTCGCGCTCAACGAGTGACTCAAACTCGACCTCCTCATCCGACACGTCGCGCTCTACAACCTGGTTGAAGTCGGCATCCTCGCTCACATCACGCTCAACGACCTCGTCAAACTCGGCGTCTTCGGAAACGTCGCGCTCAGCGAACTCGTTGAACTCGGCATCCTCAGAGACGTCACGCTCAACGGGTGTCTCAAGGTCGCCGTCTTCCTCGGGAACATCACGCTCAACGACCTCGTCAAATTCGAGGTCCTCCGAAACGTCACGTTCAACGGTCTCATTGAGCTCGAAGTCCTCGGTTTCGTCGCGCTCGACGACCTCGTTGAAGTCGACATCCTCGGTGACATCGCGCTCCACAAGCTCGTCAAGTTCGGCATCCTCAGACACATCGCGCTCCACAAGCTCATCAAACTCGGCATCCTCTGCCACGTCGCGCTCAACAACCTCGTCAAACTCAGTGTCCTCGGTGACGTCGCGCTCAACGTTCTCAGCAAAGTCGTCACCCTCGTCACCGGCGTCGCGCTCGAAAACCTCGTTGAACTCGAGATCCTCTGAAACATCGCGCTCGACGAGCTCGTCAAGGGTCTCATCCTCGGCCACGTCGCGCTCGATGACATCAGCAAACTCGCCGTCTTCGCTGGCAATATCGCGCTCCTCGACTTCGTTGAAATCGGCGTCCTCGCTGTTGTCGCGCTTGGCAAAGTCGTCGTCGTCCTCGCCATCAACATCGCGCTCGACCACTTCATTGAACTCGGCATCTTCCGTAACGTCGCGCTCAAGAAACTCGCTCTCGTCGACGTCGCGCTCAACGACCTCGTTGAATTCGGCGTCTTCTGTAACGTCGCGTTCGGCAAAGTCGTTGTCGTCTTCGCCCTCAACATCGCGAGCCACAATCTCGGCATCGTCGGCAATGTCGCGCTCGGCAAACTCGCTCTCATCGACATCCCGCTCCACGACCTCGTTGAACTCGACATCTTCCGTGACGTCGCGCTCAATCACATCAGCAAACTCGCCATCTTCGCTGGCAATATCGCGCTCCTCAACTTCGTTGAACTCAACATCCTCGGAAACATCGCGCGTCTCAAGTTCACTGAACTCGGTCTCTTCCAGATCGCGCTCGACGAGGTCGTCAAACTCGGCGGCGTCGTCCGCGCCAAAGAAGCCTTCATCGCGGGCCACAATCTCGTCCTCCACGCCGTCCTCGCGCTTTCCAAACCTCTTGACGGCTTCGTAGTAGGTCTTGGCAAAGATCTTGCACTCATGGTACTTGAAGCGGTTCCACTCGTGCTTGTTCTTGTCGCAGTACTCGTAGAGGTCCCTTTTGAAGTTATCGTCGATCTTGTCCTTCATGCTGTCGAAGCGTTTCTGCGCCTTGGTGTTTCGGTAGCCAAAGTCGTGGCGCTGGCAGCTGGGCGTGAAGTCGAACCCGGCGGGCCGGTCGGGTGACTTGGAGCAGTTGTCCGACTCCCAGTTGCAGTCGGACGGGTCGGCGGCCTTTCGCGCTTTCTGGAAGTCGTCCATGGGGGTGCGCAAGAGCAGCTGATCCGTGATTTCAGGAGTGCATTCCTTTGCAACGCGGCGCTCCGGGGTCGAGACGTCGTTGGTTGTGTCCGAGTCATCGCGCTTCGATGTGGGTAATGCCACGGCAGTGGCGGCCAGAACAGCCACGGCGGAGGCGACGGTGAACCTCATGGTGCTGGTAAGGAGTGAATATAGGAAAGGGAGAAAAGACTATAACCAAGGAGATGAGAAAAAAAGGAAAGGGTATGTTGGATTTTTGCCGCTGGGGTGTTTCGACTTGATGGCAGATAAGTCATGCACTCTGTGGCGAGAGCAATCCGCCTTATATCCTCGCCGAGGCCAACGAGTGCACAATGCTTCAGCTCCTGGGGTTACATCTTGTCGGGTAATCCTGCGTCTTCCCCATTTAGAATGTCAGGTGCAGTGGATGAAGCGCGAAACACCACGTTGGACAGAAGCTGTGGAGACCTGGACAATGACACCTTGTGCGGTACAACCAGCTGAGGGCATTGGGGGTCATGGTCTCGCAGTCTATTCCGGAAGGAGATGTGCAGGTCACCGCCAAATGCAGCTCGGCGACATGGAAGGACATGCAGTGTGTGTGTCAATACATGCGCAAGGTGGCCCGGGTACCATCTCGGTGGTGTAAGAGTCAGTGGCGCGTCTGAGTGCCCGCTACATGAACAGTGCTTTGCAGTATGCGCTGCCAATGTTCGACTCTTGGTTCCCGATGACGGTCGAGCTTTCGCTATGGAAAACGTCAACGGTATTGCTGCTTCAAGCGTCAGCAGTTGCGATGGCTTCATCCGTCGTTGTCGGAACATAAGCCGCCTCCGAGGGTGCTTCTATTTTTGCACGCCGGCCGGGTGATCGGCGGACGGCTCTCTGGAACGATCTCGTTGCTGACCCGATCCAGGGCCGACCAGGCACTCTCAGCCTAGCGCGGGGACAGCCTCCAGGGACCTGCATGACGCCCCTCCCCCTCATAACTGGGCCAATGTCATCATCAGCACGCTGGCCCCCAAGGGTTCCTGAACGGGTTTGGTGGGCACGACGCGGCATTCAGCTTACTCTCTGTAATTCATGATCGCAGTGATCGGGTCAGCCCGTCGGGGGAGCAGAGTTGGAGGACGGGGTTCTCGATCGCACCCGAGACCAGTCGATATGCTTAATTGGGAAGGTCTGTGCTCGGGCCAGAGTACGCTCAGAGGTCCATTGTCATACTCGGCTTCTATGGAATTCTCAGCAGTCGATGCTGGAGGGCTATGGGCGGTGGATGATTGGCCCGTCTCAGTGGCAATATGTGGCGATCAAATGCCTGCGTCGCCGTTCCGCTCGCTGACGGGCAATCCATTCAGCACGTTTGCAATCCATCGGGCGACATATGCTCCCTCATTTTCGAAACAAATACTCATGGCCGACCAGAATCTTCATCCGTGGTGCAAAAGGTCTTGCAACGCCATTCCCCCAAGCCATCTGATCTGGCCTTTGCTTCATGTCCCGTCGCTCTGAAACCCCAAGCTCCCCGTTCGCAGTGTGCACGATCAGTCAGAACCCCTCTCGGGCTTTGAAACTGATCGCAAGGCTAGAGAGGTAAATATTTCACGCTCGTCAAAGAGAGGCTTGATGCCATCGATCTCATTTTCAGCAAGGCCCATGTGTCCTGAGTGGTTGACTCTACCAAACCCGAATTCCTCATCCGCTGTATTTCATGCGCTGTGTAAGCTGGTCCTCAGCGTTCTGTCCCATGGGCGCGCAGGGATCACAGAAATAGAAGCATAAGCCCGCCGATGCATGACGGCCGCCGCCCCTCCACTCACACATCGGTCCCTGAAACTCTCAGGTGCTGCCCCTGTAAGCCCTGTTTCCTTCACCACGTGGGAACGGGCCAACTTTGTCATAGCTTGTGCATCCAGCCGGGCAGCGTCACCAGCGGCTTCATCTCATCCATCGTCTCGTTCCAGAGCATGCGCTGCAGCCTTTGGCCCTCCGCCGAGACGATGAACGCGCACGGCCTGCACCAGCTTGTGTCAGCATTGCCGGTCAAAACATTTGGCAGTATGAGTGTAAGAATGTATGAGATTGCGGCGGGTGAGCAAGGGGCGGGAAACTCACTCCTCGATAGCCGTGTCGCCCAGCAGCGTCCCGTGCGTTTCCTCACCAGCCACGACCGCCGCGTTCAACGCGATCCAGCCCGCCTTTTCAACGTTTCGGCCACGCAGCGCGACGACCGCCTTGACTGGCAGGCGAAAGTAGATTGGCAGCACATTGTTGAACCCTGTGTTGACCATGCCCGGACAGAACGTGTTCATAATGATCTTAGGAGTCGCCTTATCACCAGCATCCCTCGCTCCGTGCAGTTCTCGAGGGTACTGCCGCGTCAGCTCCGCCTGGAAAAGCATCCACAGGAACTTGCTGTCCATGTAGCCCGTCAGCGCGGGCGCCCTAGCCAGGTCGTCAAAGTGGCCGAGCAGCGTCTCGTTCAGGCCCAGAGGTGCGCGCTTCTCCAGGCTCGTCATCGCGTACAGCCTGCTGCCCGTGACGCTCAGCTTGCCGGGCCTGCCCGTCTTCTCGGCGGTCGCCTCCATGACGGGCAGGAGACCCAGCGTGAGCAGCACGTTGGACAGGTAATTGACCTGCGTGTTCCTCTCATGGCCCGACGCGGCGTGCTCCCGCCTCGGAAGACCAACGCCTGCGTTTAGCATGAGGATGTTTAAGTCGGAGAACCTGCGTTTGAACTCTGCAATGAAGTCGCTGACGCTGGTGTATCCGTCCATGTCTAGTCGGAGAACGTGCACCGACGCGTGGGGGTTTGTGGCGGCGACATGCTGGTCCTTGAGCAGGTCGTCACGAACGGACTCTCCCTTTAAGGTGTTTCGCACGGCGAGGATGAGCGTAGAGAGCTTGTGCTGGAGGAGCTGGCGCGATATCTCGAGGCCGATGCCTGCGGAGGCGCCTGTGACGATGGCGACTTGGCCGGTGAGGTCGATGCCCTCTGGGAGTGGTGTCACCGACGGCTGGATGATGGGCATCGCGAATATTGCAGCTGGCGAATGTCCAGGTAAGCTGACTTCTTGGTAATAATCTCAGTGAAGTTCTCTGCTGAATGAGTGTCGTGATGCAGCCATGTCGTCAGGGTGACCTCCTTATACGCCTCAAACGCCGCCGGGACACGATAACCTCAACTCGGCATTCCCCAATCCCGCTCCATCACTGTTGTTATCATATTGAGGGGAGCCAGAAATCGATATGAATTTGCTAGCCGCCAGCTTATGAATCCATTACTTTCCAGGAAAGATATCGCACAAGTCCGCCGCGGGATGAGCGAACTCGTCTTGTCTGACGGCACAGAAGCCGGTGCGGAGATGCGGAGTCCCACTTTTCCGGGCCTGAATCCCGGGCCCCCAAGTCCGGGTCCGCTGGCGCCGGGTCCGCATCGCGAGATCAATGACCCGCGGTGTCCAGAGAGCCGTCCAGTATTGTGGGAAGGGCTTTCTTGAAGAGAACTTGGTGTGCAGGATCTTCGGCGAAACTGCCCTTCATGCGAAGAATCCTGTCTTCGTGTGTTCTCGAGGAGTGTAGCCCACCACGCCCTCAGGTTGCGACGCTAACAATTGGAAACAACGAAAACCGTGCCGGATAGATGCACTGAGTCTCTGATGAAGCGCAACAAGATTGAGTCTCTCAGTCCTGACACCTTGCAGCCTCAAGCAACGGACGAGCAAGGCGCACAGAAGTGCTGGACCCAAGCTCAGACCCCCGGCAAGTTCGTATGTAAGCTCTCATCGAGCCCGAGATTGAAAGCCCTAGGGATCCATCAAACCGCGCTCTTCTCATTCACAAGAACGCAACGGCGTCTGGCAAGCAGCTCGGTACATACTAGTGTCCCCCCTCCGAGTTTTTCACCTCGTGGGGCCGCCAGTGCGGCAGCGGCGCCCCGCGGGAAGCCACCCGCTCACTAATCCCAGGGGTCTGGTCTAGCCGAGCCATCGCGAGCTGCGACCACCATGACCATGACACATCTGGAGATGCGCGGTGGGTTACTTACGTACATCCAACCAGCTACGGGAGACACATTGCTTTCCGGCTGTATTCTCGATACTGGATCCGAGGGTTTCGTGCCCTGCCTCTTTTCTTATCACACATCACAGATGGCAAAGCCCTTCCGTTCCCATGGTGGGTGGGTGTGTCGAGGTGGGATTTAAGCGTGTAAGTCGAGAGACATCCGCCGTGCAGCTCGGGGAAGCTGGACCCAAACCTCGCGCGCGCCGTAACCGAGAGAGTCATCATGGCAAACACACAAACAAACCTCAAGTTCTTGGGGTTTTTGGTTTCATTATAGGCATTTATCACTCTTGTGGTGTGGTTCAGCATACGTACTCCACATAGACAGCGCCGACATGATTCAGTGCAAGTGGAGATGGGTTGCTTGGCGAGGGCTCTTCAACATCTTTGCTCCGGACCGTCGCCTCCTGTGGCCGATCGATGACCTATGCCATTGACCCTCAGCTCATACAAAGAGAAGGAGAAAGTCGGTCAGCATCAAGGTTTGCCCATCAATGCGATTCGGCGGTCTTGCTTGGATGAAGGTTGCCTTGAAAAAGCGCATCCATCCGTATAGACCGACATCGCGGCAGTTCATCAAGGTCGCCGCCCCCTTTGCCGATGGACCGCCACGTACGTCCTCTTCGGGGACGGTACCTACCTACCTACATAGATGCGCCCAGCGCCACCTAGATAAGCATAGTGTCCCGGAGCGCGCTTGCGGCAGACCCATCCGACATTTTGATGCCGGGTACATAGCCGGGCCCGACTGACCACTGACCAACTGACCACAACTCCAATTTTCACCCTTCAGCCGTTCATCGCCATGGGGTCCGTTGACGTTACGTACGTACGAGTACGGGCCTTTTCCCACCATGGCATCTCCGACCCGCGTGTGCTCAAACCCGAGACCCGATGAGGCCAGGCCCCCTGTCCCCCGGCCCAGCCTCACCATTGCCAGCGCGCTGCTGCTGTCCTCATCATGCTCATGCGTACCGCCCTCTCTCCACATTGGTATACGTAGTGGCTCGTAAATCAAGGGCACACTTCGACTCGCTCGTGTGCCTCACCGTCCCAGGTACCCTTCATCTGGGACATCTCGTGCTAGTCCGCGGCCCTCCACTTTGGTAGGGTCCGTCCCATCCACAAGGTTCCCCACGAAGAGAAACACCGTTTTTCGCACCGCGTACGGGGTAAACGTCCCGACCTCTCTTCTCCTCATCACCGAACTGTCCCGGTGTTCTCTTTCGTGCAACAGCCTGTCCCCGAGGAGAGTGGTCGTTTCGCTGTCGGAAAGGGCAGCGCAACGCCAGAGCCAGGCATCCATCCATTGTGAAGCGAAGCGGCTCACTTCTTCGCGACCCAGCGACACGCCGCCCTCGCCATGTTGTTCAAAAAGCACAAGGCAGCTCTCGCGGAGCAACACCGCGCCGCGGTCCCCAACGAAAAGGACACCTCCTCTCTCGACGACGCTTCCCTCCCGCGCGAGGCCCCCGGCGTCCTCGTCGCCGACGACAACGGCACCGCCGCTCCCCCCGCCAACATCTTCGACGACGGCAGCAACGGCAAGACCTACCGCACGCTCACGCGGTGGGACACGATCCTCGTGCTCGTCACCAACCAAGTCGGGCTGGGCATCCTCTCGCTGCCCAAGATCCTGCTGACGCTGGGCCTCGTGCCGGGCGTCATCGCCATCCTGGGCCTCGGCGTCGTCTCCTTCTACACGGCGTTCGAGCTGCTGCAGTTCTGGCGCGCGCACCCGCACTGCGTCAACATGGTGGACATGGCGCGCGTAGTGGGCGGGCGCCCGCTCGAGGTCATCGTGGGCGTGTCCCTGCTCGTCAAGATCTGCATGACGTGCGGCAGCGCCACCGTCACCATCGCCGTGGCGCTCAACACCATGTCGGGCCACGCGCTGTGCACCGTCGGGTTCGCGGGCGTGGCCGCCATCGCGTGCTGGCTGCTGTGCCTGCCGCGCACCTTCAAGTTCGTGTCGCAGACGGGCGTGCCCTCCACCGTGAGCATCCTCGCGGCGGTGCTCATCGTCATCATCAGCCTGGGCGTCGCGGGCGCGCCCAAGAACGCGCCGCCAGGGTGGGATAAGGAGATCGTCATCGTGGGGAACCCGTCGTTTCGCGAGGGCGTCGGCGCGTGCCTCAAGGTGTGCTACGCGTACGCCGGCAACGTGGGCTTCGTGTCGTACATGGCCGAGATGAAGGACCCGTCGCGCGACTTTGTCCCCGCGCTGAGCATCCTGCAGGTCGCCTCCGTCATCCTGTACCTCGTCACCGCCGTGGCCATCTACTGTCTGTCGGGGCAGTACACGACGTCGCCCGCGCTCGGGTCAGCCCCGCTCATCCCGGCCAAGGTCGCGTACGGCATCGTTCTCCCGGCGCTGTTGAGTACGGGGCTGGTGTTTGGGCACACGGCCATCAAGTACATGTACGTCGTGGCCATGCGCGCAATGAAGCGGACGCAGCAGATGACGGACAACTCGGCGAGGTCGTGGACAACCTGGGTCGTCTGTGGCACCCTGTTCTGGGGTGTGTCGTTTGTGCTCGCCAACGCGATCCCCATTTTCGACTCTATCCTGTCCATCGCGTCGGCCACGTTCATCGCGTGGTTCACCTTTGGCATCAGCGGCGTCTTCTGGTACCACCGCAACTGGCAGGAAAAGTTCCGCCGGCGCAACATTTTCCTCGCCGTGGTGAATGCGCTGCTCATCCTGCAGTCGCTGTTCATGAATGGCGTGGGCCTGTGGTCGGCGGTGCAGGGACTCATTGACATTTTCAATGACAAGGAGAACAAGATTGGTGGCGCCTTTACCTGCGCGGACAATTCCATCTTTTAGCGTTCGGGAATGATGCTGTTTTATGCAGATATTAGCAATACAATGCCGGTAAAGTTTGTTTGATGCACCGCTGCCTCGTGGGGAGTGAATCGTCGGTCGTGGACACCAGGTCGTGATGGGCTCGTTATTGCGTGCGTACAGCGACATTTCCTGGGGCTGTCTGCAATACCACCGACCGCAACTGTCAGCAAGCCCTTTCAGGCCAATCTGCCAGCTAATGCCAAAGCGGCATGCTGAATAAGACACTGCTGTGCCGCGCACAATGCCCACGTTGACAGTATCACAACATCACGCTTCCTCAAATGTCCGCATCGCAGCCGATGATTCTCTAGGCCTCTATTCCCGGGCGTCGTCGCCTGTCGACAGGTTATATGTACACATCCATCCGTCCGCGCGGTCGCTCGCTCGCTCGCTCGTCGTCGCGTGGACTCAGTTGCTCCTCTCGCCGCCCTTGGCCTCCCGCAGCTCGTTCATCTTGGCCACCCGCTTCTTGAACTCGACGTATTGGCACTTTTCGTACGAATGCCTCTCGTCCTGCGCGCGCCGCATTAGCACAACCTCGACACACGCCGACTCCGTTGCCTATCTTGAAGACCCGGGCTCGGGCTCGGTTCGATTCGCAGGAGGCGGGAGACGGGAGAAAGGGATACGCACGCCGCACTTCCACGGCGCGTACCACGTGTCCCTCCGGCACTTGTTGAGCGGGATCAGGAGGTGGGCGCAGCTGTCTCTGTAGGCGATGGGGAGGCGGGCATCCCGCATCTCCTCGCGGGTCGCTTCTGCTCAAGTCGTCAGTTCGCCGTGTCGCGCGCACATCTCGGGCCGGCCGCTCAATCGAACGCCCACGACGAGGGAGCGGCCTGGGGGTTTTCAACGTACGCCGCGGCTCGGAAGCTGTGTCGGAAGCCATCTCGGTGGTTCAATTGGCCTCGGGGTCGGTGATGCTGGAGGGGTGCAGAGAGCTGGGCGAGAGAGGTATCGTCGATGTTGGCGATGCAGTTCGGGACAAGGTCGGCTCGTTGTGGGGCCTGACATTTCAGGCACGAAGGCTGGCCAATGGCGGGCTCCACAAAAGTCAGCGCGCGCCCGGGGCTCACCGAGCCATCACCGAAGCTTCACCTGGACACCGGCTTGTCACCGCTTGCCCGGGACATGTCCAAAGGAGCATCTCTCAGCAACGCATCGACTCTTTTCGCAGAATCCTTTATTTCTTGATTTTCGCCGGCGTCTCATGTTAAATATGCAGCTTCCAGAACCCACCGGCCGTTGCTCTGAGCGTAGACGCAGCTATCTGCTTCACCTTGCCAACACCACGACATCGCAACATCATGGCACGCGTGACAGACAACTGTGCATGCTTCAAACCCCCAGCTCGGATTCAACGGATCATCAGCAGCTGTTTTGGGCCGTCATTCCGCAGCTGCAGTAACTCCGCGGACCATCGCCCCCATCCCAGCGGAATGCCGTCACAGTGATGTGCAGTGTACCGCCCCAGCTCAGCCATCCATCCCCGGTTGCCAGGCGTCCCCCCACCCCCAGCTTCGTTCGACCTGCCTCAGCAGGATCCCTCGCATCGTCACCCAAAAAGTCAGCCGCCGCAGTCCGCCTCTTCCTCTCCCTCTCCCGGCTTCTACGCGGCCTTCGGCGGTTCGGCGATCGTACACCCATCTGCGGACAACGGTTGTGGTGTTGCACCATCCGGAAACAACGCCCTGCTTCTGCACTCATTGGGCGCGTCTCCCGCCACGACGGCGCGCAGGTGCGGGAGGGTGCATGTCTGCGTGACCACTTTTGTCTTACCCGGCATGCGGCATGCCACGCAAAAGGCAATGCCCAGGTCCGTGTTCAGGTCCCCGAGGACGACGAGGCACGCCGTGATGGAGTGTAGTCGCAGCGTCTCACGGGCGGCAGTGATGGGGTGATGGCTTGAGGGTGCATTTCTTCGGCGAGGGAGTCTTCGCCGTCGCCTCCTTCGCCTTTTCACCTGCCCGACACTCTTCTTGCTGCTTCAGATAGCATCAGTAGCCATGGCTGCATGGTCCAAGTTCTCCAACATGGCCTCGGTGGGCCGATGGGCCTGCTCAGGGAGATCGCGGATGTCTGGCTCTGCCCTGCACTTACAACATCAGCAGGCAGTCAGGGGGGCATCGTGGTTTCGCCCCGTCACCACATCATCGAAGCCCTCTGGCACCCCAGAGAGGTCGCGGCTTGTGCCAATCCTCGCCGCCTCAGCCTGCGTGGCCGCGGGCGCATTCTACCTGACGAGGCAGGCCAACGCTCGCATGGACCTGGCACAAGATGCCAACGTCGATGTTTCGAGCAAATCAGTAAGACACCCCGTCGCGACGTGCAGTGCAGCCATCAGACTACGGTCTATGGATTTTCTGAGACGCACGCCTATGCTACAACAGAGTGCTAATTCTCCACGGCAGCTTCGCATCACACTGTCTCCCACGTCCCCTACCCCCAGCGAGGACTCACGCATCGCCTTCTACGATACCCTCGAGGCCAACCCGCCCGACGTCTCGACGCTGCCCATCGAGCACGCGGTGCTCACCTCGGCGCCGTCGGTCCCCCCTCCGCTGACGCGCACGCATGCGGCGCTCGTCAAGGTGGACCTCACGACGTCGCCCAAGCTCGTGCAGGTGACGAACCAGTACAAGTACGAGGCGTGGACGTTCAACGGGACGGTGCCGGGGCCCTTCATCCGGGCGCGTGCGGGCGACGTGGTGGAGCTGACTCTCACAAACCGCGACGAGACGGGCAACCCGCACAACATCGACTCGCACGCCTTCACGGGGCCCGGGGGCGGGGCGGCGCTGACCAACGCGGACGAGGGCGAGGCCAAGACGGCGCGGTTCCGGCTGCTGTGCCCGGGGCTGTACGTGTACCACTGCGCGGCGGCGCCGGTGCCGGTGCACATTGCCAACGGCATGTTTGGGCTCATGTACGTGCAGCCGGCGGACGGGGAAGGCGGAGGCTCTGATCTCCCGGCGGTGGACCGCGAGTACTACGTGATGCAGAGCGAGGTGTACCACGAGCCGCCCGAGACGGACGAAGAGACGGGGCGTCCCTCGGGGACGGTCGAGTTCTCGTACCCGCAGGGCCTGCGCGAGGAGCCCAACGCCGTCGTCTTCAACGGGCGCGAGGCGGCGCTGACGCGCGAGGCGCCGCTCAAGGCGCGGACGGGCGAGACGGTGCGCATCTTCTTCGGCAACGCGGGGCCCAACCTGACGAGCTCGCTGCACGTCATCGGGAGCCACTTCCGGCGCGTGTACCGCGACGGCGACGTGCTGAGCCCGCCGGGGCGGTTCGTCGGCACCGTCGGCGTGCCGCCGGGGGGCGCCGCCATCGTGGACCTCAAGGCCGTGGTGCCGGGCACGTACACGCTCGTCGACCACGCCATCTTCCGGCTCGACAAGGGCGCCGTGGGGTTTCTGAACGTGGCGGGCGAGGCGCGGCCCGACGTGTACGGCAGCGCGGAGCCGCCGGCGCCGTGCGTGGGATGCAAGCTGCACGCGTGATGGTGGTTGGTGATGAGGGTTGTGAGATTTGGAGCGGGAGCATCAGGAGTGGGCCGGGCGTTGAGCTGCCCTTGGTTTGCGGTTTGCGACTGCGGCTGCATGGGCCTGTCACGGCCGAGACTGGATGCCCAAGGCGAGGGACGGATGAGATTCGGTGTGTACAACTCTGTGCCCATTGTTTGGCCATCTTTCTTTGCCTCATGATACGAAGGAACGAAGCATCAGAATGCATCAGAGTGGTTTCGACTCGGACGAGTTTGGATGGCCAGCAGGCAGCATCGTGGCGAGTCGACGGCGGAGGAACAATCTGGAGCATGTCGGAGGAGATGAACGGCCACAGCCAAACATGTCTCTACATGTTCGTACGTCGAATATACCATGGAACAAGCCCGCATCTGAGATAATATCATGTCGTCCAGCGAGTGCCACGTCTCTGCACTGCGCAGAGCCGCGAATATGGGGAGGCCATCGCCGGCCACCCAACCACTGAGCAGCCGCCACAACAACTTGCGTGACTCAAAGAGAGGGAGAAATTAAACCCTTCTGCTCCTCCCACGACAGCCTGTGCTTGACAGAATCCAACCCCTCCGCTCGGTATCGAAACGAAACGCGGTCAGTCGTGGTCGCGAAGTACGTACCACCAAATCGATTGGCTCTAATCGCGTTTGCCTTGCTGCGTGAGCGGCAACCCGCCTCCCACCACCACCCGATTCACGCCCCTCGTCCACCAACCCCGAACTCAAAAACCGGGTTTTTCTTGCGCGTTTCATCGTGGTGATGCCCGCATAACGCGCCGACGGTACGTGCACGTCAGGTGCCCGCGTGTCAGGCCCGCGTCTTCTTCCGCGCGCATGGTTGGTCCGCCGTCGCGCTTGCCTCACATCCGCGCCGCCTGCTGATGCTGCTGGCCCGTCAACCGGCAGCATCCCGTGTGTTTTGCGTGTGTGTGTGTGTGTGTATGGATGGATGGATGGATGGATGGATGTGTGCATACGTGTTGCCTGTGCGACCCCCTCGACGACTGTAGCCTTTTGCCTTGCATAATCGCAAGTGTTGTCGTCGTCGTTGTCGTCGCGGCCGCACGTGAGTCTCTGTCGCCGCCGCGCTCCGTACGCAGTTCAAGCACCTACGAAAGTATATAGCCCGCGGTCCTGACGTCGTCTCCTTCCCCGACGCTTCCTCTGGTGCAAGTCAGATTCGCATAACATTGTTGTTGTTTCTTTCCATCTTTTCTTACGTTTCTCGGTCCTTACTTGTTGATACCCATCAGTGCCTCAGTCAGTCAGTCAGTCAGGCGCATTCCTCGTCTTTGTCAAGGCGTCTTTAACCGGTTCCGACGCCGCTCACCAGAGTCACCACATTCGTTATCGTGTGACGCCCATCGTCACTGACACGTACACTTACCACTTACACGCATCGCACGCCCAGCCTCAACAGCCCACACGTCTCATACAGACACGAGTACAAACACCCAGAGTCCCAGACTGGGATAACGTACATTCACTCGCACACACCCCTTTCCGCGGAATCGATCGGTCATACTACATCATCCACCCACCATGTCCATCATCAGCAACGTCGTCGTCGCCGACACCGTCATCGACACCGACACCGACACCTTCGCCTGGCTGGTCCCCACGGCATCCTCCTCCACCGCCCAGCGCGCCCTCCTCCTCCCCTCCAACGCAGGCCTCGTCCTGCGCGGCGCCTCCATCCCCGCGCACCTCGCCGCGCACCTCCTCCCCCACGCATCCCTCAACAACAACGACAATAAGCCGCTCGACGGCAGCGCCCTCACCGCCGCCGCCGTGGTGCGCCTCTCCTTCTCGCAGACGACCAAGCAACCCGGCTGCTTCACCATCGGCACCGACCCATCCGCATGCGACATCGTCCTCCCCGCGTATCCCCTCCCTCACCAATCTTCTTCCTTTTTAACTCCTCACGCGTCCCTGTCGTCGTCGTCGTCGTCTGATGTTGGCGAGTCTGTGAGTGGTAGCAGCGCACCCTTCATCTCGCGCCAGCACTGCGCCCTCACCTTCGACGACGCCGCCCGCCTCGTGCTGCACGACTTTTCCGCCCGCGGCACCGCCGTCTGGTTCGGCTGGGAGTCGGCCGGCGACATGGTCGACCACACGTGGGTCCTCGGCGGTCCGCCGGCCTCTACCTCGTCTGACCCGGACCCGGACCTCGATCCTGAGTCGGCTGCTGCTGCTGCTCCGCCCGCCATGCCGACGCGCATCGTCATCGACATCCAAGGCGCACGCTTCCAGCTCATCCCCAACGTCCCCCTCGCCGCCTCCGACCCAGCCGCCTACCGCGCCAAAGTCGAATCCTTCTGCGCGCCGCAGTCCCAGCCGCCCGCGTCAGTCCCCCAGTGCCCGCCGCCCGATCCCCTCGCGAGCAGCATGCCGTGGCTCGTCGACGATCCCGCCCTCGCGGCCGCTGACTGGGTCCGCAAGTCCCTGCTGTCCGGGTCCCCGCCGCGCGTCTTCAAGCACGTCGTCGTCAAGGCCCACGATCCCGTCGCCGTGCAGGAGGTGTATCTCTGGAACGTGGCCCGGCCGTGGGAGCCCATGGTGCGGGCCTCGGCGTGATGTTTATGTGTCCCCCCCCGCCATCGAGGTTACGAGTCGGCTGGAGGAAAGGCTGGAGATGCCATGAGGGAGCGAGGAGTGGTGTCGGCTGCGGACAGGGTTCTTGTCGTTTTCACTCCTTCAGGTTGCTTTCACGCCCGAGCCAGCGCAGATTGGTCATTGAGCGCGGCGCTGGCGCAAACACACTGTTTCCATTTTCATGTCTCTTTGGTCTCTCTTGACAAAGTTGCTTCGAGGATTCCACTCTTTAATATGTTCAGGCAGCAGCGCAGAACGCTTCTCGCACGATGCGACACATGTAGTAACTCCAATACTCCGCTATACTCCCAACAGAATGGCAATCCTGTCCCGCTTCTCAGTCCATCTCCTCGCTCTGCGCGCGGCTCACCGTCCACGGCTCGGGCTTGGGCTCCTCGTCCGGCTCCGCCTGCTCCTGCCCCTCCTGCTGTTGCTCGTTCTTTTCGGCGCCCTCGGCCTCGAACCTGGTCATGGCAAAGTCGGGCGCCCGGCGCCGCTCGACGGCCCGCCCGCCGACCTTCTTCTCCCGCCGCATCTGCGCCGTGCGCGCCTCCTCCTTGACGAGCTTCTTCTCGCTCTCGCGGTCGAGCATCGTGCCCTCGAGGCTCAGGTAGCTCGTCTCGCCGCTCGTGCCGGCGTCAAAGTTGCGTATCCGGAAGCGTACCTTGCCCTTGACGCGCTCGCCCTGGCCGTCGACCCAGAAGCCCGTGCTGTGGACCTGGCGCACCACGCCGTGGTCGTCGGCCGTGATGACCGACGCCGTCTCCTCGAAGCCGTGCGCCTCGATCGACTCGTTGGACACCCACCGCCACGACGGCGGCAGTCGCCGAGCTTCGACGGACGCATTGAAGCGCCCGAAGCAGACGACGCCGATGTGACCCTCGGTCTGCAGGTTGACGCTGCCCTCCATCCACGCCCCGCGGCTGGGCACAAAGAGTTCCACGTCGGCCGTGATCCAGCCGAAGCCGACGGCGTACTCGCGCTGCGACAGCACCGTTGTCGGCATGTCGTCGTCGGTCGCCGCGCCGTCCCGCCCTGGCTCCGGCCCGATGGCCACGTTCTTGTAGTCGAGCAGCACGCCGCGCAGAGCGGGCACGTACTTGTTTTGCAGGTGTTGCAGGTGCTGGTACTTGGAGTTGGTGACGGGTTGCGCCCAGCCCTGCGGGTATAGCGGCTCATAGAGGGAGACGGTCTGCGAGAAGAAGGGGAAGCGGGGGCTGGCGGGTATGTCGGGCGGCTGGTAGACGTTGGAGGACTGCGATGCCGACGATGTTTGGGGCTGGTCGACGTCCATGGCATCGGGGTCCGTCGGCGCGGCGTCCGCGGTGACGGGTTCGTCGGCATGCTTCTTTGACTTTTTCTTCTTCTTTTGTTTCTTCTCGGCATCGTCCTCAGTCTTGGCGGGCAGCTTTTCCGCGGCCGGAGCCTCCTCGGCTTCCCTGTGCTTCTTCTTCTTGTGCTTCTTCTTCTCAGCCTTGGCCTCCTCGGCCGCGGGCTGCTGCTCCTCCGCCTCCGCCTTTACGGGCTCATCCTCGTGCTTGCTCTTCTTGTCCTTTTTCTTCTTGTCCTTCTTGTCCCTTTTACTCGGCTGAGCCTCGGCGACATCCGCGGCGGCGGCGGCGATGCTCTTGGACTTTTTGTGCTTGCGCTCTGCATCGGCAGCGGCGGCGTCGTCCTCGCGGGCGCGCTTCTTCTCCGACTTGTCCTTCTTGTGCTTCTTTTCCGCCTTGGAGGCCGCGGCCGGCTCGGGCGACATGGCGGCGGGCATTGCGACGACGAGCAGTCGGGCGCCGCTGGCGAGCGTGGTGCTGGTGGTGGGTGGTGTGGTGCTGCTGCCGTGCCCGAATTGCTGGTCCCGTTCCGCGCAGGGTAAATTTTTCTGGCAGAGGTGCTTATCGATAGCGGGCGGTGCTCACCGAGGTGGGGCGCTCACCGAGCTGCCTGACCGGGCGGCCGCGACCGGTGAGCGTGTGTGGTGTTTGTTTGAATTGCCATCATCAGCCAAGCATGACAGGCTCGAAAACACCAGTATGTATTGATTGTCGGCTCATACCGTATGTTGTCATACGGATTTTGCGTCCTCACACGCCATCATGCCTTGCGTGTGCCGTTTACCCTCGCGCGTGATGTTCAAAAGGGCTTCCACCGTTTCTTGGGTTTACACCGTCACCAACACGGCTTCTTGGCAACGTCGCCGACGGTCACATGCAACCACCGTCTGCACAAGCGTGCCACTCTGCGCTCATCGCCATGGTCGCCCGAGAACACGCGTCAGAGCACGCTGGGCAGTGCATGCCTAGTTAGATGCACGACTCGGCTAGAGTCCAACCTTTTACCCAGAGAGAGGGTTACCCTAGAGAGAGGCAGCTGGGCAAACTCAAACCGCACACTGCACTTGAGCTACCAAAACTCAAATATATGGCCCGCCGGCCTATGGCAGGCTCCCGATCTCAAGAGTCTTTCTAGTCGGTCAGGCAGCGGTCGAGCGTTTTGCTGGCGGATGCCTGATGCCTCAGGTCGATGCCGTCGCTGAAGCCGCCGGTCAACTCTGTGCGGAAGGTTCCGTTCAACTTGGTCGAACCCAACATAGCAGGGCGGACTCGAGCCCCCGAAGCGTGCGAGTCGACGAGCGTCTCACATGTACAGTACTGAAGTACAGAGAAAAACTCCAACGAGTGATTCCAAAGCCAGCCACTATCTCGGGGATGCTCTCGTCAGCGGTAAGAGCGCTCCAGACCGCAGCGCGGGCCGCCTCAGCTGTCGATATGCTCATCCCTGCGCTACGGGAACGATAGAGACGCAGCATGGGGTCTGTGCTGCGCCTGGATCGTGCGATCGTCTTCCTAGCCTGATGCTAAGCATCGCGGAGCGCGCTCGGGTCCCCGCGATCTCACGATGCGGGAACCGGGGTCGAGCCATGACACGAGCCGTGCGCGCGCGAGCCGCTGTCCGTCTTCTGCCTTGGAACTCCCCGCGTCCGCTTGTCACATCCCCCGTGTTGCGACTGACTCTCAATACCCTCTAAAAAAATCATTAAAAAATCAAAAATGAGGAAAAAACTGGCACCGCTCAATAGAGAGTACTGTGAACTCGGTGTTGGTGACCGAGTCGTCGGACTCCCGTCGCCGCCTCCCGCCCCCAACCTCCAAGCCAACACTGTTGCACTGCCCTTCTTCGCGCCCGTTCCCGCCCATTCTCTCCCTTTTGCCGTAGGCGACCGGCCACTGGCGACTCATTCGGCTGCTCCACGACGGAACCAGCTGCCCATTCCGGCGAACGGGAGCGGGAAACAATACAGGCGTACGTGTACGCGGCCTCGCTTGCTTGCGCCGGCCACACACACAGAATGTGCCTCACACCCTCTTCCCTCGCGTAACCAAGACGCCGCCCGGCGTCCCAGCGCTTCCGCTCAGGCACCGCAACCGACCGACTGGTCCGCCTCAGCCACGGCGGTGCGCCACGGAAGAACGGCAGAGAAACCTGAGACGGCCCCCCATTCAACCGCTGCGTGCGCTGGGTCGCGAGGGCATCGCTGCGCAGCATTGTCAGTTGTCAGAGTCTAAAGCCACACAACTCCACCCGCAAAGGGCCCCCGGTTTTCCCTCTATCTATGCCTTTCCCGGCGCATGAAGTCTCCAGAATAGTCTCCAGCAGCAGCGCGCGCTGTGGCTCCGCCCGCGGTGCACTAGAACTTCTCGCAGAAGCTGCGCGAATGATGGATGCCCGTCGGCCCTTTGCTTCGAGTCAACCCAAGGCCCGCGGGCCTTCCAACAATGGCTACCGCGATCCCGCGGCCGCGCCCTTTGTAAATTCACGCATTGATGCAGGCAGGTACTTTGCACGTGTAATAAGGGGGCGGCAATAGAGTTACCCGAGGTTCCCGGGCCTGCTTCCAAAGCGTGTGCAGTACATGCACACATACGCAGTGCAGAGGTCACAATGAGGTGGCCGCCCGGTCTGACGTGCAGCAAGCGTTGGCTGCCGTTTCATGCTCCGTGTCCTACCAACAGAAACCAGCTTGCAGCACAGGTGGTGTTTGTGTGTTTGCACATTTCAGGGTGCTGCCTGCCTGCCTGCATGCCCCTGTCCCCTTGTCCATGCCGCGCATCATCTGCAGAGTGCCGGGATGACAGATGACATGTCCGTCTGATGCCGGCCATCAGTTGATGCCGCCTTTCTGTGGCCTGTTGCAAGCATCGACTGACGGACCCCCGGCACACCAAGCACCACCACCACCTCCTGCAGGTACCGCTGCGTGTCTGAAACACACCCTCAAGAGCAAAAGACCCGCGCGCCTCCATGCAGGTACCGGCCCGTCCAGGAAGCGCCCCTGGGCTTCCACGAGGGCGGGTTTGCGGCGCCGCCGCCACCCAGCGTGCTGGGCCCGGGTCCTCGCCGGCGTCCCTGGGCCCATCCCGACCTTGGTTTAGGGGCCTGGAGCCCTCTGCCTGAGTCGATCCAATCGGCCGTGCTTTTTCAGCCTTTTGAGTTGGCGTCCCTGAGTCGGCGAACCGACCGGCCCCCACCCTCCATCACGGCAACCGTTCGATGGAGCCCGTCGGGAGACATCTTGTTGCCATGACTTTTTCTTCTCTATCATTCGCTTTATTGTGGGGGACACGCATGGGACGTTTCTTCGCAGGGGCCCCTTTCGAACAAACCTCCACCGTGAGAGTCAGTTCCCTTGTCTGCAGGTACTCCACGCGGCGCGGCCTTTGGCCCCCTTCTCTCACCCCGCCCCTCCCCCCCCTCAAACCCATTCTCGACCCCACGCGCGCGCTTGCGTGTAAGTCGCAGTCGCATCACCCGCCTTACTCGCAGGATCCGCCACAACGAAAACTGTGATGGAGGGTACTACACAAGTATGCATGGCACGGGCGAAGGATCTGTATCTTGCGGGGGAGCCAGATGGGTATAAGAAGGGCCCGTTCGTCGATCAGATCCAAGGAAGATCTTCTCTCTCTCCAGTCCATCACCAACAACTCACATTCTCTTTCGAGTATCCAACACCAGTCGCTCTCTGCAGCAAACCACTTTCCTTTAGGAACACACTTTCACTTTCACTACATACATTCCATCATCACGACTTTTGACAAGTCCTTTCCTTCACTACCACCACAACAAACCATCAAGATGCTCTTCACCGTCGCCTCCGTCATCGCCGCCTCGGCCGGCCTCAGCTCCGCTGCCTCCATCCCCAAGCGGGACAACGGCATCAGCGTCACCCCCCACGAGCAGTACTCGTCGTCCATCGGCGCCCTGGGCTGCAAGCTCGACACCAACCGCGTCGCCTACTGGCCCGAGACCGTCACCTGTGACAACATCTGCGTCAAGGTGACCAACGGCGACCGCAGCGTCCACCTCCTCCGCGTCGACCAGTCCGGCGGCGCCCACGACATCTCCTACGATGCCTGGAACTACCTCGTCTCCGGCGCCAGCGCCGAGTCCAACCCCCAGTCGGGCGGCGGCGTCGCCATGACCTACGAGCAGGTCGACGGCGACGAGTGCAAGGACCTCCTCACCGACGGCAAGCTGGCCCTGTCCGCCGGCAACAGCATGAACTTCTACGCCTCGTGCCTGGGCGGCAACAACTGGGTCGCCAAGAACGCCGAGCTCGTCAACATTGCCGACCCCACCTGCAAGTACGGCCACGATGAGGTCTGCACCCTCGACCTCAACACCAGCAACCAGCCCCAGTGCCCCCACACCCTGGGCTCCCAGGACCCCACCGACGGCCTTACCATCAAGAACGTCGAGTACGGCACCGGCAAGGTCTACACTGCCCTGTAAATGGGTTGCGTGGCTCCAAAACGCGCTGCAGGGTCAGCGGCATGAATTGAAACGAAGCAGACCACCAGCAAAACAAGCGAGGATTGTATATACCATTTAGACTCTTTTTTCTTCTAGACTGTACATATGCACACAAGAGTGTTGGATACAGACAAACAGATTGGACTCCTGAATACATCAGTCGAGCAACACAAGCTTTACCGCGCCTCACTGCCTCTACCGTGCCTCCAGGCCATCAAGTGCCGTGCTCCACCTCTTGATTGATGTTGCCTGATCATTTTGACTCCGTTTCAGGTCGAGCAATGCAGAGGAGATGGCTCGACATTGAAATGCCAAGTTCGTTGCATGGATTGTCCTAGAAGTACAAGGTAGACAGGGGACAATTAGCCTTTCGTTGTGAACAAAGGACTCATCGCGTGAGATTATACACAAGCAGCCGCTAGAGCAAGCCAATACGAATTCTTTCACACAAGGGAGCAAGTCGTCCCATGCTCATTTCAACACGGCAACCCGAAGCCGATGCTTGCCAGCGCGGTTGATCCCTTTTATAGCTGGTGCAATTGACGAGATGACCTCAAACCTTGACGTTCGTTTCCCTGTTGTTGGCCGAGCCAGACTAATGTTGGTGCCAGAGTGATCCGTGGAGGGGCAGAACGAAGTACCCGGCTCGGCCTATTGACGTCGTTCAGATCCATGGCACGAGAGCCGCGGCAAGCGCCCGAAGCCTTGAAAGCGGCATCGTCGTTCATCAACAGCTGGACATTCGCTTTCGCTGCATCTCACTGCGAACTGTCGCCGTCGGGGCCAATTTGGTCGTGCCAGCTGATGGCTGCGAGGACTACCGAGTCCCGCGACGCACAGTCGGAAAATTCTGCCGGTAGAGGCAACGTTGAGATGCCCCTCTTCATACCTCTTGAGGGGATCGTGTGTCCAATGCTGCGCGGACGAAAAAGACGGCCTCAGACTGCACTAGGGCAGTTGAACCGGGATGGCTAAAGCGTTGTGTCGTGGTCTTCGCGTGCAGACTTGAAGCGTCCAAACTGCCTCAGCCCCAACGCAAGCTTCACCGGTGGGTGAGTCGAGATGCGTCCAGAGTTCGTATCTGTCCCTTCCAGCTTCCAGAACAACCCTACAAAGTGCGGCTGCTGCGCACATCGAATGCCGACAAGACAATGCGGTTGACAAGCTCGCGGAACCTGTTGGCGGGTTCATGCCTGCCAAAGCCCGAGCTCCCGCTCCCGCTCCCGCTCCGTGCGCCAAAACGTCACGACCCAGTCTTGCCAGTCCCTGCAAAGGTGTTGGTGATGGAAGCATTTCCAATGCCTTACAAAATCCGCTCGCGGGGCAGTGACTTTGGCTACAGTGAGGGCTCCGGCGGGGGACCAAGTACCTGCCCCGCCACGAGAGGAATTCCATTGCCCCGCGTTTCGCCGAGGTTCCATAAATCTGCGCGCAGTGCGACAGACCACCTCAGCGGTCCAGTGCGCCTGCACCAGCGCCCACGCTCGCGCCGTTCCAGGCGTCGGCCGCACTGACTAATAACCTAATCGTCCACATGCTCGGCGTCGGGTCCGCCTCTCGACTCCTCCATGACCTCGTCCAGCTCGTCGCCCTCGTGCCCACCAGCTACCGCCGCCCAAATACCCCTCTCGCCTCGGAGACAGCTCTCAATTCGATGCGACTCGTCGATTGACGCAGCGCTCGCCGTAATCCCGCCCTTCTGAAGTCGAACCCGGCCGGCCCGCGGCTTCCCTCGAACGCTACCCCTCGGCGCATCCGCCGCGCAGTCCACCCGAGATGCCGTCCGACACCACGCCTCCGCCGTCCGACGCCGGCGCCGAGTCCAGCAGCCAGCTGCCGTCCTTTTACTCGCCCCGGACGGGTGCCGCCGACCACCAACACCACGACCGGCACGATGTAGACCACCTTGCGCTGCCGTCGCCCCTACACGCCGGCGCGGAGCCGGCCTCCTCGTCACGCCAGCCTGCGGTCCAGGCGCTGTCAGAGTCTCAGCCTCCGTCGCAATCGCATACGCCGACACAGACGCTGCCCCCTCCGTCACTCCTCTCTCCGGCCTTCACGCCCCCACAGACTCCCGGCACGCAGACGCCTTCGACGGCCGGCCCGCGAGGCGTCCCCGTCGACAGCTCCATCCCCTCCGGCGGCTGCGGTACCAAGAAGCCGCGCCTTCTCGAGACCCTCCCCGAGGTCCAATGCATCGTGCGCGCGCGGATCCCTACCGTTGCGGGCACCGAGATGTTCCTCCACCTCTACACCAACAATGTCGACAACAAGGAGCACCTCGCCATTGTCTTCGGCAACCACATCCGAAGCCAGAGCCTCGATGCCCCGCGTGAGGGTGAAACCGAGATGGACCGCATGGTCCGTGGAGCCTATACGGGGCGTCTGTTTCCCGGTCGGACGACCAGTGGCATGGCTGCCACCCCTCAGCAGGAACCGGTGGATTCTCCCGCAGCGCAGCAGTCGGCTGAGACACCGCTCGTACGCATCCACTCCGAGTGCTATACCGGCGAGACGGCGTGGTCTGCTAGGTGCGACTGCGGCGAGCAGCTCGACGAGGCCGCCCGTCTGATGGGCATGCCCGGCAACACGGCCGGAGGCATCATCATCTACCTGCGGCAGGAGGGCCGCGGAATCGGCCTCGGGGAGAAGCTCAAGGCCTACAACCTGCAGGATCTCGGTTCCGATACCGTCGAGGCCAATCTTCTGCTGCGTCACCCCGCCGATGCGCGCAGCTACGGCCTCGCCACGGCGATGCTGCTGGATCTCGGCCAGCAGGATATCCGCCTGTTGACCAACAACCCGGACAAGATCCGCGCCATCGAAGGCCCCAACCGCGAGGTAGTGGTCAAGGAGCGTGTTGCAATGGTCCCGTTGTCGTGGAAGGGCAAGGGCGGCTTCCGCAGCCAAGAGGTGGAGGGCTACCTCAAGACCAAGGTGAGTCGCACTTTTGAAGTACTGCCGTTCGGTTGCTGACTGCCCCAGATCGAGAAAATGGGCCACATGCTGGATATGGCGGGATCATGAGGAGGATGGCATCCGTCACACGCATGAGCATCGCACGGTTCGGAGTTTGGAATTGATCTCATCATGGCGGGTGTCTGATGGAGACTTGGTCGGCACCCGCAAGGCGTTGTTATTTGTACGAGCGTTGCAGAGAGCACTTATTGCATGGTACATAACAGGGAGGCTTGCTCCCATCCAAAAACACCTGGATACCTATCTAACTGTGTGTCCGGCATGCATGGCATGGCATGGCGTTGGAGTCCGTTGGTGAGGACTTGTGGCGGGGCGGCTCGGTGTGATCGGTGAGTGAGTCGGTGAACGACGGGGTGAATGACGATGGACCCACCTTAATTTTTACGGGCTGTTTGCTGCAGCTCGCACTCGCACATGTCACTTGGTCCCCTTCAACCCAACCTGCCAGCCCGACAGACTGCCAGCTGGCTCCTTCCCATTTGCGTTCTCTCCAGTCTCTCTCTCTCTCTTTACTCTTTCTCTCTCTTCGACAGCCGCCGCTCTTTTGTCCGTTTCATCGTTCACGCACGCACAGCCATGCACCTGTAAACGAAGCATTCCCCCATCATGTCGCAGGACCCTCTCCGGCTGCGCGTCACGGTCCAGCGCCACGGCATCCCGGACGTCAAGTTCGTTTGGCCGTGCGCCCGCGCCGCCGCCGACCTGAGCGTCGCGCAGCTCCTCGCGCAGATCAACGAAGTAGTGCCCCTCGAGGGCGGCGAGTGGGGGCTCGAGGACTACGCCGTCGAGCTGGTCGGGCCCGCCGGTGAGGATGGACTTGGCCGCGGCTACGAGTGCCTGCATTTTCAGCAGGTGCAGCAGATCCTCAAGGACGAGGACCAGATTGTGTACGTTTGCTCGACCCGTCCCCTCGCTGCGCTGGGCTCTGTGCCTCGGGGTGATTGGGACACTGACCAGTCGGCGGTTTGCAGAATCCGATCGTTGCTCGGAGAGGACCTCAAGCGGAGACGACTCAGCGGACGGCATCAGATATCCGAGGGCGGAAAGCACCTCGTCGACGGGCTTGCCTTTGGCCGGCCCTGGCTGAGGACACCACGAGATCGACCGTCCATCGAACTGCCCCCACGGAAGCGACAGCGCGCGATCGAGTACAACAACGAGGACGAGTATGACGACAGTTACGAACACCCGATGCTGCTGCTGGAGGCGCCAGAGCTAGCCGAAGACGATGGTACATACGCTCCAGCCCTTAACAATGTCATTACAACTGCTAACAACCGCGCAGAAGACGATGGTTCTTTTGCCGACGTCGACGAAAACACCGACGAGGAGATTGATGACGAGCTCGAGCTGGCCGATGGAGACATGGCCGAAGAGCTCGAGCTCCTCCGTCAAGACAATGCAGTTGTCGGTGAAGATCCGGCCCTAGCCACGAAAATCGGCCACGATCCCTCCGACGCAACTTCGCATGAGGATGCTTTCGCCCAGGAGATGGGGCTTCTCCAGGCCGCATTCCCTTTGACATCTGCCTCTGCCATTGGAGTCGAGCTTGGCCGGCACGACGGCAACATCATGCATGCATACGAGGCCTTGAAGCGATCAAACGACCCTGCCTTGTCGCTCGACAAGGTCCTGGAGATGATGCTTGGCGACCTGATGAACGTAGCAGTGTATGATGGAGACAACGATCCCAACGAGAAAGCCCCCGCGCGGCCGCTAATTCAGGTTGTTGAAAGCGATGACAATGATTCTGCCGACACGGACGATACATCGTCCTCGGACTCGAGCGATTCGTCGGGAAGTGACGAAGCCGACGGCGGTGAAGGCGAAGAAGATGGCGACTCCGAGCAGGGCAACAATAGCGAAGAGGACTCTGACTCTGAATCCGAGTCCGAATCTGAGTCTGAGTCTGGATCTGGGTCCGATTCCGATTCTGGATCAGACTCTGGTTCCGACTCCGACTCGAGCGACGACAATACAGCTATGGTCGGCCAAGTATATCCGATGTTCTCCACGGAACCGGCAGCCGCTGCGAAAAAGAATACTGGGGTTGTGCAAGCAGAATCCGCACCGCATACGGGCCTTACAAAGACGCAAAAGCGCAACGCCCGCCGTCGGAAGTTGCTTGCACATAGAAAGTCACTGGACGGTAGCACCGGTACGCCAGACTCGGCGCCCACGGAGCTGTCACTGCAGGAGCGCAAGGAACAGCTCCTCAAATCGTTGGAGCAGGGGTCGAATGCGAATGCGGAGGAACATCAAGGCAACCAGGGAGAGGCAAACGATGTGGCGGCGGAACGGCAAGGGAGCACTCCAAAAGAGACACCGCAGTCGCGCCGCTCCCGCGTCGACGTGGGCGCTGGACGAAGACTGCTGTTTGGCGCGCTGGGCCTCAAGGCACCCAAGTCCAAGGCGGACGAGGAGAAAATCAAGCAGGGACTGATGAAAGACGTCCGGCCGCTGAACAACCCCCGAGTTGCGGAGGCAAGGACGGGGCAGGACGCCGCTCCGGCCGAGGACGAGGACCCCGACGAATGGAGAAAACACATATCGTACTCAGCGGTCGAGTGCTGCCACGAGGGAGTGGTGCTCAGTGAGCCTCCGTTTCCGTTCCGACAGCGATGGGATCCGCAGCAACAGGGCCGGCACTGGGGCAAGGGGAAGCGCAAGCGCCAGTCACAAGAGTTCACCGAGGACTACTACGACGATTCGGCCGTCTTCTACGAGGATGGCGACTTTGCGGGAGGTGCAACGCGCCGCAGCTCCGGGCGAGGGTTCAAGCCATTTGGACCGAAAGCTCCTGCGCAAGACCAGAGTGGTGCATCTGACAAGGTGAACGGGGCGCAGCCGGAAGCCAAGAAGCCGGAGAAGGCGGACGACGTGCCGCCTGTGCCGGCGGATCTCGGCAGTCTACCCACGCTGACGGCCGGAGTGGCCAAGGAGGGCATGGTGGTGACGTGGAAGCAGATGGCCATGTCCAAGGCGACGAGGTGGCAGCCCGAGATTGTGCAACTGACAGGCACGGTTCAGGCTAGCACCGACGAGGCCGAACTGCACGTGCTCCTCGCCGTGCGCGACCGCGAGGTCAGGGACCGAGTCTACGATTCCGAGACGGGGAAGCGAGTGTATGACAAGTTCGAGGTGCCCGACTCGGACGGAGAAGACGAGGCGGGCGAAGACGACGGGCAGCGGGTGGTGCCGTGGGACGAGCTGATGGAGCCCAGGATTCTGCAAGACGCGCCCGCGCCTACTACGTCTGCAACCGAGGGCAAGAAGCCCCTGATCCAGGAGGTCGAGATGGGCGACGCAGAAGCGGTGGTGCAAGGAGAGGTTGCAGAGGGCGAGGTCGCCGACGACGAATCCAGCGAGTCCGAGTCGTCGGACTCTTCTGACTCGGGCGAGGACGAGGATGAAGACGACGACGAAGACGAGAACGAGTAAGGTAGACTTTGAGTGCATGCATGTCACGGCGTTTGGGATGCGCACCGGCGAATACCCACCGTGGTGTCCTCGCGGACGGCACGGGCTGGCATCTGATTCATTTTCAAGGTTGGGTCATTGGCGATCTGGATGGTCTGGATGGAGTTTGGCATCTGCGGATGCGTGCGTCTAAGTGCTATAGGAGGAATGGGTACGAATGGCTGCTGCCAACTTCTGTACTTGGGTCCCAGGCCGGGCTCTCGCGAGTCGCGATAGGTACATAGTGTACGAAGTGTGCCTTTGGCAAAGCGAGTCATCCAACGTGCTGAAACACTCCAACGACGCGCAGCGAAGTCGATATGTCGTCGGTGCAATGGAGGCGAGGGGTCGTGAGGCAGTCGGCGCGACCTGGAACATGCTACGGGCAGCAGGTGTGGCTAGGTGCGTTTGGATCAGAAGTGGTGGCCCGGTCTGCCCTACCTACTTACCGACCTAACGATGAGGCGCCTGCTGGAGGCTGATGGCGCGAGCCCGTGTCGGATGCGCTGGGGCCGAGGACAGCGGTTGGCTGTCAGCGCTCCCGCATCCGCTGCAGCTGCGGGCAGCGAGCGCCGGGGCAGCCACCTCGCTGGAGTCGAGGCGCCAGCGCACACGTGCCCGGGCAGAGCACCAGCAGGCGCGGATAGGCGCCGACAGATGGCGGGAAGATGGATCCGTGGATGGACGCCAAGACCTCGGGTTCTGCTCATGGCTTGTGGTGGGTGAGGTGGTGGTTTCGCGGATGCGACCCTCTCTCAAGGTCCATGCGGGTGCCCTTTGAGTGGTAGTTATCCATGGATGAGAGGAGGACCGAGCCTCCTCCGCTCAAGTAGATCGCCAGGACATGGCGGGCAACCTGAAAAGTCGGGGTTGAGGCCGGTGTCACAGGATCGAGTGGGCCAGAGGCTCTACATACTACCCTGTACGCCACGGGGATGGCTTGGACGGATAGGTCGTCGTGCCTCTGCCACTCGTGGCATGTGCATGTGTGCAGTTGGGTTGCTTGAATGGTTGAAAACTTGTCATTCCATAACTACTGAGTATCTTGAGTGATGCAGTTCCGGACTGAGTTGTCCAGTCATGCTTCCAAGTAGCTGTCGGAGGAATCACTGCGATCAACCGTCAGAGGTCAAGGAGGACTGACACAACACGGGTGGTGGAGGCGGCCCTGAGTGAGTGAGTAAGTGGATCGGGACCAGTCCTTTGCCGAGTGGCGGTGACGGGTGATGCGTCGACCGACGTTCCTTCCTCTGCGTTGAAGGACTGACGGACGGGGATGGAGGGGGCCGAGCTCTGCTGATGGGTGGTGGTGGTGGCGGCGCGCGGGGGTGAGTGAGCACATGAACAACCTGAACCCGACGTCAACTGCGCTGGCGCTCCTCGCGGGGCGTTCGCCTCCTCGTTTGGGTCTTCGTGTAAGCCAGCCCAGCCCAGCCAGCCAGCCAGCCCACCACCACCACCGCGACCATGAACAACCACCTTCTCGCCTGTGGCCCTCTTCGTCTTGATCCCCCTTCCTCCTCCTCTTCTTGCCCGATTTGCAGTTCTCCTCTCGTCTTTCTGTACGCGGCGGGTTTTTTTCCCTTTTGCGGTTCATCATCGTCATGAACAGCAGGTTGTGCTGCTGCTGCTGCTGCCGTCTTGCGCGCCACAACCACGAGCGACAAACATCCGCGGGGGCGTGACTGACACCTCGGCAGCACAAGGCACGCGACCACCTTGCTTGACCGGCCACCCTCGCACGCACCGTTTTTTCCTTCGCGTACAGACAACGAGGGAGCTGAAAAACGATCTCGGACTTATTCCAAACGTTTTCACACCACGGAATTTTGGAATAGTTTGTTGGCTGCGACTGCTATCTTTTGGCCCGTCGTCTGGATATTCCTGGGCGTGGGAATCACCGTGCCCCCTCACTCAACTTCACTCACTCTGAACGACCTGCCCCTACACACGCACGGGGCTTTTCCCTGCAACGCGTGGTTGCAGTCATCCATACACCGGGCAAACGAAACGGGGCGCCGCAACCGCGGTTGTCGTTGCTTGTTCACCTCTTGTGCGAGGCGGGACCGGGACTTTTTTTCTTCCCCCCCCCCTGGTTCGCGGGCGGCAAGCAAGCAAGCAAGCAAGCAAAGGCGCGTGTGACTCTGGTTGGCGTATAAGAGGAAGAGAAGGGTATCGTGCACGACCTGGGTGTGGAGAGAGCCGTGAGATATCTCGACGCTTTGAAGACGCATTAACGACTCATACTCCATACACTCACGCCACGATATAGCCTTCCTTACGTCCGGTATATCGATCTCGGGTTTCCTCAAGCACAGACTCGCAGCCAACATGGCCCGACGAAACAGCACACTCACCATCCCCCTGAATCTCACAATCCTCAACATCCTCCTCCCCTTCCTCCTCCTGCTTCTTCTACACCCCACGCACGCCCACCCGCAAGCCTCCCCCGGCGACGGCAGCCTCCAGCCGAACCTGGCCGCCCCCACGCCGAGCACCGCCCAGCTGTCGCCGCCGCTGCTGCTCCAGCGAGACGACACCGACACCGAAGGCGGGAGTAGCAGTGGCGGCGGGGGGGGCAACTCGGGCGACGGCGACCCCCCTCCGTACCGCCCCATCGTCACCCCACCGCCCGACCAGGCCGAGCGCCTCGCCAGCATGGGCTACCGCCAGGAGACCTTCTACACGTGCAACACCATCGGCGGCAAGGAGCACTGCGGCTGGCACAACCCCATCGTCGCGGCCGCCGACGCCGCGCCCGCGAGGCGTGGCGGGCGCGCTGCCGGCACGGGGGCCGTCGTGGCGGCCGTGGGGTGCCTGGCTGGCGTGTTTGCGCTGGGCATGATGTAGAGAGACGTTCTGCGTGGTGTGGATTCATGACGAAACGAAACGAAACCTTGGGATAGTTTGTTGTTTTTCTCTAATCTTTATTTTCCGGGTTGGCTGTGGTCTTAGCGAAACTGCGTTTTGGGAGTTGGGGGCGGGCCATGCGCCTTCATGTAGGCGAGATACGGCATGGAGTTGGAGGATATCTAGGCAGTCACCTAGACAGGCGTTGATACCCCCAAGCTGCTGGTCGGCAATGATCCGTCAAGTTATACATCATGTCATCATCACCGATCGCGTCCCGTTCAGTCGTCACCTTCCAAGACAAGTCAGCATCGTGGAATGGCCAAAACCGAAACACCTTGATTCATGCTAGTGACAAGGTAGACCATGGAAGCCGAGCCCTCACCACCCCCAAACCCCCAGTCGTTTCCAGAGGTACCGATTCGCCGACACGTTTCCATCCCATGCCGAGGCGAAAAATGATGCCAGCAGCACGCCCGCGGCGTGCGCCGGACGATGCCAAAGCCCCCATACCGACCCCGGGTTTTTACAACGACGCCGCCGACAGCAAAAGACCGCGCGCTTATTTCTCCTTCTTCGCCTTGGCACCCTTGACCTTGGCCGTGCCCCGCAGCGTCTTTTGTCGGTTCTTGCGCTGCTTGCCTGCGCGGGGTGTCAGCACTTTGCTCTGTTGCAACGGAAACGAGATCTGGCTCGACGGCATCGACGCAGGGAGCCGTCGTGCGTGCAGAGGGCTGGGGCCACGTACGCTGCTGTCTGCTGGCGCGCTCGGCCTTGGTGGCCATGCCAACGCGGACCAGGCGGTAGTTGGGCTCGAACTTCTTCATGGCCTCGGGGGAGTCGTAGATCAGGGCAAAGCCGGTGGTCTTGCCGCCACCGAACTGGGTTCGCAGGCCGAAGACCTGGACCTGGTCCTTCTGGGCCTTGTACATGCCACCGAGCTTCTCGCGGAGCTCCTCCTTGGAGATGTTGGCACGGCTGGGGTGGAGGATGTCACTGAGGCAGAGTCAGCTGCTTGTTCTTCAATCCTTTGGTCGTGTTCTGTGCGTCGCTGCCGTCGGCATTGCATGTCGTCTCGCCCGTGGGTGCCCGGCTCGTTCCTCGACTTCGCCACCGACCATCGCGGCCTGCCTGCTGGAAACAGTCCCCGACGGACACAAACAGGTCGGTATTCGTTCGTGCTTCCGAGGGGGGCGTGCATTTGACAGACAGGATGGCTGTTTTGATGGTCGATTGTCGGATTCGAGGTCTCGAGGACGCGGCGGCGGGCGAGACGAGGTGCAATGGCGATGACGGCGAACGCACGGGGGCGGGCAAACTCACACGACCATCTGCTTGCGGCCCAGCAGAGGGTTGCGGATGAACTTGCGAGTTCGCAGAGTAACGGGGCTGTCGTTGTCCGCCATGGTTGCGGTGGTTGTCGATGGAATCTCTGGGTGGTTGACGGGAGAGAGAGACCTTTTGGCGGATGCGCTTCACGAAAGTCGTGGATTCAAGGGCTGGCGGCCTGCGGTGGTGCTAGGGGCGAAAATTCCGACCCGGCCGTGTCGCTTACTCGGGTCCAACCCTAAGAATGTGTGCGCGGAAAAAATAATCAGTGGGGCGCGGCCATTCACAGCGGAGATTCCTCGGGGCAGGTCACGTGCGCTGGCGTCGAGCCCGCACGGCCCGGTGGGGGCGCTGTCGGGAAATCGATTTCCCTTTTGGGCCAGGCACCAAGTCTCTTTGGAGCTTAGGACGGCCTGACTGCCCCTCTCCTCCAAGCTCCAAGCAGGCCACCATGGTTCAACACCACGCCCCAGCACCTGTCAACATGGCTCATCCATGGAAGCACCATGTCGACAGGTTCTGCCGCCAATATCTCCAGCTGGAGCCCAGTCTCGACTTCCCGCCGGCCGAGTATCTCAAGCTGGACACCGTGCAGGAGCTCATCTACGAGCGACTCTTCGCCGACGATGCCCTCTTGTACGCCCCGCCCGACAGATATCGACTCAGGACCCTCAAGCAGCTGATTGCGCGCATCGAGGCTTCCATCGACGACTGGGATGAGCACGTAAGTCGTAGCCTGGCGGCCCCGCACGCCGTCCAGTTGCAAGTTTGCAATGGTCGTATTGACCAGCCGTAGGCCGTGTCTGATAACCTCATGTCCCTGCTCCCCGTGCTCCTGTCCGCGCCGCTGCCCTCAGAGGCGGCATCAGTCCAGCAGAAGCATTACGTGACGTACAGCCTATCCCTTTTGGACCGTGGTTTGGGCGAATCAGATGAGGCGCCCAGCATCACGTTGCTTGAGAACCGCTCCCTCATCTCTGCTGGGGGCACGACAGGCCTCCGAACGTGGGAGGCTGCGCTTCATCTTGGCCAATACCTCTGCCAGAACCCGTCCGTGGTCGCCGGGAAGCGCATCCTGGAGCTCGGCGCGGGCACTGGCTACCTCTCCGTCATGTGTGCCAAATACTTGGCTTGTCGGCACATCGTCGCGTCGGACGGCTCCGACGACGTCATCAACAACCTCCCCGACAACCTATTCCTCAACAGCCTGCAAGACTCACCGCTCGTTACACCAATGGATGTCAAATGGGGACATGCTCTTGTTGGGACGGAAGACCAGCAGTGGAACGAGGGCCAGTCCATCGACGTTGTGCTCGGGGCAGACATCACCTACGACCGGAGCAACCACCCCGCACTGGTGGGCACCATTCTCGACCTCTTTGAGCTGCACCCTGATGTCGAGGTGTACATAGGAGCAACGCAGCGCAACGAGCAGACGTCCCAAGTCTTCCTCGACACCTGTAAGCGCTCTGGCTTAACAGTAGACGACCTGGAGTACCCGGTAATGTCGACAAAGCGCCAGCAGGGCCCGTTCTACAATGACAGGGATCCCATCCACATCTATAGGGTATCGCGAGCATGAAGAGCAACACTGTTGAAATTATCAAAAAAAGCGTCGCGCCCTCTCGGCAATTGTGAGGTGAGACCCTGGCTGTCCAGTCCTCCAATCGCCCTGCATATGGCTTGGACGCCACCAACGTTGCTTCTCAGGGTCTCGTGGCCAGTCGCGTCAAAGTGCGTCACCTTGACACAACTCGCGATTGAGCGGCGGGGTCCGTCATGGTAAAGTGACGACAGTGGCACAACGGCTCATCGTTTGCGAGCAGCGATGGCGGCCATGCAACCGGGCGCCTTTGCCGGACGTGATGTCCGGAGGTGGTGTGACCCTTGAGGCTCCTTGCCGCCAGGATGCTGCTTCGACAGACGTCAATCCGGTCCCCTCCGGACGTCGAGTGATGGGGGCAAACAAGGCGTTGCGCTGGACCTCGATCGCAGCCGATTATTGGTGGCCGGAGCATCGTCGGGTACGTGGGCCAGGCACGTCTCAGAGGGTCAACAAGCTCGTCCCGGCGCGGCGGGATGTGGCTTCATTGTGGGGGGCGGGCGAGCACGGATGAAATCATTGTTGGCCGGGGACCTTGGGGCGCTGGACGCCTACGATTCCGTGATTCAAGCGGCGCGCCTGGAGTACAGAACAGTACCGCTACAAGACAGAAGAGGGGTTTCTGTTCCCCAGGCGCCCGGTCCTTTGGCTGAGACGTCGTGGCGTGACGCTGGGGAAAGCAAGGTGTGAGACAGCAGGCAGTGCTGGGGTCGGAAACGACGGGTCACTGGCGCGGAGCCCCCAGACAAAACCATTTGTACCTTTTACTTTTGCCGGGCAAGAATGATGACATGCCGACGCCGGGCGGCCAAGGCAGTTGTTCACCACGGTGGGCCTCATTCTCCTTGTTCCAAGTTTAGAGCCCTTCTCCAGCTTTTTCCCTCGCAGATTTTCATCGAAATTATGGGACGGGTTGGGCGACACGCGTCCGACCTTGCCGTGGTAGACGAGATGTCCAGGGCTGCCTACTGAAACTGGAAGCTCGGACGGTGATGCTCATTGCGCGGAGGAGTTTGCAGGGGGCTATTGCGTGCCAGGGATGGGCGTGTCGGTGCCATCAAGGGGAATGGACGAGCCCCATCGGGGAAGAGGGTCTATCGACAAGCGGGCGGCAGGTTATCTACATACTGCTCGTATGTACCTTGCAGGAACTCCTGTATCAGTGAGCGGGACACCAGACAGGACTGGTCGGAGGCGATTCCGGCGCTGTCGTCACAGGTCGCATGGTGTCCGCCGTGGTATCGCGGGCCCGGACAGGGAGGTTGACCTCCGCATACATATCTACACCCGCAGACCTACAGCCGACATCTGCATCCAAAGACGCAAGATCGCAGTCATCTCACCTCATTGCATCTCTCATTTCGCGCTGACGCCAGGTCCACCCCAGTGGCATTCTCCATCGCCCGCAAAAACCTGCGACGCAGTGCCCCGGCCCGCGCCGCAACGCTCTCCCTGCTGGCAGCACTACTACTATCATTAATCACGTTTTTCCCGGATCGTCATCTCGCCTGACCGGGCCCTCTGTCCAAAGGTGCCGGGTTCACAGCGGCACGGCGCACATCCCCCTGAGCAAGAGGCGTGCCAGCGTGCCAATCTCCCCACCTGGCGTGCAACGTAGGGGTTGCTTCCCAGGTTGTAAGCGCCTGTTATTTCTGGAAGGCCAGGGCGGGCAGCCACACCGCAAGGTCGCACGAAGAGCTGGAGCGCGCACATCGCAACCGCGCCGGGAGGTATTACTACTAGTAGCAGCCGACCTGCTGCTGCTGGCCAGCCATCGTCGTCGTGGTTTTCTCTTGTCCGAGGACTGCTCCGTCGGTCCAATACTTTACGTTATCAGCGCCCCGGTCCTCCTCCTCTTCTCTCGGCGCCCCCCTCCCCTCCCTCGCCAGCGGCAAGCCTGTCAACGGGGAGAGACGAGACGCACGAGGACGAGTGACCATTCTGTCCTGCACGCTTTGCTGCGCGAGGCCTGCATCTGCAGCCGGTCAAGACTCTCCGCACGAACAAGGTCCCGAGTGCCGTCGACGGCGCCCGACGCGGGTCCTCTTCTGCTGCTGCACCGACCAGTCTCGTCCCTGGCGGCGGCTGTGCATACATACCACAGACGGCCTCATACCACACGAAGGGAGCTCTGCGCTGGCGCTGCATCGGCCCTGCCGCGAACCGTGTGCGTGCGGCCAGCTCCGGCGCGACCCAAGCATCCAGACTCCAGAGCATCCAAGGCACGAAAAGCTGCAGCCCATCCAGCCCATCCATCCATCCATCGCCGGGCCCCTGGAAGCCACACGGGACTAAGGCACAGGTGCAGTATCTGCCTTTGGTACCGTACCCAGCTGGTTTGAGAGAAGAGAGCAGACTAGCTCGACGGCGCAGCCCTCTTGAGAGGAGCTGCAGCGGCAACCGGTATTGCACCACTAGCACCAGCACCGACCGGATCAGCACCCAGAGCCGGAGGATTCACACAACCACCATCCGTGACATCGTCCACGCCCCAAGGGCCGCCGCACCTGCAGCCTGTCACCGTTGCTTCTCGACCAACGGCACCCGAGATCCAGCGCCATCGCTCCCCAACCATCTCCTGACTGGCCGTCGCTGCCCAGTTCCAGGCTCTCGCGTCCCCCGTCGGCCAACTCGTATCGCTCCAACGCCTGCATCTCACCACCACCCTGCCGCCCCAAGCTCCCCTCGTCCTCCCCTCCGCTGCAGCCTAGCCCCCCCTTCTGCTTCCCCATCTCATCCCGTCCCCTCCGTCGGTTCGCCACCCAACAGTCCGCGCCAACACCCCAGGGACACGGCGCCCCGCTATTGGATCGTCACGACATTGTGAGCGCGCAAAACCTTAATCGGCTGGACACACGCAGCGAGGGAAGAGACAAGACGATAGCGACCGCTGCGAGCTTGGCCCGGCCGACCGCTTATTATTATTAGTCCTTGCCGACCCGAACCTTCTCCCCTTTGTGCACAAACAAGCACAAGTTGCTGCATCCATCTCTTCCTCAATTCGCATCAATCCATCAATCAGCCAGGTCCAGATTCTCATCTGCGTTCCTGCAGCAGCACCGACAGGGGGCAACAGCATTTCAGCTCGACGCTTGACTCGCGCTTGCGATCGATCCCCCTAAAGCTACGGATACCCACCGGCACCACCACTCTTAATAACAGCTCCCTGCCCACGAACTTGGAGCCTTTGCAGGCGCGGAGCCCTCGCCATTTCCATCATTCCGCGGCCCTAATTGACGCTGCTCGACGACATCGGCCAGGAAGAAACGTCTCGAACCGACCTGCCGCAACTACAGACTCGACTGCACTGCCGGGTGCCTGAGCGGCGCCGTGTACCATAACTTCCGCGACACCTACAATCACCCCTCCTCCAATGGTGTCGTTATTACCGCCCAGGCTTCAATCTCAGTCATATTCATACTCGCCGCATCAATCAACGATACACTATTACCCTCAACAAGCCGGCACCATGACAACCTCAACAATGGCTGCGCCAAGCAGGCTTCCCCACCACAACTACAGCTTCGCCCTTGAGAAGTACATGCTCCTGCAAGAGCAGCACGAGGAGCTCAGCCATCACCTGCAACAAATCCGCCCGCGCCAACACTCGACGGGCAGCATCTCAACACGATCCTCTAGCGTCTCGTCAATCTCATCACGCCGGCGACATGCGCGGGGCGGGCGGACGCGGTGCAGCATCGCCGCCGAAGCTTGCCTCGACACCATCGTCGACGAGGAGACGCTGTATGAGATCTCAGCCGAGGAGCAGCGCCTGTTCGACGTCAACGAGAGCATCAAGCGCGCGCTGACGGAGCTGCTCAACTGCGACGCTGTGCGCTGCGACAAGTCGATGCGCATGTGGGCGCAGGCCCGGCTCATGGAGACGGAGAAGGAGCTGCGGTCCGGGCGCCGGAGGAAGAGCTCCCCGTGCATGGAGTAGCGGCTGCTCCGTCTTCTTCTCGACGAGTCACCCCTCGTCTTCTAATCATAATACCCTTTTGTTGCATGGGCGATTGGCGTTTCGGGCAGAGCGGACCACGGGACGTGGCCGCCGACTTTGGGCTTGGGAATGGGACATTGGGGAAAAAAGCGACATGGGCATTTCGTTTCACGCTGGACGCAAAAGTCAGTCACAGCCTCACTTGCATTTGCAGCATTCTCGTGCTCGCTTCTGGGGAAGCGGCGCTACTGTTCCCACCGGGTGGGTTTACTTCGTTCACGGCGCATATGCCGCTTCTAGTACTGTACTCGATAGGGGTACATTGATGTTAGACTGTCAATTGAAACATCAGTCTGCCATATGCCACCCCGATGCGTAGTGATGAGTCGCGCCCAGACGTACTGCGGAACCTGCGGCCCTTCGAGATGGGCGGCGGAGGAGGCCAGTCGAAGCGAGAAAGCGGGCTCCGCGCCGGTACCGGTGGGCAACAAGCTCCGGGGCCCCGGGGGACAGTCTTTCGAGTACCGATACATCTACGCACCTACGAAGTAACGTAGGCTCGTACGAGCGAGCTTCGGAGAGGGCTTCGTCACGGCTGGAATTCGGTCTCGAGCTTCTCGGCTGACTTTGGCTCAGCCGCCAAGCGTTTGCCAAGAAAAGGCTTGGCGCGGAGACGCTCCTCGTGGGGCACCTGTCAAGTCACGTGTATTGTACCGGCTGATCATCGGCAGCTGGTCCCTTCCTTCCCTTCGTTCATGCAGCAAGCACCTGTCGCCGCCGCCTACGTTTTAGGCCGGTGGCGTCACTGACGGAAGCTGCGACCTTCTGGCCCAACTTACACTGTGCGGCAGGCGCGTGTCGAAGAGTCGCAACCTGCACCGACGTTTCAACTTCCTTTCTTCCGCCAGCGGCCTCGACGAGCCAACGAGTTGCCTACGGGTTGTGCATGTGCATGCGACGCCAGCAGCACACGAGGCACAATGTCGGTCTTGCTCGAGACGAGCGTGGGCGATATTGTCATTGACCTCTTGGTCGATCATGCGCCGAAGCTTTGCGAGAAGTCGGTTCCCCCCCAGCCTCGAAAGAAGCCATTTAGCTGACCGTCACAAAAGCTTCCTAAAGCTTTGCAAAGTCAAATACTACAACTTCTCCCCCGTACACTCCGTTCAAAAGGACTTTTCCTTCCAAACGGGCGATCCCCTCGGCCCACTGTCCCAAGAGTCTGATGGCGGCTCCTCGATATGGGGCGTCGCGTCAGGGAATCCCTCCTTGCGGACGTTTCCGGCCTTCTTCCACCCAAAATTGAAGCACCTCGAGCGCGGCACGGTTAGCATGGCTACGGTCCCCCTCACCTCCGATCCCGATACCCGCGTTGCCGGATCACAGTTCATCATCACGCTCGGCGAGGACACAGACTTCTTGGACGGCAAGGCGGCGATATTTGGCAAGGTTGTGGAGGGCTTCGATGCCCTGGAGAAGATCAATGAGGCGATTGTGGATGACAAAGGCTACCCGCTCATCGACATTCGCATCAAGCACACAGTAATACTGGACGATCCGTACCCAGATCCCGAGAACCTGAGGGAGCCGAGTTCGAGCCCTGCACCGACCGAAGAACAACTCAAGACGGTGCGGATCGCAGATGAAGCGGCCCTGCATGAGAATGATGGCGTGGACGAGGAAGAGCTCGAGCGCCGGCGGCGAAACCGCGAGGCACAGGCACAAGCGCTGACGCTGGAGATGATGGGCGATCTCCCCTTTGCGGAGGTGAAGCCACCAGAGAACGTCCTCTTCGTGTGCAAGCTGAACCCGGTCACCGGAGACGATGATCTCGAGCTCATTTTCGGACGCTTCGGCAAGATTCTCAGTTGCGAGGTCATCCGGGACCAGAAGACGGGGGACAGTTTGCAGTACGCATTTATCGAGTACGAAGACAAGGCGTCCTGCGAGGCTGCGTACTTCAAAATGCAGGGGGTCCTCATCGACGACAGACGCATCCACGTCGACTTTTCGCAGAGCGTCAGCAAGCTCAGCGACGTCTGGAGGAAGGATACAAACACCAAGCGCAAGGCGAATGCATCCCGTGGCGGATGGGGCGGAGTGGATGAGCTGGAGAAGCGGCGGCAGTACAGGGCAGAAGCGGAGCGGGACACCCGTGGCAACTACGGCATGGTGTACGGGGACGAGGAAATGAGGAAGCGGCATCAACGAGACGGCGGCGAAAGAAGACGAGACGATGGCCCTGCCCCACGAAACGGAGATCAGCCGAGGGCACGCAGCCGCAGCCGCAGCCCCCGCCGGAGAGACAGGAGTAGCGATAGACAATATTCCCGGAGGGACGACGGCCGGCGCGATGACCGACGGGACTGGGATTCCAGAGACCGGGATCGACGGCCCGGAGACCGGGATCGTGACCGCGACAGGGACCGCCCTCGACGTCGCGACGATACTTACCGGTCAAGGAGATAGCGGGGCTCGCCAGGTCCCGATATTGGACAGGAAGAATCAAAGAAGCGAAACAATGATGAAATAACCACGCATCTTCCGACGTGACGAGAAGGTGCTGCCGATGTCTTGGGGTTTGAAGGTGGGCTCTTTGTTGCGACGCAGGAACATGATGAAAACACATCAGTGTCGACTTCCTGGCTCCGTTCCACCGCGGCTGTCTCATCAACGTCGTGCCCTCCACCCACCGTCTCGAGTGCCAAGGGAAAGCTGCCAGCTGTCTGGAATTATGCTTTGCAGTCTGCAAGGGGACGGTGATACCGCACCGCTGAAAAGCCGTGTTCACTTCAGCTCTGCACGACTGCGAAACTGTGCTCTCGAAAGGGGACCGTACTCGGCGGCGCCGGTGAACGACCCCAACTAGTTTACGCCCGTGATTGACGAGGCGCAGTGCTCGGCCTTTTGTGCGGCTTCTTGTGCGTTGCAAATATGCGGTGCGCAGAGGCGAGGGTGAAAGAAGGCCGTGGTGTTTCGGGTTGGCTTGGCAGGTTTGCTCTCTCGTCCGGGAGCGATTGGCGCAGCTTCTTTCCGACACATCCAGGGAGCAGCCATTCACTGGTTGATGATGGGCCACGGCTTGGCCGACTGCCGCAGCCTGCACTCTGTGGCGTCTCACAGAGACCCGAGCGGCCTGGGTTGGCCTCGCGCGCCTGGCACTGGGAGGAGGCAGTTGACGAGCCCGGTCGCACGAAGCCGCGCCGTGCGGAGGGGTTTGAGACAAGCATTCGCTTGCTTGGATTGCTAGGCGCAGCCCGTCAGCCTGCTCCGTGCATGGTGCCGATGGAAGCCGCATTCACTGGTCTTGATGGATGCTCGTGGCGTTGAGGCGCGCTGCCCAAGGACGGGAAGAGCCACGAGGCCCTGTGCTCTCTCAAGGACATCTCCACGAGGCACGCAACCGCGGATGGCGCTGAGCCGCTCCGTATTTGTCCCAGGGCGGAGAACCTGCAACCACACCGACATTCCGCTTCGCCCCTGGAGCTGTCACGGGCGGCACGGAGCGTCGACGACCTGCGAAACGGCGTTGCGGATGCTCCATCACCCAACGACAGGCGCTTCGCAGATGCCTCAATTCGGGACCCAATCGCTAGGATGTGGCGCGTTACACTTCGCCTGAGGCACAGACGGTGTCGCACAAATACTGCGATCTGGGCACAGCGCGACCCGCCTTTTCAAGTTGGGACTCTCCGTGCGAGGCCGGCCTGACCACGGGGAGTGCTGTGTGGCGGTCTTGCCGATGCAGCGATTCTCTGAGGGAATGACTGCAGGACAATGGCTGCCTGGGTAGACGGGCGCCCATCGAGATTGCATACTGTGCTTTGCCGTGTGGGTGCGTCTCCGAGAACGCGGAACGGCCGCCCTCAGAGAATGCGGCCCGGGGTGCCGGTCCAGTTCTTGTGCTCTTCTCGGCACAGGCGGTCTGGCTAGGCCGAGGTCGATCGATATTCGCTGACAGTCTGACTCGACACTGGCCCATTCCATCTCAACCAGTTTTGGTCGCACCCCGCACTCGTCTCCATGAACGAGCGAGCGCATCCAGTGACAGAGTTTCCGATGAAGCTTTCACATAATCTAGCACGACCATAGCATCTCACTCGCTCGGATCACTGGCGCAATCGAGGACGACACTGCCTAAGGTTTACGAACGGCATGGGCACGGCAGCCAATGGAGGCAGAAGAAGACTCAAAATGGCAGTTGGCCGTGCCCTAAGCCCCTGACCGCCAGGAATATATGATATCCATCTTCATAAGCAGGGCCCTGTTACCGCAGCCCCATCGCGTATGGCGACCCCCAGGAACGGTACCCAGTGCGGGAAGCTGCCGGCCTTGGCATGCAAGAGTCATCGGCACATTCGATGCTGTTCGACATCAGCAAATTGGGACAATCGAGCACACGGGGAACGTTATTTTTTGCACGGACGAGGTTCGTGGGCGAATGAGTGCGCCCTGCGACTGTGAGGAGCCGCCAGCAACGGCAAGGTGCTCGCCGCAAGTTCACGCCTGCGCGAGTCTGTCGTGGCATCTAGAGTCCGGTGGCGCTGACGCAGCAAAAGACCTGCGACAAGGCCAGTCGGCTTGTATCATGGCCGTCCCTGAAGCATACCGCCTTTTGCGGCTCGGCTCGACGAAGGTGCCAGCCAGGCACCGCCGCCAATCTTACGTCCCGAACACGACCTGCAGAGTGACCACTTCTACCCCTGAACGAAGTAGCTATTGCGCGTCTCCATCTCAGCATGCTGGTACGTATTCGTTCGCAACACGATAGAGGCGCAAAGCAACTTCGGCAAGATCAGATGCTCATGAGCGCTCCGGTCCATGGAGAGGCAATGCTCTTGTGCTGTCTCCGCGTCTCATGGGTCAAACAATCTCGAGCACCCTGGCCCGGCCCTTGCCCTGGCAACAGACATCGATTCGGCCCCAAGCCGATCAAGGGCCAAGGCCTGCGGGCGAACCCGCCACCGGGTGAGAGAGGCACGTCTCCAGCCGTTGTCTGCGCTGCACGTGCCTCATCTGTGACCCTGCGCCGCCTGTTTGGCAACGGGCCGCCACCAACGTCCGTGGCCAGAGGCGCAAACGCAGTGGCGGGACAGGGACGGTGAAGAATCGCGCAGCGTTAGCCGTTGCACGCCGCACCCACTTGTTTCCTCTCCCCTCACCCCTATAGGGCAGACCGTGGATGGTTACACTGGAACGACGCAGAGTGGCTGGCGGGTTTGCGGCGTCGCTTGAGCAGCACATTTGGTCCGAACGAGGCATCAACTTCACGACGACGACTGATAGCTGCTGGAGCTACCGGAAAACCTAGACTTCATAAACGGGCGTCTGTGGAACGTGTGGTATTGTACATAATATCTGGATCTGCACATTGCCTGTGGGGGCTGGCCGGCACGTCACCGATACGCATGCCTGGCAGGCTGCATGTTTGCTCCCTGGTTGGCCGCGATGAACGCAACCGGGCGTCTGGCGAGCCCCCCATGTCGATGCCTGCCGTGCCTTATCCTTGGATCCCAAGCGTTGGAGCCTTCGCCCGAAGATAGATCCTGGTTCACAGGGGCGTCTTCGGGTTTACCCAAGCGTCCTGCAGAATCGATGCCGCCCCGGCCCCTGGCAACTGACATCCAGGATGAGGCGCGTACCCGCGCCTTGTCGACGAAGCGAGCCGTCGCTTGGACTGCCGTTGCATAAGACAACTGGCGCGGAGGCGAGACGCTTGTGACTGCTGAGTAGCGAGCGTCTCTGTGCAAGACGGGGCTGATACTTGTGCTCCTGCGCCATGCCCTCCCCACCAGCTCGCCCTGACCAGCGCCATGATTGTATCTGGGGCGCGGCAGTCATGGCCAGTCTCAGAAGGCCAGAGGCTGTTGGAAACGCAATGAGATTGGTCGCGGCTCCAAGCCTCACCCGATGAAGCGGCCCCCGGATCCTTGGAAGCCATGCGTCGTGCCCTTGATGCTGCAGGTGCCCTCCCCCCCTGGGCGCTCGGATACCGCCAAATGAAAAGACGCCGCCAGTCCTTTATGCTTCGTGCTCAGTGAGCCTGCCAACCGTACGCGTGGTCGAGGCTCAACGTCACAGAGCAGCTTGGCCTTCCGCCCAACTGACATGCGTTGTGCTGCTCCAGACTCTAGAGAGTACGAGGGTGAGCCCACGCCACTCGTCCTCCCTGCTTTGAATGGCGACGCCGAGAGGCCCAGGAAGACAGAGGCAATTCGCGTGGGACATAGCGGTGGGGGTCAGGACCCGAGGACAAGCATGGCCGAGCATCAGACTGAGCGCGGCGGCCGGGACCGCAAGAGTCGTACGGGAACGTGGAACAACATGATGAGCTACCAACTGTTGCCCTGCTCCAGGCAGCCTCCTCCTCTCCTGACATTTGTGGTCTTCTACTGTGCGTTGAAGAAGAGAAGCCCCCTCCGCTGTTGTCCCCCGTCACCAACTCGCCTCGATCGACCTCATACGCCACAAGCCTGAAGAGGGGACTAAGAGCATATTCGCTCCGGCAGCAACAGCAGCAGCAGCGTTACCACCACCACACTGGAAAGGCACACATTGGCACATTGCACTTGTCACCCAGGAGACGGGAACTCGGTGCAAGGACGGGACAGAAGCAAACGCCTGACACAAGCACTGAGTTGAAGCGCGCAAGCCAGGAGTTCCTGGACAGCAAGTCACTCCGTCTGATCCGTCCAGCTCCACCGCGTTGCAAACGTCCACGTCCGCCTCGCCCGGGGTCTCTGAATCATTGCTCGAGCCCTTCGGACTGGACCATGGTGACCACAACTTGTTTTCCTCCGAGCGCGGTTAGGCGATACTCCTCCTTCCGCACTCCCTACCTGCCATCGTACGTGGAGCGCAACGCGGCCGAGCACCCGCACCATCGTGAAGCTAGCCGCATCATCATGGCGGACCGCGACGGGGGCCTCGACGACTCGGTATCGCAGAGGAAGAGAATTGCCGTGGCGGTAAGCATGCTCCCGAGTTGCCGCTGCTCGGATCAATGCTGACCATGGTAACAAAACAGTGCGGCCGCTGTCGAAAGAGGAAGATCCGGTGCAGCGGTGATGCCGGCAACGGCCAGCCTTGCACCAACTGCAAGAATGCCTCGCACGCGCCGTGCCAGTTCCTGCGGGTATGTGGCGACGAAACACCTTATGAGAGGCCACGACAGGCAACGCTGACGCCAGGCCCAGGTTTCGTCCCAGGAGGTGTCTCATGTGAAGGGCAACGCCTTTACCTATAATGTTGATGCTTCACGCATGATGCACACCCGAGCATCATCAGCCGTGTCACCCCTGGGCGTTCCAGCCAACGCCTACCACGATGGCCTGACGCTCCCTGCAAATCGAGTCGAGTCTGCGGCCGGGTATGGTGACAGGCCATACTATACCCCGTCTGCGTGGAGCGGCGAGTATGGCGGCACCGGCGTCGACTACACGATTTGCCAGCCCGCCTTTCCGGCATCGGCCAGCGGCTCCTCATTCGTGACTGGCGCGTATGCCATGACGGCCAATAACACCAGCGTCAAGGCGGACGGCATGTTGTACCTGGACGCCGGAGCCGCCTATGGCTACGCTGCGGTGCCCACGGGCGCGGCGTCGGTTTCTCGTCAGTCGCCCGGCTCGGAGACGGGGTTTCCGTATCAGACGGCGACGCCGGGGCTGTCGAGCTCGGTCAACAGCAGCAACGAGCGCCTGCCCCCAACACCGTCGCGGACCCTGCCCAGCTCTGGTCCCTCGGCCTACCGCGGCGAGGACTATCGGAAGAGTTCGCATCTTGCTGCCGGAGACGTCGCATCTGGGCTAGGCATCGACGTGTCTGCGGGCTATCAGGCGTACGATAATGCGCCGCTGTCTTACGGCTCGCAGGTTGGCGGGCAACTGGGTCGCTCTGCCGATCTATACACGAATCAGTCTCCCGACGCAACCCACGAAGGCTCTCTGCGGCCGCAAGTTCATGGAGAGGCCGAGCCCCCTTTCCGCTACGCAGACGGCGCGGCCCATCGAGACGCGCCCGGCTCCCTGACCGGCGGCCAATATTATCTGTACCACAGACAAGGCCAACATGGCGACTGCGCACTCTCCACGGACCTGGTGTCGGGGTCGGCCAGCGATGCGGCTGCTAAAAGCCAGAAGTCACCGGCTCGGAACCGCTAATGTGCGCAACAAAAACCCTGATACCACGACGGCAGCCAAAGACGGCGTGGCAGGCGGCAGCGATCTGCCTCAAGGACTATCAAGTGTGTTTATCTTGTGATACTATTATTCGGATCCATCATTGATCTGGGCCTAACGGAACCCAGCTGCTGATGGGGCGACTTTTGCTTCTCTCTGGCGTGTCTACCTACCGCTTTCCTGGTGCCCCTGCCAGTGCCCATGTCGAGCACACTACCACCGACCAGGCGGCCGCAGGCCACGATGGGCAGTGGGACGCAACGGCGCGCTCGGCGGAATGGGAGGCGCATCTGTGAGCCGACGTGGGACAAGACAGGCTGCGCGCCCCGGCGCCACTTCGCGCATGGGCCCCGTCGAGCGTCTGTCGTACGGCGCGCGGTAGTCCCGCTCGCAGCTTCTAACCCAGAAATAGGCAGGAGGAAATCGGGAGGAAGGCAACTCATTCATAGATGCGTCCTGTCTGGTCTGCGTGGCTGAGGCTGGGACGTTGCGTCCCGGCTGTTGTCGCCAGAGGGAGGGCAGGGACGGGGGCGTGGGGAGATGCTGCATCTTGCATTGACGGGGGTTTCCAAAAGTAATTGCCGTTGAAGGGGAACATGACTGCTGTTGCCGAAACGATGCTCCTCCGACTCTGGCCCATAGATGGAGATGACGGACTTGGCCGGACCCGTGGACTGCAGAGCAGTGATGCACCCAATGCCTACATGTATAAACTTACTTTTCTCCCGGCGCTGCGCTGCGCTTGATGCATGTTCGTCCCGTTTCGCACGGCATTGCCCGAGCCCTGACCACCTACCGGCAAAGTCTGATGAACCATCATGTGTCATGGAAAGCCCAGGGTTCATGAACTTCATGTGCCTCCCTGCCTGCTCGCCTACTCTATGCCGATGCACTGCAGGCAACCGTGAGCCCATGGGGTTGGCACCTCCCCTTCCCATAGGTAGTTGAGCACTTGAACCGAAGCAGCTTCTTGATACCGCCATTTCAAGCCCTTAGGAAGCCGACACCGCCACTGCTTCAATTGCTGCTACACCTACATGTCGTCTCGCTGGCCTCTGCGCCGCAAATCGAAATCACGGGCGTGACACTGCGGGGGGAAACGTCAGGGTGGAGGTCGGGCGGGGACGGCATACATCCCGATGACATGCCGGGAATATTAGAGGCCAGCAGGCAAGTTGCTGGGCCGTCGGTGGCTCTGATTCTGGCTTCTACGCCTTCTTAAAACTGGGAGCTGGGTGAGAATCGGCAGTGTTTAGGAAGCTTACCGCCAGGCTTCTGGACCGAGTGTCCTCGGGCATCCATTTGGCATGAAGGAGGAAGGAGGGGATCGTTTCCTTGACCCTCATTTAAATTACCGGTGAGGCCGCGGCGAGGGAGGAAGCCCCGAAGCGGTCATGTCGACTCGGACATGGCCGTGATGAGGGCGATGAAGTCGCAGGCGGTGAGAAGACGAGAGCGAAACGCATAAGTATCTGGCTGTCAGGCCGGTCGCTGAGAAGGGGAGCTATTCAAGCCATTCGCTCTTTTATCTTTCCTTTTTTAAACACTTTTTAGTCAAAGTGTCTTGACTAACGCGGGTTCCAAGTATTATCCTGAAGACGGGGTAGACTTAACCGTACCACATTCATTTACAAGGAAGAGAAGAACTGCGAAGTACAGCCAGCCGCCACACCAAGCAAGTATCGTGAATACGGGGGTTACCTTGCGACTGCACCACATTCATTTCAGACAAGGAAGAGATAAAGAAAAGAAAAGGAAAGAGGTCTAGTTACAACTGCCCGAACGCTCCACAGCTGGCCGCAATGAAGTTCCCCTTTGGTGCCATCCTCGCCGCCGCGTGCGCGTTCCTGCTGCACCTCACGGCAGCGGCGCCCGTCCCCAGCCCCATCCTCGACGGCGGCGACGACGACGCCCCAAGCATCACGAGCCGGGACGACGCCAACACGACGACGTGCGACGTCGCGGCCGAGAAGCTGGGCCAGGTGGTCGAGCCCCTGCTGGACGTGCTGGCGAACAAGGTCCTGGAGAAGCTGCCCATGAAGGAGCTGGTGATTGTGGTGAAGCCCATGCTGGACATTGCCAAGGCGGATCTCGTGGCGGACCTGCCGACGGAGAGCTTCGACGAGCTGGTCAAGAACTTGCGCAGGCGCAAGTCTTGATTGACTTACTTGGTAGTAGGGAGGAGGGGGCGAAACGGAAACGAGATGCGACGCAAGGAGGGGTACTGGGGGCGTCGAAGTGTTCTATTCATGTTCCACGGCCGCGCGTGAGCAGTGCGTGTGAGGCGCTGGCTCCGCGACGGACTGCCATAGCAGAGCTTATTAGCTCTGTGCGTGCGATTGCACTCCTTTGATGGTTATGCGGCGGCAGGGAACGGCAGGGCCTGACCTAGTTGGCTGGAAGAGGGGGAGCTTCAATTCAGAGTTGCTTGCACATGAGCAAATATAATTCCTCTTCGTACAGAGGGCGCATATAATGCCGAGAAAACAGGGATCAGTATGCGCTGGCCCTACACTTTTTGTCCACGTTCTTGGCCCAAGAAATGAAGAAATAAATAATATTTCACGACTACTGCGTCGTTTCGGTAATAGGTTGCCGTGAACATGCAGCACACTTGCCCCGGGGAATAGAAAATAGTAATGAAAAGATTAAACCATGGAATTTCTACATAGAATTCTTTTCTCCCCCGTGCCCATCACTTGCTCGACAGCGCGCCAGGCACTCCCGACCTTTAGACCTTGGGGGCCGAGGGTCCGCCGGCCGGCTTTCCCGCGGGGGCCTTGCCGGTGGCCGGGGCGGGGGCGCCGCCTTTCGGGCCCGGCGCCTTGCCGGCGGAGGCCGGGGCCGGGAGGACGCCTTGGGGCAGCTTGCCGCCGCAGTCCTGCACGGCGTCTGCGCACTTGGGGTCTCTCTGTTTTTCGCCCTCGTGTTAGTTGCTGGTGATTGGAGGAGGCGAAAACACGTTTCGGTGGCAGGAGATTGGGTGTCTGTGTGATCTGGCAGCTTACCTCGAGCTTGGCGGCAAACTCGTCAATCATCTCGAGGTCGATGGTGCCGTTGTCGAGGGCGTCCTTGAACTTGTTGTAGACGTGGGCGCAGGACTTGCCCATGCCGGCGCACTAGCCATCCCTTGTTAGTCTCGTCTCTCTTTCAACGTGATCTCGACCTCATTGTTGACGTAGGACGTACCGTTTCAGGCCCGAGCGGTAAGGGCGCAGTTGCGTTGGGGGCTGTGGTGCGGCGGTCAGACGTGTTCACACACACTGCTATGTCGGCGACAGAGAGCAAGTAATACCTGCGGCATTGGGCTTGGGAGCGGCCTTGGGCGCAGGCTTCCCCTTCTTGGGCGCGGGCTGTCCTTTCTTGGGCGCGGGCGCGCCCTTCTTGGGCGCCGGCTTGGGAGCGGCCTTGGGGTCTTGCTTGGGAGACTTCTTGGGGTCCTGCTTAGGCGACTTTTTGGGATCCTGCTTGGGCGCCTTCTTGGGAGCGGGCTTCGGGGCGGCCTTGGGAGCGGCGTTGGCGTTGGCGGGCGGGGCCTTTGCGGCCTTGCTGTCGACGGCTGGCAGCTCCGGGTTCAGGCCAGCTTCGGAGTGCTCGACGGGCACGGCGATGGCCGACAGGACCAGGGCGGCGAGGTAGACGAGAGAGGTCTGTATACATGTATCCAGTGAGCTACATGCAATACGACACAGGCACAGAGACGGACGGCTGGTACGATACCTTCATGATTGCGCGCGTCGGTGGTAAGGACTGGACGGGATCTAAGGGGGTCGTAACGGCGCGCGCTCAGAACCTGAGCAAGTGCCTTGGCAGCGACGCCATCTCTTATACGAAAGTGAATGGGCTCTCTTCATTTCCAAACAGCCAGAGTGAAACAGGGGCGTCCGTGGCGCGAACCGACCAGGACGTCTGAAGATGTCTCTACGCGTAGCAGCACCAGCAGCACCAGCAGCTATAGCAGCGTAGTACTGGGCGGATGCGTGTTGCTCTACTTGCGGGCGCATCTGGTATGCTGCACCTGCGCCTCTCGACGCGGACAACACAGGCACCACGCATCTCTACCCCGGGGTATGTGATCGCCGCGACGATCGACGAGAGGGCTGGCATATTCATGTCAAGAACGCACACCTTCTTGGGGAGAAGAGAAGACGCGACGGGGCGGGTGGTCTTCAGGCACACAATGTGGGCTGATGGATGAGGTGTCTCTCGCGCGGGTTGACTTGGAACGCAAGAGGCGCGGCGGGTCTGAGACACGAGGGCCGTACCTGGCCATGGCTTGGCACGCAGGCCAGCTTGAGAGCATGGACGTCTCGGGAGGATTTCAAACATGTTCATATGCCGGGCGTGGTGTGTGCGGCGTGGTATCGAATTCCGGTAGTGGCATTTGGGGGTTGGTTTGTGGGAGACTGTCGACGGATGGCGATGCCGACAATGGAGGAGCTCGAGCCTGTCCATGGACGCGCTTGCGGTTTAGAGCACTCGCTGACAACATCTAGCCTGCTGGAACATGCCTTGAAAGCGTGAACTAACGTCAAGTTGTGCGCATTGAGTATGCTTCGCCGGCTTCTTCTTGCCGGCCAGCCTGGGGTCCGTTCATCGCTCGGCCAGAGGAGAGCTTTCGCGCGGTGGACTGCAGTCGGAGGAGGAGAATGATGCTTTCGGCAGCTCAGACAGGGACCGGAAGCTGGATGCAAAGAGCAGCCAATGTTGATGAAGTGTGCCTGGCCTGGCAACCGTTGTGTGCACGGGCAACATCGCCGGTGGCGACGAAGAGGATGAGGAAGAGACTCGACGCATCTCGTCCGTATAGAAATATAATTAAAATCGTTCGTCATGGAGATGCGAAGACGAATGTAGTCGCTGTTGATGAGGAGGGCTCATACAGGCCACCAGCTGTACCGTCTTCAATATGGGTGGACGTCGTGGTCGCGGCAAGGCTGCTGAGCATCACGGCAAACGTGGTTGGTGGAGGAGAGTCGAGGTGGCATGGGTTGATGAAGGTGTGGCGGCACGGAGGGGCTGGCTGGTGGGCCGGTCGCTATCGGCAGCGGAAGCGCGCCCTGGCCTGAGGCTGAGGTGACCTGGCCTGGCGGCGCTGCCGCTTTCGGTGAGGCGGGAGGGGAGCGGCCCACAGCGGACAGCTTGCAGTGCCCAGGTGGACTCCTCTGCCCTGTCTGCCCGTCCTTGGCGGTGGAGGGGTAACTAACCCAAGGTCAGGTCGGCGGCGGCCCTCTGAAGCTCCAGCTGTCATCGGCGGCGACGTCCCACGCGCGGGGTCGTATGATTCCGTGCCAAGGACACCTCGACCTCCATCCTCCCGCCTGGAGGCTGTACTGTACTTGTACTCCGTCACTCCCTGCGCTGCACTGCACTGCAATCCGATCCTCGACAATCCACGGGTGCTGCCCATCGTCAGCCAGATAGACTCGCCCTCACGCTCCCCTTCAATCGCACACACTCCCCCCGCCATCGCCAACATGCAGGTCCCCCTCATCCGCCTCTCGTGCGGCGTCAACTCGTACGAATGGGGCAAGAAGGGCAACGACTCGGCCGCCGCCCGCTTCGCCGCCGCCACGCCCTCGGACACCCTGACGATCCAGGCCGACAAGCCCTACGCAGAGGTATGCGAAGCTCTCCTCCCCCCTTCGCTGTCTGAACGCTCGCTGACCTGCGATCTCTCCGCCATCAGCTATGGATGGGCAGCCACCCGTCCAACCCCTCCAAGGACGTTGTCACCGGCCGCACCCTGCTCGACCTCTTCTCCGAGAACAAGGCCCTTCTCTCCCAGTCCGTCTCGGGCAAGTATGGCGACAAGCTGCCCTTCCTCTTCAAGGTCCTGTCCATCAACAAGGCCCTGTCCATCCAGGCACACCCCAACAAGAAGCTCGCCGAGCAGCTGCACGCCCGCGATTCCAAGAACTACCCCGATGACAACCACAAGCCCGAGATGGCCATTGCCATCACCCCATTTGAGGGTCTCTGTGGCTTCCGCCCCCTAGCCGAGGTCGCGCACTTCCTGGCCACGGTGCCATCCCTGAGGCGGCTGGTCGGCGAGGACAATGCCAAGGCGTTCGAGGCGGCGGCCAAGGACGGCGGCGAGGACGTGACTGACGACAAGAAGAAGGCTCTGAAGAAGGCCTTTGGCGGCCTGATGTCCTCGTCGCCTAGCGACGTCGCCGCTGAGATTCCCAAGCTCGTCGAGCAGGCCAAGTCGGAGGGCAGCGGCTTCGCCTCGGGCGGCGTTCCGTCTACGCGCGGCGAGGTCATGGCGGAGCTGGTGACACGCCTCCATGGGGAGTTTGGCGAGGACATCGGCCTCTTCGTCCTCTTCTTCCTCAACTTTGTCACGCTGCAGCCCGGCGAAGCACTGTTCCTTGTCGCCGACGACATTCACGCCTACGTGTCGGGCGACATCGTCGAGTGCATGGCGGCGTCGGACAACGTGGTGCGGGCGGGCCTGACGCCCAAGTTCAAGGACGTGTCGACGCTCGTCGACATGCTGACGTACAACTACGCGCCCATTGACGAGCAAAAGATGGCGCCGACCGAGTACCCCTACGCGACGCTCAACCGCGCCGGCTACAGCTCCGGCTCGGCCGTGGCGCTCTACGACCCGCCCATCGAGGAGTTTGCCGTCGTGCGCACCCTGCTGCGCGGCGACGGCGCCAAGGCCACCTTTGAGCCGCTCGACGGGCCGAGCATCATCATCTGCACAGGCGGCAAGGGAAAGATCTCGGTTGGGCCGACGAGCCACGAGATGAAGGAGGGCTACGTCTTCTTTGTCGGCTCCACGGCCGAGCTGGTGCTCGAGTCGCAGGGCGGCGAGGAGGACGAGTTTACCACGTTCAAGGCCTTTTGCGAGATTGAAGGCTCCGAGAAGCAGCGATTGTAGATGCCGGAAGCGGGAGAGAGAGGAAGAGCAAAAGTCAAAATGCAGTTGGGAGAAAGGGAGGATCTGGGTGCGAAGCTGCACGTTGATGTCGCGGTGGCGCGCTCAGACGGCAACAGGGACGGGGCAATGGGACGGAAAATACATAATTAATCCATGAACACAATACAAAACATAAACATTTGGCGCCATCCATGGCTTCAATAGCAAAGATTGACACGGAAAAAGAGTAACGATGCCTTAATGCATCACGCAACGGAGTTTCTGGACCTGGCGGTGCTGCTGTTCCTCGACCTGGTTCTGCCGCATTGAGTGCCTCGAGTTTGGGGGTCACGCGCTCACCGCCCAGATTCTGCCGCCGCGCGGGACGTCACGTCAGCGTCGGCGCGACACGCCAAGCGAGCTCGGCCAACTCGCCTCAACCCCAACTCCAACTCTACCTCGCTTCATCCATCCATACCGTCACCTTGCAGGACCCGCGGCGCACCGCCTGAGGCTATTCCGCCGCCTGCCACGTCGCTCATGACACGTCGCGCCGAATACATAATGGGCTGAGCCTGCCCTGCGACGGTCCCCCTTCCTCGACACTTCCTCAACTACTCGGCGTTGCCTGCTTCAACCGCCTTGCGATCGCCTACTCAACCCCTTCCTCGAGAGACGCGCGACCTGACTTTCCACGCGAAACGCGCACTGCATACCACGTCTCTCTCGCATAAATCACATCGCACCGCACTGAGCTGCATGAGGAGCCGCGACTGGCTGGTTCGACGCTGCCCATCATGTAGGCATACCCCTCTGTCCCCTCCGCCTCCCCCNCTCCCCCCTCCCATCTGCACCCAGCCCCCGGTTGTCCCTGCGAGCTCTCAGAAACGCCATCATGTTGAGCGATGCTTCGTGGCCACGTCTTTTCTCCTCCCTCTCTCATCATCGTCATCACGCATCATTGGTTCACTACATTGTTTCAACTGTTCCTTTTCCCGTGGTGCAACCTATTCTGATCGAGTCCTTCTTGCGAGGCGTTAAGGGACGGCAGCGAGCTGGACAGGGAGGCAGACAGCATGGCTGACGAGAAGAGACAGCGGCGCACCGAGCTTGACAAGCTTCAAGAAGAGCTTGGTCCGTATTTCAAGTCGAAGCCGTCGCCGCGTCGCGAGGGCAGCATGTCGCAGCGTAACAACCGCAGCGGGCGCGGGTCCGGCCGCAACGGCGGGGGCGGCAGCGGCGCCCACCAGCAGCACGGCGAGGAGGTGCAGATCTGGGACGCGTGCAAGTCCCAGATGGCCGAGATCGTCGCCGGCATCAACGCCGAGAACAACTCGCTCGGCGAGCTCGTCGACATGGACAAGCGCGTGGGCGCCATGGACCCGGACCGCATCCCCGGCGATTCGCTCAAGCAGATGGAGCAGCTGTGCCGCAAGGGCGTCAAGTTTAGCGAGGCCAACATTGCGAGCCTGAAGGCCGTGACAGAGCAGCTTAAGATCCTCAAGGCTGTCGTGGTGGCCAAGGAACAGTCGGAGTCGGCGGCGGCCGCCGGACCGAGCAAGCGGACAGCTTCTACGAGGGGGGAGAGCGCCGCGGCGGCTGCTGCGGCAGCGGCAGCGGCGTCGTCACTGTACGACTTTGACGGCGCCGGAGACTCGCCCATGCCGAGCCCCATCGGCGGCGAACGCGGCGAGCGCGATCGGTCCTCCAAGCGTCATGGCGGAGACCGTTCCAGCAACCGCGACAGGGACAGCATGCCACCCAAGGCGGACAGCGTCGAGCCGCCGACGTCGGTGTCGGGGGGCGGCTCGGGCGGCACCAACAAGTCCAAGGTGGTCTTCTCCAAGGGCGACGCCGTGGCGTTCAAGCCCAAGGCGGCAAACGGCGAGCAGTCGTCGGACTGGATCCTGGGCGAGGTGGCGGCTGTCATGGGCGAGGGTAAGTCGCGGCGCTACAAGGTGCTGGACATTGAGCCCGACGACCAGAGCAAGCAGAAGGAGTACCGGTCGAGCGCGAGCAGCATGATTGCCATTACGCCGGAGAGCCAGGCGGGCAGCCTGCGTGACTGGGACTCGGGCAAGATGGTGCTGGCGCTGTACCCGCAGACCACGACGTTCTACAAGGCCGAAGTAGACAGCATGGCCGACGACGGCCGAGTCAACCTCCGGTTCGAGGGGGAGAACGACTCGACGATGCTGCAGCAGGTGGAGCGGCGGTTCGTGATTGAGTACCGAGCGTAAAGGCTTTGTGGTCGAGTACCGAGCGAGAGGGTGGAGCGGTCGTGCCCAAGTCTAGTGGTTGTTTTACGGCGTTTTATATTGGGGAGCGTGGCTACTCATGCTCGGAACACGGAGGCATCGAGGTTTTCAGTATAGGTATCTGGGGGCGAGAGCGGCTTTGGATGGTGCTTTTATGTGTTATACCCAGGAGTTGGTAGAGACGTGGGCTGCATTTTTTGTCCGCTGGTACAATGGTACAGCTGCAAAGTATCCTTGTACAGTTGGGGCTTCACGTGGATTATGGCTTGTCGAGCATATCATACAATACGTTGCAATATTTGGTGACGGACAGCATGCCCCTGTTGCCGCGCCCGTGTTGAGTTGTCCCTGCGACATGAGCGAGACCCCTCGCCCCGAGCATTCGGTAACAACGCCGAGTTTCTGTCCCGAGCATTATCCTCTGCCTCCCAGACTTGAGGTGGGTAGGAGCAGCATGGAGTACGGAGGACGGAGGACGGAGTACAGTAATAAGACGTAGTAGAAGACGACGCGAAGCGGTGGCGGAGTAGCGTGGAACTCGGACCCCCCCTCTCCCTCCGTCAGAGAAGAAGTTGCCAAAGTAAAGTGCTTGCTGCAGCTGCGCTTGGCTGCATTTTTAGATGAGGGTGAAGCAGAGAGATGGGGCCCCATTTGCCCCTTTCATTTTAGCGCGTTGCTGGCTGGGCTGGAGAGGATGTCAGGGTTAAGATGGGAGTGGAGGAGGGGGAGGGAGGGCCCTGGAGAAGGTGGTGAGGTGCACTTGCACTAAATTGGCCGCTGGGCCTGCTGGGCTTGCTGGGCTAGGGGACGGGCGACCATCCGGGCGGCGGACGTCAGCCCAGCCCAGGCCCTGCCCAGCAGGTGGACCCTCCATCCACCCGGCCTCAACCTACTGAACGGGCCCCGCCCCTCCCTCCGCGCAGGAACCCGTACAGGAACAGGAACAGGAAGGCCCCTGGACGGAGCCCCTGGACTAGTAGGTCGGCGGCCTTCCAATGCCTCGTGCGTGCGGGCGGCGGCGGGTGCGTGCGTCTGAGGGTAGGTGGCTGCTGCCCCTGACAGACAGGTACCTACCTTACCGCGCCCACCCGCCAATACAGGCCACAGAGGGCATGACAGCGCAGCGGCCAGGTACCAGCACCCGACGCAGCCTGACTGACAGAGGGGCAGCCCGCAGGACCGCTGGAGCGTGAGGTGAGGCGGGAATTGTGACTGCCCATTCAACACCACCACCACGACCGCCCCAATTTCGTGCTTCCCACTTGCGCAACCTCCTCCACACACGCCCCGTCTGTCTGTCTGCCCGCTCGCGCAGACGCAAAACCGCAACACACGCACAACGCAAGACGCACGTTCCGCAGCACACCCATCCATCCCACGAACCGACGGGACGCACGCGCGCCGCCGACGACGACCGCACAACGACCCTGCCTCTCTCTCTGTGTGTGTGCCGAGGACGACGAGGACGACGACAGCACGACACACCCGCGACGAGACACGTGAGACGAGGAAGGGGCTGCCGCGTCTTGTCTCTCCCGTTTCCCTCTTCACTTTCGGGTAGAGCGCAGCGGGCGCCGAAACGTCCCTCTCTTTTTTGACGGCAGCGATCCGAACAAACGACCGACGACCGTTGCAACGTCCACATTCGCGCCTTCACGCTCTGCTGTAGCCGTTTATCGCTGCGTGCCTGTTCATCGAGCGCCGTTACTTTCTCCTGAGCGGACCGGGACGCACGCTTTCGTGGCGCAACATCGCGAGCCCACCACCGACCGATTGTGAGGACCCTTTACCCCCACCATCACCACCGCTACCCAGCATTATCGTCACCCCCTTTTCCTGCAGCTGCACCTTCGGCGCCGGGCTGCAGCGACACTGCAATTCCACAACCCGGAGGAGCGACAGAGGCGCGGAAGCAGGCAAGGAAGAGGAGATCGGTCGATGGTCGGCGTGTTGGCAGGAAACACAATTTACTGACAGTTGCGCGCGTGCGGCAGGGAAAACCATCCCGACTAGACATCGTCGGTCCATCCGTTAATTCATCCGTCTACGCGCCGCGCCCACACACGCCTCCCCGCGCCGTACCCTTGCCTCGCCTCCCCTCGACTCGACCCGACTCGACTTGACTCGACCCAGCGCGAGTCTCGCACCGTCGCACCGCTCACCCCCCGCCAAGCACCTCCGTTGAGCGAGCTTCCGCAACTTCACGGCTTATCGTCACCATCCTACACCTCATCGTACGAATCGCCATCAGCGAATCCACCGAGACCCCGCTACCGCCACCGCCGCTACCACCAGCAGCCTCAAAACTCGCAGTAGCAGCAGAACCTTGGGCATCAACCTGCAGCAGTCTGCCGCAACACGCTCGCATCCTTCCGCGACCGCCTCCCCTCCACCGTACACAGTCACCTCGCCAGCAGCGAGCCAGCCTCCAAGATGGGTGGCCAAATATCCAAGGTGATGGGCAAGATCTTCGGATCCAAGGAGATGCGCCTCCTCATGCTCGGCCTCGACGCCGCCGGCAAGACCACCATCCTCTACAAGCTCAAGCTCGGCCAGGACGTCACCACCATTCCCACCGTCGGCTTCAACGTCGAGACGGTCACGTACAAGAACGTCAAGTTCAACGTTTGGGATGTGGGCGGCCAGGACAAGATCCGCCCCCTGTGGAGGCATTACTTTTCGGGTGAGTCGACCCCTACTAATCTAGCCATCCGCTGCCCTGCGAGCCCCCCGTCCCTAACGCGCGCTCCCCCCGCAGGCACCCAAGGCCTCATCTTCGTCATTGACTCGGCCGACCGCAACCGCATCGAGGAGGCGCGCCAGGAGCTGCACCGCATCATCAACGACCGAGAGATGAAGGACAGCCTGCTGCTCGTCTTCGCCAACAAGCAGGACCTCAAGGAGGCCATGAAGCCCCAGGAGGTGACCGAGGCCCTGCAGCTCGCCCGCCTCAAGGACAAGGTCTGGTACGTGGTGCCCAGCTGCGCCACCACGGGCGAGGGCCTGCTCGAGGGCCTGGCCTGGCTGTCGAACAACGTCAAGTCGCAGCCCGCCCCGGTCAAGAAGTGAGCCCGCTTCCGGGACACGATGCGAGATGGCGACGAAGGCGCAGCGCATGTTGAAACATGTCCAGCCCTCGGTGCAACGAGTAGGGCTACGAGGAAGCAGGTGAGACTTGCCATCGCAAAGCGGCCGGGCGACAGGAGATGTCTTGCCCGACTCTTTACTCTTGGAGCGTGGCCTGAAGTCCTCCCCTGCTTCTCTCTCCCCCCAAGGCAAATTGCATCGTTGCAGCTCGATTCTCACCATGCGTGCCTTCCCCTTGTTGTCTAATTCTTCTTCTTTGCTTTGTCGCCATTGGTGCTTTTCTTGTTGTTCTTTTCATTTGTCCGAAATACCCGCGGAGACGCAACGGAGGCGCCGTGAAGATGAGCCGGCGCGCGTCATGTACCTGTGTGCGGTTGCGACGAGAGCGACTACTCCCTCCCCCCTCCCCGAGACTGACGCAAGCCTCCTCCCCTGAAAGCGAATCATGGGCGGCGCTGCAGCTTCTGTTTTACTGTTTGCGGTGCGTCTGTCCCTGCAGACCCCTGAGTGTTTGTGTTAGGGGCGGCATGGAAGAGACGAAACGCAAGCGATGCGAAAGGGGGACCTGCGCCGCCTTGAAACGAAACACGCGGCCGATGCGCTGGACAGGCGGGCGAGCGGACGGAGGGCCATGTCGGAAGACTGCGTCTAGATCGTGCGTTGCTCGATTTTCATGCGTTGTGTGCGCGTCACGGCAACAGACTTGCCGAGGGGAGCGTGCCTGCTTCGGGTGGAGGACGGGGAGGTGTTTGGCTCGGCCAGCCAGGGAGAGAGACGAGTCGTGACCGCCGCGAGGCGAGCGTGCATTCGGAGGAAGATGTGATTGATATGCACGCAGCGAGCAAGAGCAGTGTCTGACTGGCCCGAAGGAGGGAGAGAGGGAGAGCGCGATGGGAGGACGGGAGGAAGCCAGCCACTTGTTGAGCAGCGTCATGTATACATAGATAATACCGGCAGCCACCCACTCACCCAACTTGACCGCAGCGACCGCCATGGCGACTACTACTACTACCACCTACTTACGTACTACAACTAATAATAACGACGACGTACATGGCCAGACACTGTTTTGTTGTACGCTTCTCCCTTTCAGTGAGATGGATGCGCGTGTTGATCTTTTGACATGAAATTTTCCTCGCTTCTATGTCGAGCTGGTGTTTCCGCTTCCCTACCTACCTAGACAGGTGCCCAAGTATTGACTCTGGTACCTTAATACCTTTGGTATCTACCTAGGACATGCTCGTGTGATGTTAAACCCGCTATACTGATGAGCCCGCCTCTTCTCTTCCGCTCTTTGACGCTGTCCATGGAACTGGACCATGGCACGACTGCCATGTAGGTGATGATGATGATGATGATAGTGACGACAATGACGCCCAAATGCGCGCTCTCCCAAACAAGAATATAATGAAACAATAACCTGATCGATGCCGTCGTGACGCCCGAATGAAACCCCCGCCCGTGTACAACGCCCCGCACCCAAGGAATGATGATGACAAGAATCCAGCAAACAAACGGAGGACAAACAGATAGACAACGTCGTCGTCGTCGTCGTCGTCGTCCCTCCCCTGACGCCAAGTCGCGCGCGCGCGGGGGCGACAGACCAGCCACAAACGAACATCACTCCTTGACGCGCTTACTGGGCCGGAGGAGGGAGTCGTCGGGCAGGCCGCTGCGCTTGGTGCCGGGGAGGCTGCTGGTGCGTATGTCGTTGTCGTCCTGGCTGACCCTGCGGTGGGGGTACTCGACCTTGAGGCCCTCAAAGGCGTTGTTGGTGACGCGGTCGCCGGTGCTGAAGAGGGGCGACTGCAGGGCCTGCGCGGCGGTGAGGCGCTTGGAGGGGTCGTACTCGAGGAGGCCGGCGAGGAGGCGGTAGCCCTCGGGGCCGAGGGAGGTGAGCGGCGCGTTGTTATTGTTGTTGGAGGAGGAAGAGGAGGTGGCGGACGAGGGCGGGTTGGTGGCGTTGGAGATGGTGTTGTAGTACCACTTTTCGAGGTGGGAGCTGCTGTTGCCGGAGCCGCCGCCGCCGCCGGGGCCTGAGGGCGAAGACGTCGAGGAGGAGTAGCCGCGGCCGGGGGCGTGGTGGTGATGCTGGTGGTGGTGGCCGCTGTGGTGGGGGTGGTGGTGGGCGGTGGGCGACTGCAGGGTGCCGAGCTGGTTGTACTCGGGCATGGTGGGCAAGAGGGGCCACTTGTCGCGCGAGGGCAGGCCCATGATGTCGACAATCTTTTGCATCTGGTTGCGCTGAAAGGGGACCGTCTTTTTGCTGTCCATCTTGGCCTCCTCGCCCTTGAAGATGGGCCGGAGCGAGAGGAGCTCGGCGAAGATGCAGCCGACGGCCCACATGTCGATGGCGGGCGTGTAGTGGTAGCTGCCGAGGATGAGCTCGGGGGCGCGGTACCAGATGGTGACGACGACCTTGTCGCCGCTGAAGAGCGAGTGGAGGGGCTTGTCGAAGCGGCGGGCGAGCCCCAGGTCGCCGATCTTGACCTCGCCGGCCGAGGTGACCATGATGTTGGCAGGCTTCAGGTCGCGGTGCAGGACCCACGAGGTGTGCAGGTACTGGCAGCCGTTGAGCAGCTGGAACATGATGCTCTTGACGGTAGCCGGGGGAATGGGGTGGCGCGGCTGCTGGGTGTGGTGGTGGATGATCTGCAGGAGGTCGTGCTCGGCGTAGTCAAAGACCATGAAGATGCACTTGTCCTCGAGGATGATCTCGACGAGGCCGATGACGTTGTTGTGCCGCAGCTCGGAGCAGAGGCTCATCTCGCGGATGGCCGACTGCGAGATGCCCGTGTAGGATATCTGCTCGCCCTCCTTGTCGGGCTTGAACTTTTTGATGGCCACCTCGGCGCCGACGAAGCCGCCGCCGCCGGACCCCGTCGTTGCTGCCGATGAGCCATTGCCGTTGGCCTGCTGCGACGAGGATGTCGGCGTGGCGCGCGTCGAGGGCGTGGTGCGGCTCACGGCCTTGTAGACGCGGCCGTAGGTGCCGCTGCTGATGAAGCCCACGATGCGGTACTTTTCGGTGACGCGCGCGCGGGGCGTGAAGCCGGGGGAGCCCGTGTCTGGATACCTGTGAGTGGGCGACGATGACGACGACGAGAAGGACGACGACGAGGAGAGGCGCGGGGGACCGCCATGGCGCAGACGGAGCGGCATGGCGGGGGGGGAGGGGAAAGAAGAGGGGAGGAGGAGGAGGTGCACGCGGGGGAGTTGGTGCTATATCATGTCGTGGCAGCTTTGTTTTCGTCGAGTGACGTCGGAACAAGGTTGAGGAAGGGGGGTCGTGAGGCGGAGTGAGGTTGACGTTGAGAGATGAGGTGAGATGAGATGAGATGGAGGAATGGATGAGGTGAAGTCCCAAATTCGGCCTAAACGGGATAAAAGCCAGCAGGGCCGACGATCCACCAATGCCCACTTGGACTCGGACCGCCCGCCCCCTCCCTTCTCCTCCCCCGTCTTCGGGGACGCACGCCTCGCTAGTTACAACAGTAGTATTAGCGGCGGCGGCGGCGGCAGCAGCAGCAGCAGCAGCAGCAGCGGCATGCACGTCGGTCCGGCGCGGCCGCTGCTGCTACTCACTACTGCGGCACAAGCCGGGGAAGGCGCCGGAGGTCTTTGTCGAGTCGGAACGTGGTGGACATGCGGCAGCAGCAGAACAAGAAATGCCAAACAAAAATCAGGAGACAAGTCAAGATGGGGGTTTTCACGCACCCTCAAAGGCGGCCAGCACGCTGCGCTTCTGGCCATGACCTCGGGCGGCCGCCGGCCCGCCAGAGCCCGGGCCTGACGCCGCCGTGCTCATCAATGCCGAGGCCGCGCCCGTCCGTCTGTACTCTCTATTGTCGACTGTGCCTGCTTCGGCCTGTCTTTCTCCGCTGGTTGGTCGAGTCGTCACCGCGGTCCACGTCGTCGAGACAACACCAGGCCGGGAACGGGGACGACGGGCGGCGGGCGTTGCTGCTAGGCTCTAGCAGTAGCCGTAGCCGTAGCCTGCCGGGGGGTTCGAACTGAACCTCACAGCCACTGCCCTCTGTCCTCGCTCTCTCACACACGTCGCGGGTGTCTAATCCGCCCTTCTGGAGGGGGACTCTCCAGGAAGGACAGCGGCGGGCGTAGGCTAAGCGCTCCAGTTGGGGATCGCAGTGGAGAAGAGACCACCGCTCGAGTCAGGGGGCGTGCAAATTGATGAGCAGTATCGCGCCGTTAGTGGAGTTTCGCGGCTTCTCGCCCGTGCGCGCGCAACGCCTAACGACCTTGCGCGCCAGTCAGCCCCAGTTGGGGGGAGGGGCCTACAGTGCATGCGCGTGCTGCAGCAGGCAGACAGGCAGGGACGGCGCAAGGCGAGGCGCGGTGGGGGGCGAAGGGGGGGGGTCAACGGGATCGGGCGTCGCGGGGGCGCACACCGGGCATGCGAGGAGGAGTCGCACGCGACTGATAGGGAGGCGATGGGCGACGATGGATTGGATTTGGTGTTGAGAGTTTGAGCCTGGAGGGTTCTTGCCGTCGTTGTCGTCCGAGGGCCTCGAACCTTGACGGCGCCGATGACTAAGCGATCACGACCGCGAGCTCAAGCGGCGTCAACAAGCCATTACACCACGGGCTGGAACTTGCAAGGGCGACGGGAGAGACCATAGAGAATGAATTGTGTCATTGCACGGCCAGATACACGGCGCCTTCAATCTTGCCATTCCCCCGACGAAAGCGGCCCATCTCGCTCGTGCGTGACGCTGCCCAAGTCAAGCAAGCACAACGCACGCACTGACGGTAACATCACGCTCACTGCGCCGCAACCGTGACAAGCACATATATATTTCGCCATGCTCTGCTCTGCTCAAGACAACCCCTCTTGCCATCGCCGTCTTTGATCCTGACCAGAAACGAGAAAGAAACAAGACCACAGCAACGCGGCTATCGCGGCCCCAGCTTCTCCAGCACGCGCGGGCCCTGCTCCTCCCACTCCGCCTTGGTCACCCACATGCTCTCGTTGTCCGCCATGATGTTGGCCAGCACCGCGCCGCCCAGGAACACCATGTGCCGCCGCCTCGGCGGGTCCTCTATCCGCACCTTGAACTTGCTCAGCCGCTCCGGGTCGCCGCGCAGCGCCCGCGTCAGCCACAGCTGCTTGAGCTCCTTCTCCAGCCGCGACGGCAGCCCCGGGTACATGCTGCTGCCGCCCGACAGCACAATGGCCTTGAACAGCGACGCGCGGATATCCACGTCGGCCGCCTGGATCGTGTTGAAGAGGAACTCCCCCAGCCCTGGTGACTCGCTGTCCACCAGGTGCGGCTGGAACAGGCACTCGGGCGCCTCGAACCGCTCGCTGCCCACGCGAATCACCCGCCCGTCCGGCAGCGTATAGTCCTCTACCAGCGTCGTCGTGTCCTCGCTCAGCCGCTTGTCCAGCTCCAGGTCGTACGACACGTAGCACAGCTTCTCCTTGATCTGCCGCACCGTCTCGAAGTCGGCCGTGCGGTTGAGCGCGTAGCCGCGGCGCAGCAGCAGCTTGATGAGGTTGCGCGTCACGTCGCGGCCGGCCACGTCGAGCCGCTTGGTCAGGTGGTTGAGCACGACCGACTCGTACACGGGCACAATGTGCGTCACACCGTCGCCCGAGTCGACGACGACGCCCGAGCTGAGGCCTGCAGAGATTTGGTGTCAGAAGGAGCTTGCCTAGACGTCACGATGCGACGGCCTATGAAGACGCGACGCGAGGGCATCAAGTAGAAAGGTGGAGGGAACGTACCCTGTGCATAGAGGGCCAGCACCGCCTGGATGGCCACGTACACGCCCCCGAAGCCGTACCGGTCAAACATGACCTCGCACATCTGCTCGCGGTTCTTGAGCGGGTTCATGGGCGGCTCCGTCAGCAGGATCTTCTGGCCCTGCGTGTCCACCTTGAGCTTGTCGAAGAAGGTGTAGTCCCAGAGGTGCTGCATGTCGTCCCACTTCTTGACGATGCCGTTCTCCATCGGGTAGCTGATCTGGAGCATGGTGCGCGCCGCCGCCGCCTCGTCGCCACACATGATGTCCTTGATCACCACATCCTCGCCGCCGCCCGAGAAGCGCTCCTCGGACCGCAGGATCGGGCGCCCGACGATGGACGGGAACTGGTGCTCGGGGAAGTTTTGCGCCGCGTAGCCGACCTTGAGGAAGCCGGTGCCGCCGTCGAGGACTGTTGGGGGGGGTGCAATCGGTCAGCAGCCAGGAAGAGGGAGAGGAGGGTCACCGAGGGTTTGGCAAGCAAAGAAGCAAGCAAACCCGCCAGTCACGCGGGCGGCGGCGGCCCCTTGGAAGCTCCGGGGGAGCTGTCGACGGGGCCAGCTTGCCCGGCGCGGGGCGTGTCGGGAAACGTACCAATCGGAGGAGGGCCCATGGTGACAGAGATGCTGGGCCGAGAGGGCGATTCAACAGCCGCCTAGAGAAGTCGGGTCGTGTCGAGTCGTGTGTGCTGCTGCGGCGGTGGTGGTCGCGCGTTGCGAATGGCAGGTCCCCCAAGCTCGAGCGAGGGTGCGGGATGTCGGACGTCGTCAGCAACAACGCGGATGGGGCATGGCATGGTGGGGTCGGCCAGCAGTGGACTGTCGTCAGAGGGGGGGCTTGTCACTGAGGAGCTGTGGCGTCACGTGATGCGCACCTGCGCGATCTTGGGCAAGGCTCAAGCCTGGGAGTCTTGGACTATGCACTGCAGCGGCCGATCGCGCTCCCTGAATTTGGGTGAACCAGGTGAGCTCAATAAGTATGCCATGCTGGGGCCATGCTGGAGTCAGGCTGGGGCCAGAAATAAGCCCCAGGCTGCCTCTCTCTCACTCACACGTGCGGCTTTGGAAGAAGCTATCTCTTCTCGCCGGCCTACCAGCCCCCTCTGGCGCACTCGAGATTACGTTTCCCTAAATCTTACAAGTTACCACGTACTCCACTGTGCTTTTACCTTTGAGTCGTGTACTGTTGGCAGTTTCCACGCCCGAGAGTGGCATTGTTTCGCCGAGCATCTCCCAGCTTGTCACCTTGGGCGGCTTCACGCCCAGTGCAGCGAGACATCAAAACTCCAGATCGTCACAGGCAATCGAATGCCATGGCCAGCGTTTCACTTACGAACTATCCGAAAGAGCTCCAGCTGTCCATCTTGGACTTGCTTGACGTCGTCGACTTGATTCCCATGAAGGCGGTTAACAAGCACTTTTGCGCTTTGACCGAGGCCCTCATTTACAAACACATTGACATAACCTGGAGACCGAACGAGACGCCACCAATCACTCTACTGCTCAGGACCTTGATTGACCGGCCTGAGCTCTGTCAACGCATCCGTGGACTGCGGCTCGATGGCGAGGGATTCACAACATCTGGTGGTTATCCCGACGAGCCACCTACACTGCCAGTCGCCTCGCTCTCAATTGCCAAGGCATCGGAGCTCATCAGGTCGAGCAACGTGCCACATGCCCAGCAGTGGGCAGAAGAGCTCCAGTTTGGCCATGTCGACGCCATCGTCGCCCTCCTTATATCTATGCTGCCAAAATTGACAACACTCCATCTTGGTCCCAATTTCACCGTTGAGAGCCGACTGTTGGGACAAATGCTCCGATCTGCCCTCTCTCAATCGCCCCCAGCGTCTCGTTTACCTGCATTTGAGCAGCTGCGACAGGTCACGTTTTGTCGCAGGACGAATGAATACCGTCAACGCACGGTCAATAACTCGGCTGATGTCCTCCCATTCTTCTACCTCCCGGCAATTCATGACCTGTCGGTCTCCATCGATAATCCGAAAGATTTCTCGTGGCATGATCGAGCTCCGACGCCTTCCTCACTCAGATCTCTGGAGGTATACCGACTCCGAGAAAATCGACTTGGGCCACTCCTCACGACTCTAAGCGGACTTCAGAAGCTGCACTGGCATTGCTTTTATCAGAATGACCTGGACTGCGACGTCAGCAGAGACGTTGTCGATCTCGACGAGTTGACCAGAGCGTTGGATCGTATTGGTAATACTCTGATAGACCTGACGATTGAGGCGGAAACAAGCCCTGCCATATTGGCCGGAGACTATGAGCCGCCTCCTTTGGCAATTAGCGGATCGCTAATGGGTCTATCGCGTTTGCGTCAAGTGAAGAAGCTTTGCGTGCCGTGGGTTTTCCTGATGGGGCAATCGCCTCCCGGGGGATGTCGACTTGGACATCTGCTCCCGCCAACACTTCAGCTTCTCAAGTTGTCAGCCGATTTAGATGAGCCTGCGGAGAAATGGATGTGGTACGATCCCGATTCCATCATTCAAGCCATCAAGACCGCTGTGCACGACTCGACCATGTCGTCATTGCCTGACTTGCGTCGCATCATTCTACCAATACCCCAATGCGTTGGCGACTTAACTGAGGAGAGAAGAGCGCAACTCAGACAGCTAAGCGACAGGGTAGGTATACAACTGGAACCGGAGGATGATTGATACCGTACTCGTTGGGACAAAAAGCCGAATGTCTAACTGTTGGGATGACTATCGCCCCATAACCTTTTGGCTGGGTTGTGTGATGGGGGTTGTTAGTCAAAAGCGCCGGGATTGCGGCAAGCTAGTCGCTTCAGGACCAGCCAGCTTCTCAGGTACAATTTTGCGACATAGATGGATTAGTAGAGTGCCTGCCGATACAGACCTGAGAGGACTACAGCT